TCCTCCTCTCTCGCTCTCTCGTCCCTCGGCGTCCACTCCTTTCGCCGTGTCGACCCTCCCTGACTCTCTTGAACCCGACAGACCTGTTCTACGAGAAGCGCTACTCGCACACGGCCATGACCAACCCCGACTTTGTCGCGCTCGCCAAGGCCATGGGCGTCCACGCCATCCGGTGCGACAGCGTCGACGAGCTCCCGGCCAAGATGAAGGAGTTCATGGAGTACGACAACCAGAAGCCGGTCCTCTTCGAGGCGCGCGTCGTCAAGGTGCGCCCGGGCCTCCTCTCTCCCTTCCTCCCTGTTTTCGCGCCCCGCCTCGACTCGTTCCCTGACTTGTCCCTTGCACCTACAGTCGGAGCACGTCTTCCCGATGATCCCGGCCGGCAAGGCGCTGCACCAGCTCATGCTCCACCCCTCGCTCGTGCGTCCCCCCTCCCTCCTCCTCGACTTGTTCCGGCCGGCCTCGCTCACTCTGCCCTCTCGCGCCCTGCAGAAGCCCGTCGACGCCGACTTTGCCAAGTGAGCGACGTCGCCCTGGCCTGCCTTTCCTACCCGTCCGCCTCGAGGCTGTCCCCCCTCTGCATCACGACCCTCGCGCCCTCCCTCACTCGGTTCCCCTCTCGCTGTCACGTCCCCTTTTTTATCCCTGCTGTTTAGCCCTCGTGCGCCACCCACTGTGTACTCCCTCCCTTGTGCAACGTACTCGAAAACGGCCTTGCTCGAGCCGAATCTCGCCTCGCCTCGGCGCCCGGATGAGAAACGCCGGAGCCTGCTCGCTCCGCACTCCTCCACGCCCGTCGCCTCGCCTCTGCGCGGTCCACAACTCGTCGAGCGAGCAGCCAGTCGCCTGCACGCCCCGACCAGCCGCACCCTGTCCTCGCCCCTCGCCGCCCTCCCAAGTTCCTCGACCTCCCCCGCTCCACCTCTCGGCATGCCTGCACTCGCACACTCGCTGTTTGAGCGGCACGACGGCTATGCCTTTGCGTACAAGGTCCTCGGCCGCTCGCACAAGGCCACGCCGCTCGTCCTCGTCCACGGGTGCGCCCACACTTCCTGCTCCTCTCGCTCTCCCCCGTCCGGCGCGAGCTGAGCTGCATGCTCCTCCCCCACCGGCAGCCTGTCAGCAGTCGGCCTCGTCGACTGGTTCCCGCTCGCCGACGCGCTCGCGGCTCATCGACCAGGTGCGTCCGGTGTCCTCCTCCTCCTCCCCCACATCCCCGCGGCCTCTCGAGCTGACTCTCCTCGCCCGTACAGTCCTCGTGTTCGACAACCGCGGCATCGGTGGCTCGACCATTCCTGCAGACAAGGCGGGCGAGCCATACGACATGCACGCCATGGCCGGCGACGTCGTCGACCTCGTCAAGGTGCGCCGACTCTCTCCTTCTCTCGCCCCTACGAGGCGCAGTACTGACCTCACTGCCCTCTGCAGCACGTCGGCTTCAAGAAGATCGACCTGCTGGGCTTCTCGATGGTGCGTCCCGATGCTCCCTTTCTCTCTCGTCGCACGCGGTCCCGCTCACCCTCGGACGGCTGCAGGGCGGCATGATCGCGCAAACGGTCCTCGTCAAGGCCGACCTGCCGTTCAAGATCCGCCATGCCGTCCTCGTCGCGACTTCTGCGTGAGTCGAGCCCGTCACCGTATCCTCTGCGCCGTCGCTGACTCTCGAGCGAGCAGGAAACGCGCCCACTCGGACCTCCTCCAGGCGATTCCGCAGCCTCCCGCCGGCCCGCTCACGTTCGAGCAGAAGTGCGACCTATCTCGACCCTTCATCTACGCGCGTCTCCTTCTCTCTCGTGCGAGGAACCCGCCCTGACATCCCCCTGCGAGCAGATTGGATACGACCCAGCGTTCGTCCAAAACCCTCGAGTGCGCCCTCGCCTTCTTTCTCTCTCTCCTCTCTGCGCCTTCTGACTGGGTCTCCCGAGCAGAACAAGGAGCTCCTGGAGCGACGTGTGCGCGAGGCGGTCGAGGCAAAGCGGCCGGCTCGGACGATCCGTGCGTCCCCGTTCTCCTCCTCTTCCTGCCCTCCCTCGAGACTGACGACCTCCCTTGTCACCGCAGAGAACCAGATCGGCGTCGTGCGTCTCTCACCTCACTCCTTGCATCCACCGTGACTGACTGTGGCCCACAGATCGCAGGGTACGACGTCCGCTCCAAGCTGAGGTCCGTTCCCGAGTCGCTCCCGGTCCTCGTCCTGCACGGCAACCTCGACCGTGCGTCGCGCTCTCATCCCTCGTCTCTCTGCGCCGGTCGAACTGACACTGTCTCTCGTGCAGGCTCGGTCTACTACAGCGAGCACAAGTACATCCTCGAGGGCATCCCGCACGCCCAATTCCTCTCGTTCGACGGCGTCTCGCACGCGTGCGTCCAGCTCTCGCTCTCGCCGCGTCCTCCAGTTGCACTGACCTCGGCTCGACGGCCTGCAGGTGGTACGACTACTACGACCTCGACTTCTGGACTACGCTCCTCAACAGGTTCCTCGCCGACCAGGACTGCGCCTCGCTCGTCCCGCCCGCCCACGCCCACCACGCCAAGCTGTAGCTCCCTCGCCGCCTCTCTCTCTCTCCGGTCGTCGTGTCGATGTGGATCTCGTTGTTGTACAGGTGCTCGAGCTGCAACCAAGCTATGCGCCGCCGACCTCCTTGGGCGACTTTGCCCGGATCGCGAGCGCGTGGAGCCCGGCGTCAAAGAGAGGCTTGAGAGCGTCGTTGACGAGACGGTGGCGCTGGATGACACGCTGTGGAGGCAGACGAGAGTCAGGTTCGGGCACACGAGAGAGAGGTGAAGCGAGAGCCCGGCTCACCATGCCCTCGAAGCGCTCCGAGACGACGTTGACGGTAAAGTGGGTCTCGCCGTCGCCGCCGCCGATGGCCTTCATGGGCGCATGGTGGCGGTGCTTGCTCGAGTCGTTGGTGATGTCGAGCGAGGTCGGGTGGAGCGATTCCTCGAGCTGTGTGTGTGGGGGTCGAGGTGAGCCGAGGGGACGAGGCTGTGAGAGGGGACGGAGAGCGGGAGACGCACCCGTTGCCGGATCGCCTGCTCGACTGGGCCGAGCGCAGGTGCTGAGCTCATGAGGGCGCGGGTGATCGAGGCGGCGGAGCGAGTTGGACGGAGAGGGGGGAGCGAGTTGGCGAGGGAGCGCGGTGCGAGTCGGGCGAGCATGCGGTCGACGAGCAGAGCTGTGTGTGAGCGAGTCTGGCTGTCGTCGAGCTCGCCTGGTCGTGGTTGGCAGTCGGTGAGGGCGCACACAGCGGGGCGAGATGCTGGCGGCCAGCTCGTCGACCGCGTCCACCTCGCACCCTCGCCAGAGCTTGCTGCGAGACAGCGCATCGTCGAGCTCGACAGTTCTAACCGTCGATCCGCCACCCGGTCTCGCCCCCGCCGTCGTCGTCGCCGCGTCAGCCGTCCTTCCTCCCTTGCTCCTCGCCTCCCTCCCGTCGCGCTCTCCCAGCCCCTCGCCCGGGCGTGCAACTGCCGCCACGAGCCTGTCGTGCACGTCTCCGACCCGTTCCACCCACCCGCACCTCGCCCCGCGACCTCGTCGCCAACCACGCTCAACCTCCCCGCCATGGACTCGAACGCCTCGTCCGGCACTGGAGCTCCCAGCAGTGAGTCGACCCTCTTCTCGCTCTCGACGTCGTTCGTCCGTGACAAGGGCCAGTGTCCGGCCGCTCGCGGCGCACGCCCGTCCCCCCCTCGACGCCGAGACTGACCTTGCCCTTCTCCTTTCCCCTTCGTCGTCGACAGCTCGCCAAGGCCAGCGCGAGGGCTCGTACCACCCGATGGCGACCGACTCGGACTCGGACGGTGGCGTCTCGGACGGCGACCCGCCCGACTACTCGGGCGGCCCTCGCCCGGCCCTCATCGCGCCTCGCCCGTCGCTCGGGGCCGTCAGCGTCGGCGGCAGCGGCGGCAGCTCGGGCAAGAAGCGCAGCTTTGACGAGCTCGAGGACATCGTCTTCAGCAACCCCAAGAGCTTTGTCGCCCTCTGCAACGAGATCGCCGCGTGCGTCCTCGTCCCTACCGCCCCTGTCGAGCTTTCCCTCGCGACTGACTCGTCGTCCCTCTCTCTCGCAGGTCGCGCAACATGTCGATCCTCATTGGCGACGACCGCACCCACAAGGTCTCGTCGGCCTACATGCACGTCCTGTGCGCGTACCGCAAGGCCGGCTGCCCGTTCATCATCAAGCTCACCAAGGCCAAGGAGGGAGGGTGGCTCATCCGAGGCGGTGAGGGTGCATCTCTCTCTCGCGCCCGACAGCCCCACCCGTCTCTAGGTCACCCTGACTGACCCATCGTCGTCGCCCTCTGCCCGCAGTCGACACCAAGCAGCGCTCGACGTACCGTTGTCGCCACCCGGCCGGGTCCAAGCCCGACTTCAAGGTCGGCATCTCGACCGACGAGTGGATGCGCAGCGTCGACACTCGTTCGTCGTCGCACCCGAACGGCGGTCGCCCCAAGGCGGCCAAGCCTCGCCCCGTCGTGCCGCCTCTCGAGTCGCCCGTGCCCGTGCAGGAGGAGTCGAGCGCCGGCCGCGCTCCCCGCATGTCGTCCCGGACGGCGACGCGCAGCAGCCTCGCAGCGCCCGCTCCGGCGCCGAGCCCGTCGACGTCGGGACGGCTCGTCGGTGCGCCCGTGACGTACGCCGCCATCGAGCCCGAGCGCGCGCTCGCGCCCCCTTTCCAGCGCGCGATCGACCTCCAGGCGCAGATCGTGCCCGCCCTCTCGCCGCGCCAGGGGCACCACCCGCACAGCGCGCAGTCGGGCATGTACTCGAACGGCTACTCGCCGCGAGCGCACCCAGGCGGCCCCGGCGGCGACCCGTACCGCCTCATGCCGTCGCCGTCGCAGCCTGCGCCGCCGCACGCCCGCGTTCAGTCCCACCACCCTCAGCCGCCGCACCCGCACCACCACCCGCACTCGGCGTCGCACCACCACCAGGGCCCTCCCGCTCCCCGTCCTGCGCCCGTCGACCCGGTCGTGCTCGCCGAGTGGACGGCGGTCCTGACGCTCATCGGCGACGCCGACCTCGTGCCGTTGTCGCGCGTGCTCGCGTCGCCGTACGTGTCGTGCACGCCGGCGTCGTTCTTTGCCGAGTCGCGAGCGGCGCGGCTCAAGCTCGTCGACGCGCTCCCGAACGAGTCGACGGGCCTGTGGCCCAAGATCAAGCTCGGGCAGCGGCTCGCCGGCGACGAGGGCGACAAGGCGTGGGCTCGCATGCAGGGTGCGGGCTCGGCGCCCGTGTCGCGCGCCGCGTCGAGGTCGAGGTCGGTCGAGGCGTCGCGGTCGGTGAGCGTGTCGGCGAGCGATGCGTCGGCGGCGCAGGTCCAAGCGCGCGTCCTCTCGGCGGGCTCGGCGTCGTCGACGGCGGCCAAGCCCGAGCCCAGTGTCGGCGACGCCATGCTCCCGCCGCGGGCGCAGCCGAGCGGCATGTTTGCGGCGCCGGCGCGCTCGTCGCCGCCGAACGGCATGGACGTCGACCCGGTCAGCGCAACGTCGCCAGGTCTCGGCGCGCCCGTCTCGGCTGCCCAGGCGCTCTCGCCTGCTGCGGCGGGTCGGCCTGCGGGTCTCGTCGTCGCGGGCCCGCTGGCTCGGCAGCTGCAGGACGAGATGCAGCCGGCGCCGGCGCTCGCGTGAGTTGAGCTCTCGAGGGAGCAGTCGGAGGGGTGCTTCGCCTTGGGTCGCCTTGTCTATCTCTCTCTGTGTGTGTTTTGCATTGCACGCGTTCTCGAGTGAGTGCGGGCGAGCGAGATGAGAGCGAGACGACGTTGCCTGATTGGCTGCGACGAGGCAAGCTGGACTCTGAGCCGAGGGCTGCCCTCGTCGTCCCGCCTCGCCACCAACACACCATGTGAGCTCGTCTGGCCTACTCTGCGCATCGAGAGCCAGTGACTGACCCTCCCTGTCCCCGTCTCGCCCCCTCTCGTGCCCGTGCGCGCTCGCAGGTCTGCTCTCGGCATCTCGCTCGCCAACCACCTCAAGGCGTCGCGCGGCCTGTACAAGGCGCTCAAGCCCTTGGCCGACCGCTACGCCAACCTGGCCGGCTTCCGCGCGTACGGCCTCAAGTACGACGACGTCCTCATCGAGGAGTCGGCTTCGGTCCAGAAGGTGCGCCCGACCTCCCTCATCTCGCCCCCCTCCCACACTCCCCACAGCCCTCGAGGAGATCGAGCGGGCGTCCCTGCACGGGCATTCGGTCCACCTAGGACCCGTCGGCCGGCGGTGCAGCCTCCAGAGGCGTCGTCGCCGTGCGCCCCCCCTCGTCGTCGACGCGCTCCTCTCGCCGACATCGCCCCGAGCCCACGATCGCCTGCACCTTTGCCAAGGTCACGAGCGCTCACCCTGCCCTCTCTGTACCCACCTCGCAGGCTATCGGCCGCCTGTCGGAGCGTGAGGCGTACGACCGCGCGTTCCGCCTGCGCACGGCGAGCATGTGCGCCATCGCGCACGAGGAGCTCCCCAAGGACAAGTGGATCAAGCCCAACGAGGTGCGTCTCTACTGCCTACTCGTCTGCGCCCTCTTTTGCGCGTCGACTGACATTGCCTCGCATCCCCCGCCCTCCCCTCCCTCGCCGTCCGCCCTCACACCTCGCCTCGACTTTGACCCGCTCGCCCTCGCCCGCTCGCCATCACCTCTCGCCCGCCTCGCCTGCGTCGACCTGTTTGGCGGATTTCGGCCCTGCAGGACACGCGCTACCTCAAGCCGTTCATCAAGGAGGTCGAGGCCGAGGAGGCGGACCGCTCCGCGTTCGACCACGCGACGCGCGCGTAAAGCGGGTCGGGGTTGTCTGTCGTGCGGTAGAGTGGTGTCTCGCTGGGAATGGGATCCCTTCATGCAGTGCTTGTCGGAGCGGCTCAGCGAGAGAGAGAGAGCGCGCGATCTCGGGGAGCAGGGCCGAGAGCGGCTCGTCTGTTGCCTCGCTCTTTGCTCTCGAGTTGGCTGAGTTCTATGAACTGATGCTCTACTGTACGAGAGGCGGTGAAAGGTGAGACGAAGCGAGGTGGAGCAGACCGAGGAGGATCTTCGGTCACTCCGCGCCAGTGACGACGACGACGACCAAGGCGGGACGCTCTCTCTCTCTCGCTCTCCTCCCAGTCGACCCACACGCTCAGCCCAGGAGCAATGCTCGCAACTCGCCTTCTCGCCGCCACTGCGCGCCCAGTGGCCCGCCCTCAAGCTCTCGCCGCCGTCGCTCGCCTCGCTGCGGCCCCGCCCCCACTGCGCTCGTTCTCGTCGACCGCACACCGACTCGCCGTCAACCCCAACAGCCAGCAGCCTGCGTCCGACTCGCTCAAGTCGATGGGCCAGAATGCAAAGGAGGAGGTCCAGGGTCCGTCACCCTCTCTCTCCCCCTCTCCTCTCTCTCTCCTCCCCTGCTCACGCCTCGCCTCCCCCTACAGGCATCGCCCGCACCGTCGCAGAAGCAGTCGCAGGCGAGGCAAACGACGTCACGAGCCACACCGCTCCCCGCAAGGACTTGGGCGCGAGCGAGGTCGGCCAGGAATGGGTCCGTCCTCCCTCTCTCTCTCCCTCCCTCTCCACCTCGTGCGCCCGACTGACCATCCCCCCCGCCACTACCCGCAGAACACGATCAAGGGCACCCTAAGCAAGGTCCCGCGCGACACGCTCGCCTGGGGCGCAGCCGGCCTCTTGCCTTACGCCGGCACCTCGCTCAGCATCGTCTACTTTGCTCGCCAGGCCTGGCTCGCAGAAGAACTCGGCGGTGCGTCGGCGCCTTCGCTCTTCTTGTCGTCCGACCTGCTCGACCGCCCGTCCCGCTCGCCGCATGTCTCGCAGGCGCAGTCGCTCACGCCCACTTTGTCGCCCGCAGTCGACGCAGGCTACGACGCCGCAGCGGCCAACGCCCTCCTCGAACACGCCGAGCTCCTCCAGATCCAGTACGGCGCCATCATCCTGTCGTTCATGGGCGCCGTCCACTGGGGCTTCGAGGTGCGTCCCGAGCGCTCCTTCCTCCTCGCGCCCTCTTCTCGCTCGACTTGCCCGACCCTGACTTTGCCCAACCCTGTCTCCCCTCGCTCGCAGTGGGCCAAGTACGGCGGCACCAAGGGCAACCGCCGCTACCTCCTCGGCGTCGTGCCCGTCCTCGCGGGCTGGGGCTCGCTCCTCATCCCGGGCCAGATGGCCCTCGTCACCCAGTGGGGCGCCTTCTTCGCCCAGTGGTACATGGACCAAAAGGCGACCACCAAGGGCTGGGTCCCCAAGTGGTACGCGACTGTGCGTCCATCTTTCCCTCTCTCTCTCTCTCCTTCCCCTTTCCCGCTCGGACCCTCCCCCGCCGCCTCGACGAGGTCGCCTCGCCGACTCGCCGTTCGACCGCCCCTGTCGTCGTCTCGTCTGTGCAACTCTCTCTTGCGTCCGGGTTTGACTGACCCTCTTGACGCGCCCGCAGTACCGCTTCTGGTTGACGTCGATCGTCGGCGGCTCGATCCTCCTGTCGCTTGCCGCGACGGGCTACTACGGCTCGTCGACCGAGTTTGCCAAGCGTGAGAGCCAGCTCAAGAAGCTCCGCCAGGGCAAGCCCCCTGCGAGCACCAACCCGGTCGGGTGCGTCCCAAGCTCCCTCCTCTCTCGTCCTTCCTCTCCTACTTCAACTCGGCAATGTCTCTTGTCTTTCGTGCCTCGACTCTTGCCGTTCGCCGACGAACCCGCACTGACTCGCTCTCGTTCCCCTCGCGCCTTTCCTCGTCGCCGTCGCACAGCTACTCGGCCCAGCTCGGCGACATGAAGGCCGAAAAGGCGTCGGACGCCTACGTCAAGTTCACCAACGTCGAGAAGGAGCGCCAGAAGAAGGAGGAGGCCGAGAAGCAGGCCAAGGAGGACGAGAAGAAGGCCAAGGAGGAGGAGGAGCAGAAGAAGAAGGACGAGGAGGAGGTGCGTCGGGCCCCCCCTTTCTCTCGCTCTCGTTCTCGGCGAGCCGTGGCACCTCGTCTCTGGCCCATATCACTGACACGCGCTTTACTGTCCACCTGCAGGCCAAGAAGCAGGCCGAGCACGACTCGCAGGTCGCCGCCGCCGTCTCGTCGGGCAAGGACAAGCTCAAGGAGCAGCTCGCCAAGATCACCGAGTAGAGCGCTCGACGTCCCCTTTATTTCCTCTCTCACCCCCTCTCTCTCCAACCCGAGTCACCCCCGAATACCGACCGCATCGACGACACGAGAGGGCGCACGCCCCTCTCAGGTCGCGTTCCCCCCTCTGTAGATTCACCCGCGAGCGTCTCTCTCGAGCAATGTCCATAGCCTCTCTCCGTCCTGCGCACAGGGTCGAGAGAACGAGAGTGACGCGCGAGCTCTCACAGTCACAGAAGAGGCGGGCTCTCTCCGAGGCCAAGTCGAGCGAGGCGCGCTTGAACTTGCACAGGCGAGAGGGCTCGAGCGCACCGTCCACCGTCTCTCGAAGCGGCGAAGCGGCTCTTAGCAGGGCTTACCTCGGACCCGTCTCTCAACCTGGCCTCGCTCTCTCTCGACGCCGGGACGGAGCGAAAAGGACGCGTTTCTTTCGAGTCGCTCTCAGAGACGCGCAGGTGATCGTGCTGGGGCAAAAGAGCTTTTGGGACTGCAAGCGCTACACGAAGACAGCGTGATGCGTTTACTCGTAGCTGTAGGTCGAGGACGAGCGGGCGAGTCAGTACAGGGAGGCGAGAGGAAGAAGGGGAAAGGGAGACAGGGACGCACACCCAGGCCTCCGAAGCTGCAGTCGGCGAGTACGAGAAGGACCGCAACAAGAGTCAGTACGTGCGCCGTGACGACGACAGACGGCGGAAGAGGACGACGCACCGAGCTTGTGCTGGGTGAGGCCCTCCGGGAACCAGAGAGCGATCTCCTTCTGCGCCGACTCGACGGCGTCCGAGCCGTGGCAGACTGCGACGGTGGACGAGCGAGTGCGTCAGTACGGTCGTGCTTGTCGCAGTGACCGAGAGAGAGGAAGGGCGAGAGGGGACGGACCGTTGCGGCCGACGTCGATGGCAAAGTCACCACGGACTGCGAGAAGGCGACCGAGGTTAGGTCAGTCGACGGGGCTCTCGTGCGGGAGGGGGGGCGAGAGAACGAGGACGCACTGGTGCCCGGGGCCGACGCGAGCGGGTTGGTGGCGCCGAGGATGGTGCGGCCGGTCTTGACGGCGTCCTTGCCCTCCCAGACCTGCACGCGGGAAGAGGGTGGTGAGCGGTCCGGCTAGGACGAGGCCCCTCCCGCTCGACTCGAGAGAAGGGGAACGTCGGACGCCGGTGGACGCACCATGGCGACAACGGGGCCTGTGCGGGGGGAGGAAAGAGGGTGTCAGTGCGCGTTCGAGGCCGGTGTCGCGGCCAGACCCGAGGGCCCGCCGAGGCGAGACGACGACGGACCCGAGGCCATGTACTTGATGAGGCCCTTGAAGAAGCCCTTGGACGAGAGGTCCTCGTAGTGCTTCTCGAGGTGCTCGACCGAGGGCTGGACGAGCTTGAGGGCGACGAGCTTGTAGCCGCGCTTCTCGAAGCGGCCGATGATCTCGCCAACGAGGCCTGTGTGGGTGTGGGCAGGTCAGTGAGGTGCTCGGCCGGGGCGAGGTCCGAGGGAAGGGAGCGGACCGCGCTGGACACCGTCCGGCCTGCGAGGGAGGGAGGGGAGGAGGACGAGGTCAGCGAGGCGTCCCTTGGGAGCGACAGGGAGAAGGGGACCAGGGTGCTCACTTGATCATGATGTAGGTCTGCTCCATGGTAGACTGCACAGTGCAAGGGACAGACGACGAGAGCAAGGAGCGTCAGTCGGCGGAACGTGTTGCGACAACGAGGGACCGCGCAAAGCTCTGCGCTCGCACGCGCGACATGCACAGCTGCTCTGTGAGCCTCGTACCGCCTCTCACTGCCCGACACGCGAGCCAGAGGCTGCTCATCGCCTCGCCGCCGTCGCCTCGTCGGAGCTCGTCCGCCTCGCCCCCTCGCTCTCCTCGCAGGCTCCACCGCGTGCGCTCGCCGTGGGGTCCAGGTGCGAGGTGGAATTGAGGGAGTAGACGCACAAGGTTTGGGTGCGAGTAGAGGGTTGAGGTCGACTGGGCGAGAGAAAACCGGCGTGGACGGCCGCTCCCTCCGCCTCGTCCTCCTCTCCAACGTCTCACCATTTCTCTCGACGACGAGCTCGAGGCGGGCTGAGCACTGCCTTTGCACACTAACGGTTGGACTACACAACGGACAGGGTCGCCCTCGCTCAGAGCTTCTTCGTCTCGTGCTGCGCCTGCTGCGCCCCCTTCTCGATACCGCGCTCCGCCTTGAGCAGGCCCTCCTTGAGCCCGTCCTTGGCGTCCTCGGCCTTGGCCGACGACCAGTTCCACCAGCTCTTGCCCTCGGCCTCGACCTTGCGCGCCGCCTCGTCCGCCGTCTGCTCGGCGTTGGCCGCCGCCGTCGACAGCGACGCCGCAGCGTTGTCCGCCTTGGCCGACGTCCACGACGACCACGACGAGGCCTGCACACAGTCGCACACGAGAGGGTCAGGGAACTGCTCGGTCGATGCGACACGAGAGGGAGAGAGAGAGAGAGAGAGAGAGGACGCACCTTGTCACTCGCCGCCCGCTGCGCGCGGTCGAGCTCTGCCGCCGTCTTGTCCTTGGCCTCCTCGGCCTTGCTCGAGCCCCAGTTGACCCAGCTGCGAGTCTGCGGGTGCGCGACGACAGTCAGGCCCGCGTCGCTAAAGACGAGGGAGAGAGAGGGAACGCACCTCCGACTTGACGTCGTCGGCAGCGTTCGACACGGCCGACTTGGCGCGGTTGTACTCGCCCTTGATCGAGTCGGCGGCGTTGTCGAGGCTCGACTTGGTCTGCGACAGGTGGGACGGGCGAGAGAGAGAGGGTGGGAGAGAGAGAGAGAGTCAGGGTTCCGGAACTTGGGAAGGTCGAAGAACAGGTCGGGCACGAGACGCACCTCGTGCTCGAGGTCGCGCAGCTTGCGCTCCATGGTGCTGCGGCGGAGCGACAGGCCCGGTCCGACCCAGTCGAGGTACGGGTTGCCGCCGACCGACGTGTTGATGCCGTTGCTGTTGAACGTCTTCTCGAGCTGCTGGAAGCCAAACTCGCGGTCGGGGCCCTTGAGGCTCTCGCCGTAGCGCTTGAGCTCGTCGAGCGTCGGCTTCCACGCCTGGCGCTCGCTCGGGCCCGAGCGCAGCGCGTCGCTCCACCGGTGCACCTCGTCGGTGAAGCCGTGGCCGGCCGACGACGACGACGGCGTGGCGCGGTCGGCCGCGTTGCGCACACGGTCGGTGAGCGACGGCGTCGTGGCGCGGTCGGCGGCGTTGCGGGCGCGGTCGGCCGTCGACTTGGCGTCGCCGGCGAGCTTGTCGCCCCAGTGCTTGACCTCGTCGACGGCGTCCCGGCCGGCGTTGGCGATCGAGTGCGCGCCGTCCTTGAGCGTGTCCTTGGCCTGCTCGGCGCCGTACCGAGCGTTGTCGGCGAGACGGGTCGCCTCGCGCGATGCCGGGTCGGCGACGTTCGGGCCCAGAGGCTCCGAGGTCGAGCGCGCGCCGCCCGAGCGCAGGTCGTGGATCTCGCGCTCGGCGCCGCGCTTGAGCTTGGACAGGTCGTTGGCCGCCTCGTGCTTCGGGTCGTCGAGCGTCATGTAGTAGGCGGCGGCGCCGCCGACGAGGGCGAGGCCACCGACGATGAAGCTGCGAGGGCGAGGGCAAGGGGGGCAATCTCGAGTCAGTAGCTGCTTGCTGCATGCTACGGCACCCTGCCGCTCACTGCGACTGTGCGGCAGGAATCGAGGGAGGGGCGAGGTCGAGGGGTGACGTACCCGACGTTGGACTTCTTGGGAGGCTGCGGAGGGGGCACGCCGCCGGCCTGCGGGATGGGCCCGCTCGTGCCGCCGTAGCCGGCCGCGGTCTGCCTGCCGAGAGGCACGTTGGTCGTCTTGTCGGTCGCGACGGGGCGGCCCGTGGGCGGGACCGAGAGGAAGCGACGGGACGAGGGAATCTGCAGTGACGGCGAGCTCAGGCCGGGTGCGGCAGAGGGCAGAAGGGGGGCAGGAGAATGTGAGGCTCACGATGCGAGTAGAGCGCTGCATGCTTGTGTGCTGTAGAAGTACTGGTGGAGGGGAGAGAGGGGAGCGAGGGCGGTCGACGAGCCGGGCCCTACCAGGTGACGCGCCTCCCAAGCGACGGGGGCGATCCTCCTCGAAAGCTCCGCGGAGATTGACTCCACGACTGCGATCGTAACCGGACTGCGGATTCGGGCGCACTCGGCGCTCGCCTTCGCCTCTCCCTTTGTCTCCCTCGGTCAGCTCTCTGCCGACGTGCTCGCCCGCCCTCCAGGCGAACGCCCGCTGCTCGCATGCGTGCTGGAGTGCTCGCGCCTCTTCCCTGCTCGCCGAGGCCAAGCTACGCACGCTCTCGTCGAGCTCCTCGTCCTCCCCCCGCTCCGCTTCCTCTCGCGCCGCACCCGCTCTCCACCGACACTCGAGCGTGTCGTACCGCCGCACAGCGCTCTAGCTGGTCAGCAGCTGTACCGGCACCGCACGGCGTCTCGCCCCGCCTCCCCCCTCCTCCTCCACCGCCTCGACCCGGGCTTCCTCCTCGGCTCGCAGACGCGACCTGACGTCCAGACGGGCCAAGGGCGCGCTCCTTGCGGCATGGGGGCATCGCGCCGGATTTGTCGAGGCCCAAGCGCGTCAAGCTCGAGCATCAGGTCCGCTCTCCTCTCCCTCCTCTCCTCTCCTCTCCTCTCCTCGTCCTCAAGCGCACTTACTCACGCTGAACTCTTTGCGCAGTCGGACCCGCCCACCTTCCACCTCGACAAACCGCGCAAGCTGCCTCGCCCGTCGGGCAGCATCGCCAACCCGCACGCCTCGCGCCACCATCTACACGGCTTCGTCGCCTCGTCACGCCCTACACCCCTTCCATATCCGTTCCTCAGCAATCTCTCGGCCTTCCTCTACGGCCTCGCCCCGTCGCTCGTCGCCCTCGCTCCCCTCCTCGTCTCGGCCAGCGTCAGGTCGGTCGTCGACCTCGTCGCCCTCGTCCAGCTTGAGCCGGGCACGTTCGACCTCTTTGCCGCCGAGGCTGCCCGTCAGACGCCCGTGCGCGTGAACGGCTCGTCGCCGATCGAGCTCCTCGACGTGCTCAAGCAGGGACTCGACGAGGGCAAGTGGCGTGCGAGATGGACGTTCTGAGGGGCAGCAAGCGGTTCTCTCGATGCAGCGTTTGTCTGAAGGGTTGATTGGTGCAAGGCGTGGACCCTGTATAGGTCCGGCGCTTGCAGAGATGTGCGCGAGCGAGAGAAAGGAGCGAGAGAGCTGTTTTGGGAAGGCCGCCGCTTCGAGGCTCGAGCGTGGGCAGGTCTCGCCGAGTCGCTCGACGAGCGCTTCACGCGTCGAGAGTGGAGAACCGGTAGCGCAGTGGAAAGCTGCCTGCACACACCTCGACGGACCTCTCGCTCGCGCCTCGTCTTTTGTGCGGGGGAGGGCGCGCGCGCCGAGTCGCCCAGCTCCCTCGCTCTCCCACTTCCTCTCTCGCCTCGCCGTGCCCTCCTGCTCGCACCTCGCACCTCGCACACCCTGCCTTGACCCGGCGGACTCGTCCAGCAGCGCCGCACAGCGAGCCCCCGGCTTCACGCAGTCGCGTCCCTCCTCCACCATTCACCGCCCCTCCCGATTCGCCCTCTCGCCAACCTCGGCCTCGCCGCACCTGCGCCATGAGCACCGCCGCCTCATCAGGGCAGTACCCCGTCAAACGCTTCCCGCTCGACCAGCCCCTCGAGTGGAGCGCGCGCACCACCTCGTCGCTCATGCAGGACCTCGTCCGCCGCCGCGAGGTCATCTTCGACAAGCAGCGCGAGGCCGACGACGGTGCGCTGCACTCTCTCTCCTCCTGGTCTTCTCCAAGTGCCCATATCGACGCACGCATCTCGCAGGCACGTTGCAGGACCGCTCGGACAAGCTCGCCATCACCAACCTGTCGAAAGGCCACCGCGCCGACCGGGCCGCCCTCGCCTCCTACAAGCGCTTCTGCACGCTCGCCGACATCCCGCCATACCCCTTGACCTACGCCGTCATTGCCCTCGCCCTGTTCGCGCGCTGCTCGGCCGAGGACGTGTTCGACCGCTCGCTCCGCAGCGTCCTCCTTCGGCTCAAGGACGAGACGGGCCATTTTTGGGCGGCGCACTCGGTCTACAAAGAGCTGTGCGAGGAGGACTCGCAAGGCGATGCTCTCGACGAGTTCGCGAGGGGCCAGGCGGGCAAGAAGAAGGCGACGAGTGCGTCCCGCTGTTTCTCTCCAGCGAGTCGGTCCTTCCACTGACTCGCGCCTCGATAGACGTCGCTCGCAGCGTTGCCGGACCCTCAAGTGCACCAAGGAGACCCCGACCGAGCTACGTCGGCCAGGACCACCTCGGCCCGTCGTCGTCCAGCGTCGGTTTGCGCAAGCGCAAGCTCGTCGAGATCGTCAGCTCGAGCGAGGACGACTACATGGACGAGGACGACGAGACGGACGAGCGCGTCGGTGAGTGGCCGCAGCAGCTGCCGAGTACGCGCTCGGTGAGGGAGGACGGCCGAGCCTCAGCGTCGAGCGAGGCGCACCAGCACGTCGACCTCGGGTACCACCGTCAAGTGCGCCCTCTTTCCTCTCTCTTCATCGTCTCGGAAAGACAGGAGCCTGACAACCTTCGAGCGTCCATCCTGCAGCCTCCGCCACGGCGTACCTCGCCTCGTCCTCCCCCTCCCGTCTCGCCGGCTCCCGACGCCCTTCACTTTGCCGCGTCGACCTCGCCTGCCGCCCTGTCGTCGACCCTCAATGACTCGAACCAGGACGTGGTCGACTTTCTGCGCCGCCTCGGTCCTTCTCTCGTTCCCCTCGCGCCCTACCTCGCCGTGGCCGGCCTCAACTCGGTCGAGGACCTCGTCGCCCTCATGAATTTCGAGCCTACGACGCTCGCTCTCCTCTTCTCCGAGCTTCGTCACGTCGTGCACCCGGTCAGCAAGTCGCGCCCGTCGGTAATTCAGCTCAAGCTGCTGCACAAGCGGCTCGAGGAGGAGAGGGCCGGGCTGCAGGTCGTGCGCCGCTGAAGGAGGGCGCCTCAGGGGGTCGAGCAGGAGGGGAGGGTCTGTAGATGCCGCGCTTGCACGTTCTCTCTGCGCTTCATCGCCTGTTTCCGAGAGGTGAGCCGGCTCGAAACGTCTTGCGCGAGCGGGTCGCCCACAGTCCGCGCCGCAACACCTCCTCACTGCCTCACTTTCCGAGGTCAGAGCGCACAGTACAGGTTCATCGACCAGCTCGGACGCGTCGCCGGGTCTCTGCGAGAGTACAGCGAGCGCGAGATGTGGGCTGTTGGTCCCGCTCGCACCGCTCGAGCTTCGTCTCCCCGCACAGCTCGCTCTCAGCTCTCGCCACACCCCGCTCGCTCGTCTACCAGCTCAACTAGCACCGCAGCTCGTTACCCAACCGCGCAGCACCCCTCGCGAGCGCCGGCCCCCGCTGTCGGGCGGCGTCACTGGTCGTCCTCCTCAGCGTCCGTCCCTCTTCCTCTCACCCTCGTCCTACCGCACCAGCACTCACACGCGACATGTGCTCCCCTTCCAGCAGCTCTCAGCACCGAGCCACGCTCCCCTCGCCACCGCCTGCGCCAGCTTCGGACCAACACCTCGTCATCAGCTCGCGCGACGCCGACGGCCCGTGAACTCGACCCGGAGCAGCAGGAGGCGGGCACGGAGGGGACTGAGTCACGAGTGCGATCATGGGCTACGAGGTGAGCACCCTCCTCCCCCCTTGGCGCGAGTCCGACACGAGCTGACCTCCCGCCCATGCAGCAACGGTACCCGACTTTCAGCGTCGCAACCACACGCGTGCCTGGCGGGCCACTGGAGGTGCGTCCCTCTCGTATATACTCCTCAATCGACATGCGCTCATCGTTGCCCTCGCCCCGCGACAGCGCCGCGCCGTCCTGTTCCTGCCCAACACCACCTTCCCCTCGGCCGACAACTTTATCGAGCGCTGCCGCGCCGCGTCCGAGCAGGTCTACGGCGTTCCGACGCACCAGCACCACGACGCACCCGGCGAGCTCTCGGCGTGGTGCGCGCTGCGCAACGAGGGCTGCAAGTACCGCGTCGTCGCCCTCGCGTTGACCGAGCGGTGGCTCTTGACCGAGCGCCTGTGCACGTGGACACACAGCCACCCGGCCAACAAGGCCGAGGCAGTGCCGGGCACCATCTACGGTGCGCCCCCTTCTCTCCCTGCCCCGCATCAACTGGTGAATCTCGCTCACTGGCTCGAGCTGTTCGCAGGCAAGCGCGCTCACGGGTCGATTGACGGCCTCAACTCGTCTTCTGGCGTGCCCAACGTGGCAGGGTCGATCCGCAGCCAGCTCAAGGCCGCGTCGCCTTCGGTCGTACGTCCATAGTCACGTCGAATCGAGTCGGCGAGGCGGCACTGACACTTTCCGCCGCACAGGGTCCTCATCCTCTCCCGAGCAGCACGACCACCTTCGACAGCCTCCATGCCGCCTATCACGCCTTCCATGATGCCCTCGCTCCTGCCTACACGCGCTCGGTCCACTTCGACCGCAAAGAAGACGAGTCGACCTTCCGGCTCTCGTGCGGCGAGTCGAGCGGGCCCAGCCTCGGCAACGGCAACGGCGTCGACTGCACCTTCTTCATCGACCTCGTCATCGACGAGCAGAGCCGCCGGTGGTACGCCGGCCCGTCGTCAGTGTGGCAGCACGCGCACGGACCGGCCGAGAGGGCGCCCGCTCAGGAGGAAGCTTCGCCCGCGCTCTCGACGCTCCAGGTGCGCCCACCTTCGTTCTCTGCCTCCCTCCTCGGCGGCCAGCACGCTCATACCTCTCTTGAGCGCGCAGGACGTGTCACCGCCCCCGAAAAGGCCCAGGCTCGCCGTCACCACCCCGGCGAGGCCAGCCTCGAGCACGCCCGACACGCTCATGCCGACTGCGTCGCCGACACCGGCCCCGAGCCAGACGGCGGCTTCCACCGTGCCCGACGAGCCTCCCGCAGCGGCGCCGTCGAGCGCGTTGAGCGAGTCGGCGACAGCGCCGTCGGGATCGCCCGTTCCGCCTCCTGCTCGTTCGCCCGCCGCCGAGCCTCGCCCCGACGTGTCGGCCTTCCTCGCAGCTCTCAATCCGTCGCTCGTGTCGTTGGCGCCGGCCCTCGTCGCCGCGGGCTACGACTCGGTCGAGGCGCTCGCGTCGCTCGCGCTCGCCCAACCGGCCATCCTCGACCTGGCGCTCACCGAGGTCGCGCTGCGAGCCGCTCTCGGCCGGTCGGTGCGCCTCGACGCCGAGCGCCACGCGTCGCTCGACGAGGTCAAGCGGCTTGCGGTCGCGCTCAGGGCGGCGTTTGCGCTCGAGGAGGGTGGTCGCGCTTGACGGGATCGTCTCTCTCTCCCTCTCTCCCTTTCCCTCTCGCTTGTGTACAGCTGTTCCCTTGTCACCTCTTTGCAATGCCCGAGCGTGTTTCGTCGTCCCTGTCGCGCGAGCCGAGAGACCTGCGTGCGAGAGGCCGGTGCGGTGAGAGATGCGGCGGCTGCACGCCTCGGGAGCAAGCGGTCGTGTGCTCTGCGGATCTTCTGTCACCGTGGCTGCACCTGCGCCGGCGCAGAAGCTCAGCGGTTCCCATCCGACAAGCCAAACGCGGCCACGACGACGAACTTGTCCCGATCGCTCTGGACCCTCGCCTCTCATCTCTATCGGCTTTTTGCGCTCGACTACCACCACCTGGTCCTGCTGGCGCCCGCGGCATGCACTCAGCAGGCTCTGCCTGGCAGGTGCACGGCGGCGCGCAACCCTACGCTGCGCCGTCGGCGACCGCGTCCGCACCTTCGCTCGACCCGACCCCGCACATCGCACCGGCGCACCACCACGAGGGCGTCGTCTGGGTCGACGCGCAGCCTCCTCAGCAGGTCCATCGGGCCGACGTCCGCCCTTACTACCCGCTCGACGCGCCCTACCGCCGCCACCACGACCCTCGACTCGCTCGCGACCCCGCTGCCGCCGCCGCCGCCGCAATTCAGGCACCTGTCGACCCAAACTCGGCATGGTCGTACCGGCACGACCAGCAGCACCAGTACCACCGCTACCCGCAGCAGCACCACGTCCCCTCGACCTACACGCCCCTCCCGCCGCCGTCGGCCGACCAGTTGCCGCCGGGCCTCAAGCGTCGTCGCGTCTCGCACGACCTGTGCCTCGAGGCGGGACTTGCTCAGCAGCAGCAGCAGCAGATGCACGGCGAGACGTCGGCGTGGCAGGAGTCGTACGACCCGTACGAGGTCGACGGCGACTTGGGCGTGCTCGGCGGCCGCCGCCGCCTGAGCGAAGCGGCGCCGTCGACGACCCGCGACAGCCCGAAGTACGTCGAGGCCGAGGGCCCGAGTCGCAGGGCCGTGTGGGGCGTCGACGCCGCCGCTACGGCGGCCGACCTTGGCCTCTCGCCGCATCACGCCCCGTCCGCGTCGCCCTCGTTCTCGCTCCTTCCTGCGCCCTCGGCCCCAGCATACGACGGCGCAACGAGCTTCGACCCGACGTCGATCCTGCCCGGTCGGGCTCCCGCCATGTCGACGGCGTCAGGCCTGAGCGCGCCGTCGAAGCCGGCTCGTGCACGGCTGCCTCGCGACGACGTCGGGCAAGCCGGTCTCGCCGACAAGAGCTGCAAGCAGTGTCGGTGCGCACCTTTTCCTCTCTCTCTCTCCCCTCTCGATGTGCCCAGCCCAATACAGCGCCTGTACTGACCGACGCTCCTCTCCAGGATCCGCAAGGTCCGCTGTACGAGAACTTGGCCGACTTGCGCTCGTTGCACGTCCAAAGACTTGCCCTGCCACTACGGCAACCTCGTTCCGAGTGCGTCCTCAGTCTCTCCTCTCGTCCGCCTTGCGTCACGTGCTCATACCCAGAATTGCGCGCAGTCGACCTCGTCAAGACGATGCAGCCCGAGGCTCGCGTCGCCGAGCTGGAAAGCCGCATCAGTGCGCGCTGCTTCCTCTTCTCGACGTCCAGTCGCCGTACACTACTGACTCTTGCGACCCGCAGAGGCGCTCGAGCTCGAGCTCGCCATGTCGATCGCGCCGGCCGCCTCGACCGTCCACCGTCTTCCCGGTCCACCCTCCTGTTCCCGATCCCCTGCACCTCCTCCCTCGGCACATGACCTCCCCGACCAGATTCTGTACGCCATGACGTCGTCTCTCGGCGACACCCTGTCGAGCGAGCGCCTCGAGGCGCACTCGGCGGCCATCCTTCGCTCCGCCTGCGGTCGCGCCGACGAGCTCGCCGCAGCGGCCGTGCCGCTCGGCAAGCATGGACATGCCGCACCGGCCGCTTCTTCATCGGCCTACACGCGCTTCGCCCAGCAGGCCGTCGCCGACGCCCAGCTCGTGAGCGACGACCTCGACTCGCTCTCGCCGGCCGAGCGCCTGCAGCACCCGTCGTGGGCCCGCCTCGTCACCTGGGCGCTCCTTGACGCGTGCTGGGAGACGTGCAGCAGCAACACACCCGTGTTTCGGCCGTTCCACCCCCTCGAGGCCAAGAGCCGGCTCTACGTCGACGTCGAGCGGCTCAGCGCGTCCGAGCGCTGCGTCGTGGTCGCCATGTGCGCGCTCGGCGTCAGGAGCACGGCCGAGATCGACGTGCTTGGCATGGCCGGGCTGAGCGCGCCGTCAGGCGAGTCGTCGAGCGGCTCGGCTGGGTACGGCGAGGGAGAGCCCAGAGCGGCGCGGCGCAGCCTCGCCGTACAGCGCGAGCTTGTCGCTCGCGGTCTTCGGACGCTCATGTTGGACCTGTACGACCGTCTCGAGGTGGCGCACGGCGAGGGCGACGAGGAGGCGCTCAAGGCGACGGCGGTTTGCGGCGCCATGATGATGTGTGCGTCCCTGCGCTCCCCTCTCGTCCTCCTTCTCCCACTCAGGACCTGACTCGGAACCCCTTCCTCGCAACAGGGAACGAGCTTTTGCCCCGTCGGTCGCGCTCGCTCGTGCGCATCGCGCTCGGCCACTACCGCGACTTGTTCGACGCGACCTCGACCCTCGCCACGCCCGACGCCATCACTGCCGCCCGCGCCCACCTCCTCGGCATGTACGCCCTGCCTCTGCTCCACCAGGACGCGACGACCTCGGCCTACCTCCGCATGGCGCCGCTCGTCACCGACGCCGACCTCGAGCAGTACTTTGCGCCGTTTGCCATCCCGACGCTCGCCCGGGCCGACAGCGGCGAGTGGGACCTGCGCGACGAGATGCTCCCCTGGCTCGACGTCGACCGACTCGGCGGCGACAGCCACCAGCAGCTCCTCATGAGCGGGCTCGTCGTGTACAAGTGGCTCGCAGCGTGCCTGCGTTGGTGCGCCCAGATGAGCTGCTGTGCGTCCTCCTCTCGCCTTTTCTTCTTCATCCACTGCGGGACCCTGTCTGACTCGCCAGTACCCCGTACAGCACGCTCTTTCGCCACCCCGATCTCGTCTCGAGCGCTCGACACCCTGTTCGACCTCATCGCGCAAATCCACTCGACGATCCAGGTCCTGCAGCACCACCTCACTCACTCGCCCTCGCCCATCCACCCATCGTGCCTCGGCCCCGACGGCGACACGTGCGACCAAGTTCACCTGCGGTGGAGCGCGCGCCTGGACCGCGAGACGGACGACTGCATCTGGCTCGCGTTCGCCACGGTCGGCGAGCGCATGATGCGCGAGGAGGGCGAGCGGAACGTGTGGGACGAGATCAAGGGTGAGGAGGTTGCGCAGCGAGGGGACGCGGGCGAGCGGGTCGACGTCGGGTGGCTCGAGAGGTGCGAGGGGCACGTGCGCCAGGGGCTCAAGCGCGCCGCGTTCTACTTCAACGTGCGTCCCTCTCTCTCTCTCTTCGCAACTCGACTCGATGGTGCGTCACGTACTGAGCGCGGTCCGCCGTTCCGTATGCCCGCAGTGCTTCGTCCTCTCGCCCGACCCCCATCAGACCCACCACCTCGCCCTCGAGCTCGAGCTCATCCCGTCTTGGACCTTCCTCGCCGCACAACGGTTCACCTCGTCGTCGTCGTCATCAGCTTCGACCTGGGCCTCCTCGTGCGGCGGTGGGCCGAGCCGCAAGGCCGACGAGCTGTCCGAGACGGAGCTCGGCTGGATCGAGCGCGGTCTCGAGGTCGCGAGCCTGTACCACCCTGTCGCCGAGAGACGGTTGGTCGAGCTTCGAGCGTATCGCGAGGCGGAGCGAGTGCGGGTGGCGCACTTGGTCGGCGCCGGCGCTTCAGGTGCGTCTTCTCTCCTCCCTCGCGTTCTCCCTCTCTCGCAAACCCAGAGCCCTGACATCGTTTCTCCCTCAGCAGCTTCCTTCTTCTCGACCTCGACGTCGCTGCCTGGCACCCGCCCTATCCTGAAGCACGCTGGCTCGTCGCAGGAATCAGGGCGTAAGCTCGACTTTCAGGAGGCGATGCGCGAGGCGCTCGCGCAGACAGTGCCGAGCTGGGCGTGATCGCTGTAGAACTCTCTCTCGTGCGAGCTCGTCGTGTCTGTACTATTGTCCGTTGCAGTCCCTAGCCGAGAGACGCTGTCTACGAGAGAGAAAAAGAAACTCGAGAGCCGCACCTCCTCTTCTCGCGACGCTCCCTCCTTCTCGCCGCTCGCCCGCCCTCTCCTAGCCCCTCGCTCACCGTCCGACGAGCTTAACAAAGCGAAGGAGTGCGTCGACGACCTCGTGCGACGCCGCCGGGATGATGTCGGCGCACAACCGCCTCGTCGCCGCCGGGTCCTTGAGCTCGCTGAGCGTGCGCCACGTCGCGAGGCCTCGAGCGACAAAGTGCTGCACGAGGTACTGCAGCGAGCCACTCGGGTCGAGCTCGAGGAGGTACGAGCCGACGAGGGCGGCGGCGGTGACGGGCGCGCGAGGAGGAGGAGAGGGGCTCAAGCGGCGGGAACGACGACCGAAAACCTCGCACCGCTCGTCGAGGCGACAGGGGCAAAGCTGGAGGTGCCCTCCTGGCTCGAGCCGGGGTGCGCCGGGCGGACGGCAGAAGTCGCGAAAGAGGACGACGACGAGGCGAAGCGCGCCTCGAAAGCGCGGGTCCGGTTCGCGTGGGCCGCCGAGGTCGTGACGGCGGCGTCCGACGTCTCGTTGGCGCTCTCGCAGCTGAGCTTGCGTTCGTTGACGGGCGAGGCGCTGTGAGACCGACGGCGACGGTGGCCTGGCGGACTTGAGCAGGTCGCGTGTTGTGGACTCGTCGTCGCTCTCTCGCGCTGTGCAGCCTCGGAGCGTGATGAGGACAGCGCAAAGCGAGCACAAGTGCACTGCAGACATCGGGCATGGCCATCTACGGCACCCAGCCTCCTCCCCTCTCACGACCTCATCGCCTTGCCCTCGTCGCCGAGCCGCCTCGCTAACAGCTTGAGCTGGATGATCGACACGGGGTCGACGTGCGCTCCGCTCGCGCGCTGCTCCTTTGCGCGTCGACCTGCTTCGACCCGGATGAGGTCGAGCGTGAGGGCGAGGATTGGCGGCTCGAGGAGGACGAGGGACGACAGCGCGTCGACCGAGTCGAAGCCGGCGGCGATGAGGTGCGGGGTGAGCGACACGAGGGAAGGGTGGAGGGCGACGAGGAAGCTGGCGACGTCGTCGGCAGGCGAGGGGAGCGTTGGGAGAGGCGGTGGAGGGGAATGACGAGGAGGTCCGGCCGCGCGGACCGGCGACGACGCCTCGAGCTTGGGTGGCCCTGCTTCGACGACGACACTGAGTGCCGCGTGTGCGGCGCGCGACGTCCTCTGGGAAGATTCGGCGGGCAGGAAGGAGGGCGAGGTGGGAAGCTCGAGAGGTCCGAGCGTCGGGAGCGAGCCGACGGGCTGGACGAACGCCGACGTCGACACCTGCAACTGAGAACTGAGTCAGTCTCAACGTATACGCAGACGAGGAAGAGAGAGAAACAGTCCCGCACGCGTGCTGCTGAACTTGGCCGGTCAAGGGCTGAGTCGTGGCGAGCTGCGAGGGCGCCGTCGGCGAGTTCTTCTGGCTCGACTTTGGGCCGCACGAGCTGGTGATTGCGACGACGGTCGACGAAGAGCGATAGCGGCGCCGAGCTCGCGGAACATCTGAGCTCTGGCGACGTCGAGCGACTCGGCACTTTTGGCGCCGGCGAGGGCGACGGTGCCCAACGCGAGCGTGGCCGTGCGACGCTCTCGCCGTCGCTCGACTCGACAGCAGACACCTCGGGCGACGAGATGACGGCGCGGTGTCGGCGCAAGGCCGGTCGAGCTGGGCTCGCGTCGATGGACGAGGTCGTGAGGTCGAGGCGAGCACGCTTCGCCTCGGTCTGCTCGGGGCTGGACAAGATCTGCAAGGAAGGGCCGAGAGTCAGGGCGACGTCGAGTTGCTCATACGAAAGCGAGCCGACGCACCGGAGCAGAGTCGCCGTCGAACGCGAGCGGTCCTTTCCTCCGCCGAAGCCGCTTCCTCGTCGGGATGAAGACCTCGGCCTCGACACCGTCGGCGCTCTCTGACTCGACCGCCTGCGCCTCGACCTTGCGCTCGGTCGGAATAATCCACCACTGCGACCTGCTTGTGGCGGCCGAGGAGCGCGCCCCGCTCGGACCTGCCCTCGTCCCTCGAGGCCGCTCGTGCCGGCTTCTCGTGCCCTTGGCCGACTCGGTCTCGCTCGATGAAGATGAAGACGATGCAGAAGATGATGATGCCCGTCTTGTCGGCTTGCCTGCGAGGACTGAAGAGGTCAGGACGAGAAACGGCGATAAGGCGAGGAGAGAGGGGGACGGACCAGAGTTGCGCTGGTTCCAGAGCTCCTTGCGCTCGCTCATGAACTCGCAGACCGCTCGACTGGTCGGGTCGAGCTCCCTGATCGTCTCGTAGGCGGCATTGCCCGCCCAGATGTCGTTGACGGCCGCCGCGCACTGCTCCACCTGGCGCTGGTACGTCCTGGGCCAGTCGTCGCGGCTCGCGCACTTGTCGTAGAGCCACAGGGCGAGTACGGGCGGCGGTATAGGCAAGACAGGGATCGAGTTGGTCGTGCAGAAAGCCGAGTAGTTGCGGAACGCGGCCGGGCAGGTGCTCGTCGACGGGAGCTTGGCGAGGTGGGCGTCCATGGCGGCTCGAGACGCCTTCGAACGCTCAGCTGCGGTCGCTTCGTAGGTCAAGACGGCACACAGAGCCAGGAAGAGGAAAGGAGGGGGACGCACAGTCGCTGCACGCTCGCTGCATCTCGAACACCTTGTCGCGCGAGTTGACGAGGCGGCACATGAGCTCCGAGGTCGTCGCTGCGGGTCGCGAGGTGGACCGAGTCGGACATCGAGCTCGAGCGACACTCGTCCAGCGCTGCGGCTTCTTCATGGTGCGAGGCTGGCCGTCGCGGTGGTCGCGCTCGCCCGGTCGCGTCCAGAGGCGGGGAGAGCAGGGTGGACAAGGCGAGGGAGGGCACTGGCGGTATCCTAGCAGCGCAGTGCTCGGCAGTACACGGCGAGTGTGTAGCTCCCACCGGTCGGCGTGGTGGCAGCGGAGGAGGGAAGCGAGCGGCGACGCGAAAGAGCGCGAGCTGTCCCGCTCGCTCGAGCTCCAGCTACCCTCGCCGGGTGCGTGTGCAGGCCTGGTCCAGTAGCTATGAGGGCTCTCAGGCTAGACTTGGAGAGCAGAGCTCGCTATCGACGCATCCGACCGAGTGAGGGAGCGGTTGCCGCCAACTCGAGAAGGCCGCGCCTGAGTCGTGGCGAGCTCTCAAGACCGCTCTCGCCGACAGGTTGCACAGAAGGATCATGCACTGCAAGCTGGAAGAAAGCTCGACCACGACGGCCCTGGCCGCGCCCGTTCACGCGCCCGCCAACCCGCGCTCGAGCCGCTCCTCCTCCTCGCTCGACAGCGCCCCGCCCCTGCGGCGCATCTCGCCCCACATCGCCGTGCGGCACGTCGGCGTCATCTGCCTCAGGACGACGAGGTCGGCCATGGTCGTGATGCCGACGGCGTAGAGGAGGGGCGCGAGGTGAGGGAGGTAGGGGTCGAGGCCGGAGAGGAACGCGGCCAGGTCGGCGAGGAAGGGCGTATCGGGGTTGTGCGCCGACGAGGTACTCGAGGCCGGGTCGAGCGGCGTATAGGGCGAGTGGTGAGACGGCGGCGGACGATAGACGGCGGCGGGCGGCGCCTGCGGGCGGCCGTATGAGGCGGTCGAGGTGGAAGCGTAGGTGAGGGGCGACGACAAGGCCGAGCGAGCTGGCGGCGTGGACGAGTAGGCCGTGCGAGGGGTGCTGGTCGAGCCGACGTGCGGCAGTGGCGGCCTCGCTGCGAAAGGGCGCTGCGGCGGGGGCTGCGGGCACGTGGACGACGAGGTGAGTCGGGCACGGTGTCGGGCGAGGGAGGGTCAGGGACGCACCATGAGCCCGTTGTTCTCGTCCTTGACGTCGACCCGCTGGCGCTTCTTGACCTGGGCTCGCGCCTGCTTGACGTCGGCCTTGCGCCTCGCCCGAGCGTCGCGCCTCGCCTTGTCGCGCGCGCGCTTGCCCGGCGCGAGCCCGAGCGCCGCCCTCGCCGTCTCGCAGACGACTGTCGGCAGCCACATCGAGTCTCGCGCGAGCCGGGGGTTGCGGCCGTGGTTGTGGATGCGCGGGCGCGCCGAGTTGCACACGACCCAGAGGCCCGTGTCGAGGTTCTTGCGGGCGATGAGCTCGAACGGGCATGGGCCGGGCTTGGTCGTGCGGTAGTTGCACTGGACCCGGCAGTAGTTGTCGGTCGGGCTGCGCTTGCTGACGCTGTAGCCGTAGACGCGGATGACGGCGAGGACGCACGCCACCTCGAACGCCTCGGGCGACGCGAACGTGTCGCCGACGGCGGGCAATTTAGGCATCGGCTGCAGGTGAGATGACGTCAGGACCGACGAGAGGGACAAGATGACGGAGAAGGGGGGACGCACGAGCTGCGGAACGTGACCCGAGGTCGAGTCGGTCGGGTCCTCCTGGCTGTCCTCGTCCTCCTCCTCGCCCGAGCTACTCGCGACACGCGCCTTTGCCGCCTTCCTCGACCGGCCGTACTCGTCCCCCGAGCTCTCCTCGCTGCTGAGCTCCTCGCTCCCGTCCGTCTCGTCGCTCAGGTCCGACTCGTCCTCGCTGGCCCGCTCGCGCGCCGTGCTCCTGCTCGGCTCGGCCGCCTGCACGCGCCCCGTGACCGCGTCGTCCTGCTCGCCCGCCTTGGCCTGCGCGTGCACCTCGTCGTCGTCGCGCGCGTGCGTGTGCGCCCACCTGCAGCGCTCCGAGTCGACGGCCCACCGGTCGTCCTCGCACAGGAACGCCGCGACCTGCATCGGGCAGCGCTCGTGGCGGCGCCCGGCGCAGCAGACGACGGCGGTCGTCACGTTGCTCGACAGCTGGTGCGTCGTGTAGCCGTACTCGGCGAGGTTGGCGACCTTGCACGCGTCGAAGAAGGCCGACTTGGACGAGAAGGTGCGGCGGGACGAGAACAGGACGGGTGCGCGGGTGTTGGGCTGCTGCAGGATGGTCCAGTTCAGCTCTGTCGCGCGTGTGGGCGCCAGGAGGGGGAGAGGGAGAAGCACGCACCTCTGGCTCGCGCTTCCCCGCATCGTCGGCGGGGGTCGAGCGGGACGACGACGCGGCTTCGACCTGCACGGGCGGTGGGAGGCGCAGGTCAGCGTGCGCCCGTTGAGAGCAGGCAGAGGAAGAGGGGGCGCACCCTGTCCTCGCCGGCCCAGGGCGCGTGGCCGAGGTTGGTGAACATTGATGAGGCGCAGGTCGGTCGGCGGGCGAGGGCGGGCACGGCTGCGGCGGGCCGGGGTCGAGCTGGTGGGCGTCGTACAGCCTTGTGCGGGGCTGATGAGCGCGGTCTCGTGGCCTCGCGGCGGGAGCGAGTGAGAGGTGGACGGAGAGAGTGAGGTGGACGGCGGCCGAGAGGTCGCGCCAGTTCAATCTCGCGCTCGTCGGGACACGAAGCCGGCTCAATGTCCTTGATCTTCTGAGCAAGTGCCTCGCCAGGCTGCACGCTTCGAGAGGCCGGCGTCGCAGGATGAGCGATCGCAATCCGCTTTCGCGGCCGCGCATCTCTCGTCGTCGTCGTGTCGCACGACCTCATCGGGCTTCCGCCTAAGCGAGGACTAGTCGAAGCGCACTAATGGAGCGTTGCGGAACCGTTCATGCCGAGCGGGACTGAGGCCGGGCGTCCACGTTTCGCAGCACGACGGCCTCGAGCAGACGTAGCCGGCTCGCCAGCCTGCCGCGCAGACTCCCGGCGAGGGCAGTCGCGCTCCAGTCGAGTGCTCGCTGCGTCTCGAATCGGTCGAAAACGCTAGCGCAGGCATTGCGCGGCCCGCGAGCAGAAGCAGCCGGGGAAGCGCGAGCGAGAACGGGCGACGCCCGAGCGAGGCAGCACTGGACGAACGCAGCAAGTACGAGCAGCTCCTGAGCTCCTGAACAGCGTCGTGCTTGTCGAGATACGTCTGGACCGTGGCGCAGAACAGGCCGCGGGCGGCGAAGCGCAGGAACGGCGCAAGGCGGACAGGTGCAGGATCGCCCGGTCGACGCGAGCGCTGATCGCGGCCCAGGAGCGACTCTGTGCGTCCTCTGGATCAGTTCGAGCCGCGTAAAAGAGGCAGATGAGAGAGAGACGCACTCGATCATGCGACCCTGTGGTGGTCGACCCGCGCGTGCGCCCGCCTGCCTCGTCGCACTCGCGATGGGTCGGACAGCGGTGTCAGCAGGCGAGGACAAGCATCGGTGCGCATTGGGTGGCGAGCACTGCAGCCCGTGACAGCTGTGTTGGACGCCGGCGAGGCGAGGTGGGGGAGCAGGAGGTTGCGAGGCGAGTTCGGCGTGGGTCTGTTTGGCGCGGCGCGCGGCACTTCAGATGTGGTGCGGCAGTGCGTTCCACTGTGCCGCATGTGCACAGCGTGTGCGAGGGTGGCGGGACGAGGGGGAGAGGCGAAACGAGATGAAGCCGGCGAGCTGTTGGCCCTCGTCTACACTCCATCTCGCTCTGGCTGGCGAGATGAAGCGGCGAGCCGACGCACAAGGCTCACAGCCTTCGTCAGCAAGGCGGCCTGCCCCGCCTGAGCGAGTGCCGGCCTCACCCGCCTCGCTCGACCACCTCGTTCGCGCACTCGCCCACGGCTCGTCAAACTCGCAGGCGTGCGTCCCAGTCCAGCTGAGCATGTCCCACGCGAGCCAGGGAAGCTCACACCCCTGTCTCCACAGCCCGCCTGTGTGGTCGTCGCACACCAACCTCGTCGCGCTCGCGCTCCCCTCCCCACAGCATCCGGCGCCGACCTTGTTCCCGCTCGCCCACGACGACGACCTCTTTGCCGCCCTCCCACCAGCACCGCACCGACTCGCCGTCCAGCTCACCCACCTCGCCGGAACCGCCGCCGCTCACCCGCGCGTCTCGACCCGGCTCGACCTCCCTCTCCCGCCAACCTTCCCCGCCGACTCGGCCCGCATCTCGCACCTCTCGTTCGCCCCCGACGGCTCCCAGCTCGTTGTCACCGTGTCGGCCGGCGACTCGCATGTCGGCGTCGACGACCTCGTCACCGTCTTCGAGCAGCGCTCGTCTTGCGTCGACGACTGGGCGTGCGTCCTCCAGGAGAGCGTCGGGCGGTTCGGCGGCGCGCGCAGTGCCAGTGGCGGAGCAGGCGTGTCGGGCAAGAGGGTGATCGCGACGCGCTGGGTCGGCGAGCCGAGAAGGGTGCGTCCTCGTTCTCCTCGCAGCGGTTCTCCTACTCGACCAACCTGACCCTCCTCCTCCTGCCCGCAGTGGTACCCTGCACCGTCCTTTCCCGATGCGCGCGAGCAGGCCAAGAAGCCGCTGTACTGCGCTCCGCCCCGATCAGCGCCCTTGAGCGGGACGGCGTTCGTCGTCGTCCTCTCGAGCGAGGAGGTGCGTCGCCGACGTCCACTTGGTCCTCAAGCTTTCCGAGCGCAAGTTCCTGACCTCGAGAGGACTTGCTTTGCGCACAGATTCTCTTTGTTCACCTCCCGAACGCCTCGACCTCGCCCGTCCCGCCCGGCGCGCCGACCGTCCTCCCCTCGATCGTCTGCCTCCCTCTTCGACCCGCCCCGGCGCCCGCACCTCCTCCTTCCTCGCCCGAATCGCCCTCATCTCCACCGGCAAAGGGCCTCACCTTGCCTGCCGTCCCGACACCGCCAACACCCCTCCCGCCTCTCTCGTCCGCCCTCTTCTCCGCCGCGCCGGGTGCTCCCCTCGGCGCAGGCGCACCTCCTCCAGCCCCACCCGGCACGGTCGAGACGCCCACGCCTCAAGCGACCATCGACGCCCTCGTCACGTCGCTCATCCCGACCCTGCCCGCCAACGCCGCCCTCGACCCGTCGAGCACCTCGGCGACGACCGCCTCGAGCGGGCCCGCCGCAGCCGTCGCAGGGCCCAGCGGCGGCAAGTCGGCCCTCCAGGACGAGCTGCGCCTCGCGGCGTCGTCGACCGGTGCGCGAGGGTCCGGCGCGCCGGGCGAGGGCGGGCTCGTGCGCGAGCGCGAGGTGAGCCGTGCGGCGGTCGGCGCGTGCCGGAGCCGAGGCGGACGCGCAGAGACGGTTTTTGTCGTCGCGTACTGCGCGAGGGCGGTCGGGCGAAGGGGCGGGTCGGGCGCAGGGGCCGCGAGCAGGAGGGGGAGCAAGGTGGCCGTCAACGGGGCGCTCAAGGGCGACGAGGGCAAGGACGAGCAGGCGCAGAAGGAGGAGGAGGCGGCCAAGGTCGACTCGAACGACGGGTTCGACGACGACTTTGCCATGCTCGCCGACTTTACGGCGCTCGACGAGGCGTTCGGCGGCGGCGAGACGGCGCCGGCGCCGAAGGAGGAGCCGGCGCCCGAGGACACCGGCGCGAGCGCCCGCGAGCTCGAGGAGGAGAAGGCGGAGCTCGAGGCGTGGGCGAGGGCGTTCGAGGGCGGCGACGAGGCGGACGAGGACGAGCAGTGGCGGGTCGAGCTGGCCGAGGTCAGGGTCGAAATGGCGGCTGTCGACGGTCCTCGTGCGTCCCACCTCTCTCTCTTGGCAGTCGCACTGCGGCCCATCATCGTCGTACTGACGCTTCGACCGACCGCAGGCCTCACCGTCCGACCACAGCCGCCTCTCTTCATCAACCCGGCGCCCGCCTCCAGCACCGACGGCGACAGCGACTCGCCCACGCCCGTCTCGGACCCAGTCCTCACCCACCTCACCTTCCTCGGCGACGTGTCGCTCCCGCACCCCCTCCAGCTCACGTCGCACTCGCCGTCGCTCGCCTCGGACGGGTCCGAGCCCGCCGTCGACCTGTGCCTCCTCGCCGTCGTCGCCCACCCTTGTCGCCAATCCTCCTCGTCCTCGACGCCGCCGCCACAATGGCGCAGCACCCTGTCGTCGTACGCCCTCTCGCGCGAGGACGCCTACCCGCTCAGCGACGCGTTCCACACGCTCGAGGGCCGCAAGCTCGACGCGCCCAACGCCGTCGAGCACGAGGGCTCGTGGGCAGCACGGCACGTCGCTCGGCGAGGGGTCGGAAAGGGCGAGGAGGGCGTCCTGTGCGCGATCGAGATCCGGCCGGGCGGCGGCGAGTGGGCGAGCGTGAGCGGCGTGGTGGCCGAGCCGGTCGGCGGCGGCGAGGGAACGCGCACGAGGGTGCTCAGGCTCAGCTCGTGCGTCCTCGTCTGTCTCTCGATCTCGATGGCGCGCACTGACTCGCCGCAAGCGCAGGGTCACGCTCGAGCCGCTCGACAAGACGGCCGACGGCGCCGAGGACGAGTCGGTCGGCCTCGGTCTGCCCGGCGGACAGCGTACGATGTCCCCTGTCTCCTTCCCTCCCTCGACAACAGTCACTGACTCGTCCTCTCGCAGTCTTCTCGGCCCTCACGACCTCGCCTAACGGTGCCCTCATCTGCGCCATCCCCTTCTCGACCTCCTCGTCCACCTCCTCTCCTCCCGTTCTCGCTGCAGCACCTCTTGGACGGCGCGACGACTTGCCGCACAAGCTCGCAACGCGGCTCGCCATCGGTATCGCTCGGCAAGGGGACGTTGGCGACCTGGTCGGGAGGGTGCGAGGGCTGGGCGATGCAGGTCCGTCGCGAGGTCGCTCTCTCTTCCGCTCGAGGTCGTCGCACGAGGCGCGAAACTGACTCGCCGTCGCCATTCTTGCGCAGAAGCTACCCTTTCTGTCGTACAACGCGCGCACGAGATCCTGCGGGCGATGGTCCCGGCCGACGCACAGCTCGACGCCTCTGCTCTCGGCCTAGAGCTGCTCGGCGTCACGACGTCGCTCTTCCGGTGCGCTCCCTCTCTCTTTTTCCTGTCACTGGCAAGACCTGGACCTGACGACCGCCGAGCGCGCAGGAATGTGCCCGAGCTGCAGGAGCGGGCCGAGGCGGCCGAGAAGATGCTCGAGCTCGCGGCGTGCGCAAGGGCGCTCAAGCGTGCCGAGAAGCGCGAGAGGGGCGCCATGGCCGGAGCGTGGAAGCCAGATCTTGGTGCGTCGCCTCTTTCCTCTCCCTCTTCGCGCTCGAGCGACCGCGCGAGCTCACCTCGGCGCCGATCCTCCCTGCGCAGACGCCATTTGGCCCGTCGTCGGACACTGCGTCTGGTTCTGCTCCGATTTCCTCTCGACCCTCCTCGCCTCGGCCGTCAGCTCGCCGTCATCGCCCGCCGTCGTCCTCTTCCTCCACCCGCTTTACCGCGGCCTCCTGAGCACCGTCACGAGCACGCTGCAGCACCTGAGCGCCTACCTCACGATCGAGGGCGTCGGGAGCGAGGCGATGGACCTGGCGAGGGGCATCGTCGAGGATGCGCTCGCCGGGGTGGGTCGAGGGAGGGGTTTGGTCGAGTGGGGCAAGCTGCTCGCGCAGGTCAACAGCGAGCTCGATGGCGGTGCGCCCCTCCTCTCTCTCTCGTTCTCTCCCTCTTCTGCGCGCGTTCTCCTACTGACCAGCTGCCACTTGCCTTGCAGGTCCCGCCGTCGCGACCCTCTCGCCGCCGCTCCTCGCCTCGCTCGCCGTCCCTCCCTCCCTCGAAGCGCAAGCGACCGCCGTTCGCAACCTCATCCTCGCCGCCTTTCCTCCACGATCCGGCGACAAGACGACCAAGGGCGAGTCGGGCGCGCCGCCGACGCCGCCGAGGACGCCGCTCCCTTCGCCCGACTGGGACGCGGTGCGGCGAGCGCGCCTGCCCGCGCACGGTCGTGGCTGCCGGTCCTGCCTGCGGTGCGGGCGCCGCACGCTCGCGTTCGACGAGCCCGTCGTTGTGCCTGTCGTCGCCGGCGTGAGCGTTGGCGAGGGCCGGTGGAAGCGGTTCGAGGCCGAGTGGGAGGGCAGGTGCGTCTGCGGCGGCATGTGGACGAGGGTGCGGCTCGAGGGAGGACAGTAGAACGTTTCAAAGTTAGATTCAGCTGCCTGCCTGGCCTCGAGAGAGCGTTGGAAAAGGCGCGTCGCTCGATTATCGGGTCCGACGAGGAGGAGGATGCGGTCACCGCTCGCTGCTCTCGACCACTCCACCCGCCGGTCGCCAGAGCTTGCCGACTAGCTCCGCGATGGCTCCCAAGGGCAAGTCGAGCACGTCCAAGGCGACGCAGAAGAAGCACGCGGCCAAGGCGGCCAAACGCGCCCACAAGCACGGCGACGGCGACGACGACGACGAGGCCGGCCCGGCGACGCCAGCGGCCAAGCAGCAGCCGCCGCAGCGTGGTCAGAAGAAGCTCAAGAAGAAGGACCGCCTCGCCCGCCCCAAGCAGTACATCGCGCCCGTCAAGCCCAAGGGCGAGGCCGACCCGGTCGACGTCTACCTCGTCCAGCGCGGCAAGCAGGTCGACCCGGCCCTGCTCGTCACCCTGAGGAGCCTCCAGAAGCGCGACGAGGTGACGCTCGCAAAGGCGGCCGAGGCGTTCGACGCCTGGATCCGCGACACCCTGCGCGAGGACCAGGACGAGCAGGGCGAGGAGTGGGAGCGAGAGCTCAAGCAGGAGGGGGTCGTCGACGCCATGAACGTCTGGGTGCGTCGCATCGTTTCACCCTCTCAATCCTGCGCAGGCGAGCGCGGGAGCTGACCTCGCTTCCACCCCCGTCGCAGGCGCACCACTTTCCTCGACTCGCCCTCCACCCGTCTCGCCGCCTCCGCCTCCAAGTGCACGCCCTGCACTCCCTCCTCACCTCGACCTCGCACCCGCTCTTGCGCGAGACGCGCTCGGCCCTCCTCGCGCCCCAGTGGACCGACCGGAGCGACTACGTCGGCGCGTGGTGCACGGCCGCCCACGACTCGGACCGCACCGTGCGGCGAGAGGCCAAGGGCAGCTGGAACGCGGTGCAGCGGGTCGAGACGGTGGGTCAGGTGGACGAGGGCGAGAGCGGGGAGGGCCAGCCCGAGGGCATCAGCCTCGTCGAGCACGCCGACGACATCGCCTCGTTCTGCTTCTCCGTCATCCTCGGCCCGGCCGAGTCGTCGGCGCAGAGCGGCACCTCGACGCCGCTCGGCGGCTCGCCTGCTCCCGCCGCCGCCGCCGCCGAGCAGGAGGACCCGGCCTTCCTCCGCACCTCGGCCCTCCTCGCCCTCGCCTCCCTCGTCGCCTCTCTCCCCTCTCCTCTCCCGCTCTCGCGCGACACGCTCGACACGCTCACGAGCGACGACATGTTCGACCTCGTCGTGCGCGCCGAGCCGGGCTTGCGGCAGCGCGAGCAGCCCCAGATGGTCCGCCGCGCCGTGTACGAGCTGCTCGGCGCCTTCGTCGGCCGCCCCGAGGAGCTCCTCGCCGACACGGCGCCTTCGGCGTCGGCGAACGAGGACGACGGCGAGGGCGAGGACGAGGAGAGCGGCAAGGTCGCCCAGGTCGCCGCGAGAGTGCTCGGGAACTGCTGGAGCGAGCCCGAGGGTTGGCCCGGCATCGTTGGCTTCCTGCGTCGTGAGTCGAAACGTCTTTCCCTCTCGAGTCCTTCGCCTCGTCCCTGACTGACGACGGCGCCCGCCCTCAGGTTATCCTCACGCCTGGACCCTCGCCGACCGCGTCCTTTCCGACGACGACGACGACGAGAGCGTCAAGGACGGCGAGCAAGACGTCGACGCCGCCTTCAAGGCCTCGCCGACGATCCGCCTCTTCCTCCAGCACCTCACCCTCGGCTGCTCCTCCCACCCGACCCAGCTCTACCCGACCATCCTCCTCCTCCTCTCCACCCTTCCCTCTCCCTTCTCTCCACCACTCCCGCCAGCGTCTTTTCCCCTCCTGTTCGAGTCGTTCTGGGCCGCGCACTCGTCCCGCGCGCTCTCGATCGGTGGCCGCCTCGCCCTCGACTCGTTTGCCTCGGCCCTCCTCGAGTGCCTCGTCTTCTCCCTCCCCTCGACGGCCGACCCCGCCTTCGCCGCCGAGCAGGCCCGCACCTGGATCGGCGAGCGCACGTGGCGCGCGTTCCTCGCTCGCGGCGACGACGTCGAGAAGCCGCTCGCCTCGCGCCGGGTCGCGAGCGACTTTGCGATCGCGCTCTCGCGGTTGGCGGCGAGGGAGGACACGTCGGCGTTCGACGCGGTGTGGGAGGCGGTGAGCGGCGAGGCGCTCGAGGCGGTCGCGGCGCACGAGGGCGCAGCGCTCGAGCCGCTCGGCAAGGCGCTCCGGGCGTTCGTGCGGGCCAAGGAGGAGGCGGTCAGGGGCAAGGCGGGCGAGCTCGCGGCTTCGTGCGTGCAGAAGGCGCTCGAGGGCGTGAGACAGGGCGACGAGGCCAGGGAGGAGCGGTTACGGTTCGTCGTCGACGTCGCCGAGGTCGTCAAGGGCGATGCCCAGGTCGCACAGGTGCGCCCGCCTGTCCCCTCCTACGCTCTCGGGTCGCCACTGACCTGTGTTTCGCGCAGCTTCTCGACGAGTTCGCGCTCTCGCACCTCCCTTCCCTCCTCGCCATCTCGCGGGCCGCCCTGTCCCTCTTCGGCGCCCACCTCCACTCTGCCTCGCCCTCGTCCCGCGCCTCGATCTGGCAGTCGCTCTTTACGACGTCGCCCTCGTCGTTCGTCCTCCTTCGCCTCGTCGACGCCGTCGCCTCGGCTGGCCTTGCCACCGAGCTACCTTCGGCCGAGCAGGACGAGCGCCTCACCGTCCTCGCCGCTACGGTGCTCGCGCCCGAAGCGCAGTACGCCTCGGACGAGCTCGAGCTCCTTCGGCGCGTCATGGTGCAGCCGCAGCCCCTCGCGAGCGACGCCCTCCCCGTCACGCTCCTCGGCCTCGCCGCAGACGCGCTCGTCGGGCCGGTCAACGCCGCCCTCTCGACCTCGTCGGCGTCGCCTGCGACCCTCGACGCCGTCGTTGCGCCGGCTGCGCTCCTCGCGCACTACGTGCAGGTCCCGAGCAGCGCTCGGGCCGCCCTCGAGAGCGAGGGCACGGCCGTCGCGCTGTTCGAGCTCGGCCACCTCGTGCCCCTCGCCGTTGACGTGCCGGGCGAGGCCGTCGCCGCGGCCCAGCAGGCGTGGGCGAGCATTGTCGCTGCGGCGGGCGACGAGGCGGTCGAGCTCGCGATGAGCGGGCTCAAAGCGCGCACGGCCGACGCGACTTGCCGAGCCTCGGCCATCGAGGTCGTACATGCGGCGGCGTCGCTACTCGAGACGCAGCCGAGCTCGCGCCTCGAGCTCGCCGACGTCCTGCCCCTCCAGAACGACCTCGAGGCGCTCTACGCCGGCGTGCAGTTCGTCGGGCCTGCCTCGTCCATCTCGATCCTCGACCCTCTCGTTCCTCCCGTCGAGCCGTCGCACCCGCCTTCCCCTACCTCCACGTTCGACGCGTCGTCCCTTTCGCCCTACGCACGCACCCTCCTCGCCCTCCTCGAGGTCTCGGCGCGCGACCACGCCCTCCTGCGTCGCTCGCTGTGGGCGCTCCCGCACCTCCTCCTCCTCGCCTCGGCCGCCTCGGACGAGCTCGCCTACCCGTCGCCGCCGTCTCGCTCGGCAGGGCTCTTTGGCCCTGACGCGCCGCAAGAGGTCCTCGAGCGCGTTCGGGCCGCCGCCGAGGGCGCGAGCAGCTACCTCCTGTCGTCGGCCGCCAACGCCTTGCCCGACGCGTGGCACGCCGCCGCCGTGCAGCACCTGCGCACGCGCGACCTCCCGCCGCCGCCCGAAAGCGGCGGTCCGCTCCTCGCCGTCCTCGACAGCCTGTGGCGCATCGCCAAACGCGCGCCGGCGGACGAGGACGCCAAGGCGCTGTACGCGACGAGGGCCATCTGCAGCGTGCTGAGCGCATGCCTGCGGTACACCGAGGACGAGGGCGTGCAAGATGCGGAGCGGTGGCTCGCGCTCGCCCAAAACTTGACGTCGGGTTCGTCAGCGGCTCTCTCTCTCTTTCCTCTCTCTCCCACAAACTTTCGGACTTTCCTGACGGCCTCTTCTCGCCTGCAGCACCCGACCTGTCGAGCGCCATCCTGTACGCGATCAAGCCCGTCCTCCTCGAGACGCCTCGGTTCGAGCGGTACCAGAACGAGCTCGCCGCCGCCCTCGCCGGCATCAAGCCGCACGAGATCGAGAACAAGGCGGCGCCGACCCTTCGCCAGCTCCTCGCCGTCGCGCCTGCACTCGACGCGCCGGTTATCTTCCTGCCGCAGCAGCGCTCGGTCTTCCTGCTCCAGTCGATCGGCCGGTGGCTCGGCAGCGACGAGCGCGTCCCGACCGAGGCGCAAGCGTCGCTCGTCGAGGTCCTCGCGCACCTCGCGCCCATCGTGCAGGACCTGAGCGGCAGCCACTGGGACCTCATGTTCGACCTGGTCGAGGGCAACCTCGACGCCGCCGACTGGGAAGAGCCCATCACGCTCCCGGCCGTCTTTGCGTCGTGTCGGCTGCTCTCGACGATCAAGGACCTCGCGGCGTCGAACGGCGAGCTGCGGCAGGCCGTCAAGGGGCGCATCAAGTCGACGCAGGAGCTCGTCCTGAGCCTCTTCATCTCTCGTCCTCGTGCGTCCCTCTCTCTCTCTTCTCTCCCTCTCGTCGCCCGACCGCGATTGACTTTATCCTCGTCTGCAGCTTCGACAAAGCGCGACCAGCCCCGACTGCTGGTCATCGAGGCGATGGCGCAGCTCGTCAAGGACATCCCGCCCAAGCAGCTCACCATGGGCAAGTCGTTCGAGCAGGTGCGTCCTCCTTTTCTCTTGTTCCTCGGCTCCCCTGCACCTTGACGGTACCTGTGACGGGTCACTGACGCCGTTTATCGCGCAGCTCCTGCGCCTCCTGCAAGATCCTGCATGGTCCGTCCAGTTGTCGTCGTACGACCTTTTGCGCCGCGTCGTCCTCCAGCACGTGTCGGACCTCGTCGTCGAGACCGAGCTCGAGAGCGCCGAGGAGATGGAGATCAAGCTCCCGGCGTCGCTCGTCGAGCTCATCGAGATGCCGTTGGCGAACGAGGCGGACGAGGACCGCACGACGGCGTACCTCCTCGCCTGGATGACGGCGTTCTCGTTCTTCGAGTCGGCGGTGCGTCCTCGTTCTACTCCTTATCAGCCTCTGCGAGCGCGACCTGACGCTCCACCTCTTCCCCTCTCTCGCAGTCGCCGCGCCTGCGCACGGCCTACATCGAGCAGTTGCGGGACTCGGGCCTCGTCGTCGACTCGCTCCTGCCGTCGCTCTTCGGCCTGCTCAACTTGAGCGACCGAGGACGGACGTTCGACCTGTCGCCCTGGTCCATCGACGACTTTCACCTCGAGCGTGTGTCCCCGCCCTTTCCTCTTCTCCCTTTCCTCCTTCCCTCTCCCTCTAGCGCGCAGCCCTGACTCCGACGTCCACAGTTTTCGAGTCGACCGCCGTCGAGAGCCTGCCCGTTCTCGCGGCCCACGTCTACTACCGCACGCTGCAGGCGGTCCCGTCGATCGTGCGCTCGTACTGGACGTCGCTGCAGAACCTCGGCCTGTCGCGCGCCGTGCACGCCTACACGTCCAAGCACTTCTCGCCGCTCCTCATCTCGGACGAGCTGTCGGCGCTGCGCGACCCGTCGTCGTCGATCGGGCAGCAGCTGCGCGACAACGACGATTTCACGGTCAAGGTCGCCGCCAACGCGAGCGAGGTCAAGGTCGTCTTTGTCGTCGACGAGGAGAGCATGGAGATTGGCATCAAGGTCCCGAACGAGTTCCCGCTCGCGGCGGTCGAGGTGCGCGAAGTCCGCAAGGTCGGCGTCACCGACAAGCAGTGGCGCGCGTGGCTCCTTGCCATGCAGCAGGTCATCACGTCGCAGGTGCGTCCTCTTTCTCCTCTCCTCTCTTCTCGCTCTGTCGTCCTCGTGGAACCGGACTCACCTCGTTGCGGCCGTCTCGCAGTCTGCCGCCATCGCCGACGCCATCCTCCTGTTCAAGCGCAACGTGACGCTCAAATTTAAGTTGCTGATTTATATTAATTTTATTGTTCAAACATGAGAGCTTAGTACGTGAAACATGAGAGCTTAGTACGTTAGCCATGAGAGCTTAGTACGTTAGCCATGAGGGTTTAGTTCGTTAAACATGAGAGCTTAGTACGTTAAACATGAGAGCTTAGTACGTGAAAATTCGTGGCGTTCTCGTCGCGCTCGCAGTGGTTCACGACGAGTCATGGCTCGACTTGCCCGCTGTGCCGGCAGCTGTTCTAGACGAGGAGGAGGAGCGAGTCGAAGCAGGAGGGAGGGGGAGCGTACAGGAAAAGGTGCAACAGCCGTGTCTCTTGCTCTCGCGGGCCTTCTCGAGTCGAGAGCGACGGTAGCTCGTGCACTGCGGCAGGAAAGAAGCCGGTCGTTGCGCGAGAGAGAGACTGTGGGAAACCCGAGTGGAGGAGACGAGCCGAGGGCGACCCTCTCGTCTTGACCCTCTCGAGCCTTTCGCGCACCCGCTGTGCTGCTCCAGGGCCTACACGCTGCCCGGCCACTGCGCTCCACGCCGCACCCGCCTCCCAGACTGACGCCGGTGAGTGGCCCGCCTCGGTCCTCCTTCCGCCGACTCGCCGGCGACGACGGCGGGCGAGCACGGCCCGTACCAGCCTCAGCAGCCTCGCCACCGTGTCCAGCACGTATGCTGAAATGCTCGCACGCAAACGTCCCGCCGTCCCGCGCCCCGACCTCAACCGCACCCTCTCTTTCCCCACCTCTCGCCTCGACCCTTCGTCGCTCGCCCTCACCGCTCCGTCCGACGCCGTCTGAGCTCCAGTACTCGAGCCACACCCCTCTCTAGCCCCGGCGCACCCGCTCGACCCATGCCGTTTTACCCATCGGCCCACTCGGACGCCGTCCTGCGCTCGCACCGGGCCCGCACGGCAAAAGCGTGCGCCGCGTCGCTCCTGCCCCTACTGCGCCCGACCGACACGCTCCTCGACATTGGCTGCGGGCCCGGCACCATCACGGCGTCGTTCGCGCCCTTTGTCGCCCGCGTCACCGGCGTCGAGCACCCGAGCGCGGCGGGCGTGCTCGTCCAGGCGCGAGACGAGGCGCGGCAGCGAGGCCTCGAGGGCAAGGTCGAGTACGTCGAGGCGGATGCGGCGGTGCTGCCGTTCGAGGACGGCTCGTTCGACGTCGTCTACTGCAACCAGGTGCGCCCCCATCCCTCGCCACCCTCTCGTCCTCCCTGGACGCACGAGCTAACCCTCCTCCTTGCCGCCGCTGCACAGGTTCTTCAACACGTGCCCGACCCGGTCGCCGTCCTGCGCGAGATGGACCGCGTCTCTCGGCGGCTCGTGTTTGCGCGCGAGGCCGACCGCGGCACGTTTGCCCTGTTCCCGCCGACGCCGCTCCTCGACCGGTTCGACGAGCTGTGGACGCTCGTCGCGAGGGCAGGAGGGGGCGAGCCGGACGCGGCGCGGCGGCTCAAGGGCTGGGCGCGCGAGGCCGGGTGCGGCGGCGGGGCACGAGGGCGAGCGCGAGGGCAGCAGGTCGAGGTGACGATGGCGGGCGAGACGCCCGACCCGCGCGAGTGGGGGGCCGTCTTTGCCGAGCGCACGACGACGGGCGGGCTTGCCGACAAGGCGCAGGAGCTCGGGTTGGCGAGCGAGGACGAGCTGGGGCGGATCGGCGAGGCGTGGCTCGAGTGGAGCGAAAAGGAGGACGCGTGGCTCGGGTTCTTGCAGGGCGAGCTGCTCGTCACGAAGGAGGGAGCGTAGCGGTGCGAGGGGAGGAGGGCGCCGTTCGAGGTTGGATTTGCCGCGCACAGACCCGCCTTTTTCGTCGGCAGCTCGAGTCGCTCGTTGATTGGAGCGGCTCTGGCTGTGTGACTTGTGAGAGAGTGGAACGAGTAGAGAGCAACTGAGAGCGAGCCTGTACGAGACGGAGAGAGCGGGCGCTCGAACCCTTTGCAGTGGTCGAGCCTCGGCGAGGAGAACGACGAGCGCGCTCACCCGCTTTCTCCTCCTCGTCCCACCTCGCCCTCGCCGTCTCGCCCCTGCCGGCCTCGCGAGACCCCGTGCGCACCTCACCGCCACCACCCGACCTCTCGTGCACGCGCTCGCACCCTCAGCTTGCCCGCGGCGCGAGTCCACCGCACGCCAACTCGGACCCCCCGCCCGGTCCCCCTCGCCTCCTCACCCTCGGCCTTCCTCACCACCTCGCCGCACCAGAGCCACACCAGCCCAGCTCCATTGAGTCGCACCTCGCACCTCCCACCACCCGCGACCACCCGCGCGCCCTCGGTCGACCTCCCCGACGCGCCTCGTCGAGCTCCTCATCTCGCGGTCCGTCCACCTCCCACCTCGCCTCGTGGGGCCTGTGCGACCATGCACGCTGACCCTTTGCCGTGTCCTCGCAGCACTGCAACCCCCGCACACCCTGCGCGAGAGCTGTAGCCGTCGCACGACGAGCACCGCCACAGAGCCCTCGACTCGCTCGTCCTCCTCCTCGTCCCGACTACCCCGCATTCCCCCGTTCGGACCTCTTTTCGTCCCCTCTCGTTCTCGCCCACCTCGACCTCTCGCGCCTTCGTTCGACATGCCAGGCACCCGTCCTGCCCGTCGCGCGAGCGCCAACGCCCCCTCGTGGTCCCAGGCCGACCGCGACGCCGCCGACGCCGACGCGGCCCACGACTCGGGCGACCTCGACGCCGAGGGCGAGCCCGACCCGTTCGACACGCAGCACCGCGACGCCCACATGACGACCCTCGGCGACCTCGACGACGACGTCGAGGACGAGGGCGCCATCGAGGAGTCGGACGACGACGAGTTTGACCCGAACGCCAAGGGCAAGTCGGCCTCGGGCACGTGGAAGCGCAGGTCGACGGGCAGCAGGGCGCGCACCGGCGGCAGGGCCAGCCTCGCAAAGGCGCACGCGCTCGCGAGCTCGTCCCGCCCGTCGACCACGACCGCCGCCGCCGCCGTCACCGCCTCGCCTGTCAAGGAGGGCAGCCCGGGCTCGGCCGCCGCGCAGCCTCGTCGCCGCGTCGACCTCCCCGAGACGGACGAGGGCGTCTACGCGTCGGCGGCCAAGGCCGACCCGGACGAGGGCTCGTCGGGCGGCGACAAGGACATCGACGCCGAGGGCGAGGACGACCCGGACCAGATGCCGCAGCGCAACGACCACGACGGCGGGTCCGAGTCGCCAAAGGGCAAGCCGCACCCGTCGCTGTCGCGCGTCGGTGGGCGCCAGGTCGCGCCGGGCAAGAAGAAGCCGTTCGCGTGCGCATACGACGAGTGCTTCAAGTCGTTTACGAGGAGGAGCGACCTCGTGCGCCACGTGCGCATCCACACCGACGAGCGGTCCGTCGCCTCTCTCCCTCTCTCTCACAGCGTGTACTGACAGCCGCCCCCCCCCCCCAACCCCCTCTTGGGGGCAGGCCGTTCCACTGCAGCCATGGAGATTGCGACAAGTCGTTTATCCAGCGCTCGGCCCTCACGGTTCACGAGCGCACGCAGTGCGTCCCTCTTTCTCTCTCTGCTTCTGCGCCGTGTCGAGCACCTCACTGACTCGAGCTCTGTCATCGTCGCGCAGCACGGGCGAGCGCCCGCACATGTGCGTCGACTGCGGGAGGCCGTTCGCCGACTCGAGCTCCCTCGCCCGTCACCGCCGCGTCCAGTGCGTCCTCCTCCCTCTTTCTACTCGGTCTCGACCTCGTACAGCCACTGACCGCGAGCTTCGTGCAGCACTGGGAGTCGCCCCTACGTCTGCGAGGCGCCCGGGTGCGAGCGCACGTGAGCCTCCCTTTTCCTCTCCTTTCCCCTCTCTCTCCGTCTCAGTCTCAGTCACTGACTCGGTCTGCTCGACCGCAGCTTCTGCCGCAAGACGACCCTGTGCAAGCACATCGCGCGCCACCACCCCGACTACGACGGCGAGCCGCCGCTCTTCAAGCCCGACAACATCGCCGACGGCAAGCCGCCCGCGCCCATGTCGGCTCAGGGCGCCATCGCCACGTCCATGGTGTCGGCCCTGACCGGCGGCGCCGTCCGCGGTCCCGCCGGCGCCGCCGCCTCGACGTCGACCGCCGCCACCGCCGCCGGCAAGGCGAGCCCGGCCAAGACGACCAAGGCCAAGCCCAAGGTCAAGCGCCAGGTCGAGCCCAAGTCGCAGATGCGTGCCGCCGCCGCAAAGAAGCCCAAGGTGCGCGCCAAGACGGTCGCGTCGCGCGCGGCGGCGGCAAAGGCGGCAAAGGAGGCCGAGGACGCGCTCACGACGCCCGGGCCCTCGCGCACGTTGGCCCTCGCGCGCCTCCCGCAGCCGCAGCGCCCGATCCTCCAGTTTGCGCCGCCGGCGTCGCTCTCGTTCAACGACCCGTCGTCGTCGTCGGCCAAGCCGCAGCCGTCGCAGGCCCCGGCCGAGCCGTGGTCGGCCCGCCGCCAGTCGCACAGCGGCTTCGTCGACGCGCTCGCGTCGCACCAGCTCCACACGGACCACAGCGCGCACAACTCGCCGGCGCCCGTCAACGGCCCCGCGTTTGCGCGCTCGTCGTTCGCGCCGCCCAAGCGCGCCGCCGCCCTGTACGCCATCGGCGCCGACGGCCAGGCGTACGAGGTCGACGAGGAGGGCAACGCCGTCGAGTCGACCAAGGGCGACGACCGCGACGACGGGCCGGGCTCGCCGAGCGAGTCGAACGTGCGCTCGACGAGCGAGGCCGGCCCGCACCGCTCGAGGCGCACGGGCGCGCACCGCCACGAGCCGTACGGGCGCTCGCAGTCGCCCGTCGCGGAGCGTCGCTCGGCGTCGTGCGAGGAGGACGACGACGACGACGAGGACGAGGACGAGGACGCCGACTTTGAGTACGTCGACGCCGACTCGCCGGCGCAGACGGCGGCCGACCTGCCCGCGGTCGAGCCCAACCCCGAGCACTCGACGACGAGCAGCAGCAACGGCGCCACGTCGGCTGCGCCCGCCGGCCGCATCACGTGGGCGCTCCCGCCGCCCAACCTCGGCCTGAGCATGGACGCCGCGCTCGGCCTTGGTCTCGGCGGCCCGCAGCCGACGCAGGCGCAGCGCCGCCACAGCGTCGCTGTCGGGTCGTCCTCGGGCGCGTCGGCGCCGGCTGGCGTCAACGGCGGCGACAAGGGCGCGGCGGTCGAGCCGTACCCGCGCTCGCAGTCGTGCTCGGGCCCGAGCGCGTCGTCGGCTCCTGCGCCCGCCGCCAAGCCTGTCGCTACGGTGACCGACGTCGTCGACGCGACGATGGCGGCGCCGGCTGCGGCTACGGACGAGCAGGCCGCCGAGGAGGAGAAGCCGGCGGCGCCGGCCAAGTCGGGCTCGCCCGAGGTGCAGCGCACGCACTCGGAGGCGCTCCTCGGGCTCGACAAGGCGGCCGAGCAGCGCGTGTCGGCGCCGATCGAGGTCGAGGCCGTCGTCGAGGACGCGGCGGGCGAGGCGGCGGGCGAGGAGGCGACGCCGATGGAGGTCGAGGCGTGAGGGGGTCCCTGCGCTCGACAGCTTTCTCTCTGTTCCATTCCTTTCTTGTCCATCTCTACCCACCTCTTTGCGCTCTCTCTCTCTCTCCCCTCCCTTCATCGTCACGCTGTACCCCCGCCCTGTGCCCGCCTCGTGCGTGAGCGCTCCCCCCTCCATAGCTTTCCTGCCCTCCTCTCCGACCACACCTCTGCGGCCTCCCCACAACCCTTCTCGCTTGTTTTTAGGTCATCTTGACGCAGATTCTCGTCGCTTGCAGTGACTTTCGTCCCCGAGCCGCACCGATTCGAGAGAAGGAAGAGGAGCTGCGAGAGCTTCGAAAATGGAAAGAGGGAGAGCGAGTTCTTGAAGCCGGATCCTCGCGTCGACGCGAAGCGCTCTTGCGAGAGCAGTCTCTCGAGAGCTTTGGTAGAGCTGAGAAAGATGAGGAGCGTGTCCATTGCCGAGCGGCCCCTCCTCGCTGCGCTCGAGCCCCTCCTCACCTCGCCGCTGCCCTCCTCCTCGCGCCGTCGAACGTCATCGCGTCCCTCGCCGCCCGCAAGAAGCCCCAGGGCACGAGCGTGTCCTGGGGCGCCACCTCGACGTCCACCTCGGCGCCCAAGTCGAACGAGTCGGGCGTGTCGGCGCACCACTCGACGCCGCGGTCGTGCAGGACCGTCCCGACGGCGACGCGGATCCCGAAGAACATGTTGGTGATGCCGGGCGTCCCTCGACGGCCCGACGTCGACAGGAACTGGATGCCGTTGCGGCGACTCGGGTCGGCGTGCAGGTGCGGCGGGTCGAACAGCTCGAGGAAGTCGGGATTGTCGACGAGGAGGCGCAGCTCGGCCTCGGACAGGTCGTCGGCCGGCCCAAAGTCGAGGCGGAGGTGCGTGATGCCGAGCGGGAGCGAGGGCGCAAAGTGGGCGAGGTGGCGCAGGAAGGGGGCCGTGAGGTTGAGGAGCCGCAGGTTGCCGCCGTCTTGACCCTCGTCGCCTGCCGCGCCGCTGCCGACGCTGTGCCGTCGGCTCATCGAGCCTCGGCGAGACGACCCGAGCGAGCTGCGCCGCCCTGCTGCGGTCGGCGGCCCGGCGCTCGACTGGTCGTCCTGCACGACGACGGCCTCGTCGAGCGGGTGCAGCGCCTCGAGGTACGCCGGCTGGATGTCGCCGGCGGGACTGATGGCGCGCAGTCGGGGCATGGCGTCCGGGTCGCCGTCAAAGACCTGGGTGAGGACCTCGTGGCTGTCGAAGTAGAGCGTCTCGAGCGAGGGAAACTGGTGGTCCTCGAACATGATGGTGCGGAGCGACGGCGCGAGCTCGATGTCCTTGAGGATGAGGGTCTTGAGGCGAGGTAGACAGGGTCGGGTCGACGGGACGGGCGTTTGAGGAGACGAAGGAGGGAGGCCCAGCTCGAGGTCGACGCAGATGAGGATGCGGAGGTCTGTGCGGCGAGGGAGCAGCGGTGAGATCGTGTGCTCGGGTCGCACTCTCGAGGGACAGAGAGAACCGGGACGCACTGTTGAGCGTCTTGAGCTCGCGCAGGTCGACGCCCTTGACGGTGACGAGCCACAGCTCGCTCAACTCGTCGCCGCCCGCCTGCGCCGTCTCGAGGACGACCCGCAGCCATGCGCCGTCCATGGGCCACCCGGCTGTCGTCCCGCCCATCCTCAGCGTCTCGCACGCGTTGCCCTCGCGCTTGACCGCCGCCCTCGCTCCTCGCGCAAAGGCGCGCGCCGCTTCGTCGTCGCGCAGGACGACATGGCGCACGAGCTCGCGCTGCGCCCAACTGCGCCACGACCGGCTCAAGCTTGACGCGGTGCACAGCCAGCGCGCCCGTGCGGGAAAGGCGGTCCAGGGCGGGCCGGGCGAGGGGAGGGCGAGGGCAAAGATGTGGACGACGAGCTCGAGAGGGAGGCGCGCGACCGGGCGAGACGGGTCGAGCATCGAGCTGGGCGCCGAGCTGGTCGTGTGTGGCAGAGAGCAGAGAGCCAGCTGCCCCTCCCCTCTCGCCGAGGCGCTGGAGTTACAGCGAGCGCGAGCCCTTTCACCGCCCGAGCCGTCAAGTTGGCATCGTCGCTTTGCGACCCCAGCCGGTCCGGCGACCGAGCGAATCGGAGCGCGTGCTCGGCCGCCCCTCGTGAGCGCAAACAGGATCGCGATCGAAGCGTGTTTCACGTAAACGAGACGTCGGCCCAGATTGCTGGCGTTACGAGAAGCGCAGCACGCAACGCTCGACTTTGCATAGTTTTTTTTGGACGCACACCTCTTTGAGCGAGAAGGCAGTCACGCGTGTCGAGAGGAGCTTAGAGTCGATCAATACAAAAGTCGCTAATCGACGATACAAGCTCTCGACTCGACCTTCTCAAGCTGAGCGTCCTCGACCTCCTCTCACGCTCTCGCGCTTTCATCGCCCTGCAAGGTAATGCAACTCACGCTTGGCAATGCCAGGCACACTGCGACGCCCTGGGTCACACAGAAAGAGAGAAGAACAAGTTACACAGCGTCCTCGGCCTCGCCGCCGTAGCTACGAGTCTCCCCCATCCGCCCTCGATCGCGCAGTGAGGAATCAACGCGACGGCGCACCTGATCCTCCAAGATCATCTCGGACGCCTTCTCGCCGATCATGTCTGCGCGCAGGATCGTCGACGACGACGAGGCGAGAGGGTCAGGGTCGCGTCCGGGCGAGTCGAGCGGGACCGTGCACGGAAAGACCTCGGAATGCGAGAGGTAGGGCACGTACAGGCGATGCTCTGGGTCTGCAGGGTGCCGCACGACGACGTCGAGAAGGCGAGATGGAAGGGAGGAACGCGCAATATCAGTGATCGTCTTCATCTCGCGACCATCGCTCGGACTTGACGGAGAGAGAGAAGCGCGAGGACGCACGTGGGTGCCAGGGAGAAGCGGAACGACGCTCATGTCGGCCACGCGCACGTTGAGCGTGCCGTAGACACGCAGCGACGAGTCGACGACGCCGCCCTCGGACCGAGGGAGCATCGAGCAGGTCGAGGAGGGATGGTCTGGGGGCGACCGAGGCGACAAGGGAAGACGAGGCAGTCAGTCTCGGGGTACGTCGGGGGGGGGGGGGGGGGAGAAGAAGGAAGGGCGAGGAGGTAGGGAAGAGTGGGAGAGGAAGGAGGAGGAGGAGGAGAAGCCGACGCACGCTCGGTCCCCGCATTCCCTCGCACCCAGTCCTCCCACCCCTCGTCCCCTCCCTCGTGCACGTCGCCCGCCATGTTTATGCCCGACAACGGCGGCGCGTGGTGGTCGAGGTCGACAAAGGCGGCCATGCGCCCGTGCGGGTCGGTCATGAGCTCGTGGACGTGGCGCGCGCCGAGCGCGAGGTGGAACGCGTCCGAGGGGTGCGACAGGAACCGAGGGTCGATACGCGGCTTCTTGAGCGGGTCGGACGACGTGATGTGCTGCGAGAGGAGACGCCGGCGCGCCAAGGTCAGGCTGTGCACGGACCTCGAGGAGGGGGGCGAGGGCGAGGCAAAGGAGGACGCACGACGCTCCCCCTCGACAGCGCGTGCTGCAGCGCCGCAATGACGCCGATGTAGCTCCTGCCCGGCTCGTACTTGGTCCCGCCGAGGAACCGGTTCATGGCGACAATCTCGAGCTTGCCCCTCGCCTCGTACAGGCCCTGCTCGACCTGGAGCTGGCGCGCCGAGATCTCGAACAGCTCGCCGTAGTGGTCGGTCGTGACGCGGTTCAGGTCGTTGCCGTGCGCGAGCTCGGTGCGGGTGAGAAAGGACGAGGGCCGGAGGTAGGCGACGATCGGGGCACCCTGCGTGAGCGGACCCTGCTGGTGGTGGTACTCCTCGATGACCTGGAGTAGGGGAGCACATCAGGAATGCGACGACGAGAAGAATGGGCGAGAGAGAGAGGGCGCACCTCGTTGGCGTAGTGGTGGTCTGGCTCGAGAAGGTCGAGCGAGTCGTGCTGGCGGCCGAGCCGGAACGACATGGCGACCATCGGGTGGTCCTGCGTCGCGCACACTCGTCAGTACATGCTCTTGGTCGGCTTCAGCCGTCGAGGGAGGGAGAGAACACGCACCTGCAGGTTCTCGCCGACGCCGGGAAGATTGACGAAAGGCTTGACGCCGACTGCGACAGGAGAATCAGGTCGAGTCGGTGGAGGGTCGAGGAAGAGGAGCTTGAGCGCACCTTGCTGAAGATGATGGGCGTTGCCGATGCCGCTGAGCTCGAGGAGCTGCGGCGACTCGAACGTCCCGCCGCACAGGATGACCTCGTCCGCGACGCGCTGCGCTCGAGGTAAGGTCGGCGAGGAGGCGAGGCGCAGGACCGGCGGCGAAAGAGGGACGTACAGCGACGAGCTTGTGGGTCGGGTCGTGCGGGTCGACGAACTCGACGGCTTTGGCCATGAGCGGGCCGCCGACAGCGCTCTTGGACGAGAAGACGAGACGCGTCGCCTGCGCGCACGTGATGACGAGGAGGTTGTCGCGGTCCTTGATCGGCGTGTCTGTCGGTCGACCGTCAGGACAGAAAGACAGAGGGGGAGAGAGAAGAAGGTGAGGGCGCACAGTAGGCTGCCTCGGCGGACGAGCGCGTCTGCGTCTTCGGGTCGATCGAGGCCGGCGCATAGCCGACGCCAGCGGCAGCGCCGCCGTTCGGGTCGATCTCTTTCCTGTGCAGCGAGGGAGTCAACGTCAGTACCCGACGATCGTGCCAAAGGAAGAGAGGAAGAGGGAAGGTCGACGCACAGACCGTCCTCGCGCAACGCCTCGAAGAGGCCCTGCATCTGCTCGCTCACGTACGGCGAGTAACTCGCCTGCACGGGGCCATCGTGACCGTGTGCCGAAGGCGTCCAGGTCGGGTCGTGCGCGGTCGCAGGCGAGAGGTTGAGCGCCGGCGTCGGGAGGTGGAACGACTCGCTCTGCGGACACGAGGGCGCTCAGGACGGTCGCACGACGTGAACGTGTTGGAGGACCGAGAGGAGAGCTCACGCGGCGATGGTACTCGAGGAGGGACTGCCAGTCCCAACCCGGATTGCCGAGCCGGGCCCAGGCGTCGTAGTCGAGTGCGGGAGCGCGAGTGAGCATGCACGCGTTGAAGTTGGAGCTGCCGCCGAGGAGCTGCGGGTAGGAGGAGAGTCAGGTCTCTCGATGCGGAAGGGCTGACGCGAGGGGAGGAGCAGAGCGACGCACCTTGCCGCGAGGCCAGAGAACACGACGCTCGTGCAGGCCCTCCTGCTGGGCCGAGTGGTACGCCCAGTCGACGGCGGTGTGCCACAGCTTGCCCGACATGTTGGGCACGTCGATCTCGGCGCACTTGTCCTTCCTGTCGGGGGGCCAAAACGTCAGGCCTCGTCTCGATCCCGCCGCCGAGAGAAGGAGGGAGAGGGACGCACCACGGTCCCGCCTCGAGCACGAGCACCTTGTTCTCGGGGTCCTCGCTCAACCTGCGCGCGAGTACGAGTCCCGCCGTCCCACCGCCGACGACGATGTACGAGAACTTGCGCGCCGCGAGCTCGCCCTCGAGGCACTCGCGCTCGACGCGGTCGCGCAGCGAGAGGACGCCGTGAACGTCGAGCGGGACGAGGCGCGAGGCCGGGAGGTGCGGCTCGTGATACGGCGTGCGGGTCGGCGTGGGTTGCGCTGCACGACACGGTGCGGCGAGCGACGACGGAACGGCCGAGGCGACTTGCGAGCGCAGGACGACGGGGCTGCGGGTCGCCGTCTGGATGGCGGCGGTCGAGGGTCCCTGCTTGCGGCCATGTGTCAGTCTCGCGAACCTGCCCATGCTTGATGAGAACGAGGAGGACTCACCCTCTCCGAGATATCGCCGAAGGCGTCGAGGATACCCTGCTCGACATCGTCGCCGAGGCCAAACCGCTCGAGGTCGCCGCGCAAAGTGTCGAGGAAAGGCGGCATCGTGTCGAGAAGCGCAAGCTGAGCAGAGGGAGCGGCGAGAGCGAGAAGCGCAGGCGCGAGCGAGAGCGCAGGGGTCGAGCGGACCTGCCGCGCGTCCGGACAGGAACGCGCCGGACTGTCCGCGGCGGGCCCGGGGTACGTGCGTGGGACACTCGAGCGGGGAGCTCGTCGGGCGACGGCCGAGTGCGCCAGCGAGGAGCCGCCGGCGAGACGAGGAGGAGGAGGAGGGGCGGACCCGCATGTGCGAGGCGCTTTCGCCAGGGTTGCGAGCGGGCTGCTAGCAAGGCCGAGGACAGGAAGGCTGGCCGCTTGGCCAAGCTGAGGACTGTGACGAGAGCCGGGAGGCGAGAGAGTCGGGCCGGAGAGATGAACCCTACTCGTCCTCTCGACCGCCCTCTGCGCGACCAGCGATAAGTCGAGCACGTCCACGTACCCTCTCGGCACGCCCTCCAACTCGCGCGCGACCCGCACACGCCGTGCTCGTCTCGCCCGTCGCCGCACCGCCTCGTCAACCTCCGCGCGACTCTCGCCGCGCCCACACGACCGCACGACCCGCACGAGCACCAGCACGCGCTCGGTCGAGGTCGAGTGCTCGACGCACATGCTCCCCGCCAGCCCCTGGGTCCGCTGGGCAAGCGCATTCGCCCTCGCCTTCCTCGCCCTCCACCTCCTCGCCAAGTCGTCGTCGCCCTCGTACGCCCACCACACCTCGATCGACCACGCCCGCGTCCGCCTCGGCCTCAAGCAAGGTCCACCCGAGACCTGGGCCGCAGGGCGCAAGCTCAAGCCGTGGGAGGACGCGCCCCGGACCGCATGGCCCGTCGACGGCGACGGCGAGGACTTGGGGTTCAACGCGACGAGGGCCCAGGAGGACAAGGTGTCGGCGACGTTCCTCATGCTCGCGCGCAACAGCGACGTCTGGGAGGCCGTGTCGGCCATGCGGCAGCTCGAGGGTGCGTCCCTCTCCTCGTCTCGCTCCTCGTCCTCGGGTCCGAGCCCTGGACTCAACGCCACGTCCTGCGCGCGCAGACCGCTTCAACCGCCGGTACCACTACGACTGGACCTTCCTCAACGACGAGCCGTTCTCCGACGAGTTCAAGCGGCACACGTCGGGCATCGCCTCGGGCAAGACGCAGTACGGCCTGGTCCCCAAGGAGCACTGGGGCGACAAGTTCCCCGACTGGATTGACGAGGACCGCGCCATGAAGGCCATCGCCGAGATGGGCAAGAAGAACATCCCGTACGGCGGCAGCGTGCCCTATCGGCGCATGTGCCGGTACCAGAGCGCGTTTGGTGCGTCCTTCCCCTCTCCCTTCTCCTCGCCGCCCCCTCCCTGTCCCTATCCCTATCCCAGTGACTGACTCTTTCGCTCCCTCGTCATGGGCCACAGTCTTTCGTCACCCGCTCCTCGACTCGTACGAGTTCTACTGGCGCGTCGAGCCGTCGGTCAAGTTCTACTGCGACATCGCGTTCGACCCGTTCCGGCGCATGAAGGACGAGGGCAAGGTCTACGGCTGGGTCGTCAGCCTGTACGAGTGTGCGTCCAAGTCTCCTTCCTCGTCCTCCCGAGCTGCGGCCGCGAGACCCTGACGACTATTCGCCCTCGCAGACGTCGAGACGATCAAGACGCTTTGGTCGACTACAAAGGGTGAGCTATCCTGTTCCTCCTCGCCCTGTCGACGAGTCGTCGGGCGCGAGGTAAGAGCGGGCGCGACTTGCCGAGCGCGACGAGCGACTGACCCCTTTCTCGCGCCGCGCAGAGTTTATCGACACGCACCCAGAGCACGTCGCCGAGCCCAACCTCATGCAGTGGATCAGCAACGACGGCGGCGAGACGTACAACGGCTGTCACTTCTGGTACGCCCTCGCCCTCACCTCTCTCTCTCCCCCCTCTCGCGCTCCTCGAGCCTGACGTTGTGCTCGCTGCAGGTCCAACTTCGAGATCGCGCGAGTCGACTTCTGGCGAGGAAAGGCCTACACCGAGTACTTTGAGCACCTCGACAAGGCGGGCGGGTTCTTCTACGAGCGCTGGGGCGACGGTGCGTCCCTGCTCTCTCTTTCCCTCGCCATCCTCTCCTCCTCTCGTCGCTGTCGCTCTTCCCTTATCGCTTCTTCTTCTTCCACCCTCTGGCGCCACCTGCCGCCAGTCCGCTCCCGCGAGAAATCAGAACTGACCCTCGAATCTCGCCTCGCCCGCAGCGCCCGTCCACTCCCTCGCCGCCGCCCTCTTCCTCCACCCGAACCAGACGATCTTCTTCCGCGAGATCGGCTACCACCACGCCCCCTTCTCGCACTGCCCACTGCCACAAGACGGCGTGCGGTGCGCGTGCTCGACGTCGACCGACGATCCGCCGACGGGCCCGGCGTTTGAGACGCACGGCTTCTCGTGCACGCCCTCGTGGAAGGTGCGTCGCGCTCTTTCTCTTTCTCTCGTCCTCTTGCGCTCGCCCACGAGCCCCTCTCCTTCGGCAGCGAGCGCCTGACCGTCCTTGTCCGCCTCGCGTGCGCAGAAAATCACGGGCGACCGAGGGAGGACGCCGTTCGCGGGAGCGCATGGGCCGCAGTAGACGTCGCGCAATGTACCTGTACAGCAGCTCGAGCAGGACAGGGCGAACGAGAGACGTGCAGCGGGGCTCGTCCGCTGCTTGAGCGAGGGAGAGCGGAGGAGGCACCGGCGGGATCGCCTCTGTTCGCTGTGCATCTCGCGCGCTCTGTAGTGCACGGTCTGGAACTCGGTATCTGCTCATAGCAAGCGAGCGAGCGAGACGACGGGCAGCAAGCTTGAAGCGAGATCGAGTTGGCTGAACGCGAGCCAGCGCCTCGTTTCACTATCAACACCCCGCGCCTCGCCCTGCTGCGACTGCTGCCGCCCAAGCGTCCTCCAACATGGACGGTGCGCCGCCTGACGACAACTTTGACGCGCTCCCCGTCGAGCAGCGCCTGTCGCACAAGGTGCGCGTCTCGCCTCATCTCGACTCGGCCCCAAGCCCCTGAGGCTGAGCTGCGAGCACTTGAACTCGTCGTACTGACTGTGTCTGTGTGCCCCCGCAGGTCTGGAAGGCCCGCCTGTCCGCCTACGCCGAGGTCGCCTCGCTCGCCTCCAAGACGCCCGACGACCACGACCCGTTCTTCCGCGAACCCTTCCTGAGCGCCTCGTCTCTCCGCGACTGGGTCCGCGATGCCAACGCTGTCGCCCAAGAGAAGGGTGTCGAGGCGGCGTGCGCTGTCGTCGAGTTCGGCGGTCGCTCCATGGCGAGGTGCGCCCGACTCTCCTCCCTCCCTCGCCGCCGTGTCAGAGCGCGAACCTGATCGGCCCTGTCGTACACAGAACGCGTGCAGAAGTCGTCCCGAGCGTCGTCGAGAAGTGCCTCGGCTCCACGAGGGTGCGTCCCCCTCCTGTTCCCGTCTCGTCCAATTACCGCAGGTCGCTGACCTCCCCTTTTCCCCGCAGGCCAACACGCGCATCAAGGGCATCGAGCTTTGTCTGCTCTACGTCGCGGCCGAGGAGGACCAGGGCGAGGGCGTCATCGTGCGTCGACCTCTCCCTCCCTCCCGCCCCACATCCTCGTCGCCGCGAGCTGACTGTTCCCATGCGCACAGGGCGATGTCGTGCCCGGTCTCGAGGTCAAGCAGCCCAAGGTCGTCGCTGGTTCCGTCACCGTACTGCGGGAGCTCGCTCGGTGCGTCCACCTCGAGCCATGCCCGTCTCTCGCCGCGCAACCTGACCCACCTCGTCTCCCTCGTACGCAGCTGCTACGGCCCCAAGACCGTCTCGTTCAAGCCCATCCTTAAGACGCTCCCCAAGATCTTTGCGCACGCCGACAAGACGGTGCGCGCCGAGGGCCAGCTCCTGTGCCTCGCCCTCCACTCGTACCTCGGGCCAGCCCTCACGCCGCACCTCGGCGAGCTCAAGCCCGTCCAGCAGAAGGAGCTCGGCGAGGCGTTCGAGGCGGCCGACCGAGGAGAGAAGGACGAGTACGGGTTCGGCAAGTTGCGGCCGAGCAGGTTCACGGTGACGCAGAAGCGGGAGATGGAGGCGCAGGAGGCGAGGGGGCAGCCCGAGGTGGACGGCGCAGCCGAGGACGACGCAGACGGCCAAGACGAAGGTGCGTCGCGTGCTCTGTCGCGCCCTGAGCGTCTCTCTCAGTCGCGCGGACCTGACCTCCCTTCCTGCCGCAGCACCTGCCGACGAGCCCGACGCCGCACTCGACCCGTTCGACTTTGCCGACCCGATCCCTGTCGTGTCCAACCTGCCGGCCGACTTCTACACGAACCTGTCGTCGACCAAGTGGAAGGACCGGAAAGAGCTCGCGCTCGAGCCGCTCCTCGCCCTCCTGTCGACCTCGCCTCGGTACGCCTCGGACAACTACAACGACCTCGCCGGCGCCCTCGCCGGCCGCATGGGCGACGCCAACGTCCTGTGCGTTATTCTCGCGGCGCAGTGCATCGAGAAGCTCGCGCGAGGGCTCCGGGACGACTTTGCGCGGTACAAGGCGGCCGTCACGGCGCCGATCATGGCGAGGACCAAGGAGAAGAAGCAGAACGTGCTCGACGCTCTCGGTGCCGCACTCGATGCCGTCTTTGCGAGTGTGCGTCTCCCTCTCTCCCTCGTCGTTCTCTCGGGTACGACCCTGACCCTCGCGTGCGCCCGCAGACCTCGATCGGCGAGTTCAGCGAGGACGTCGCGACGTTCGCCAAGGACAAGAACCCGTCGGTCAAGGCCAACACGCTCGCCTTCTACACGCGCTGCCTGTGCGCGACGCCGTCGCCGCCGCCCAAGGCCGACCTCGCGTCCCTCATCGAGGCGTTCAAGGTCGCGCTCACCGACTCGGACGCCGCCGTACGCGCCGCCGCAGCCGACGCGCTCGGCTCCCTGAGCAAGGTGCTCGGAGAGCGCGTGTTTGGCGGCCTCGTCGGCGAGATGGACCCGCTCCGCAAGGAGAAGGTGACCGAGGCGGCCGAGAAGGCCGTCACCAAGTGCCGCAACGGCGTCACGGCGGGCGCCAAGCCGGCTGCAGCCGCTCGTGCCCCTGCTCCTGCAGCAGCAGCAGCGCCGCCAAAGCCGCGAGGGCCACCGGCGAGGCTGCTGCAGCGCGCGCCGCCGGCCGACAAGGAGAACGCGCCGCCGCCGCCGTCGCCGCCTGCTCACGACGAGCCGCCTGCGCCCAAGCCGGCTGCACGTGGACCACCAGCTCGACTCGCCGCCAAAAAACCGCCTGCGCCGTCCGCCTCGGCGCCGCCAGCCGCCAAGAAGCCCGCGCCGGCACCCGCACGACCCGCAGCTGCCGGCGCCTCCTCGTCCGCCGGCGCCTCGAAGCCTGCTGAGCCGCTGCGGTACAAGCACTCGCAGGAGGCGGCCGAGGGCCAGGTCGACTCGGGCGACGTCTTCCCCGCCGAGATCGTCGCGCAGCTCGCCGACCCGAACTGGAAGCAGCGCCTCGAGGGCATGGACAAGCTCGTCGACTGGGTCAAGCTCGACGGTCGAGACGCAGACGCCGAGGTCATCGTGCGGTACCTGGTCGGCAAGAAGCCCGGGCCCAAGGAGTCGAACTTCCAGGTGCGCCCGCCCCCCCTCTCTTGCCCCGTCCACCCTCTCTTCTCGACGTCAAGCGCCTTCTCACTCACACTCTCTCCCCGCACAGGTGGCCGGCAAGGTCTTTGCGCTCCTTCAGCAGCTCGCGACCGACTCGCCCGGGTGGACCAAGGCGTGTGCGGCGGTCGCGACGCCGGTCCTGTGCGACAAGCTCGGCGACATCAAGCTCAAGAAGCCGGCGAGCGAGGCCCTCGTCGCGTTTGCCGAGAAGTCGAGCCTCGGATTCGTCCTGTCGCAGGGTGCGCCCCTTCTCCCTGCCTTGTCGTCCCCCTCGTCCCCTTTCGAGACTGACCTCTCTCGCCCCGCCTCGCAGCGTACGAGCCCATGTCAAAGCAGAAGGCGCCCAAGACGCTCGCCGAGTCGTACATCTTCGTCGACCAGGCCCTGCGCGACTTTGGCCTCGCCGGCGGCCTCGCTGTCCGCGACCTGATCGACTTCCTCGTCGTCGGCCTCAAGAACTCGAACGCGGCGGTGCGCACCAACGCGACCAAGACGCTCGTCGCGCTCAGGCTCTTTGTCGGCCCGAGTGCGTCCTCTCTCGCCGTCAACGCCCTGGACGTTCCGAGCCTGACGGACCTTTTCCTCCACAGGCATCACCACGTTCCTCGCCGACCTCACGCCGCAACTGCTATCAACCATCGACGCCGAGTTCGAGAAGGTCTCGAGCGAGGCCCCGCCCGAGCCGACCCGTTTCGGCGCCGATACGGTCGTCGCTGCAGCTCCTGCCGCCACCGGCTCGTCGGGCCCCGCCAGCAAGAGCAAGACCGGCGCGCCCGAGGTCGACCCGCTTGACGACCTGTTCCCTCGCGTCGACTTTGACCGCCTCGTGTCGAGCGCCCAGTGCCAGGCCCTCGGCGACGCCAACTGGAAGGTCCGCAAGGAGGCGATCGAGCAGATCCGCGACACGCTCGAGGCCAACAAGCGCCTCAAGCCGAGCGGCCTCCTCGAACTCGGCACGCCGCTCAAGCTACGCATCACGGACGCCAACAAGATCATCCAGCTCATCGCGCTCGACGTCGTCGCCCGCCTCGCGTCGGGCATGGGTCAGCCGTTCGGTGAGAAGCTCGCCCGTATGTACGCCGGTCCTGTCGCACAAGTGCTCGCCGACCAGAAGGCCAACATCCGCGCCGCCGGCGTCGTCACGCTCAGCGCCATGGCCGACGCCGCCGGGCTCGAGCCGCTCGTCGGGTCGTTCGACAAGCCGCTCGAGGCCAACAACCCGCTGCAGCGCAAGGAGCTGCTCGCGTGGCTCGAGCAGCGCTTCAACGACTACGACGCGCTCGACGGTGTCGACCTCGCCGTGCTCGCGGCGCCGATCCTCCCGTGCCTCGAGGACCGCAACGGCGAGGTGCGCAAGTCGGCGACGGCCATCCTGCCCGCCATCATCGCCAAGGCCGGCTACGGCACCGTCATGGACGCCGTCGCCAAGCTCAAGCCGGCGTCCAAGTCGACCGCGCTGCCCATCGTCGAGGCCGCACGGTCGGCCGCCAACGCGCTCGGCTCGTCGGCTCCTCCGCCCGCCGCCGCGCCGCCCGCTCGAGCCGGGCCTCCCGCGCGTTCAGCAGCGTCGACAAAGCCTCCTCCTGTCGCGCCGGCACCTGCTCCAGCCGCCGTCGCACCCGCCGCACCCGTCGCCGCCTCTCGCCCGGGCCTGTCTCGACCTGCCGCCAAGCTCCTGCGCCCTGTCGCGCCAACGGCCCCGCCGCCCGAGGAGCCAGCGCCGTCTGCCGTACCCGCTCGTCTTGGTCAGCCTCGACCGCGGCCCTCGATCGGCGGCCTGCGCGCGGCGGCGGCGGCGTCCGCCTCGCGTCCCAGCTCGTCGGCGTCGGCGTCGAGCGTCAAGGAGGCGCCGTTCCGCAGCGCCGACCCCAACCCGAAGGTTCTGCGGCACCGCAAGGAGACGGGGTCGATGCGCTGGACGGTCGACGGCACGCCGCGGCCCGACCAGGTCGACTGGCTCGCGGCGCAGATGGCGCCGCAGGTGTCGGCGACGCTGCACGCGCAGCTGTTTAGCACCGACCACTCGGCCGAGCGCGACTTTGTCGCCGGGCTGACGGCCATCGACGAGTGCGCGAGGGACCTGTCGAGCGCGAGCGACGCGTTCGACCTTGGCGAGGGCGAGCTGCGCGACCGCCTTGTGGCCAACTTCGACCTCATCGTCAAGTACATCACGTTGCGCATCGGCCTGACGAGCACGACCATCACGGTCAAGTGCCTCGACGTCGTCGAGCACCTCCTGCCCGTCCTGAGCAACGCCGGGTACAAGGCGAGCGACTACGAGGCTCTGCCTCTCCTTCAGTGCCTCATCAGCAAGGTGCGTCCTCGTCCTCCCTTTCACCCTCTCCCACACCCACGCCCGTGACCCTGACCCTTTTCATGCGCCATTCCCTACCCCCTCGAGCAGGTCGGCGACAGCAAGGAGACGATCCGCCAGCGAGTGCGCGGCATCTTCAAGGCCCTGTGCTCGATCTACCCGTTCAGCAAGGTCTTCTCGACGATCCTCGAGCAGGGCCTCGACAACAAGAACGCGCGCGTCCGCAGCGAGTGCATCGAGGAGCTCGGCCAGCTGTACGCTCGCCACGGCGTCAACGTCCACCCGATCTCGCAGGCCCTGCCGCGCATCGCCTCGTTCATCGGCAAGCCCGACGCGACGACCCGTACGGCCGCCCTGCACGCCATCGGCGCCGTGTACACGCTCGTCGGGCCCGACGCGACCTGGAAGGCCGTCGGCCAGCTCCCGCCCAAGGACCGCTCGATGCTCGAGGAGCGCCTCAAGCGTACGGCGACGGGTGCGCCGTCGCCGGCGCCGCCATCTCGCGTCGCGCCGTCGGCCGACCGCCCGGGCACGCCGAGCGGCAGCCTGCGCCCGCCTGCGCCCGCCAGCCGGCTCGCGCCGCCCGCCTCGCCCTCGCCGGCCAACGGGCACGCGAGCGCGCAGTCGCGCGTCGGCATCCCTCGACCCGGCGCCATCCCGAGTCGGCTGCAGCGTCCTCAAGCCGCAGCGGCGCCCGTCGAGGACGAGCAGGACATGCCGCCGCCGCCTGTGCGTCGGGGCGTCCCTGCTCCCGGCTTCGCGTCCAAGGCCGCCGTGCGCCCACCGTCGCTGCGACCGCCGTCGGGCGCGTCGGCGCCGTTCACCGAGGACGACCTCATGGCCGAGACGGTGTCGGACCTGCCGTCGCTCATCGATGCGCTCGAGACGGACGACATGACCGCCTGCGCCGACGTCCTCAAGCTCGTCCTGCGCGAGATCACCAAGAACACGGAGCACGTCCTCCTGCACGTCGACGCCCTCATCGACGCCGTCACGGCCCGACTCGAGCTCGGCTTCACCAACCTCACGGCCGCCACGCCGCCGGCGCAGCTCCGGCTCTGCAAGCACCTCATGTCGACGCTCACGGCCCTGTTCGACAAGCGCACGCTGTCGCAGCAGGTGTCGCGCCTGCCGCTCACGGGCCTCCTCGCCGACCTCATGGGCCGACTACTCGACACGGCCGACAACCCCGTCAGCGAGCCGATCCAGAGCCTCTCCAAGGTCCTCAACATGCTCCTCATCCGGGTCTTCCACAACGCCGACCAGAACGTGTGCTTCGGGTGCGTCTCCTGCTTCGTCCTCCTGTCCTTGCTGCCCGTGGCGCACGAGATTCACCGTGTCTCTCGCTCGCAGCGCCCTCTTGACGGTCCTGCAAGACGCGACGATCGACTTGCGAGAGCTGCGCGGCGAGGAGCTGGCCGATCGGGCCAAGTACGCCGAGCTCGTCATGAAGGTGCGCTCGGGCCTCTTTCGCCCTGCCTCCCTCCCTCCCGTCCTCGATCCTGACCTCTCCTTCTCGCAGTGCCTGTGGAAGGTCTCGAAGACGGTCAAGGAGAGCCTCGAGAACCGCAACCTGCTCGCGCCTCGCCTCCTGAGCGACATCAACCAGTTCCTCGTCACTATCCCGCCCGCCGAGTGGCGCCGCCGCTCGACCGACAACATCCCGCTCGCCGACCTACCTCTGCGCACCGTCAAGACTATCCTCCAGCAGGTCGTCTCGGTCCTCAAGAACCAGGTGTTCGACGAGCTCGACGAGATCGACCAAGCCGAGAGCTCGTTCGTCTACCTGTACCTGCACCGCCTCGTCAACCAGGCCGCAGGCGGCGCTCCCGAGCCGTCTCGCCCGTCGACCTCGTCGCTCGCTCGCCAAGCGTCGGCAGCGTCGCTCTCGTCGCAGCCGTCTGGCGACGACGCGCCGTCGCGCAGCTCGAACGGGTCGCCGCCGTCGAACCGCATTGGGTCGCGCCCGTCGTCCAGCATGGCCGCTCCGCCGACCGTGACGTCGCCGGGTGGCACCGACATCGCCGTCAACCAGCGCCTCAAGGAGATCTTTGACCTGATCGGCGACCCCAACAACTCGCGGTCGGTGCGTCGCCTCTCGCTTTCCCTTTCGACGCGAGCCACGAGCTCAAGAAGTTCACGCTCTCCCCTTCGCCTCGCAGGGTATCGCTGCGCTGTACGAGTTCCAGAAGGAGCATCCTGAGGCGTCTGCCCGCATCGCGACCTGGTCCGTCTCCCTCTTTCCCCTCTTGCTCGCGTCCCTCGAACCGGAGCCTGACACTCTTTACGTACACAGGATGGCTGGCACGGGCAGCTACTTCCAGACCTACCTCAAGCGCGCGCTCGCGAACCTCGAGGCGGCCGACCGCGAGCGCACCGGCGAGCCGCCTGCCTCGCCCTCGCCCTCTCTCGACGCAGCCTCGACCAGTGCGTCCTGCTTCCCCACCTCTCTTTCTCCCTCCCTCGCAAACCTTTCTGACGCCGGGCCTCTCGCAGCCGCACGTCCGGTTTCGCACTCGTCTCGGCCGCCGAGCGTCGCCGTCCCTGGAACGCCGACCCGCTCGAGGCTGTCGCTCGGGCCCGGCGCGCTCAACTCTACGCCGCAGCAGAGCGCCAAGCTGCAGGAGCTTCACTCGATGTTCGGCTTTGCGGGGCAGAGCGGCGAGGGGAGCGGGTCGTCGAGGGAGTAGAGCGGTTCGTCGTCGGTGGCGAGAGTCTGGAGGAGGCACACTTTTCGTTACTTTCGCTCGCCCTGTTGTATCATCTAGTCCTCCTTTCGTCCTGCGCTCAGAGCGCAGGTGCGCAACGTCTGTCTCGTTCTCTCCCTTTCTCTTCTGCGCGACGCCGGCGAGCTCGACCAGGAGAGCTGAGGAATATCGAGAAGTTGCAGGAGAAAGCTAAGAAGACGAGGGCTGCGCTCCACCACGCCGGATGCGCCGGAAGATCCTCGCGCAAATGTCGCTGCGTCCGGAAAAGGCGAGTGAGAAGCAGGTCGTGCCGAGGAAAGGGGAGAGAAAGGGACGGACCGGACTTGGGAAGGCTGCGTCGTAGGCGACGCTGACGTGGCACCGTCGGTGACGGCCGTCGGGCGCGCCTGCGGGTGGTAGCGATGCGGCGCGATGGGTGCCAGTGGTACAGCGTGGGCGAGAGGGGCCTGTGGCGTGCCGAAGCTGCGTCGAGAGAAGGTCGTCAGGAGCTGCTGGAGAGGCGCACGGACCCCCAGAGGAAAGGAAAAGGTCGACTCGCCTGGTAGTTCTCGAGATCGGCGGACGCTGCTTGTGCGGGTGGAGCGTGAGGTACAGGTCGGTCATGACCGGCGAGACGAGGAGCTCGGGCGCGACAAAGTTGGAGAAGTAGGTCGCCTCGCGAGTAAAGAGGCTCGGGAGCCGCCCCGTGTTGAGGCCTGTCTCGACGTGCTGGATGTAGGTCGACCATGCCGCGCACCCTTGGCCGATCTCGAGGCGGGCGAGGCGCGTCGCCCAAGGTGGACCGCCGGGCGCGGCCCGAGCGTTGTGGTAGACGTGCGTGTAGAGCGCGAGCCAGAACTGGATGGCCTCTGGGCACTCGGACTCGAGCCATTGGGCAAGGTGATCGAGACGATGGGCCGTGGCGGTGGCGGCCGTCGTGCCCGGGTCGATGCCAAGGTCGAGGAGGAGGAGGGCGAATGCCTCGACCTGGTGCGTGCGCAAGTCGACGCTCGGCGACGACGGCTCGTCATAGAGACGGTCGTACGCTTGGAGAACGAGAGGAAGTGGCACGAGAGCGAACCAGTTGCTGCAGGCGTCGGCAAAGTCAGAAAGGTGAACGCGAGACAGGGGTTGCAGGTGGACGCACTCGAGTTTGGCCCAGAAAGCTCCGTTGCGAGCCATCCACACCTCGTTGACCTTGAGGACGTCCTGCTTCCACGTCCTGGAGCGAGAGAGAGTCAGGCGGCGGCGCGGCGAGACGGAAAGGAGGCAAAAGGGGGCACGGACCAGCGCTTCTCGGCGTCGTAGTAGAGCTCTTCAGGCACCAAGCGCGTCGAGACGTGCCCGTCTCGGTACCGCTGCAGTGCCGTAGCGGCCGGCTCGTGGTACCAAGTCTGGAGCGCCTCGTCTGGCGGGAAGTCGACGAGCGCTTGGTCCTCGTCGAGAGCGCGCGGGTTGAACGGCTCGTGCGTCGGGCCGTGCACGTACAGGTGCTGGTGCGCCATCGTGGACGAGAAGCTGAGCAGCAGCGGTGGGAGCAGGGAAGCAGAAAGAGCGAGCGACAGCGCTGCGTGGCATCGAGCGGGCGTCGGAGTCCGAGCACCAGTCCGTGGAGGACGGACAGGAGCTCCACGGCGAGAAGGACGGCGACGCCGCCGGCCACCGGACCGGAGCACGCGATGCGGGGAGTGGCGCAGCAGATCGGGCGTCGCCTCGAACGTAGCGAGCGGAAGGAGGACCGAGAGCGAGGGACGAGCCGACGACGAGCTGCTGCGTCTCGTCCTGGGCGCTCGCCGAGCTCATCTCGAACAGAAAGCTCTCTCCGACTGGAGAAACGACGTCTGACGAGTGACAAAGCCTCTCTCGAGCAGTGGGGAGGAGAGCCGGCAACTTGAGAAGGTCGACTCGTGTTGCACTGCGAGGCTCAAGAGCGCGAACCCGCCCGACTCGAGAACACAGATGCCCTGCACAGAAAGGAGTAAGTCAGTGCGGGTCCAGGAAGAGAGCGAAAGGAGGCAGGCAGGGGAAGAGAAGACGCACCGGCTCGAGCGTGCACCGGGCTCATACTTGGCGAGCGAGCTGTCGAGGCGAGCAAGACGAGGGGTGCGGTTCGTGCTGCGGTAGTTTGGCTAGTCAAGTACCGCTCGCCGTCTGGGGGACCAGGGAAGGGAAAGAGGGAGAGACGCACCTCGTCGCGTTCAGGCAAAGGGCCGGGCTCCGGGTGCAGCTTGACGTACAGCTCGACGAAGCTCGCCGTGTCGAGCGGGCCGAACGACGTGAAGTAGTCGCCTTCAAAGATCCTCGCCGCTCGCGGGAAGTGGCCTGCGAGATGCCGCACGTACAGAACCCAGCCGCTACCCGACTCGCCGGACGGGAACCGCAGCGCGGCGAGCTTGTCGTGCCACGCCTCGGTCGAGCCCGCCGTCTCGCGCGCGTTGACGTAGATGTGCGTGTAGGCGTACTGAAAGAGCTCGACGGCGGTGGCGCAGTGCAGCGAGAGCCACGTCGAGAGGGCGGCGAGCTGGGGGGCGCTGCACGCGGTCGAGCTCAGGTGCGGGACGAGCCCGAGGTCGAGGAGCATAAGGACGAACGCCTCGACTTCGTGGTTCTGGGCGTTGACGGCGGGGGACGCCGGGTGGTCGAATAGGTCGTCGAACGTGAGGAGGACGTGATCGAGCGGTACGAGCGCTGCCCAGTTGCTGCACGACGCAAGGCGCGTCAGGATGGCTCTGCCGGCAGACGTGAAGGAACGAGGCGACGCACTCGATCTTGGCGAGCGTGCGGTTGTCGACCTCGAGGCCGAGCGCCGCCAAGGGCTTTTGGGCGTGGCGCAGCGACGCGACGTCGTCGTTGACCTCGAAGTAGGCCTGCTGCCATTTGCTGCGCGCCCGGGGAATGTGTCAGGCGTGTGCGCTCTAGGCTGTGCCGAGGGCAGAGAAAGAAGGAAAGAGCGGCGCGACGCACTTGCGAGGCTCGTGCACGAACAGGTTGTACCCGAGCCCGCTCGTCACGACCCTCGACAGGTCAACGCGCCGGAACGCCGTTGCTGCGGGAGCGCGCAGCCACTTCTCGACGAGCGGCGAGGGCCCGCGATACGCGAGGGTCTTGTAGGGCGGCGAGGGGTGGCGCGGGAGGAGGTCGTCGCCTTGGCGGACGAAGAACAGGGCGTGCGACATGGCCTGCGAAGTTGGGGTGGTCGGCGAGCTCAGGGTCGCAGGAGGAACCGCGAGAGGAAGCAGAGAGAAGCGGCGAGCGCGTCGCCAGAGCGCGAGCCCGTTGCCGGCCGCGCCGACTCCCGGCCGTCCGCGGCGACGCCGGCGGCGGCGGCGGACCAAGGGGCGCAGGCTCGAGCGACCGGGCTGCTCTCGATCGAGAAGCTTGCGCCTCTCGAGAAGAGGGGAAAGCGCGTGAGCGCGCAAGTCGGGACGTCGAGCTGGCGACGAGGAGAGGGTATCGCCGGCGAGCGGCAGGTTTTGCACATCTGGCTCCTGCTACAGTCGTCTCCTAGTTTGTCTGCGCGCAAGGACGAGAGCCAGAGTCAGTCTGACCGTCGAGAAGAGAGCGCACGAGGGAGAAGGAGGAGGCGAAGGGAGGAGGACGCACCGGCTTGATCTTGAAGTGCAGCGAGATGAGCGAGTAGACGAAGATCTGCAGAGACGAGGGATCGAGGTGTCAGTGCGCGTGTCGAGCAGGTCGAGGGCGCGCCAGAGCGAGGGAGGGAGGGACGCACCTTGAGGTCCTGAACGAGGTAGTAGAAGACGCGCATGCCGTCCGGGTCGTCCGAGTTCTGCACGTCGACGAGCGAGCCGATCTTGGCCGTCTGCGAGAGCGGCACAGGGATCGAAAAGTCAGTAATTGGCGCCGGGCGGCGGAGGCGCGAGACGAAAGGAGGGGAAGGGGGCGGACGCACCTCGAACGAGATGTGGTAGGGCGGGAGCATCACCTCGAGCTCTTGCCGACCGACGACGTTCTTCTTGGGCCACTTGGCGTCGTCCTCCCTGCGCGCAGGACCGGCAAGTTGGTCAGCGAGTCCGCGCGTGGAGGTCGGGCGACGAGCGAGAAGAAGGGGATCGGGGCAAGAGCTGCGACGACGCACTTGACGATCTCGGACTCTGCGACGATGCGCTTGAACTCGTCGAGGACGGCCTGCGAGAGGTGCACTGTGGTCGACAGAAAGAAGACGGTCAGCTCGTGCGCGAGGCGGCTGATCGAGGGAGACGAGGAGGGTCGGGACGCACTCTCTCGCCGCAGGAGGCCCTCGTTACGGTAGCTGTGGGAGTGAGAGGGTCAGTCTCAAGCCCTGTCGAGACGGAGAAAGGAGGAGGGACGGACTTGGTGTTGAGGGCGAATCGGAGGCGGTTGCCCGTGATCTCAAACTCGATGAACTCGTGGCCGTACGAGCCGACGTGGCCCGAGTAGTACCGGAGGTAGAGCTGGTCGGCCATGGTCGGTCTTGCGAGGTCGGGTCGTGGAGAGGCGACTGAGGACGAGGCGAGGAGAAGGAGGGCGAGGTGGTGCAAGCGGAGAGGCGGTGGAGGGCGGTGTTGAAGGGTGCGTCGGCTTGATGTACGAGTTGTGGGACTGTGCGAGTGCCTGCAGACATGCTCAGGGTCAGTGACGGGGCGCACCGTGGCGAGGCAGATGAAGCGAGCGGGGGAGGTGGCCCGACGAGCGATCACACGACTGATAGGGTCGCCGTGACCGCAAAGGTGCTCTGAGAAGGACAGGGTGCTCACCGAGCTAGTCAGTCGCAAGGCTCGTCGAGGGAATGCGGTGTGGTGGAGGAGCACGCCTGGTCGCCTGGTCGCGGCCGGCTCGCCTCGCTACCGTCGCTCGCCTCGCCTTGAGCAGGGCAGAGCAGCGCCAGGGTCAACCAGGGAGTCACTACCAGCGACCCTGTCCAACCCGCTCGGTCGCGCACGCCGTATTCACCTCGCCGTCCTCGTCGTCCGCCAGCCGACACAGCCATCGTCCCTCGGCACCTCCCTCGACAAGGCCGAGCACGCCTACGAGAGCGACCTGAGCACGTTCGACTTGTGCACACGCCCGCCAATCTCGCCCATCAAGCGCTCGCGCCTTTCCGTCCCCCACCGGCCCAGACCTCGTCCCTCGACTCGTCGCATTCGCTCCTGCCTCTCCTCCTCTACTTCATCAGATCCTGCACAACCAGCACCAGTACCGCCATGTCGGCCTCGGTCACGGCCAAGGTCACCGCGAGTGCGTCCACCTCGTCACTCTCGCCCCTCCCCCACCCCCTCCCGCACCTCGTGCTTGGCACGCTCTGCCCGCTCGAGCTGCACCGCCTCGACCTTTCCTCTCGCACACGAGACTGACTGGCAAACGCTTCGACGCAGCCATCGTCGGTGCGCCGTTCGCCACCGTCACCCAGACGCTCGGTGCGGCTCCTTCGGCAAGCGCGCACCCGGCCACCATCTTTGACCCGGCGTTCGGCTCGCCTGTCGCGTTCGACGCTTCCAAGTCCGTCCACTCCTGCACTCTCTCGATCCCGAGATGTGCCCCTACTGATTCGCGCTCTCTCCCACAGCCCGCTCATCCTCTTCATCGTCCAGGCGTTCATCATCGTCGGCCTGTCGCGCCTGCTTCACCTCGGCCTGCGCTACCTGCGCCAGCCAAGGGTCATCTCCGAGGTCATCGCGGGCATCCTCGTCGGGCCGTCAGCTCTCGGTGCGTCCCTCCCTCTCCTCATTCGCGCCGTCCGCGACTTGCCCTGACGCCCAGATTCCCTCGCGCAGGTCGAGTTCCCGGGTTCACGAGCAACATCTTTCCACCGGCGAGCGTGCCGTTCGTCAGCCTCGTCGCCAACATCGGGCTGTGCCTGTGCGTCCCGTCGTCCCCTCGCCTCCCTTCTCACCGCCCGTGCACTGACCCTCCCTTGGCCTCGCGCGCCCACCTGCACCCGCAGCTTCCTGTTCCTCGTCGGCCTCGAGGTCGACTTTTCCCTGTTCCGCCGCAACGTGGCCATCTCGTCGACCATCTCGCTCCTCGGCCTCGTCATCCCGTTCGGCCTCGGCGCCGCCGTGTCCAAGGGCATCTACGACCGCTTTGTCGACGCGGCGACGGTCGACTTTGGGACGTTCCTCTTGTTCATCGGGACGGCCAACGCCATCACAGCGTTCCCCGTCTTGGCGCGCATCTTGACCGACGAGAACTTGCTGCGGGACCACGTCGGCGTCATCGTCCTCTCGGCCGGCGTCGGCAAGTGCGTCGCTCTCCTCTCGCTCCCTCGTGTCGCAGCCCCGCCGCAGAGCGAGCGGTGCGGCCGGCATGTTGACGGCCGCGATGTGAGCACGGCACTGACCCCCTCCTCGCCTCGTGCGCCCGCAGCGACGTCGTCGGCTGGGTCCTCCTCGCGCTCGCCATCGCCCTCGTCAACTCGACGTCGGGCCTCATCGTCCTTTACGTCATCTTGACCTCGATCGGCTGGACGCTCGCCCTGTGGTTCCTCGGCCGGCCGCTGCTCAAGTTTGTCGGGCGCAAGACGAGGAGCTTTGGTGAGCACGGGCCGAGCCAGAGCATGACGGCGTTCGTCCTGTTCCTCGTCTTGACGAGCGCGTGGATCACGGACCGCATCGGCGTGTGCGTCCCCCTCTTTCCCTCTCGTTCCGCCTCTTCAGCAGCACGATCTGACCTCGTCCACCCTCATCCTCCTCGCCGCACCTGCGCTCGCAGCCACGCCATCTTCGGCGCCTTCCTCGTCGGCCTCGTCGTGCCCAAGGAGATCCGTGCGCCCCTGACGGAAAAGATCGAGGACCTCGTCACGGTCCTGTTCCTGCCGCTGTACTTTGCCCTGTCGGGCCTCAAGACGGACCTCGGCCTCCTGAGCGACGGCAGCATCTGGGGCTGGGTCGTGTGCGTCTGCGTCGTCGCGTTCGCGTCGAGTGCGTCGCCCTCGTTCCTCTTCCTCTCGTCGGTCGTACGGGCTCGACCTTGCACGAGTTGGCCAGGACTGACTCTCTCTCTCTCTCGCGACGGCGCAGAGTTCGTCTCGTGTGGCGGCGTCGCCAAGCTGTACGGCATGGACTGGCGCGAGTCGGGCGCGGTCGGATCGCTCATGGGTGCGTCGCCTCCGTCACTGTCTCCTCGCCGCCGACGGTGTCCTCGGCGCTTGAGAGCCTGGGTCCAGTAGCCCTCGCATCTCACATTGACGCTTCTCTATCATGCAGCCTGCAAGGGACTCGTCGAGCTCATCGTCCTGAACATCGGGCTCAACGCCAAGATCCTCAACCCTCCCGTATTCGCCATGTTCGTCGTCATGGCCCTGTGCGTCCCTCTCGTTCTCTCGCCCTCGGCCCCCTGTACCTCGTGCGTCTCACTGACTAGTACATGCCCCTGCAGCATCACGACGTTCGTCACGACGCCGCTCACGCTCGCGTTCTACCCGTCGTGGTACCGCATCAAGGCCGAGCGCCTCCGCCGCGGTCTCGCCGCCGTCCCGCCCGCACAGGACAAGGCGCTCACGGGTGACGTCGGCGCGTTCGGCGACGAGCGCCGCCGGACGAGGTTCGCCGTCGTCGTCGAGCAGCTCGAGCACCTGCCCGCCGTCATGGGCTTCCTCCGCCTCGTGCAGCCTGCGCCGAGCGCGCCGGCGCACCGCGTTAAGCAGGTCGAGGCGCCTCCTGTCGTCGGCGAGAAGGGCGAGAAGAAGGCGGCGGCGCACGACTCGGACAGCGACGACGGCGACTCGGCCTCGCCGACCTCGCTCTCAACCCGTGCCGCCAACGGCGCCTCGACCTCGTCGCCCTCGAGCGCGATCCAGCTCGCCCTCCTGCGCATCGTCGAGCTCACCGATCGCACCTCGGCCCTGTTCCGCTCCGCCGAGTCCGAGCCGGCCCTCCTGCGCGCCGACCCGCTCTCGGTCGTCCTGCGCGCGTTCGCCCAAGGGCTCGGCGCCCACGTCAAGCGGTTGAGCCTCGCGCTCGTCAAGACGGACGACTATGCGCGGCAGGTCGCCAGCTTTGTCGAGGAGACCGAGAGCGAGGTCGTCGTCCTCCCGTGGGCGCTCCCCTCGCCGGCCTCGTCGTCGTCGTCGGCCGTCACTGCGCCCGCAACGTCGACATCGGCTGCGGCGGGCGCGTCGTCGTCGTTGAACGATGCCGGCGTCGCCGAGTCGTGGCTGCCGAACCCGCTCGAGGGCCTCTTTGGCGGCTCGTCGGCGAGCGTGTCGGTCCAGGGCGCCGTCGGGTACGCCTCGGCGCTGCGCGACGTGTTCGCCGAAGCGCCGTGTGACGTCGCCCTCTTCCTCGACCGAGCGTCGTCGGCCTCGGCGAGCGACAACGACCGCGTCGTCGTCGCCGGCCAGGCGCACCTCTTCATGGCGTTCCACGGCGGCAGCGACGACCGCCTCGCGCTCGCGCTCCTCGCCCAGCTCGTCAAGGCGCACCCGGGCCTGTCGGCGACCGTCGTGCGCGTCGAGCGCGCACCCGAGGTCACGCCCGCCGACCGCGCGCTGCTCGGCACCGAGCTCGGCGAGGACGAGGGCGAGGGCGGCGAGGCGAGCAAGACGCTGTCGCGCGAGACGGGCGAGCAGCCTCTCTTTACGGTGCACGGCGGCGCCGGCGCCGGCGACACGCTGTACCCGACCGTCGGCGGCGCTCACGGCGCCGGCATGCAATCCGAGACGGAGGACGACGTCCTCGTCTCGCGCCTCTTCCCCTCCTCGACCACCGCCACCTCGTCCGACGCCGACTCGGACCGCCGCATCGCGTTCGCCAGCGTGCGTTCGGGCGTCCCGCTCGCGCACGCCCTCGCGCGCCTCGCCAAGCTCTGCTCCGAGCTCGCCTCGTCGGCGTCGGGGGCGCGCGTCCCGCTCGTCGTATTTGCCGGCCGGGGCCGCCGCGACGCACCGTCGCACTTGGGCGAGCTGCGCGCGCTCCTCGGGAGCGCGAGCGCGGCTGGGACGCTGCAGCGGTCGGTCATTGGCGCGAGCGAGGTGCGGCGCGCGCTTGGCGACGCGGCGAGCGCGGTCGTGCTCGATGCCGAGAGGCGCGGTGGGGACGAGACGGTCGTCGTCGTGCAGCGGGGCGGCAAGCGCGGGAGGGTGCCGCGCTCGAAGGGCGTGAGCGCCTGGGGCGCGGGCGAGCTCGTCAAGGGCAACGGGGCTTGAGGTCCTTGAGCGCGACGTGGTCGTCTTTTTCGCTTTCTCTACCCTTCCTGTATCACTCTCTGTGTCTGTACCTCGTCGCACGCCGGTCGTGCGGCGTCGTGGCGCGCCTCGCGCTCCCTCCCTCCCTCCCGCCTCCAGCTCTCTCTCTGTCTCTCTTTTGTCTTAGCGTCGCCACCTCGTGTCTTTATTACTGTGTCATCTCACTCTCGGTGTCTGTGACCCGACGTTACGGTGAGTGCGAGAGCGCGAGAGCGCTGAGCCGCCTTTGAGCACGATTGACGGTCGCTCGCAAAGCGCTCGACGGAAGCAGTGTGGCTCTCGGTGACTCAATGCAGACGTATGATGCTCTCCAACCCGCACGCAAGCGAGCCTTTGTCCGTGGCGAGGCGAGCCGAGAGGCCGCAGGAGGCGTGTGCGCTTGCCACGCTCCCCCTCGCTCTCGTTCCACCACACCTCGCTCGCGCGCACCACTGCAGACCACGTGGCCTCGTCTGTGCACCTCTCTGTGCCGATCGAGCAGCATCGCCAACCGACGCACCGCCTCGACGCCGTCCCTCGTCCACACCCCCGCCTCGGAGCGATGAAGCCTTTTGGCGTCCCCCACTCGCCGCCCAGCCCACGCAGCACCCCGCCGAGGGCCACACACCTGTCCATCCACCCGCCACCGCCCACCGCACCTCTCCCCGACACCTCTGCGTCGCCGCGCCGTTCCTCGCCCAACTCGCACCAGTCGGCTTCACTCGTCGTCACCTCTCCTCTCCCCCGCGACACCCCGATACCTTCACGACCGACCCCCGCCGCCCTCGATGAGCCTGAGCTGTCGTCCGAGCTGAGCGAGCTGTCGGACAGCGGCGCCTCGGACGACGGCGTCGTCGACGACCAGCCGCCGAGCGGGACGGAGGGGGCGAGCACCACGGTGTCGCGACCGCGCCCGGTCAATCGCGGCGGGGCCAAGCCGTCGGTGTGGAAGGACCACGTCGCCGCGGCGTTCGACCAAGGTGCGCTGTCTGGTCCTCTCGCCCGCGCCCGAGCCCACCCCTGACTCTCTTCCTCGACGTGCGACAGGCCTCAAGCTCATCCCCGACATCGGCAAGCAGCACGTCCTCCTCAACGGCCGTCGCGCGCAGCGCAATGACCTCCTGTGCGAGTACGTGCGGCGGCAGACGGGCGAGCGTCGCACCCACCAGCAGGCGAGGAACCGGATCAGCACCGTGCGCGCCCGGTACCCGCACGATGACAAGCGTGCGTCGTCTCTCCGCTCTCTCAGAGAGACCCGAGATTGACCTCTCCATTTCCCAACAGTCGAACAGCTCCTCGTCGGCCGCCCCGTCTCGCAAGCCGCGATCGACCTCATGGACTGGGACGCCCTCCTCGGCCCCGACCAGTTCCCGAACGTCGCACCTGTCCTTTCCGACCTCGACAGCACGAAAGCGCCCGGCAAAAAGCGCAGGCGCGCGTCGGCGACGACGACCTCCTCGAAGCGGCGCAAGGCGGTCCCGGCGTCCACGCCCGCCGACGGTCGCCGCGCAAAGGGCCCCTCGACGAGCGGCTCGACCCCGAGCCACAAGCAGCTTTTTGACCCGTTCGCCTCGTCTGGGCCGCCGCCGCCGAGCCGTCGCCCACCGCCGCCGCCACCGCCTGCGCCCTGGGTCGAGCCTCTTCCCGTCCGCCCCCTCCCTCCCCCTTCAGCCGCTCTTCCCTCGCGCCCCCTGCCTGACACCACCTACCACCCGTTCGTCTCCAACCTCGCCCGCGTCTTCTCGAGCTACGAGCCCGCACGCGACCACACGACGACGGCGCGCGTCCTCGTCGGCCTCGGCGTCGACTCGTGGGACGCGCTCGCCGACTTGTGCGCGTTCGAGCCGAGCACGGTCGAGCGCCTGTACGAGCACCTGCGCAAGGAGGTCGGCCTCGGTGCGCTCGAGGTCGCGTGGGTCAAGAAGGCGGTCAGTGCGGCGAGGGGCGGGTTTGCGAGGGGCGTGTAGCTCGTGGAGCGGCTGGGATCTCTGTGTCGATCGTCGTGTGCCTTGCAGTACTAGTCGCTCTCTGTTCTGCGCGTGTGCGAGAGCGAGCAAGCTGTGCGAGTTGAGCGTGCCATTGCTCGTCGACGCAGCTGTCCAGCGCCGCTCGCTCACCCCGCAGCCAGTCCAGCAAGGCTCTGAAGCTCTCGAGACGGCTCTACCGGCGAGCCAGGCCTGCGCGCACCTCGCGCCCGGCGTGCCCGGCCTCGTACAGCGTGCCGACGACGACGCGACGAGGTGTTCCCCCAGCTCTCTCGCCTCTAGCGGCTCAGGAGACTGATTGCTGCCCTTGCAGTGTCCTTGCAACTCATCGCAAGGCCCATCGCCGACCAGTACTTCCCTCGACGCGTCCTCGCCCTTCCAGCTCGTCATCAGCTCGCGTCACTTTTCCGATCCTTCTCTCGACAGGAGACCGACAGAGCCACTCGGGAAGCATGCCGGGAGCTCCTGTACGTCCATGACCTCCTCCCGCGCCCAGCTGCGCACCGCCTTGACCCAGTCTCGCGTCCGCAGTCTTCCCTCTCCGCTCGACGACGACGCCCGCCTCCCAGCACGCGTGCACTCGTCAAGCCTTGCGCGCCGGTCGAGTTGGTGGACCAGATGGGCGACCTCGAGTCGGTGCGTGTCTCTACCCCACCTTTCGTGCGCCATTTTGCCGACCTGGCCCTCCCCCCCCGCAGGACGAGGACAACGGCGAGGGCGCGCCGGGCAAGGAGCGGTTGTGGGACGCAGAGCTCGATACCGTGCTTCTTAAGGGTACGTCGTGCCCGACCTCTCTACTCTCAACCGGCAGGCGCAGTGTACTCACCAGCTGTCCCCGCTCGTAGGCATGCGCCTCTTACCCAAGATGCGCACGCGCACCGTCCACCTCGAGTCGGACGGCCAGTCGATGGGCCGCAATGGCCTGCTCGCCGAGTACGTCCGCCGCCAAACCGGCAAGTACCGCTCGCGCCGGCAGGTGACGAGCCACCTCGTCTCGCTCCGTCTAGCCATCGTCGGCAAGCAGCGCCGTGCGTCGCGCTCTCCCTCGCCTATCTGCCTTCTCGGCCCAGGACGTCACTGACTAAAAGTCTCTTCGTTCACGCAGTCAACGACCTGCCGCTCTCTGTCGGCCACGACCTCTCGGCCGCCGCTTTCGCCGCCGTCAACTGGTCCGACCTCCTCGGCGCCGACCTCTTTCCCGAGACGGCGCGAGCCGCGTTGATCGCCAACGACAAGGTTAAGCTCGAGTGGAACGCGGCCGTCTCGGCGCGCAGGAAGCGCCGCATGGGCCTGAGCGCGCTCGAGTCGGCGAGGTCGAGCCGGCCCGAGAAGTCGCGGCCGCAGGCCGCCTCGTCGCGCTTTGTCGACTCGTCGTCTGCCGATGGGCACGTCGCCGAACCTGACGACCTCGAGCCGCACATCGAGTCGGAGCCCGTCGAGCCGGCGCAAGCGGGCACGTCGGCGAGGTCTCGCAAACGGCTGCGGTCGGCGTCGAGCTCGAGCGGCGAGGCGGACGCGGCAGTCGAACGAGTCCGGCAGGAGGACGCGCAGAAGGCGTCGAGCGAGGGAACAGGGAGGTGGGCGGGCTCGTCGCCGTCGTCGAAAAGGGCGCGCGGCATGCTCGACCTGCTCGCCGCGTCAAGTCCCGCACGCGCCGCGGCGCCAAACCCGTCACCCGCCCCCTCCTTTCCCTCCTCTTTTCCTCTCAGCATCACCCACCCTTCTGCGATGCCTCTGCCAGGCCCGCTCGCCGACCTCGCCCTCGCCACGTCATCGTCGAGCCGAATCTCGCCCTCGTTCACCACCCTCTCGCCAAGGCACTGCGACCTCTCGGCTTTCCTCGCCGGCTTGCACCCGACACTCGTCGCTCTCGCACCCTCCCTTGACGCCGCCGGCTTCAACACGGTCGACGCGCTCGCCAAACTCGTCCTCCTCGAGCCGTCGACGATCGCGCTCGTCCTCGAGTCGGTCCGCCGGCGTGCAAGCTCGCCCGTCTCGGTCATCCACCTGCGACTGCTCGGGCGTCAGCTCGACGACGCTGGGCGGGCGCTGCGTCGTGCGGCGAGGTGAGCGGCGGGTTCGTCGGGCTCGAGGGCGCACGTTCCCCTCTTTTCCCCCTCGCTCTCTCTCCTTCGCCTTCTCTTTCCTTCCCTTCTCACGTCTCTCGGTATACCCCACTCTGTAGCCGTACCATTCTTGTCGTTGTGCATGCCCTGCCTGTCGAGCATTTAATGCAACTTGCCTTTCTTCTCTCTTTCGAGCTCTCCTGCGAGACGAAGAGCTCGAGCGTGCTCGTGGCCTTCCTGCCAACTCGGCGAGGCACCGCAAGAGCGCGTTCGTGAGACTCTCTGGCCCTCGTACACACGTCGTTGCCAGGTCAAAGCAGAAAGAGCTCGCAGAGGATGTGGCGAACGGTCTGCTAGGCACTGCTTCAATTTCAAGGACGGCGACGACAAGCTACGAAGGAGAGACGAAAGGCTCAGACGTCCCACTTGTTGGCGGCGACGAACTCGCGCCACGTCTTGACCGGGACGGCGAGGTCGCGTTGCGAGGGCGCAAGGTCCTTGCCGCCAAAGTCTGTCGAGTCGACGAGCGAGGAGGTCAGTCATCGTCGTCGAGAGACGCTCGAGAAGAGAGAGAAGAGAGAGAGAGAAAGAGAGAAGAGGGACGCACAGCCAAACTCCTCGAACCAGAGGAGCATGTCGAGCATCTCGGCGCCGGCAGGACCCGCAGCGGCAAGGAAATCGTCGTGCGGCATCTGGTAGTACGACGCCTTGGCGCCCGTCACTGCGTGCTCGCCGAGCGTCAGTGTGCGCGTAAGAGAGGGAGGGAGAGAGAGAGGACGGACCCTCGGAGAACTGCTTGACCATGTCGTCGAGCGAGATCTCGTCGGACGAGGCGAGGATCTCGCTGCCAGGCCCAAAGCTCTTGCTCTCGATCGCCTCGCGCACGTACGCGCCATAGTCGCCGTTCGTGTCGACGAGCGCGAGCTTGGTCGAGGGCGAGATGGGCATCGCAAAGACGAACGAGCCGTCGGCCTGCTTGCGCGGAGCGAGCATGCCGAGCCAGTTCTGCATGTAGCACCCGGCCTCGACGTTGGTCGTCGGCAGGCCCGACTCGCGAGCGTAGGCGGTGACGGCGGCCTGCGACGAGAGGAGGGCGAGGTCAGGATCCGGAAGAGGCTCGAGCGAGGAGAGAGGACGAGAGGGCGCACCTTGGAATCAAAGTGCTCGACGTGCTTGTACTTGCCGCCGGACAGCTCCTTGACCGGCTCGAGGCCGCTCCAGATGAAGTGGCTGACGCCGGCGGCCTTGGCGGCGTCGACGATGCGCTTGCCGTCCTTGACCTCCTTGTCGAAGCTCATGTGCGCCCAAAAGTTGGTGACGGCCTGCGAGCGCGCCCTCGTTCGTCAGTGTGCGGCTTTGTAGAGAGAGTTAGGTGGCACGACGAGACGCACAAAGACGATGTTGGCGCCCTCAAAGACGCGGTCGAGGTCCGAGCGCGAGTCGGTGTCGGCCGACACAACCTTGACGCCTTGGTCGGCGAGCGCCTTGCTCGCCGGTTTGCTCGTGTCGCGCGTGACGCCCACGAGCTGGTAGTCCTTGTCGGACTGGATGAGGTGCGAGATGACCGAGCCGCCCTGTGCACGACGAGGGAGGGTCAGTGCGGCTCGACGAGGATTCGAAGAAGAGGACGCACCTGCGCGCCAGTTGCGCCGATGACGACGACGACGGGACCGTTCGAGGAAGAAGCGACCATGATGAGGTGGTAGGTGGAGAGTGCGGGTCGAGCGAGGGAAAGAAGGCGAGGAGAAGGTGAGGTGGAGAGAGAGGGAGGGAGAAGGGGGAGCTGGCGCTTTGTACGACGCCGGGTGCAGTGCCTGATCTTCTCAGCAGCGAGCGTGACCCAGGCTTGCAGTCAGCGTGCTTGCAAGCAAAGGGAGCAAGCAACGATCGGCAGCTGAACGGAGCGGCACCCCGCTGATTGCCCAGTCGAGCGGGGGAACTCGACGCTGAGTCTGCGCTGACTGCTCGTCCGAGAAAACGCTGCACGCGCGAACGATGACCAACGAGCCAGGGTTACAGATGCTTCGAGCTCACGTCTAGGGCGAGCTCTACAGACGACACGCACGCACCGCGCCCTCTGCCGGAGAGGGCGGCGAAACCCCTCGACCCGCTCAGGCCCCCTCGCCCTCCTTCTTGCCCTCGCCCTCGTGCTCGCCCTCCTTCTCGCCCTTGTTCTCGCCCTCGTACTCGAGCGCGCGCTCGCGCTCCTCGCTCGAGCGCCGGCTCGGCGCCTCGTCCACCTCCTCGAGCACCATCGGTGGCGGGCTCGACACGCCGTCGCCGTCGGCGTGCAGGTTGGCCTCGTCGTGCGCGAGCGGCTGCGCGTCGGCGAACGAGGGCGAGTGCGGCGAGGGTAGGCCGAGGTCGGTGTGCTCGGGGTCGACGGAAGGGAGAGGGAGCGGGCGCTCAGTCGGCTGCGGGGTGAGGAGGCAACGAGTCAGTTTTGCGGAACGACGACGACGACGACGACGAGAATGACAGAGAGAAAGAGTGAGACGCACCTTTGCCGAGCCGGCCGCCTTGCTCTTGCGCTTCTTCTTGCCCTTCTTGCCCGCCTTGGCCGGCTTGTCGCCCTCGAGCGCCGCCTCGTCCTGCCCGTGCCCGGCCTCGACGTCGTCGCCAAAGCTCGTGTCGCCCATGTCGCTCGCGCCGTCGAGCTCGTCGCCGTCGCCCTGCGCGGGCACGTCGAGCTGCTGCGCCTGCGCCTGCGCGAGCGGCTGCTCGGCCTCGGCCGCGTCCTCCTCGACCGCCGCCGGCTTGTGCTCCTGCGCACCCGACGAGCCCGAGCCCTGCTGCTCCCACGCTTGGGCCAAGCTGCGCACGCTGCCCTGGCGCGGGCTGATCGGGCGCTCCTTGCGCTCGGCGGCGCGGTGCAGGCTCGACTGCGACAGCGAGCGGCCAAGGTCGCCCGCGTCGCTCGCGCCGTCGTCGCCGTACGCGCTGTGCGCGTCACCGTCGTCGTCGTCGGCGTGATCGTGACGGGGCGACGACGGCGAGACGGCGCCCTTCTCGGGCGGCGGCGGACCCTGCTCCTCCTCGCGCTCGCGCTCCTCGTCACCGTCCATCCTCTCGCCTGTCGCGCCTACGACCGCCGCCCCGCCGCCGGCAACCGCCGCGCCGACGGCGGCGCCGACACCGAGCGCGCCCATGGCGCGGCTCATGTCGTAGTCATCGTCGATGACGAGGACCGAGTTGCGCTGCTGCTCCGAGTCGAGGCCGGGCGAGTCGAGCGAGTTGAACGAGTCGAACGAGGGGAGCCCGGGCGCGGCGACGGCGGCGTCGCGCGGAGGGAGCGCGGGTGGCTCGGCGGCCGACGAGGAGAAGAAGGAGGTGGCCGAGGGAGGGCGGTCTGGGAGGGCAGGAGGGCCGGCGGCCGACAGGGCCGAGGCGCCCGCTGCGCCTGCTGCGAGACCTGCACCGGCGGCGGGCGCGAAAGGCGGCGGGAGGCTCCTCGGCGTCGCGAGGGGCGTGTGCGCCGGCGAGCGGGCGGCCGCGTCGGCGGCGAGCTTCTTGTCGTCGTCGGGGAGGGTCGCGACGACGGGAGCAGTCGGCGTCGGGGGCGACGCAGGAGGAGGGGGTGCGGTTGGCGGAGCGCAGAACTGCGAAACGAGAGGGGAGGAGGAGAGGGTCAGTGCGCGGCTCGACTCGAGAGCGAGGGCGGCGGCGGACAAGGGACGCACCTTGCCGATGCTGGCGACCCAGCCACCCATCTCCTCCCACCCGCCATCGACGCCCTTGCACCTCACGACGTGCCTCGCGCCGCTCCCCTCGCCCTTGCCCCCCTTGCCCAACGTCTCGATCAACGTGAAGACGGCGTCGAGCGGCTGCTTCTTCTTGGCCGCCTTGGCCGCCGCGGCCGGGTCGGCGTCCGGGTTGGGCGAAGGAGCGGGCGCAGGCGTCGGCATGGGCCCGAGCGTGCACAGGGCGAGGTTGAGCGACAGGTGCGGCGACGAGTGGAGGAGGAGGTGCTGCGCCGAGGGCGTCAACGGCGGGTAGCTCGCCGTGCTCGGATTGGCGGACGGCGACGCCTGGTCGGACGAGAGCGAGGCCGAGTCGGTGTCGTCCTCGGCGGCGGTGGCGTCCGTCGAGCTCGAGGTGGACGAGGCGGGAGCGGTCGCTGCGGCGGTGACGGTCGCCGGCGGGGGGCCGTAGATGTGCAGGTGGCCCGACGGCGTCAAGATGAAGTAGGCTGCGGACGGGTCAAAGGGCTCGTCAGTGAGGGAACGTGCGCAAAGGAGAGGGCGCGACGAGCGAGGGGGACGGACCGGGCTTCCAGCTCTTGAGGATGCTCGTCTGGCGCTCGAGGAGGCCCTCGCGGACGACGGTCGTGAGCACGTCGCCCTTGCCGTTCCACACGACGTCGTCGAGCGTCTTTGGGCGCGTGTCGGGGAGGACGAGGTGGTTCAGGCGCAGGAAGTGGTGCCACTCGGCGTCGGGCGGGACCGAGTCGACCGTGGCCGACAGGAACATCGACTGCTGCTGGTTGCCGAGGAGCATTGACGAGCTGGGTGATTGGGCGAGAGGGTTAGTCGGGAACGAGAGAGAGGGAGCGCGGCGAGGAGGCGAAAAGAGAGACGGTCGACGCACTTGGCTTGCTCCCACGCGGCCCAGCAGCGCTTGATCTCGACGAACGTGTCGCGCTCCTTGACCTCGGTGCGGTCGCTCCACAGCTTGACGGCGGCGAGGAGGTCGTTCTCGCGCACGACCTGGAGGCGCAGCTGGGCCTCGAGCTGGGCGCGCAGGAGGACCGGGTCCTCGAGCGGGGCGAGCGAGGGCGCCGAGAGCGGGAGCGACGACTGGGTGAGCGAGGTCGAGAGGCGTGCGAGGAGCGGCGCGGCCGTGTCGCTGCGAGAGGGGGACCGAGCGTCAGTCGCGAGAACGGGAAGATGGCGCGCTCGAGGAAGAGAGGAGGGACGGACCGCTCGCGCTGGACGGCGTCGACGTGCTTGCCGAGGTCCTTTTCCATGAGGGCGAGGTGCTGTTTGAGGTCGACGCGGCAGCGCAAGAGCGGGCCGACGACGTCCTTTGTGATGCGCTTTGCGAGCTCTTGGTGGGCGTCGGCGGTGCGCAGGTTGGTGTCGCGCGCCTCCTGGAGGATCTGCTGCCAGCCCTCGGAGCCGTTGCCGCCGAGCGACATGGCGGCATCGTGTGCGTCTTGGGCTGCGCCGGGCGACGCGGGCGAGGTGGACGACGACGAGGGCGGGAGCGGGATGAAGAGGGACGCCTCGGGGAACGGGGTCGCGATCGGGGTCGACGACGGGTGCGAGAGCTTCTTGAGAGTGAGAGCGTGCGAGTTGTGGGCCTCTGCGATGCCTGCGGAGGGGATGGACGGAGATACGTGAGGACGCGGTCGAGGAGGACGAGGGGAAGGCGAGGGCGCACCCTGGTAAAAGGTGGCCGTGTCGCGTGCGATGCGCTTTAGCTGGTGGCCGCGGTTGATGAGGATGTCGCTCGACTTGGCGGCTGGTGGAGGAGGGAAAGCCTCGGCGGGAGGATGGCGAGCTGCTTCGAGCGGGCTCTTTGGGTAGCCGTGCGAGGTGGTGGCGGATGCGCCGTACGAGCTGAGGCGCAGCATGGTGCGCGCAGGGACAGCTCTGTCGGTGCGACGAGAGCGAGAGAGGGAGCGACGGCGAGAGACGCGACGAGGAACAACGAGCGGACGCGACTCTGAAGCTCCAACCCCGTCTCGACCCTCGAGCGACCTGCCTGTGCTCTCAAACGCCGCCCTGTACCACCCAGGGACCACTGCGCGACCCGCTCACCGACCAACGCGCGTCGCCGCGTCGACGACTCGCCCCCGTCGTCCCCCCAGCCCATCCTCATCACCTGCGTCCCTCGGTTCACCCCCGAGCCTCAATCTAGTGCTGCCTGCCACCACTGCGACACCCGACAAAGTCCCACACGCCCTCGCGCCCAACATCCACCTCGTCGCCGTCGAGTAAACACGGCCACCGACTGTGCGTGACTGATCCTCTCTCACCTCGCACCGCCTACAAAGGCGCGCTCTGGTAGGCTCTGCCGCGACCTACACACACTGACTCGGTACCTGTCCCTCCCTCCAGTCCTCCAGCCGCGACGCCGACACTCGACCTCGACCCGTCCTCCCCCACCTCGCACCGCCTCGCGCCCAACGCCTCGCCTCGCTGCATGGCGCCCGCAGCCGTGCCCCTCGTCGCCGTCGAGCAGCCGCACGACGTCGGCCTCCCCTTCCAGCTCCCGGCCTCGTCCCACCCGTTCCCGCCCGCCGCACCCTCTCCTCCTCCCGCTCCCGACGCCGCGTCCTCGACCGACGCCAACGCCGACCCGCAACCCGCCGAGCCCGTCGCGTCGACCTCGTCGCCGCGAGCCCGCCGCAGCACGACCCGCTCGCCTCGTCGACCCTCTCGCGCCCTCGGCACCCCTCCTCCGCCGACCCAAGCGCCCTCGCCCTCGGTCAACGGCCTCGCCGTCACGACCCTCACGCCCACCTCGCGCTCCAACCCCAAGTCGACCACGACCCCGCGCCGAGTCGGCCCCGGCGGCCTCCCGTTCCTCCCGGCCTTCTCGCCGGCCGACACGGCGTGCGCCTTTGCGGCGGCGACCGCACCCTCAACAAGCACGGCCGCGGCGAGGACCTCGTCAGCTGCTACGAGTGCGGCAGCTCGGGCCACCCGACCTGCCTCGAGTGGGACGACTGGGGCATGGTCAAGCGCGTAAAGGCCTACGCCTGGCTGTGCCAGGAGTGCAAGCGGTGCGAGGTGTGCGACGAAAAGGGCGACGACGTGCGTCCCACTCTCTCTCTCTCGCTCTTTCCCTTCTCTCAAGCGCACCCGAGCCTGACCACGAGCGGTCCCGTCACGCAGGACGACATCCTGTTCTGCGACTCGTGCGACCGCGGGTGGCACCGCCAGTGCCTCACGCCGCCGCTCGCGTCGATCCCGCGCGGCAAGTGGACCTGCCCGACGTGCGTCGCCCAGAGCGAGCTCGCGCGCCTCGGCAGCATCCTCCCGCCCGACCACGGCAAGCGCGCGAGGAAGCAGGCGCGCCCAGTCGGGCTCGTCAGCACGCCGAGCCAGGCCGACCTCGAGCTGCCGTCGACGACGACCATGTCGTTGCGGCACCCGAGAAAGGTCAGGAGCGAGTCGCAGGAGGGCGCGGCCGAGCCGGCCTTCAAGCGCAGGAGGAGCGCCATGGGCTTCTTTGCGCCCGGCGGCGCCGTCACCGACCGCAAGGGCAAGAGCAAGGCGTTCGTGTCGGACTCGGACGGCGGCGACGGCGACGAGGACGAGTACGAGGACACGTCGATGGCCGACGCCGACGAGGACGCGCTCGCGGCCGCCATGCTCCTCCCCGCCGGTTCGACCGCGCTCGCCGCGTCGACCCCGGCCGCCGCGCTCCACCCGCGCATCAAGGTCCCGCGCCTCACGCTCAAGCTCGGCGGCGCGTCCTCGGTCCTTGACGGCGCCGGCGAACCCTGGGTCGACCCGACCGCGCTGCCGCCGCCGCCGCCGCCCAAGCGCGGGCCCGGCCGTCCGCCCAAGAAGCCGCGCCCCGAGCGCGACGCCCGCGACCGCGACCGCGACGCGTCGTCGTCGGGCCCGTACCGCCCGTGGCTCGCCCCTCGTCCCGACGTCGCCGTCCCCTCGTCGCCGACGTCGTCGCTCGGCGACGGCGACGATGCCGCACACGGCGGCGGCGACGAGGGCTACGACCCGTACGGCGGGCTCCTCAGCGCGGCCGAGGCCGATGGGACGGGCCGTCGGCCGGACAAGGTGGACCGCGAGCGGTTCAGGGAGGCGAGGAGGGCCGCAGAGCTGCAGGAGAGGGTCCGAGCGGCGGCGCTCGAGGCGGCGGCCAAGGGCGGCGGCGCGAGCGCGGGTCGGTCGCCGGGACCAGGTGCGGCGCCGCTGCCGGCAGCCGGAACGCCGAGCGGCGCACCTGCTGCGGCGGGCGTGCACGAGTTGCGCCCGACGAGGACGGCGACGCCCTCGGGCGCGGCGACACCTCTCGCGCCCTCGTTCTCGGCCCTCCCTGCCCTCCCCTCGCTCGCCACCAACAACGCGTCGAGCACGAGCACGAGCACGAGCGCGGCCGTCGTCCTCCCGCCAGCGACGCCCGGCGGCCTCCCGATCCGGCCCATCACGCACCTGCGCATCGGCGAGTTTGAGCTCAAGACGTGGTACCAGGCGCCGTTCCCGGACGAGTACACGCGCGTCGCCGACGGCCGCCTGTGGGTGTGCGAGTGGTGCCTCAAGTACATGAAGAGCGGGTTCGAGGCCGAGCGGCATCGGGTGCGTCCCTCTCCCTCTCTCTCCTTTCCTCCCTCCTCGTCGAGCAGGATCGTGGACTGACCAAGCTCGACGACCCGCAGCTCAAGTGCAAGATGCGGCATCCGCCAGGCGACGAGATCTACCGTGACGGCAAAGTGTCGGTCTTCGAGGTCGACGGTCGCAAGAGCAAGGTGCGCTCGCTCTCCCTCTTTCTCTCCCTCCTTTTGGCCTCCCGCGTTCTCTCGAGCACTTTACTGACTCTCCTTCCACCCGTCGTCGTGTCGGTCGCACTCGTCAGATCTACTGCCAGAACCTGTGCCTCCTCGCCAAGCAGTTCCTCGACCATAAGACGCTCTACTACGACGTCGAGCCGTTCCTGTTCTACGTCATGACCGAGTCGTCGCCGCAAGGCGCCAAGTTTGTCGGCTACTTCAGCAAGGAGAAGCGCTCGCCGACCAACAACGTGAGCTGCATCATGACGCTCCCGGTCCGCCAACGCCGAGGGTGGGGCAACCTCCTCATCGACTTTAGTGCGTCCCTGTTCTCTCTCTCTTTCCCTCGTCGAACCGGCGACGGTGACTGACAAAGCCTCGGTCCACCTCGCGCGCAGGCTACCTCCTGTCGAAAAAGGAGGGTCGGGTCGGCACGCCCGAGCGCCCGCTCTCCGACCTCGGCCTCCTGTCGTACCGCAACTACTGGACGCTCACGCTCGCGCAATATTTCGCGGCGCTGCCGCCCGTCGACGAGCGCCAGGAGCGCGACATTCGGTTCGAGGGTGCGTCGGCGACGTCTTTCTCTGTCTGTCCTCGCTCCTCCATGAGCAGCGCGAGACTGACTCGAGAGATCGGCATGTACGCAGACATCAGCAAGGCGACGTCGATGACTCGCGACGACATCTACTTCATCCTGCACGAGCGAGGGTGGATCATCGACCTCTCGAAGAACAAGTCGCCGCCCGTCCAGCCCGTCCCGCCGCCGCTCGCGTCGGCGCAGCAGCCGCAGCAGGTCAACGGTACGAGCACGAGCGCAACGGCGACCAGCGAGATCCCGCACGCCCCGTCGCCCGAGCTTGCCGCACCTCCCGTCGACGGCCCTTCCTCGGCGGCTGCACCCACATCCTCGACAGCGACTGCGCCCGCACCTGCACCACCCGCACTCGGCGCCGTCTCGACGTTCGTCCTGCCCAACCCGGGCTCGGCGCCGTCGTCGGCCTCGCTCCCCTCTTTGCCCGCCAACCCTTCCCCTGCGCCGGCCGCCCCGGCTCCGCTCCCTCCTCTGCCGTCCACCTCGGCCGCCGCACCGGCTCGTATCGTCGCCGAGTCGACGCCCAAGCCGCAGAAGCGCGCGTGGGGCGGCAACCAGTGGACCAAGCTCCGGCAGCAGCGCGAGCGCGAGGCGGCCATCGCCGCCGGCCTGCCGCCGCCGCCGCCCGTCATCAGCACGCGCGACCTCAAGCGTGACGCCGACGGCGGGCATGCGGCGCCGGCGACGGGCGAGAAGCGCAGGTGGGGCGGCAACCAGTGGACGACGCGCAAGCAGCGCAACGCCGTCGCGGCGTCGACCGACAAGCGCCCAACGGCGGCGGCGGCGCACCACCACGGCCCGCAGAAGGCGCCGACGATCCCGGCGGCGTACAAGATCGAGCCGTCGCAGGCCGAGGTCGAGGCGTACCTCGCGCGGCACGCCGAGACCAAGAAGCAGTGGATCCGCCTGCGCCCGACCGCCTCAAGTGGACGCCGTTCATCGTCACGAGGGGCTTTGGGCTCCAGGTCGAGGTCGGCAGCACGGCGTCGACGGCACGGTCGGCCTGCCCGAGGGCCAGAGCGGCGTCGGGGCCAAGGGCGGCGACGACTCGCGGCAGCAGGGCGCGCAGGTCGGCGACAGCGCCGTGGTCGGTGCGCCGGCCGAGGCCGGTCTCGACGAGCCGAGCCCGTCGGTGCACGGCGACGACGAGGACGACGACGACCCGTTCCTCGACCCGGAGCGCGCCACGTCAGCAACGTCGCGTTCGTCGCGCTCGCGCTCGCCTTCCTCGTCGTCGTCGTCGTCAGGCGGCGACAGCGACGACTTTGACCGGTACGGCGGGCCCGTCGGCAACAAGCGCCGTCGAGCGCCCGCACCGCGCCAGAACGGCTCGCGCACCTCGGCGCGCCGGTCGGCCGCCAACGCGGCGCCGCCGTCGACGCGCTCGCTGCGCACGACGCGCCAGCGCTCGGCCTCGACGCTCGAGCACGGCTCGCCGGCGGCCGGCCCCGCGCTGCTGCTCGACGACGACAACGTCGAGGAGGAGCAGGAGGACGAGCAGCCGTCATCGTCGCGCCGCGGTGGCCGGCCTGCCGCGCGCCGAGCGTCGCGCGTCGCGTCCCGGGCGCTCGCCGAGCAGACGGCGGCGATCGCGAGCTCGTCGAGCGACGACGAGAACGGCGAGCGCGCGAGTCGGTACCGGCGGCTTGCGGGCAGGAGGGCGGGCTCGAGGGCCGGCGGTGCTGGAGAGCAGCTCGTCATCGACGAGGAGGAGGACGTCGATGCCGAGGGCGAGGTCGAGGTCGACGAGGAGCGCGAGCAGGAGCAGGAGCAGGAGCAGGGCGAGGGCGCGCTCGTGTCGCCCGAGCTGTTCGCGGGCAAGGCGCCGCTCGAGCTTGGCGGAGGAGGAGCGGGCACGTCTGAGCTGGGCCTGCAGCTCACGACGGCGCACGACGGCGGCGACGTCGTCATGCAGGCGGCTTGAGCTCGAGCGTGCGAGCGAGGAGGAGGACATTATCTGCCGTCGAGTAGCGCTTTTCCCTGTGCAAAGCGCGAGTTGAACTCTTTCTTGTGCACTCTCTCTCGAGAAGCAGAAAGGATGAGAGACGACTAATGATGACAACAAGGGGGAGGAACTACAGCTGAGAGGATCTAGGCGAGCCGCGTGCCGAGGTCACTGAACGAGGGCGAGGTGAACCCGGGCGAGGTGGACGAGGGCGAGGGAGGAACGCGCTCGACCGTCGACGACCCTGCCATCGCGGTGAAAGCGAGTGCATCGACGACCGATTGTGCCTTGGCCGCGAGCTGCTGAAGGAAAGGAACGTGAGCGAGCGTCCTGATGAGGTGAAAGGGAAGGGTCACAGCTCACTCGTGCGCCTTCCTCGACGACAAACTCGTCTGCGGCGAGCTTGTACACGTCGGCGAGGTCTTTGACGGGCTCTGTGAGAGAGACAGAGTCAGGTCGGCGAGAAGAAGCGAGGCAAGAGGAGACAGGCGAGGCGCACCTGGCAGCTGATCCGGCTCCACGCCGACGAGTTCGAGCCAGTAGACCTGCGGCTCGAACGGGGGCATCTCCTCTCCCTCCTCGGCCTCCTGCACCTTGAACTCGTGGAGCGCCTTTTGCTCGCTGAGCGGCGGCGGCGGGCCGGGGAGGGCGACGTCGAGCTGGGCACACGCGAGGACGACGGCGGCTGCGGCGAGGACGGGCGGCGTGTACAGGAGGCACAGCGGGGCGGACAGCCTGCGGGTCGAGTCGAGGGTGAGTTTGTGTGGCCGAGGAAGAGAGCGGCGAGAAGGGGGACGCACGAGTCGTTGAGAATCATCCACGCGACTTTGGCCACCTTGTCGCCCACCTCCTGCTCGCCCTCGCCGACCCAGGCCTTTCTCGCGACCGACACGGCGATCCAGTGTGGGTGTCGGACCGTCAAGTCGAAGCACAGGACGCGCAGCATGGCCTCCTCGTGCGCGAGGACCTTCTGGCGCACGTCGTTTGCGCGGTGAGGGTCGGCGAGCTCGTTGGGGTCGAGGACCCACGAGAGGAGCGTTTTGAGCGATCGGGGCTCCTCCTCGGCTTTGCTCGCGAGGAAGATGGCGGCGGCGGCGGTGGCCTGCGCGAGCGAGGGAGGAGAGGTCAGTCGGGGCGGTGCAGGAGGAGGGAGAGGAGAGGGAGAGAGAGAGAGAGAGGGTGCGCACCTTGTGGTCCCAGTCCTGGAAGGTCTCACGCATGTAGAAGCGGTGCACAAAGGTCGCTGCTGCCGTGACGACGGCCTGGCCGCTGCGAGTCGGCGGGGGAGGGAGAGGAGAGGTCAGCTCTCACGGCCCCCGGAGCGAGCGCAGAGAGAGAGGGTGGACGCACAAGGTGCCCTTGTCTTTGCTCTTGTCGCGCATGTTCCACAGCTGGCGCACGGCCTCCTGGCGCAGTGCCCGCTCGCGCGAGAGGGGCATGCCCGCGCGAACTGATGGCGGCAGCGCGAGCTCGTCGCGCGAGTAGTACCACTGCGGCTCGGTCAAGGAGGCCACCATGTCGAGCTGCACCATCCTACACTCGCGCAGCCAGGGCACACAGTGAGCACAGAGAGGTGAGGGGTGAGGACGAGCCGCTTCCGCTCACTCCGAGTTGGCTCACCAGAGAGACAGGCGACGGCAGAGTGCGAGGGGAACCAAGCGTGTTGCACAGTAGACACTAGACACAGGGCACTGATCAAGCGAGAGAAGGACCGGGGGTATCAAGAGACTGCGAGAGAGAAAGAGGAAGAGGTCCGACCAGCGGAACCCGCCGCGCGGTCAGTACACCATGCCGCTCGACGCCTCGTGCTCCTGCTCGTGCGCGTGCGCCATCTGCTCGTCCTCCATCCGCTCGAGCAGCTTGGTCGTCATCGAGCTGAAGCTCGGCCGCTGCCCGGCCGGACCGACGCCCCCGAGCCCGCTCAGCGAGCCCTTGCGCGGCACCGACGACGGCGCCGGGAACTGGAAGCTCGACGCCGTCGGTGACCCGGGGCCACCGGCCGCAAAGTCGTCGTCGGCGAACGCGAACGCCGGCCGGACGGGCGAGCGGTGCACCTCGGACAGGCGGCGCTCGTGCGCGCTCGGCGCGGCCGACAGCGTCGACGACAGGCTCGACGACTCGCCCACGTTGCTGCTCGTCGCCGTCGGGCTCAGCTCGAGGCCGAGACCGATGACAGGGCTGCCCGTGTGCGAGTGCGAGTGCGAGTGGGCGTTGACGTGCGAGAGCGGGTGCGAGAGCGCCGGCGAGGCGGCCGCGACCGACGGCGACGGGTGGCCGTGCGACAGGAGCGGCGACGGGTGGCCCTGCGACATGTGCGGCGACGCCGACAGGAACGCCTGGCCCATCGTCGTGGCCGACGACGTCGAGCCCATGCTCGGGCCGGCCGCGACCGTGAGCGCCGGCGACGACGCGAGCGACGACAGCGGCGACGACAACGACGACGATGCGTGGTGCGTGTCGAGGTCAAGCGCGCCGACCGACGACGCGCGGCGGATGCGCAGGCCCGAGAAACGCGTCGCGGGCGAGTCGACGTGCGTCAGGGCCGGCGACGACAGCATGGCGTTGCCGTGGCCGTGCGACAACGACGACGACGACGGGTGCGGCGGCGGCGGCGCGAACGTCGTGTAGCTCGCGCGCTGCTGCGGCGGGTGCTGCGGGATGGGCGCCGACAACGAGCCCGGGTACATCGGGTACGACGAGGGCCCGTGCGGCGAGCCGAGGCCCGGGTGCGGCTGCTGCGGCGCCTGCGGGTACTCGCGGCGGAAACCCGGCTCGCGGTACTCGTGCGGGCTCGAGAACATCGAGACGCTGCCCTCGTACGGCGACTGCTGCGGCGACGGGAGGAAGTGCTGCTGAGGCGGCGCCTGGCGCGACGAGTGCTGGCGGTACGGGCGCGGCGGGTAGTGCTCGAGCTGCTGCTGCTGCACGTGGCGCCCGTGGCGCGGCGGCGGGTCGTCGTAGACGAGCTGGCGCGAGACCTGGCGGCGGCCCGGGATCGAGACGGTCGCGTTGCGCCGGCCGCGAGCGCCACTCGCGCCGCGCGTCGACCTCGTGACGGCCATGACGTCCGTCACGTCCGAGCCCTCGATGTAGTCGCCGTCGCCGTCGTCCTGCGCGTCGAGGCCCATCTCGTCGTCGTACACCTCCTCGTACACCTCGTCGTCGTACCGCGAGCGCAGGACGCGACGACGGCGCTCGCGCTCGAACCGCTCCGGGTTGGTCTGCGGCGGCGTGAGGTACGGGTGGGCGCCGTGGTGCGATACCGAGCGGTTCATCGGCGGCGCCTTGGGGAGCTTGCGCGCGACGGGCTTGCGCTCGCGCTCAAAGTAGCCGGGCGCCGACCAGGCGCCGGGCGACGCGTCGTGGCGGTGCTCGAGGTGCGGCGGGTACAACGACGACCTCGTCGGCCCGCTGTCGAGCTGGCGGCCCTGGTCGTCGTAGTACGAGTACGTCTCGCGCGGCGGCGCAAAGTGCATGCCGCCCTGCTGCTCGAGGCGCGGCGTCTGGTAGGCGTGCGCGCCGCCGTCGTCGGGCGTCTGCGGCGCCGACTCGTAGACGTACTCGAGCTCGTCGAGCGGGATGTCGTCAAAGTTGGCCGACGACACCGTCTCGGGGTTGTCGGCGTACTGGGTGTGGTTGCGGCGGATGTGCTTGGTCAAGGTCGTCTTGCGGCAGAAGCTGTGGAACGAGTCGAAGGAGTCAGTATGGTCGAGAGGGTGGCCCGGGACGCGAGGGGCGAGACGAGGACGCACGTTTTGCGGCAGTCGGCGACGAGGCACGCGTAAGGGCGTTGGCCCGTGTGGATCTGCGCGAGCAACCGAGTCAGACGCCGCACAAGAGAGAGAGAGAGAGTCAAAGAGAGGGAAAGAGGGACGCACACGACGGTGGCGAGCGAGACTGCTCGAGTCGCTGAACGCCTTGGTGCAAGGACCCCACCTGCAGACGTGCGGCCGCTCACCCGTGCTGCGTACAAGCAGGCTCGTCAGGACGGCTCGCTCGGAGGACAGGGAGGGAGAAGGAGGACGCACTGGGTACGCTCGTGAACCTTGAGCGCGCTGCGCTGGATGAAGTCGCGGCCGCATCCCTCGAACTCGCACGCCCACGGGCTGTTGACCGGGTCGGTGCATGCGCGGTCAGGTGGGTGCTCGGTAGGGAGAGAGAGGGAGAGAGCGAGAGCAGACGCACCGGACGCCCTTGTGGATGCGCTCGTGGCGCTCGAGGTCGCTCTTGCGCGCGAACGCCTTCTCGCACTCGAAGCTGCAGGCGAACGGGCGGATCGTGGCCGGCTCGTCAGAGTCGGAGACGACAGGCATGGTGAGCGAGGTTGGTGTGGGTCGGTGGTGGTCGAGGACGGTGTCGGGGGACCGGCCTGCTCGGGGGTAGAGAGGAGAGGGGACGGGAGGAGGGGGAGCGAGAGGGAGAGAGAGGGCGTGAGCGAGGGGTGCCGAGGGACGACGAACGCGCGCTTGGGCCACGTACCGATGCAGACGAGCTGGCGAACGGGGGCCGGGAGAACGTGGTCGGCTAGCGCGCGATGAGGCGGTGAACGGCCGGCGAACAGGAGAAGGCGAACGGCGCTCGGGGTGGTGGAGCGGAGGCAGTACGGCGACGGCGAGCAAGACGAGAGGCCGGCTCTCTTGAAAGTGCAGCTGGGCGAGGGTGGGAAAGAGGAGGACGAGAGGGAGGGAGCTGAGCGAGGAAACGGGGAGAGCGCAGAGGTGGAGCCCACAAAGGCGCGCGTACCGCACGGCCCTCGTCCTCGTCGTCGCCGCAAGAAAGGAGCCCGCTCCTGTGCGCTTCTGAGACTCGCACCATCCGGCTCGCCCGGCCGCGATCGTACAGTGCGCGCAGACCGTTGTCCGTCCGCGGGAGAAAGGGAGCGCGTGCACACAGCTTGAACGGAACAAAGGGCTCGTGCGCGTCGAGCGCTTTGTTCGCTCTTCGACGAGGAGGCGTCTGCGCACTGCAGCGAGCAGCAACGTGCTCCATCGTGCGACGACGAGCTGCCGCTCCAGCGATGTCCGCCGCGCCAGCTGAGGAGAGCACACCTCCACCGGCTGCCGGCCGCCCGGCTAGCTGCTAGCGCGATCTCGTCTGCTTATCGACGAGCACCGCCTGGCCGTCGGCGAGCGCTCGTGGCGAGAGGGGCGGACGCAGAGGCGGACGACGCGCCATCTTCGCTCGCGGCTCTCCTCCTCCCCCGCATACACTCGCCGGTGGCTACCGCTCACCCTGCTGAGCACAACGGTGCACGCGCTAGACCGCACCGGCTCGCGCGCGCGCACCTGCGCCGCCCCTCCCACGCCGCCTCGTCGTCCAGCAGCTCCAGCCAACTCGTCCCGCCTTCTCCACCTCCCACCGCTCCCTTGCGTGCTCGATGAGCCGTGCGACCTAGCCTGCTCGGCTGTAGCAGTATACACAGCGGCGGCGGACCCTCTTGCCGAGGAAATGGCGAGACGACCTCCTCGTCGCTCGGCCGTGTCGCCGACTCGCGTCTGCCCCTCGCTGGCGAGCTCTTGTGCGCACTGCTGCTCCAACCGCTCCAGCAGCCTGTCGAGCATGGGCACAGCTGCCCTCGCCACGGTACCGGGCCTGCTCGTCTCGCCCGCCGCATCCCAGCTCGCCCCTCCTCCGCCTCGAGCCAGCTTCGCCTCGCCTCATCAGTCAACGTGCCCCGTTCTCGCTTCTGCCACTCGCACAAGGGCTCGACGAGGCGACTACGGCGACTTTGGCCCAGGCGATTATGGCTGGGGTGGGTCCTCTGTTCTCACTTTGCCTCTCTCTCGACCGAGCAGAGCTGACCTCGTCTCGTCGCCTGCGCAGGCACCGACGTCGTCACGACGACGCTCACGACTCACGTGTGCGTCCGCCTTTCCCTCGACGAGGAGGACGAGCACGAGCAGGGACTGACGGGCGCGCACGCAGGACCGACCACGATCCCGAGGTCACGACGACTGTTTGGACGACTTTGGGCGTCCCGGCGAGCGAGACGACGGGCAGCGTCGTCTGGGTCACGGTCTATGAAGGTGCGCTCCTCACCATGTGCCTCATAAGAAAAAGGGACTGACGGCGCGCCCCTGCAGGTCCGTCGACGACCCTCACCCTCACGCCGCAAGTCGTCACCGCCACGGTCTTCCCGACCTCGACCTCGCTCGCCACGTCGACCATCGTCGAAGCGCGCACGACCTACGAGACGCAGACGACGCTCACGACCGCGACCGTGCCCGCCTTGTCGACAACCGTCGCAGGCCCTTCCTCGTCCAGCTCGTCCGAAACGCTCCCGACCACGCCGCCGCCGTGGCTCACCCTGTCATCGACCGCGACCCCGACTACTTCGGCAACCACTCGTACACGGTCAACGTCGAGCGCCGCCAACCCGTCGGCGCCAGCGGCGCCGGCAGAGGCGGACTGCCAGCCGGGCGACGAGAACGAGCGCGAGCCTGGGCTGTTCAACCTGACCAAGGAGCAGGCCTTGACTCTCTTCGTCGCCGGCATCTGTGCGTCCTCTGTCGCTCCCCTCGACGCCAGTACCGTCACTCATGGTTGCCCTCGCTCGTCGCAGACGCTCTCGGCATCCTCATCTCGTGGAACCTGTTCGGGATCCGCCACCTCCTGTACCCGTTCAAGTCGTTCACAGCCCTCGTCCACGAGTCGGGACACGTCGTCGGCATCCTCGTCTCGGGCCAGCCGCTTCACCGGTGCACGATCGACCCGAACGTCGGCGGTGCGACCAACACGGTGCCTGGGAGGACGCTGCGCGCGCCAGGCCTGTACGGCGGGCAGGTGACGTCGGTCGTCTTCGGCGGGCTCGCCGTCTTCGCCGGGTTCAGCACGCTTGCGAGCAAGTACGCCTCGTTGGTGCGTCGCTCGGACCTCCTCTTCCTCCTTCCTCCCTGTCTTCCCGGCCTCGACTCACGCTCGGCCGCCCGCAGGTTGTCATGGCCCTGTGGCTCCCCGTCATCGGCCTGCAGGCCAACATCCTGAGCATGCTCGTGTGCGTGTGGCCCCTCGCGCTCTTGGTGCGTCCCTCTCGCCCTCTCGTCTCGAGGATTGCCTCACCGAGCCTATCTCTTTTCCAGATCGCGATCTGGTGCGACCTCTCTTCTCTCGTACTCTCTGTCTTTCCGACGCCCGACGACTGATTCTCATCCCCGAGCAGGTTCATCGAGAGTGCGCGCGGCCTCCGATTCTACATCCTCTTCCTCGGCGGTGCGCCCTCTCCCATCTTCTCTCTCTGCCCGGGGTCCAGAATGATTGACTCTGTACCTCTCGCAGTCCTGAGCACCTTCTACATGTGCGTCCACGACGTCCTGCTCAACCCGTGCCGAGAACTGACCCTCCCGACCGACTCGCAGCGTCTGGGACACGATGGTGCGCCCTCGATTTCCCTCCTCTCGTCCCTTAAACCCGTCTTGACTCTCTCTCGTACACGCAGGACGACTTTCTGCACCGGTGAGGCGCTCAGCTACAGCGACGACCCTCTGTCGACGTCGCTGACCTCGCTCGCCGCACGGTCCTCGCAGGAAGCGGAACGAGTGCTGCGTCGTCATGCTCGAGTCGAACACGGCCGTCCCAGCTTTTGTCGTACGTCCTCGCTCTCTCTCTCTCGCGCCCCGAGCCCATCGACCGCACACTGACCGCCCTCGTGGCACGCCGCAGTGGTTCCTCGTCTGGCTCGCCATCTCGTGCGTCGTCGTCGTCGGCTGCATCCTCGGCGCCCTCGCGCTCTTCCGACAGACCGAGCACGGGATGTGCGTCTCCTCTCTCGACCCTCGTCCCCTCTCGAAGCGGTAGAGCCGGCCGAACGTGGACCTGACGGGCCAGTCATCCGCCGCGCAGGTACTGCGAGGGCCAGACGTTCGCGCCGACGTAGCCTTGACCGGCAGCAATGTATGACGGCGTCGTCCGTCCTTCATCGAGCGCAGCCGGCGGCGAGAGCGGGTCTCGAGAGCACGTTGGGGCGGCACGACCGAGAGGTGGGTGGCCGCCGCCTGGCAGTCGCGGTGGAGCTGCAGTTCGCGCGATAAGCCTGCGAGCTCGGTGCGGGCCTCGAGGGGCAGGTGGCGAGGTGGCGGAAGGAGTGGTTGGAGCGGACGAGGGCGACGAAGGTGGAAGATGCCATGACGACGACGAGGGGGCGAGGCGAGCTTGGGAGCTCTACCCGCTCGAGCTGCGGTCCGAGGGCGAGGCTGAGCGGGCACAGCGAGAGTGGCCAGCGAGCTGCAGGTCCAGCTGGACTGTGCGCGAGCGAGAGGCGAAGCGCGGGGACCGAGCAGTCCGTCGTCGTCGCCAAGTTGCGCCCGCTCGTCCTCGCTCTCCTCTCCCTCCCTCCACCCTCCACCCTACTTCTCGTGAGCCCGCCTGTCCTCGCCCGACGCACCTGTACAGCCGCTGACACTCGGCCCATCCCTTCCCACCCTCCGCCTGTCGCAACTCGCCCTCTCTTCGTCACTCCGCCGTCCCTCGGTCTGCCACCACCTTCCCTCGCTCGCCTCCCTGCGGATCCGCCACCAGATCCAGCCCATCATGCCTTTCCAGCCCAACCAGGACGACGTCAAGGCGATCAACACGATCCGCACCCTCGCCCTCGAGTGAGTCGCCTCGGTCGCCTCTCTCCCCCAGCCCGCGCCCGCTCGTCTCTCGCCCGAAGCGAGGACGATCTCGGCGGATTCCCCCCGCCCGAGTTCCTGCGCTGACTGCGGCCTTCCTCCCACTCTACAGCACGGTCAACAAGGTGCGCCCAGCCGTCGTCGAGCTCTCGCACGAGATGGCATCGCTGACCCACCTCTCCGACTCCGCATTTCCCCTCGTCCCTCTCCACCCTCGTCCCGCCTCGATGCCCGTCATCCGCCAACCTTTTCCTCTCGCCTTCCCCGTCGTCGACCACCACGCACACAGGCCAACTCGGGTCACCCGGGCGCGCCCATGGGCATGGCTCCGGCCGCCCACGTCCTCTTCTGTGCGTCTCCCTCCCTCTCGCTCTTTCTCGTGCAGGGCTCCTCCCGAGCCCTTTGCGAGATGTGGCAGAGCGGGTCCGCTGACTCTCCCCCACCGTCGAAAGCGCGCTTCTTCAACTGCAACCCGAAGAACGCCCAGTGGCTCAACCGCGACCGCTTCGTCCTGTCGAACGGCCACGCCTGCGCGCTCCAGTACTCGCTCCTCCACCTCCTCGGGTACAAGGTCTCGATCGAGGACCTCAAGAAGGTGCGCCCCAGCTCTTGAACCCGTCGCCTTCCCGCCCCCTCCCTCGAGACCTCGTCGACTGACTCTTCCTCCTTCGCGCCCTGCAGTTCCGCCAGCTCGACTCGATCACCCCGGGCCACCCTGAGCTCGGCGTCACTGAGGGCATCGAGGTCACGACCGGCCCGCTCGGCCAGGGCTTTGCCAACGCCGTCGGCCTCGCCATCGCCCAGGCCCACCTCGGCGCCACCTTCAACAAGGACAACTTCTCGATCTTCGACAACTACACCTACATGTTCACCGGCGACGGTTGCCTGATGGAGGGTGTCGCGTCCGAGGCGGCGTCGCTCGCTGGGTGCGTCCTCGTTGCCCTCGTCCTGGTCGACGCGCTCGAGCCCTCTCCTCGGCTCGAGCGTGCGCCCTGACGGGCCTCCGCCAGGCGCACTGACACTTCCTCTCGCCACCTACAGTCACCTCCAGCTCGGCAACCTCATCGCCGTGTACGACGACAACCAGATCTCGATCGACGGCTCGACCGCGATCGCGTTCACCGAGGACGTCGGCAAGCGCTTCGAGTCGTACGACTGGCAGGTCATCACGGTCGAGGACGGCAACGACGACCTCGAGGGCATCTACAAGGCGATCGAGCAGGCGCGCGCCGAGAAGAACAAGCCGTCGCTCATCCGCCTCAAGACGACGATCGGCTTTGGCTCGCGCGACCAGGGCACGCACGGCGTCCACGGCAACCCGCTCAAGGCCGACGACACGGTCGAGATCAAGAAGAAGTTTGGTTTCAACCCGGAGGAGTTCTTCGTCGTCCCGGACGAGACGAAGAAGATCTACGCCGACATTGCCCAGCGCGGCGCCGAGGCCGAGGCCAAGTGGCAGAAGTCGTTCGACGAGTACAAGGGCAAGTACGCCGACGAGGCGGCCGACATCGAGCGCCGCGTCGCGGGCAAGCTCCCGCAGGGCTGGGAGAAGGCGCTGCCCGAGTTCAAGCCGACCGACGACGCCGTCGCGTCGCGCAAGCTGTCCGAGGTCCTCCTCGCCAAGCTGTCGACCGTCATCCCCGAGCTCGTGTCGGGCTCGGCCGACCTCACGCCGTCCAACCTCACGCGCTGGAAGAACGCCGTCGACTTCCAGCCCAAGGCCAACGGCCTCGGCGACTACACCGGCCGCTACATCGTGCGTCGCACGCTCTCTCTACCTCTCTCTCTCGCTCTCCTTCGCCCGTGCGACGAGCGAGAGTGAGCAGCAAGACTGAGCGCTAACCTCGTCGTCGTCGTCCCTCCCTTCCCCTTCCTCCCCCTCCTCCTTCGCCCGCTTCTCTCTCTCTCGCAGCGCTACGGTGTCCGCGAGCACGGCATGGGCGCCATCGCCAACGGCATTGCCGCGTACGGCGCCAACCTCATGATCCCGGCGATCGGCACCTTCCTCAACTTTGTCTCGTACGCCGCCGGCGCCGTCCGCCTCTCGGCCCTCTCGCACCAGCGCGTCATCTGGGTCGCCACCCACGACTCGATTGTGCGTCCCACGTCTCTCTGGACTCCTCCCTGAGCCTCTGGAGCCCTCACTGACCCTCGGAATCGTCCTGATCAGGGCCTCGGCGAGGACGGCCCGACGCACCAGCCGATCGAGACCGTCGCACACTTCCGCGCTCTCCCCAACTGCAACGTCTGGCGCCCTGCTGGTGCGTCCCCTCTCTCTGCACGTCGTCGTCGTCGCTCGTCGTCGCAAAGTGACTGACTCGCTCTCGACCTTCTCAGACGGTAACGAGACCTCGGCCTCGTACTACATGGCCCTTACCTCGACCCACACCCCGAGCATCCTCGCGTGCGTCCCCTCTCTCTCTCATCGTCTCGTCGTCTCGATGCCTCGTCGTCGTCGTCGTCGTCACTGACTCGCGACCTTCCTCCGCAGGCTCACCCGCCAGAACCTCCCTCAGCTCGAGGGCTCGTCGATCGAGAAGGCGAACAAGGGTGGCTACACGCTCGTCGAGGTCGACGGCAAGGCCGACGTCACCTTTGTCGCGACCGGCTCCGAGGTCGCCATCGCCGTCGAGGCCGCCGAGCTCCTCGGCAAGCAGGGCGTCAAGGCCCGCGTCGCGTCGCTTCCCTGCTGGGAGGTCTTCCGCTCGCAGTCGTCGGACTACAAGCTGTCGGTCCTGCCGGACGGCGCCCCGATCGTCTCGGTCGAGGCCTACACCGTGCGTCCCCCTCTCCCTTTCTCTCCCTTTCTTTCTCCTTCCCCTTCTTGCCTCGCCCTCTCCCTCCCCTACACGAGCCTGCCTGACTCGTCTGCTCCCTCCCTGCGCAGACCATGGGCTGGGCCGAGTTCTCGCACGCCCACTGCGGTATCGACACCTTCGGCGCTTCTGCCCCGGCCGGCCAGGTGCGTCGGCTCCCCCTTCCCCTCCCGTGCCTCTCTCTCCTGTCCCCCTTACTGACACTCTCTCGTCGTCGTCATGCAGGTCTACAAGAAGTTCGGCCTCACCGGCGAGGCCGTCGCGAAGCGCGCCCAGAAGGCGATCGACTACTTCCAGAAGCTCGGCCACCCGGTCTACTCGCCCCTCTCGCACCAGCTCGCCCTCTAAGCGAGTCTCCCCTTGTCCCCCTCGCCCTCCTGTAGAGATCTCCCCTCGCCTCCCTCCCTCCCTCGTTCGTCTCCTCGTAGCCTCGAGGCATGAAAATCATCGAGTTTGTGACTTCTCTGTGCGAGGACCGTAAATGAAAGCGAGAACAGAAGAGTGCAGCTGTGCGAGAGAACGTGAGCGAGTACGAGCGACTCTGTCGTCGGCGACGAAGAGAAATCGGGGGAAGGGCGTCGTGTTGTCCGCTGCAGCCACTTTTTCCTGCCCTTACTGCTGCAGGGCGTCCTCTCGAGCTTTCTTGGCACCCTGAGAGAGCGCCTCACTCGAACAAGAGGAGTTGACGGAGGGAGACTCGTTCTCGTCACGACGCGCTGATGAAGGTTTACTGCATCGCGCACGGCTCGCCGAGCTTTGCAGCTTGTTGCCGGTGCTCTCAGATGCCTACTGACTGGATTCGTCGGAAGAGCAGCCCGCAGAGCGCGAGGTCGGCTTTGACGATGCGCCCGCTCGCCGTCGCTCGGCGGCAACTGGCGGCGGCTCGCTCTCTAGCGTCGTCTCGAAGCTTTTGAGCCCAGTGACGCCTCGTACATGCGTCTTGTCAGGCTCAGAGCGGAAAGACCCGGTCGTTCGACGAGCTGCGAGGCTCCAGAAGCCGCGAGCCGGCAACTTGAGAAGGTCACAGCGGTGCTGCTCGCCCGCCGTTCGCGTGACGCAGCAGCTCGCGCAGCATGCTGTCCGACTCTCCAGTAAAGCCGAAAGCCCGCGACGAGAGCGAGACGAGCTAGCCAGTCGCGCTCCCTGTGCCTTCTCGAATCGCTCTCGAGCCTTACATTTCTCGCGAAAAGGGCGGGCGACGACGACGTCGTTGCAGAGCATGACGTGCTGCCGTTGCAGGCGATGCGCTACGACTAGGGCATGCGCTTGAAGACGCTCGGGACGTGGGCCCTGCGAGAGTCGAGGGTCGAGCGTCAGGAGGGCGCCGACCTTTTGAGAAGGGGATAGCGCGAGACGCACCAGACCTTGCGCGCCATGACGCGGTGCGGCGAGCGAGGCGTGGTAGGACACTCCCTGCGAGTCGGCGCCAAAGCGAGGCAGGGTCAGGAGGGCGAAAGGGGCAGGGAAGGGAAGGGAGGGGAGGAGCGGACGCACCCGCGAGCCTCGGTGAGCAGGGCAGCCTTGTCGGGGTGCAGGGCGACGTACAAGTCGGTCATGGTCGGCTCGACGACGACCTCGGTGGCCTGGAAAAAGTCGCCGCGGTGCGGGTACAGCGCCGGCCCGCCGCGAAGACGGTCGCCCGCGAGCTCGAGGTCGAGGCGGTGCACATAGTCGTGCCAGCCGGGGCTCTCGCCGTGCAGCTCGAGGACCGAGAGCTTGCGCGCCCAGTTGTCGTTCTGCTCGACGGCGGCCGAGCGCATGCGCTTGTACCACTCGAACATGGCGACCCAGAGGGCGCCGGCGACGGGGGCGTGCTGCTTGAGCCAGATCATGAGCGGGCCCACGTGGCACGAGGCAGTGACGAGGCCGAGCGACTGGACGAGCTTCGCGAACGCGGCAGGGCTGTGGGTGCCTGAGCCATGCGCGTTCTCGAGCCAGAGGATGTCGTACTCGAGAAGGACGAGCGCGACCGGGATCGTCGACATCCAGTTGCTGTACGGGTCGGCGAGCGAGTCAGTCCGACGGACGAGGTCTGGGGAAGGAGAGAGAGGGTGGCGCACTCGGTCTTGGCGAACTGAGCGGGCCCGACCTTGAACCTCGAGGCGTCGGCCAGCTCGACGGTCTTGCTGAGCGAGCTCACGCGTTTGTTGACGATGAGGAACGCCTCTTGCCACGCACTGCGTACGAGCGAGAGGGTGAGGACCGGCGTCGACGAGGACAGGTGGCGAGAGCGCGAGGGACGCACCGGCGCTCCTCCAGGTCCGACCAGACCCTGTGCTCGAGCACCTGGACCTTGACCGTCTTGTCGTCGGCGCGCTTGAAGGCCGTGATGGTCGGCAGGCGGCGCCAAGTCTCGAGCGCCTGCCGCAGCTCGTTGAAGGAGCGGCTGCGCTCGAGAGCCGGGCGGTCCGAGTTTGTGCGAGGAGGAGGTACGACGGGGTCCATGGCGGCGGCGGGTGACACGGGGCAAGCGAGCTGAGTTCGACGAGCGGGAGGAAGCAGAGGACAAAGCTGTCGAGCGAGCCAGGGCAGCAAGGCGACCGGCTTCCGGGTCCGCGGAGAGTGCGCTGAGAGGAGGCCGCGAGCGACGGACAGGGGCTCGGTCGAGCGTGTGCCCCGCCGTGGCTCGAGAGCCGGCAGAAGGGTCGCAAGCGAGCGAGGGAGAGGAACGTGGCGGCCAGCTCGCCAAGCCTGAGACGAGGAGGAGGAGGTGGCGACGACGACTCGTGCGGGTGCGAGGCAAAGTTGAGGGTATCGAGTGTGCACAAGAGAGCACTTCAAGCACAAGCAAGGAGCAGCGGAAGAAGGCGTGCGAGAGAGAGGGCCTCGCCCGCCCACGAGCGACTCGAACGAGGTCGGCCTCGACCCTCGCCCTCACACCCGGCCGCGCAGGCTCAAGTTGACCTCTGCGAGCACCAAAGTGACAACCCAGCACACGGCGCACACGACCACCGTAGCCCGCCAACGCGCACCCTCGCCGTTCCCAGGGCCTCGCAGCTCGCCGTCCAGCCTCCCGCCCTCTCCCTCCACTCTCCGCCCGTCGCCCGCTCAGCGCCAGAGCCGCACCGCCCAGTCGAGCACTTGCACCGCCCCGAGCCGCCAACTCGCACCACCGCGCCCGCCAGCTCGCCCGAGCTCGCCGTCCCACTCCCCCCCTCCCCAGCTCCCCACCTCGCAACTTCGCCGTCCTCGCCTACACCGCCCCTCGACCCCCTCGAAGCACGCTCGGCGCGCCATGCAGCACTACGGTCAGCCAGACCCGTACGGCCAGCACCACCCGCACCCAGGCCACCCGCAACACCCGTACGGCCTCGCGCCGCAACAACAACAGCACCCGGGCCACCCGCAGCAACAGCAGCAGGACCTCGACGGGCCGGGCACCCGCAAGCGCAAGGCGGCCCAGATGCAGAGCGGCACCCCGGGCGACGACGACGACGACGAGAAGCCCGGCAGCGACGCGGCGAGCGCGGGAGGGAGTGCTGGACAGGCGGCCGCAAAGGCGACCAAGGGCGGCGCGAGCGAGTTCGTCAAGAAGCTGTACAAGTGCGTCTCGCCTTCTCTCTCTCCCTCTCGGAGCGCACGTGTCCTGACGGTCGTGGCTCGCCTCGCGCAGGATGCTCGACGACGGCCAGTTCCAGGACGTCGTCAGCTGGGGTGTCGACGGCTCGTCGTTCGTCGTCAAGGTGCGCCTCGTCCTGTCCTCTCTCCTTCTTTCTCAAGAGCGCAACGACTGACGCCGCCCGAGCACGTCTGCAGGACATGAACCAGTTCACGACGGCCATCCTGCCGCTCCACTTCAAGCACTCAAACTTTGCGAGCTTCGTCCGTCAGCTCAACAAGTACGACTTCCACAAGGTCAAGAACAACGAGGAGGGCCCTAGCCAGTACGGCGACAACGTGCGCTCGACCTTTCGCTCGGACCCTCGACGAGCACGAGCAGGCGGACTGACCTCTTCCTCTCTCTCGCGCCGCCTCGCAGACGTGGGAGTTCCGCCACCCGAACTTTGGCGCCAACATGAAGGACAGCCTCGAGAACATCAAGGTGCGCCGCTCGCTCTCCCACGCCCTCCCTCGACCGAGTCGAGCAGCTCTGACACTTGTTTCGCCGTCCCGCAGCGCAAAGCGCCCGCCGCCAAGAAGGCGCAGGCAGCCGCCAACGCCGCTCGTGCTCGTCAAGGTCCTCCTCCTGTCGCCGGCAACAACGGCGGCCCGATGGACCCGTCGCACGGCAGCGTCCCGAGCGGCGCGACCGGCCACCACCCGCACCACCCGCACCACCCGGGCGTCGGCGCCGGCGGCGGCGGCGGCGGGCAAGGCGACGCGAGCCTCCAGGCGCAGCTCAACGACCTCGCGAGGACCCAGGTCGCCATGCAGCAGCACATGACCAACCTGAGCCAGGACTACCAGGCCGTCATCGGCGAGATGATGAACTTTCAGCGCAACATGGTCGCCCAGGACCAGCTCATGCAGAACCTCATCCAGTACCTCGTCAGCCTCGAAGCCGGTGCGTCCCCTGCTCCCTTCCTCCTCGTCGTCGTCGACGTCGTCTCGGCGAGCGGGCGCTCACTCTTCTCTCCTCGCCCGGACGCAGACTCGAAGGGCGCGACGCAGCAAGACCCCTCGGCGCCCTACGTCCCGTCGTCGCAAGCGCAGAAGCTCATCTCGTCGTACACCGAGGTCGCGCGTGCGTCGTACGACCAGATGGCCGACCTCACCCGCCGCGCGTCGCTCTCGGGCGCCGCCTTCCCCAACCTCCCTCCCCTTCCTCCGCCGCCGCCGAGCTTCGGCCAGTTCGACTTTGGGCCGCCGCAGACTCGCGGGCGCGACGGCGAGTCGCAGCAGCAACAGCAGCAGCAGCAACAGCAGCAGCAGCAGCAGCAGGGCCCGCCGCAGCAGGGCAACGGGCGGCCGCAGTACGGCGAGTCGGTGGGGTCGGCGTCGGGAGGAGCAGGGCAGCAGGGGCAGCAGCAGGGCGGCGGCGGCGGCGGGCCCCAGCCGCAGTTCATCCACCCGGCCTACTCGGCCGACTACCCGCCTGCACCACCCGCCGGCCCGTCGCAGCAGCAGCAGCAGCAGCAGGCGCCTCCTCAACAGCAGCAGCCGCAGCAGCAGCAGGGCGAGCGACCCGGCACGGGCCCGCGCCGCAAGAGCAACGTGCCCGGCTGGACGGTGCCGCCGCGGGTCCTGCTCGTCGAGGACGACGCCGTGTGCCGCAAGCTGTCGAGCAAGTTCCTCGAGGTGTTTGGGTGCCAGATCGACGTCGCCGTCGACGGCGTGAGCGCCGTCAACAAGATGAACACGCAGAAGTACGACCTCGTCCTCATGGTGAGCCCTCTTTTTCCCTTTCTCTCCTCCTCGTTCGTCTACTCGAGCATCGTCACTGACTTGCCCCCCTCCCTCGTGCCAGGACATCGTCATGCCCAACCTCGACGGTCCGTCCCCGTCCTCCCCCTCTCCTCGACCCGTCGCCTCGACCTCAAACTGACCCCTCTCGCCTTGCCCCTCACAGGCATCTCTGCGACGTCGCTCATCCGCCAGTTCGACCCGATGACGCCCATCATCTCGATGACGAGCAACTCGGGCCCGAACGACATCATGACTTATTTCTCGCACGGTGCGTCGCCTCGTCCTTGTCCCTCTTGTCGGTCGTCCGAGGCTCTAGATCTCACAGACTGACTGTGGCTCGGACGTCCCGCAGGCATGAACGACGTCTTGCCCAAGCCGTTCACCAAGGAGCACCTGCTCAGCATGCTCGAGGTGCGTCGTCGAGTTCCTCTTGCGCCTCTTTCACGCGCTTTCGCCGCGACGAGTCACGCGCTCACAGCGCCCGTCTCGCACGCACGCAGAAACACCTCGAGCACCTCAAGCTCATGCAGCAGATGGCCGAGATCCCGCGCGCGCTCGGGTTCACCGACCACCAGATCCAGGACGCGCTCGCCCAGTCGGTCGTGATCCCGGGCGAGGGCCCCGACGGCGGGCAGCAGGTCATCAACCCGTTCTCGAGCATGGGCATCTCGGACCAGGACTATGTCGAGATGCTGCAGGGCATCGCGATGGAGAAGGAGGGCAAGAGGGGGCTCGAGGTCGTCCGGGCCGAGGGCACGGCGCGCTTCCAGGAGGGTGCGTTTCTCTCTCTCTCTCTCTTTCCCTCGTCTCAGCCTTTCACTGACAGTCCACGGTCGCACGCAGTCCAGTGAGCGCTCTCGGTCGCCGCGTCGTCGTCGTCGCCGTCGTCGAGGCGAGGGAGGGAGGGAGGAGCTGGTGGTTGTCGCGCCTGGTCGGAGGTTGTAGCATTTCTGTCGGTTATCCGTGCTTGCAGTGCCCATACCCCTTCTCTCTCTCGCGAGCGCTATCTCTGTGAGAGCGAGCCAGGCGGTGCTGTCGAGCTCGAGCCTCGATCACTCTCGGCTCCGCGTCCTCATCTCTCCCTCGAACACCCGCTCGCTCTCGCTCAAGATGGCCAGCCGCGAGGAAGCCGTGTGCGGTGCGTCCCAGGCCTGCACCCTCTCCCTCCCCTCGCCCGTCCTCGTCGCTGACCCCGCACTCGCTCCTGCCAGAGACGCACCTCTACATCCTGTCGTTCCTGCGCGCCCACGCCCTGCCCAAGACGGCCGCCGCCCTCATCAAGGAGCTCGACAAGCAGCCGTGGACCAACCCCGCCGGCGTCGAGCCCGCGCTGTCGCTGTCGGGCACCGAGGCCGACGCACGCGTCGCGCGCGACAAGCTCACCGGCACGGAGCTCGTTGGGCTCGTGAGGGCCAGGATCGAGATGCGCAAGGAGAAGTGAGTCGCGTTGTGCTCCCCCCGCCCCGCTCCCCATCTCCCTCTATGTCGGTGTGCGGCAGGCGAGCGATGGTGCGCCGTGTCGGGGAGGACGACGCCGCCGCCCTCCCCACATGGCGCTACTCGAGTCGTGCACGCTCACGCACAGACAGCTGACATGCCCTCTCACGTCACGCAGGGAGGCCAAGAAGGCCGCGTCCGCCGTCGACGCCAAGGGCGCCATCACGGTCGACGACTCGTCCTCGTCCTCGTCGTCCGACAGCGACAGCGACAGCGACTCGTCGTCGTCGTCGTCCGACAGCGAGTCGTCCAAGGAGGTCGAGAAGGAGGTGCTCCCCAAGGACAAGCTCGCCGTCGTGCAGGCCGAGCGCGAGGAGGCCAAGGCGGGCAGCAGCAGCAGCAGCAGCAGCAGCAGCAGCAGCGGCTCGTCGAGAGACAGCAGCAGCAGCGACGACGACGAGGCGGCCGACGCCAAGAAGACCGACGCCAAGAAGAGTGCGGGTGCGTCCTGCGACGGCTCTCTTTCCTCTCCTGCTCAGGGCGAACCTCGCTCACCCTGTTTCCTCCTCGACAGGCGCCTCTTCCTCCTCCTCCTCCTCTTCTTCCTCCTCGTCCTCCTCGGGCGACTCGTCCTCGGACGACGAGTCGGACAAGGCCGTCAAGGCGCGCAACCCGGCGTCTGCGCCCAAGAAGGCCGCCTCGCCCGCACGGTCGCTCGCCCCGCCGCCGACTACGCCCGCACCCGTCACGCCCGCCGCCAGCAAGAAGCGCAAGGCGGCGTCGTCGAGCGGCTCGTCGTCTTCTTCTTCGTCTTCTTCTTCGTCATCGTCGTCGTCGTCTTCGTCGTCGTCGTCGAGCGGCAGCAGCTCTTCCGACTCGGACTCGGCCCCGGCGCCCAAGGCCAAGGCCAACAAGGACAAGGCGTCCAAGCCGGCGACCAAGAAGGCGCGCGTCGCGTCGCCCGTCGCCGCCGCCGCCGCCGTGCCCGTCCCGGCCACGTCGACCGAGTGGGAGCCGCGCCCGCTGCCGCCCCGGGTCGCGCAGCAGGCGGCCGACAGCGGGTCGGCGAGCGCGAGCGGGAGCCCGATGCCGTCGACGACGACGGGCCGGTTCCGCCGCGTCAAGGCCGAGGAGGTGACGTTCACCGACGAGCGCCTCAAGGACAACTCGTTCGCTGCGAGGGTCCGTCCCCTCTCTCTCTCTCTTCCTCCCCATCTGGCGACCTCGAGACCTGACCCTCTCTCTCTCCCTCTCTCTATTCGCTCTCTCGCAGCCCGCCGGCATGTCGGACTATGGCGCAAAGGCGTCGGCCGACCTGATCGTGACACGCGGCAAAGGGTTCACCAAGGAGAAGAACAAGAAGAAGCGCGGCAGCTACCGCGGCGGCGAGATCACCATGGCGAGCCACTCGATCAAGTTCAACTACGACTAGGCGGGCTGTGTGGGCGGTGGGGCCGGCGAGGGCGAGGGCGAGGGCGCGCGCAGGAGGGCCCGAGCGAGGAGGCGCTCTCGCTCGGACGGGGTCTTGGCCCTCTCGATTATTGCATTGTCAGCATGTCGTTCTTTCCTTTCTCTCTCTTTCTGCCTCTTGCGAGTTACGATCGGAGCGCTCGAGCGAGGCGAGGACGAAGAGAGAGAGGGCAAAGTGGTGCGTAACGATACAGCGGCGAGGGGTACAACAGAGAGCTCGACCCGATCCTCCTCCTCCTCCTCCTCCTCGTCGGCATGGTCGTCGTCGTGCTCGTCGAGCGGGCTCAGATGCGGGGCCGCTCGTCGCCGGCGTCGGGGGTGCGGGCGATGGTGGCGGCCGAGTCCTTGTGGGCCTTGCGCGCGAGGCGCTCGTCCCTCAAGCGGGCGAGCTCGGCCTTGAGCTCTGCCGTGTCGCGTGGAGGCTCGACCTGGTGGGGGTGCGAGAGGGAGCGTGAGCTCGTGTGGGGGCGATCGCGAGGAGAGAGAGAGGGAGAGAGTTGGGACGGACCTGCTTGATGTCCTCCTTGCGGTAGTCTGCGCGGTGGGGACCGACCCAGCGTTCGTACCAGTCTGGGTCGCCGTAGTGGAGCATGGTGGCGACTGGAGCAAAGACGTCTGTGTGAGGAGGCGGGTGAGTGGAGAGCGAGGAGGAGGAGGAGGAGGAGGAGGAGGAGAGGGGGGAGGGACACACAGAGGGTGAACTTGAACAGCTCGAGCTGGGCTGGGGCCATGGTTCCGTGTGCAGCTAGACCTGGACTGGGCTTGGCCTGGAGAGCTGAGGTGCTTGCTGCAGCAGTCCATCCTCATCAGGTTGCGCCTTTGCCACCATCGAGGCCGACCCGACCAGCACCATCCTCGGGTTCGAGCCCGTCGTCATCTACGGCGCCGCCACCCTCGGCTGCGTCGGCCTCGGATGGCTCGCAGGCCCGACCGTCGGCGGCGCACTGTGGCGCTTGACCCACCGCCGTGTCAAGGGCGCAATCGAGGCAAAGGACAAGGGTGCGTCGCATGAACGCGCCGGCTCTCTCTCTCTCCCTCGTCCGGCCTCAGGAACGACGGGCACTGATTCGACCTTGCGACGCGCCCCCAGACTTCTTCCGCCACATCTCGCGGTGGCGAGCCGACCCGTCGCGGCAGTCTGGTCCGTCCCCCTTCCGTCCCTCTACTCTTCGGACCCTCTCTCTCTCTCTCGGCAACGAGCCTAACCCTCGCCCTCTCGCGCGCCCCCGAAACACACACAGCCGCCAACCCGTCTCCCGACTACTACGCCGAGAAGGTCGGCTCGCTGCAACAGTACCGCACCTGGGTGCGTCCCCCACCCTTTCCCTCTCCCAGTCGCTCTCTCTCTCGAGAAAACTGACTCGTGCCCGCCCTCAGCTGCGCGACCAGGCGTCGTTCAAGCGCAAGGCTCAGTTTGGCCAGGGCAAGGACGCCGTCTACTGAGCTGACGAGGACGAGGGCGGGAGAGTCGTCGAGCGGGAGAGTGGAGCCGAAGAGGAGGAGGAGGAGCAACTCGTCGTTTCGTCGCCGTGCAACTGTACATGTCGCTCTCTCTCTCTCTGTCTTTCTCGCTCACGGCTCAAGAGAGAATGTCTGTCGATCTGGCACTGCAAGAGAGAATCCTACACAAGTCGGGTCCGGCGAGAGAATAAGCTCGAGTACAGCTGCGCTCGGTCCTCGAGCTCAGTACCTCCCGCTCCACTGCTGCTGCTGCTGCGCCCGCCCATAGCTCGGCGGGTACTGCTGCTGCCCACCGTAGCCCTGCTGCTGCGGCTGCTGCTGCGGCTGGTACTGCCTGGGCAAGCTCGGCACCGGCGGCGTCGCCGTCCTCGGCGACCCGTCGTACGGCGACGGCGACCGGAACGAGCCCTTGTTGTACAACGACGAGCCGTTGTCGTGCAGGGTCGCGTAGCTGCCCGGATCGGGCCCGCCGCCACGGCCGTACACGGGGCGAGACGGCGCCGGCGAGCCAAAGTTGCCCCCGCCGCCGGACCGTGCGCCGCCGCCGCCGACGAGCGGGATCGCGTCGCCCGCGCCGCCGCCGCCGTTCTTGCCGACGGCGCGCCGAGCGTTCCGTGACGCTGCTGCGCCGGGCGCCGACGTGGGCTTGAGGAGCGCATCGTCGTCGTCGTCGTCGTCGCCGCCGGTGCCGCGCGCGCCCTTGCGGCCCTTGCGGCACCTCGCCCAGCCCATGCACATGGCGACGAGGAGGAACAGGCCCGCAGCGCACGCGCCAATGATGAGGCCGACGTGGGCCGCCGTCGACTGGCGCTGCCACCAGTTGCCGAACGCGTTGTCGCCAAAGATCGACTTGCCCGAGCCCGACGTTGGCCCCGCTTTGACGCCCTTGGTGTCGCCGTTCTTGACGAGCACTGCGACGAGAGGAGGCGCGAGCGTCAGGGTCGAGAACACGAGGGAGGAGGAGAGAGAGAGCGGGCGACGCACTGTTCTGCCCGGTCGAGTACGGCGAGTTGATGATGGTCGCGCGGTCCGAGCCCGAGATGCCGATCTGCCCGCTCGTGTCGTTGGCTGCGAGGCGAAAGGGCGCGACGTCAGTCACTGTCGACGAGGCACGCCGTCGCCGCGCTCGCTCGCTCGAGGAGGAGAGAAAAGAGGTGGGAGGGGACGCACAGCCCCACAGGTACGAGTTGACGGTCCCGCCGCCGCTCTGGCGCTTCCACAGCTGCTCGACGTGCTCGAGCTCGAACCCGCCGTGCCGCCTCGCCATGCGCGAGCCCTTGGTCGAAGTGCTGCTCGCCGCCGCCGACGACGATGAGGACGACGAGGTCGAGTTGGCGCCCGAGACGAACGGCAGCTTGAGGCCGTCGTAGCAGTCGACGCTGACCCACGCCACCTCGGCCTGGAACGCCTTGTTGGCCGTGTAGGCGGGCGACGACCAGTCGATCAGGCCGCCCGACCAGTCGATCGTCTGCGTGCACGGTCCTCGAGAATGTCAGTTCTCGGCCTTCTCGCGTCACTCGTCGCCCGTCGCGTCGCCGTGTCGTCGCGTCGTCGGGAGAGAAAGACACGGGAGAGAGGACGAGAGGGAGAGAAAGCGAGCGACGCACCCCTTGCGGGCTCGCCTTGATGCCGGCGGGCCACACCGAGAACTGGACGCGGCTCGGCGTTTGCGGGTACCGGCCGTTCTTGTCGCTGCTCTTGAGGAGCGTGCGCACGCTCTTGCCGTTGACGAGCCAGTCGAGCTGCGTCGGCGTCCACTCGATGCCGCTGCGCGCCGAAACGAGGGGACGAGGATCAGTCGGGCGCTCGAGCTGGACGATAAAGAGAGGGAGAGAGAGCGGGACGCACTAGGTGTTGAACTGCGAGGCGCGGTTGCGCGTCGTGTGCGAGCCGCCGTGCGTGTAGTCGTCGACGTCGCCCTCCCTGCACGCGCAACTTGGTCAGTTTCTCCGATCCTTGTCGACGATCGACGGCACGACGCAGGGCGAGCGGGGGACGCACCAGTACCAGTTCGACTGCGTCTCGTCCGTGTTGTTGCCCGTCCACTCGAAATCAATCTCGTCCTTGACGCCGCTCTGCGGGAAGGTGTACGCTTTGGACAATCAGTTTCACGTACGCCCGGGGCGCGTAGAGCCGATCCAGAGAGTTATCCGCTGCTCACCATCGTGATGAACGCCGTGACGACGCCCGGCGCGCCGACCGTCTTGATGCTCGCCTGGATCGTGCCGTACAGGACCGTGTCGGTCGTCGACACGCGCGTGCCGCCGCCGTTCTCGGTCAGGGTCAGGACGAGCGCGTTGTTCTGCACGATCGGCGGGTTGGACGAGTCGACTGTGGGTGCGCGAGGGTGGCCGTCAGTGAGAGGGCGGGGGAGAGAGGCTCGAGGGGGGCGAGAAAGGGAGCGAGGGGACGTACGCTTGTCGAGGGTCCAGTCGTACTTGGTCGCGTCGCCGTTCCAGTCTGCGTGGTCCTTCTGGAATCGCGAGTCGTCGGCGAACGTGTACTGCGCGAGGGAGGAAGAGCAAGTCAGCCCTGAGCTCCACGACAACCAGGTCGTGCGCCGCCTCGACAAGAGGCTGCGCGACCGACCGTGCTCGAGGAGAGAGGGGACGAAGCGTGACGCACATTCTTGCTCGAGCAGACGGGCATGGGCGCGCAGTAGCCCTGGCCGTAGCTGCCCTGCGGGTTGCACCCGCCCAAGCACGCCGTGCCCGCCGAGCAGTAACCGTATTCGCTGCAGCACGGCTGCTGCTGCGGGCACTGGCTCGCCCAGCCGCACGCGACGGCCGACGAGTTGCTGCCCGTGCCGCTGCCGCCGGCGGGGGCTTGAGCCGACGCAGGCGAGGCGCCGAGGAGGCCGACGGCGAGGAGCGAGGTGCCGAGGGCGACGAGGGTGGATACGCCTGGGCGGCTGTGGGTCGGGCGGGCGGCGGACAGGGCTGAGGGAGGGCGCAGGGCGGTGCAAGGGGTCGCGACGAGGACGAAGGGGAGGGCGGCGAGCGCGAGGCAGCTCGCGGCGCTCTGGCGGCTGCGGGAGGGGCACGAGTCAGGTGTGCGGGCCTCGAAACGCGTGTGGGAAGGGCTGGGCGCACCTGGTGCGCATGGTGGGAGCGAGCCCGGTCGGCAACAAGGCGCGAGCGGAGATGAGGGCGGACTGCCGGCTTCTGGCGCGTGTGCTGGCGCTGGTGGGTGCCGAGGGCTGGACGGGTCGACGGCGAGAGGGTAGAGCGAGAGAGACGCACACTCTGCAAGCAGGCACAGCGACACAGGCGAGAGTTGTACGAGCACAAAGCCAAGGCACGCGCTTCCTCCGGCGCGTCTCGCGCTCACTCACGATCGACAGCGACCAACTCTCACATGGTACCTCGCTCGTGCACGGGCTCGATAATGCACTCGACCCACCCCCTCGACGCCGCTAAGCGTCCCCTCCCCGGCGCACGACGGCGCACACGACCGTCACGTCGTCGACCTTGCCGCCCACCATGCCCTTGACGTCCCACCGCTTGGCCTCGGCCGCAAACGGCGTGTACACGTCCGGCCGCACGCTCACGACCCGCGCAAAGTTGACGGCAGTCTGCGCGATCGACGACGCGAGCGCGGCGTCCGACGCTGACCGCGAGCCTGGCGACGGCGACGCGCCCGTGCCGTCCTTGGACGCCGACGACGACGACGCCTCCGAGTCGAGTTTGGTGCGCACGAGCTCGACGAGCCGGGTCGTCTCGCCCTCGGCCCAGATGCTGCGGGCGGGCGCATGCTGGTCAGTCCCGTCCTGCCTCGCGCCCTCGACGCCGACGACCGAGAGAGAGAGGGAAAGAAGGACGCACTTGTCCGAATAGCCGTCCGTGACGAGCAAGACGACGTCGCCGTCCTCGAGCTGCAAGTTGACGACGTCGGCGTCGCGCGGCAGGTCCCTCAGCCACTTGCCGTCCTTCTCGGCCTTGTCGGCCTGGGCGCGCTCGGCCGCCGGCAGCTTGGACAGCTGCAGAGGCGCATTGAAGAAGTGGATCTGGGGCGTCTGCTCGTGCACGAGCCGGTACAGGACCGAGGGCGTCGGCGGGGTAAAGGTCGAGGCGTCGGTGGGTGGCGAGGGAGGAGGGGTTGGTGGGAGGTCCGAGGCGGGTTGCGGACGCAGGACAATGAAGCCGGAATCGCCCAGGCTGTACGGAGAGTTCTGGTCAGTCGCAGCTCACGCGCCAGAACGTGCGCTCGACACGCAAAGTGCGGCCGGCCGGCGAGTCGAGGGAGCGGGCCTGACTCACTTTGCGGCGTGCAGCATGCCCGTCTCGGCGTCGAGCGCAACCACACACGCCGTCGAGCTCCCTGTGTGTCGCGCGAAAGGCTAAGTCAGTGCCGGTCCTCGTCCGTGACGAGAGCGCGCCCGACAGAGGCTGAGAGAGAGCGCGACGCACCGGCGACGACGCCCTCTTCCTGCATGACGTCCTCGTACGCGCCGTCGAGCAAGTCGACGAGCGCCATGCCGCTCTCGTCGCCCTCGCCCGCCTTGGTCGGCGGCGGGAGCGCCCACCGGGCCGTGCGGACCCGCTCGCGCGCGAACCACATGAGCGACTGCGACGCGAGAGGAAGGGTCAGTGCGGTGGCCTGGGTGCAGCTTCCCACTTCTTATTCCGCAACCCATCTCTGCCCGCCGATGAACGGCGAGAGAGAGAGGGCGTGCGCGCTCGAGAGAAAGAGAAGCGCACCTGCGAGAAGTGCGACGGGTCGATGCCAGACTCCTCCCACCCACCGACGCCATCTGCGCGCGAGAGAGACTGTCAGTCAACGGGCCAGACGAGCCGCAGCCTCGCAGGCCCGAGCGACGAGGCTCGAACCCGCCTGGGACGAGGAAGCGAGAGGCCGAGACGGACCTGCAACGCCGAGCACGACGCCCTTTGAGCCGCTGCCGTCACTCTCCGGGATGCCCTCTGCGAGCCACCAGTCGTGTCCTGCGCCCTCCTTCGGCGCGTTGCCCTCGCGCATGGCCTGGTCGCGCCAGGCGACGAGCGGGTGGTCGGGTCCGAGGCCGGCGGACGCGGGTGCAGGGCGGTAGCCGGGCTTGCCGTGGAAGGCGGCCGAGGTGGTGAAGATCCAGGGGCGGGACGGTGCTGAGGACGAGGCGGAGCGGGCAAAGGTGCGGGCGGAGAGTGGGGAGGCGACCGAGGGGAGGGAACGGTGAGGGGCGCGCAGGTGGGACGCGACTTGGCGCAAGCGGTGCAATGGTGCTGCTCGGCGCATGCTGGCGGTGCTCATGGTCTCTCGAGCGAGATGTGGGAGGAGGACGAAATCGAGCTTCCGTCTCGAGCTGATGAAGTGCGCCTCTCTCTTCCTCTCGCACTGCATTGCCCGCCGTCGCGCTACAGCCGCAAGTACTCGACCACGACGCTCCACCACGATCGCGCCCGCAGCTTGCCCCGCTCGACCCACAGCCGCACCGCCGCGACGAGGTCGGCCGCCGTCTCCTGCGCGAGCGCGTACGGCGCGGCCGTCAGCGCCGGTGTTGGCGCGGCGAGGGCGACGGTTGGTGCGAGGAGAGGGTCGTCGACGACATTCGTGTGGCGAGGGACGAGCGAGGCGGAAGGAGAGGAGGAGGGGGACGGCGACAGGACGAGGGTGACGGTGCGCGTCGTCGTCGTGGCCGAGGTGCTCGTCATACGCTCGGTCTGCGTCGACATGACGTACGCGGTCGACGTCGACGTGCGCTCGACGGTCGTTGTCGCCGTGACCGTGTGCGTGACGGGCGTGCGCAGGAGGGACGTGACGGTCGAGAGGACCGGCGGCGGCGAGGGGGTCACCCGGGTCGGGGCGACGGCCGAGAGCATGGCCGAAGCAGGAGGAGGGAGGACGGAAGGGGAGAGGGCGTGGAAGAGGAGGAGCGCGGCGAGGACGGCGGCGAATTGGGCGAGGAGGGACCGCGCCGACCATGCGGGCGAGGCGTCCCGTCTCGGCGCAGAAGGCGGTGCGGGTCGCTCGACGATGGTGGCCTCCTTGGGCGCGAGAGGCTGGAAGGCGAGGTCGAGCTGGACGGCCGCGGTCGGCGAGGGCGAGGCGCGAGTGAAGGTGACCTCGGCGCCGGCGCCACCTCGCCCGAACCCGCTCGGCCCGTCGCCGAGCTCGTATCCTGCAGACGTCGTAGAAGATTAGAGAGGGAACGACATAGCGAGTGAGAGTGAGAGATGAGAGGGACGGACCGTGAGGGACCGAGACGACGACGACGAGCTTGGCGACGCTCGACTCGAACCCGAGCAGGTCGAGCTTAACCACCTCGCGCTTCGCCACCCACGCCACCGGCACGTCCACCTCGACGACCGCCTCGCGCAGCCCCTCGACCGTGAGCGCGCCCTCCTTCTCGACCGGCTCGACCGTCGCGCCGCTCGCGCCCCAGCCCTCGAGCGGGCGGATGGGTCGTCGCGGCACGCGCAGCTCGCCCGTGTACGGCTGGACGAGGACGTAGCGGTAGAGGAGGCGCCAGGTCGCGGCGCCTGCGGCGGAAGAGGTGGACGGCGGGAAAGGCGTCACCTCGACGCGGACGTGCGAGAGGGACCGAGTCGGCGTGCGGGCGAGCGGTGGCGACGGGGAGGCGGGTAGTGGCGGTGAGGATGGCGCAGGTGTAGGTAGAGAGGGGGTGGCGGGTTGCTCAGTGCGGGTCGAGACGTCGAGCGGTGCCGGCTCGTCGGCGTCGGGTGCAGGCTCGTCCTGCTGCGCCTCCTTGACGGCGAGCGTCGAGGACGCCTCCTCCTGTTCCTCCTGCTCCTGCTCCTCCTCCGCCACCTTGATCTGGTCCCGCTCCTGGTCTTCCTCGACCTCGTCCCGCCCCTCCTCGACCGCCTTTTCCTCGTCCTCTCGGGCCCGTCGCTCCTCGTCCTCCTCGAGCGCGACGGGCGCCTCCTCCTCGATCAGGAGCGGCGGCGGCGGTGGGGCCTGCTCGCGCTCCACCTCGACGGCCCGCAGCTCGACCTCGACCGCCGGTCCCGGCGGCGCGCCCGCCCAGCGCGACGTCGCCCAGCGCGCGCTCCGCCCGAGCGCAGGCAGTGGGCTCGGCGGCGCGTTTGACGCGTCGACGTCGACCGAGGCGGCGGCGCTGAACACGCTCGGGATGACCTCGACGCGCAGGGTCGGCGAGGCGGACGAGACGACGATGAGCGCGTCCTCGCTCTGCGCCGCCGGGATGTGGATCGGCGAGAGCGCGACACGGCCGTTCTTCGAGATGGTCGACTCGGGCGAGTAGACGAGGAAGAAGCGGCACGCGAAAGTCGGCGCGGCGGGCGGGTCGGGCAGGGTCGAGGCGGCGGCGAACCGGCGCAGCGCCTCGCTGACGTCGAGCTGGATGCGCAGGTGCGCGCCGATGATGGCGACGGGCACGTCGCCTGTGGGCGTCTCGGGCAAGAGAGGCGGGACGGGCGAGCTGTGCTCGGTCGCGCCGCTCGACTCGACCTCGTCGCCGCCCTCGGCCGACGCGCCGTCCTCGAGCGCCGACACCTCGAAGCTCATGTCCATCGCGCTCGCCTCCGGGTCGAACGGCGCCGGCGTCCTCATGAGGCTCAGCCCGCCGCGAGGTCCTCCCGCCGCGCCGACGCCCACCGCCGCCAGGTCTCGGCGCCGCTCGTCCTTGCCCGGGCTCGACTGCATCTCGGCAAAGCTCGTGTCGAGCACGGGCGGTGCTGGGGGCGCCGTGTCGAACAGCGACGTGAAGCTCGGCGGGCGAGCCTCGGTCGCGCGAGGGTTGAGCGGACGACGGCGCGAGGTCGGGGTCGGCGTGAACGGGAACGAGGGCGTCGTCGCGACCGAGGACGTGACGCTGCTCGAGGCGAGCAACTGGAGCGAGTCGTCGAGGACGGGCGAGGCAAAGTCGTCGAGCTCGCGAGGCAGGGGAGGAATGAAAGGCGATCGGGCAGGCGGGACCGGTGCGGGCGAGGCGGTCGACACGGTCGTCGCGGTCGACGCGCGGCTCGAGATGGGCCGAGCAGACGCCTGCGGCTGAGCCAGCATCGACGTCTGCGCGTAGGCGAGTACGGGCGTGTCGCCCTCGTCGTCCCAGCTGAGTCGCACCTCGGGCAACTCGTGCGTCGCGAACTCGAGCTCGACCCAGGGCTTCTCCCTCAGGCCCGCAAGCTCGAACTCGCCCGACACGCGCACCTCGGCCGTCGCGCCGCCTCGCTCGTCGACCGTCCACGCCGTCTCGAGCGACGCCCGAGGAATGACGAGCGGGACGTCCTCGCCAGCGGCGAGCTGCGGCGCCCACCGCAACGAGAGCGACGGCGATGACGGGAACGAGCCCGTGACCTGGGTGGCGCCGCCGTCGAGGTCGGTCGAGTCGGCGTTGCTGAGCGAGGGCCGGATCGAGAGGTCCCAGGCGGACGAGGCGGAGGAAGGTGTCGGGGAGGGAAGGGTGAAGGCGAGCTCCGATCGGAGGCAAAGCGGCGTCGGAATGGTGACCTGTGGAGGCACGACGTCAGTCGATGCCGCCGAGACGTGCGTCCTCACGAGAGAGAGCGTCTGGGCGCACCGAGTTGGCGAACCGCGGCAACCGCAGCGCCCCAAAGGCCATCTCGAGCTCCAGCACAACAAGGAATTCTGCGCTCGCCGTTGCGCTCGCGTGCGGCGACGTCGGCCGCGGCGCACTCGACTGCGCCTTGGCGCGAAGGCCGTCCTGCGCCGCCGACACGATCGACAGCACGACCTCGCCCTCGCGCACCGACACCTCTGCGCTCCTCCTCTCTGCGCCGTCACTCGTCGGGCTCGACAGCCGCTCGAGGAGGTCGGACGCCGCCGAACTGCGGCGCCTGACGCGGCGCAGCGCCTCGTCGTCGTCGCCCTGGCGGGGAGGTACGGCGCTCTGCAGGCCGAGGTTGCGGGCGGCGGCGTGCGCGGCGGGAGGGTCGGCAGGGTGGAGCGGTAGGGCGTAGGTGAACGACTGGGCGAGGGTCGAGAGCGGGTCGAGGGCGAGGAGGTGGTGGTGAACTGGGGAGTACGAGGCGGAGGTGGGGACGACGACCTGCAGGCTCGCTCGTGTGAGTGCGAGAACATGCGGGCGAGAGAGAGAGTGAGACGCACCTTGCAGTACAGGCGAGCAGTCACGCCCTGGTCGTGTGCTCGCGCATCGACAGCGAGCCGGCGACACAGTCGCACGGCGGCCGACGACGGGCTCGAGTGGGCCTCGTTCTGCGCGGCGGAACCAGGTGGGGCCATGCCGACGGTGATCGTGAAGCTCGGCGGGCGGTCGACGCTGCTCCAAAGAGGGCTGCTGGTCGGCGGCAGAAGGGTGGGGGGACGAGAGCTGATGAACCTGAGACTCGCGAGCCTCTCGCGCGGCCGCACACCGACGTCCTTGGTACTCTGCAACGCTCTGACAAGTCACTGTCACACTCTCGCTGCTCTCGACAACGAAGAACAGGCCGCGCGAAAGGAGGGTGATTGCAGCGAGGTCGAGGAAAGGGGAGCAGACGTGACATGCGGCGGATGCAGGGAGTAAACAGAGGGGAGGGAGATCGTCCAGCGGTCGTCGAGGAAAGAGAGGCGTCGTGAGAGGGAGGAGGGGAGGCGGCGCGCTCAGAGAGCTGCGCCCGTCGTCGAGTCGTCCTTCTTGGCCTGCTCCTCCTCCTTGGCGACGACCGGCTTGTCCTCCTCGTCGCCCATGTCGAGCACAAACACCTGGTCCTCGCGCTTGGGCGTCCCGGGCTCGGACGGCGGCGCCATGCCGTGCGGGTACGCGTGCGCGCCGTACATGGTCAACGGCCGCGTGCGGTCCGTCATGGTGCTCTGCACGTCCCAGTCGAGCGTGCCGGCGCCGCTGCGCACGCTCGAGTTGAACCCGCTGCCCGTGCGCGTGTGGCCGTACGCGTTGGCAAAGGGGAGCACGGGCGCGCACGAGTCGTCGCGGCGCAGGCGCCCGTCGGTGTCCTTGTCGTCGTCGTCGGCGCCCTCGAGCTTGCGCGGCGCATTGGTGCCGGCGCCCGTCTCATTGCCGCCCTTCTGCGTGCCCTTGCGCACGCGCTTGACCGTCGCCGAGCGGTTGACGGGGCGGCCGGAGTAGCGCTCCCAGTCGATGGCGAGGAACGACTTGGTGAAGATGGGGAATGGCGACGAGCGGCGGAACATGAAGTAGATGGTCGACGCGAGGAGGGTGGCGAAGGTGCAGGCGAGGAAGAGGAAGCAGCTGCGGTACGTCATCGAGAGGGTCAGTCCTCGGCTCGCGGGTCACGACGGCGAGAAAGGGGGAAAGGAGAGGGCGTACATCCAGCTGCGCGGGCGCAAGAGAGACCAGAGTCAGTCGTCGAACTTCCGGGTGCGCAGAAGAGGACAGGAGGAACCGCCGACGCACGTGAGGGCAAAGACGCAGAGGAGCATCCTGCAGATGGCGTACCCGCCGCAGTGGTACATGAGGCCGGGCGTCCTGCGCACGACCGACGAGAGCGTCAGTACCCGGTCGACATGACGAGGTAGACGAGAGAGAGAGAGAGGGACGCACTCGGCGTGCAGCGTGCTGACGCTGATGAGGACCCAGACGCCGGTGCCGGCGAGGCAGATGAGCTCGGCGGCGACGCTCCTCGAGAACTTGGCGATCTTGTCGCGTTTGCTCCCGACGGCGGCCTCGCCCTTGCCGGGGAGGCGAATGGCGTACGGGCGCGAGTAGAGGAACCAGACCGGGAAGAGGGCGCAGAGGAACGAGGTGACGACGATCGAGGGGACGACGTGCTGGAACGAGACGGTGAGGGACAGTTGGTACGCCAAGAGGACGATGGCGGCGACCATGTCGAACACGCCGGCGATGCCCGTGAGCGTCATGAGCGCCTGGCGGATCTTGGGGAGCGACGCGAGGAGGGACACGAGTGGGGCCATGGCGGGCAGCTCGTCGACAACCGTGGTAGGGTGCGTGAGAGCGTGTGCTGGCTCTGGCGGGTCTCGCGGGTGCGGATCGAGTGGCGCGAGGCCGAGTGGGCTAGTTGTTGGTCGAGGTGGAGGTCGGGGCAAGAACGACGGCGCGACGACGAGGGCGGGCGGTGTGTCGAGTGGGTGAGGGTGCCGTGTGGGCGTCTGAGGGTCAGTCGAACGAGTGGGTCGAGTCGGTGGTGCGGTGAGCGAGGTGAGGACGAGAGCTACACCCCTGTTTGCCTCGTCGCGTCCACTCGCGCGAACTCGCGTTGCAGATCTCTCAGCGGACTGACGGTGTGCGACGGGGCTTTCACAGCGGCTCTATTGCACGGACAAGCTCACAAGGCCGTCAGGTGCACCAGTCGCACCTCGCCCTCGCCCTCCCACCCTTCTGCCCCGACCAATCCGCCCTGCTGTGGCGGTTCCTCCAGCTCGACCGGCTCGACCCGCAGCCGACGTCGCTCTGCGGACAGAGAGAGAGAAGGCTCAACGGGTCAGTCTCGGTGCGAGGGAGGCGCAGATAGAGAAAGAGGTGGACGCACCGCACTCGTCGAGAAAGGTGGCCCACGTCGACTCGTTGCGGACCGTGCCCGCGATGAGCGCTTGCGGTGGCGGCGTGTCGACGTCGGTCGCAGGACGAAGGAGCCATGCGAGTGTCGCGGCGAGTAGAACGGCGAGAGAGGGATCGTAAACCTGCAGAGAGAGCGAGTCAGTACCGTCGACTTGCGAGAGAGGAGGAACGAGGACACACGATGTCGGCACCGAGGATGAGCTCTGCTCGACCGTCGTCGAAGGCTTGTCGCTCCCACTGGGAGAGCTCGTCGCCGTGTGCGTCGAGGTCGGCGGCGAGCTCCCAGTCGAGTTTGCTGCACCGAGCGAGGTCGTCGAGTTCATCTGCGAGCACGGGTCGAGCTCGTGAGCTAGTGCTCTGCGAGAGTGGCGAGAGAACGAGAGAGAAAAGGGACGCACTGAGCCCGAGATTGCTCGTCAACACGTCGAGCACCTTCTCGTCGACGTCGGTCGCGATGATCCGCCCTCGCCGCCCGGCCGCGCGCCATAACCGTGCCGCGACGAGCGAAAGGAGCCCGACACCTGCGCCGAGCTCGATGATGCGGGACGAGCGCTCGAGGACGTGCGGTGCGGCGATAAGGTGGTTCGAGAGAGCGATGCAGGCTTGCCTGTGGGCGCGAGGGGAGTCAGCGAGGTGGTCTGGAAGGAGGAGGCTCAGGTGGGCGAGAGGGGCGCACCAGGTTCGCAAGCCCGTCGTTCCTGTGTCAGACGAGCGGCTTCAGCTGGTCGTTCGAGAGCGTGACTGAGGGATCCAGAAGAGAGACAGGGACGCACCGCCGCTGATGAGCCTGCCCTCCTCCCGCGTGTGCAGACTCTCCCACTCGCTCGGCGCCTTCGACAGGTCGCCCCAGTAGTAGGTGCGGGTCGAGACGCCCGGTGCGCCCGCCGCTGCGCCGGACGAGAGGTACTCGACCATGGTCTCGAGAATGTCGGGGTGGACCTCCTGCAGGCGGTGCGGGTGCGCGACGGTCAGCTCAGGGTCGTCGGCGAGATGGGTAAGAGAGCTCCTGAGACGCACCTCGTCGTCGACCTGCTCGTCGCCGTCGGCGCGCCGCACGTCGAAGCCGTCCTCGACAGCCTTGACGACCCGCCTCCAGAAGACCTTCTTCCACGCTGCACCGCCCCGCTCCCCGTCCTGCTGGTCTCGATCGTGCTCGAGGAGGTGGTCGACGAGCCACTGCTGGGTTATCGGGAGCGAGAGCTGGCGCGAGGTCGGGAAAGGCGGTGCAGGGAGGAGGGCCGGGGACGAGGGCGACAGGGCGGCGTAGTGGCGCAGCAGGAGTGGGAGCTGGTGATCCATCCTGAAGCTGGCCGTGCTCAGCAGGAGCAGGCCGAGTTGGCTCGGCGAGCGAGAGCTTCTCCCCCTCCTCGTCCTCCTCTCGACTTGCTCCGCCGGCTCTCGCTCTCTCCGTCACCGCTATATCTGCTCAGGAGCGTGCTCGACTCGACATTGCCGGTACCAGTGGTCGTCTCGACGAGCAAGGACTATCATTGCGCGGCAGACTCGCGAGGGTGGAGCAAGGGAAGGAGCTCGGAGCTGATGAGCGTCTAGCAGGTGCGCCTCATCCTCTTGCCCTCTATAGATGCGCACAGCCTGACCTGCAAGTCAGCAGGTACCGCGTCGAGCAGCAGCGCATCGACCGCCGGCGTGACGAGCCCGCTTCGCTTCGCCGTGCCCTCTTCGTGCGACTCGAGTCCCTCGTTCGCCTCTCGATCTCGCCTGTTGTTCTCGAGAGACCTGCAGTGCACCGCGAGCCGCTGGGACAGCTACAGCTTGCCCTCGTCCGCCTCTCGTCCTTGTCGCCAGTCTGCTCCCTCGCTCGCGAGTCCTCCTCCCGGGCCCGGCAGCCTCACCGCTCGGGGCGAGTACATCGCCCATTCGACGAAGACGCACGGCTGGCGGAAGACCGAGAGGTGTGGGGTGCGGCGGCGGTGGTACAGCGTGGCGGCGAGGAGGGAGGCGAAAAGGAGGGCGAGGAAAAGGAAGGAGCTGCGGCGGGTCGACGTCGTCAGTGCGCTTGCTCTTGCTCGTCGTGCGAGAGGATGAGAAAAGCGAGAGGACGTACATCCACGCGAGAGAGTAGCACCCCTGCAGCGCCGAACAGACGAAGTACCCGCCGCACGACGAGAGAAGGCCCGGCGTCGCCGTTCCGAGGCGCGACACGCCGCCGAGGGTGAACAGGGCAGAGACGGCGAGGGACGCGAGCTCGACCTGGATTGAGGCGGCGAGGCGGCGACGAGGCGGTGCGGTCGGCTGAACCGGCGCGAGGAACCAGGCGCAGTGGAGGACCGTGAGGGAAGCGCAGACGAGGAGGGCAGGCTGTGGGAGGCAACGGGTCAGCTGGCGTGGGGCGACAGAGTAGAGAGATCTGGACGCACGACAGGCTTGTTGTACCCGATGGTCCACCGGAGCTGGTAGGCGAGAAGGGTGGCCGAGAGGATCGCGAGCACGACCGACGAGGTGGCGATGAGCGCGTACAGGACCTGCCTGAGTGTCGGCACGTAGCTCGTGTCTGCCAGGCGCATCGCTGCACTCGCTGGCTGGAGCTGAGCGAGAGAGAGAGGAGGAGGAGCTGTCGCCGAGTCGTCGTGCGGGGGAAGAGGCGCGAGCAGAAAGGGAGCGTGGGCCGGCTCGGCTGCAAGCGGCAGCACACACGGGTGGCAAGCTGCGCCAGTGCAGCATGTGCACACGCGACCGGTGGTCGAGGAGGTGACGAGGCGAGGTGGAAAGAGCGAGAGGAGCGCGAGCCGGAGTCAGAATACAAACTCTGTCGTTGACTTTGCTTGACTTTGCTATTCTCGCTGGTCGTCGAGCGGCACGCGCTTGCAGAACCACAGCCTCTATTGCACGAGGCCCTGGAGAGCTCGAGGATAGACGAGTTCACGCCTCGGGAGCCGCAGCAGGAGGATCCGCCGCCGCCGTCGCACTCGCCGCGCCCGCCTTCTTGGCCTTCTTCTTCTTCTTCTTCGGCGCCGCACCCTCGCCCTCGCGCTTCTCGCCGCTCGCCTGCGCCTGCTCGTCCCCTGCGACCGGCGCGGCGGCGCCCTTGGGCTCGGGGAGCGTCCAACCTGGTGCGGCCGTGAGGACCTCGACGCCCGTCTCGGTGATGAGGAGCGTCTCCTCAAACTGGGCCGACGCCTTGCCGTCGATCGTGGTGGCGGTCCACTGCGCGCGAGAGGAGGGAAGGAAAGAGGGACGAGGACAGAGGGTGAGACGGGCTCGGGAAGGAGGGGAAGGAGGAGGACGAGTGAAAGAGGAGGCGAGGAGCACCTTGTCGGGCCAGTGCACGTCCTTCTGCTGGCCAACGCAGATCATGGGCTCGATCGTGAAGGTCTGCGGAGCAGTCGAGGGTCAGGACGAGGCGACGAGGCGCTCGAATGAGAGAGAGAGAGGGCGGCGCACCTGGCCCGGCTTCATGACGCCGCTCGCGCGGTTGCCGGCGTAGTGCTGCGGCAGCGAGAGGGTCAGAAGGTATCCGAGTGGACGGGCGAGGAGAGCGAGGACGCACGAAGACGTTTGGCGCGGGAGCGTGGAAGAGCCTGTGCGAGGAGGAGGTCGTCAGAACGGCTCCAACAACAGAGGCAGGTCTCCTCGCCGCGTTCTGGCGGGGGCGACGGCCTCAGAAGAGAGGACGAGTCTGACGCACTGGTTGATGCCGTGCCCGCTGTACGTCTTGTTGCTCTGGAACCCGTACCGGGTCGCGATCTCCTCGATCCTCGAACCGAGCGTCTGGTACGCGACGCCCGGCTTGCACATGCGGATCGCCTCGTCGAGGCACTCGCGCGAGCACGCGATGACGTCGAGGCGCTCCTTCGAGACCGAGGCGCCGACCGGGTCTGCGTGAGGGAGGGCCGGAGCTCGAGGTCAGTCGTCGGCGCCGAGAGGGAGGTGGAACGGCGAGGGCGAGGACGCACAAGTCGCGTTGATGTCGCCGTGAAAGCCACCGTGGTAGAGCGACACGTCGAGGTTGATGATGTCGCCGTCCTCGAGCGGTCGAGCGTCAGGAATGCCTGCGAGGGGTCCGGGCTCGGGTCAGTTCCGCCTCGGACGTTGCGAAAGAAAGAAAGAGAGGGCCGAGGACGCACCGTGGCAGATGACCTCGTTGATCGACGTGCACACCGACCGAGGAAACAGGCCGTAGTTGAGCGGGCTCGGGTACGAGTTGCGCTTCAAGCACTCGGCGTGCACGATCTCGTCAATCTCGAGCGTCGTCACGCCCGGCCGAATGGCCGCCGCCGCAATGTCGAGGACCTCGCGCGAGTACTGTGCGCCCACTCAGAAGAGAGTCAGAGGCGAAAGGGAGGAGAGAGAGAAGTCGAGAGGGAAGGCGAGTGGAAGGAGGGGACGCACCCGGCAGACGACGCGCATGCCCTCAATCTCCTCGGCGTTGAGCACTCGTCCGGACCGCTCGTTGATGAGCGCCTTGCGCTCCGAGAACGAGACGCCGTTCTGGTCGTTGGCGTGGTCGGGGCGGACAATGTGGGCCGGCACGTCGCGCTTGGGGACGGGCGTCTCGGGGTAGACGGCGCGCAGCGAGCCGGTGTACTTGTGCATCTTGACCGACTGCCACGGGTCGTAGGCTGTTTGTGCTCGCCCACATAAAGCTGGGTCAGCCACGTGCGAGCGGACGACTGGAGAGCAGGGGACGACGAGGACGCACTGCCCGGCGGGAACTTGTAGCTCGCCTGCGGCTTGGGCGCGTGCTTCTTGCGGACATGGAGAGGATCTGTACGCGCTCACATCCGGGACAACTCAGTACAGGCAGGCGCGAGGCGAGCCCAAACCCGAGGAGGCGAGGAGGTGGACGCACAGTTCTTGGCGAAGCACAGCTGCGAGCAGAAGAACTGACCCGGGACGCCGAGTCTGTGTGCATAGGAAGGGGCTGTCAGTATGCTGCGCTCATCGCTGGCTGTGCACGTCGAGGGAGAGCTCGTTCCATCCTCATCGCTCAATGTTCGTCCGGCCTCTCCCTCGCCCTCGAAACCGCACCAGCGGGAGAGAGAGGACGCACTCCTTGCACTTGGGACAGGCGAGAGTGCTCGCCTTCTTGCCGCAGCCGTTGGCGCACTTGTCCGGGACCGTGGTGGTCGGCGGCGGTGCAGCCGGGGCGGAGCCGGCGGGCGAGGTTGACGAGCTGGCGTCCGTGGCGGGCTGCATGGGCGTGTCGAGCATGGCTGCGAGTGAGTCTCGGAGCAGCAAGGGCTCTTCGAGAGGTGAGGTTGAGAGCAAGAAGAGCCGCCCCGTGCGACGGTCAGCGAGGGGAGCTTTCGCTGCACAGGCTCTCGCGCAGACGAGGGGCGAGACAAGCACAGACAGCTGTACAACTGCAACAACGTCTCGAGACCCCTCTTGCTCTAGGCGCCCCTACCCCCTCTACCTCCTCCCCCTCCTGAGCAGCGCGTCCCTCTCGCCCGCCGCACCGCCGACCCTCTCGCCGTCCGGCCCGACGCTCTTGCCCCAGTCGTCGACGCCGAGTCTCGCCTGGCGCCGCTTGAAGAGGAGGCACAGGACGAGGAGCGTGCCCTGCAGGACGCCCGTGACGAAGTAGGTCGCCCACCCGGAGAAGTTGACGCCCGGGCGGACCGCGAGCGTGTAGACAAAGACGAACGAGCCAGGCGTCTGCGTGTGCGGGAACGGGAGGTCAATACGCTGTGCCGAACTCGCAACGAGAGAGAGGAACGGACGCACCTGGAGCGCCATCATGGGGATGCTCAGGCTCCCGACGAGCCTGCGCCTCGCCGTCAGGACGAGCTGCGGCGCGTACTGGGCGCACCCGAGCGCGACCGCGACGAGCCCGAGCGTCGTCGCCCACACGCGCACGGCCCTCTCGCTCGGGTGCTCCCTCCCCTCGCCGCCGCCCGGGTGGCCCGGGACCGGGTTGGGCGGCGCGCCCGGGTGCGGCGTCTCGGCCTTGGGAAGCGTGAGGAGGAGGATAAAGGTCGTGAGCGCCGTCAGGGCGAGGTGGAGGATGGTGAGGGCGAAGAGCGACACGGCGTGGCGGTACGGGCTCGAGAGGATGATCTCGCCGCGGCGCAGCTGGCCGGGCAGGATGTAGCTGCCCGGGTCGAACGCGCCCTCGCCGTCGGTCGTCGCGTCGTCGCCGTCGCTGTCCGAGTCGTCGCCGGTATCGGACGTGCCGGTGGGCTCGGCGCGCACGTAGTCGGCCGGCGTGGTCGACCGCATAAAGTCGGGGACGAGCGACGACAGGAAGGGCTTGGGGCGGCGGTGCGACGAGGGAAGGGCCGAGGTCGTGATCGGCACCGAGCGCACGTACTTGCCCGACAAGGGGTAGTACAGGAGGTACAGGACGAAGCTGCGAAGAGAGGGAGGAGTCAGCTCTCGCGAGAGAGAGAGAAGGGGGTCCGAGGGAAGAACTGGAGGAGACGCACAGGGTGAGGAACGCTGCCCATTGGAGGAAGACCTGGCCGATGCCGAGGACCGACTCGAAGCACTGCCCTGCAGACTGCGAGGTGGGCAGGTGTCGAGGTCAGTCTGGGTTGCCGGCGCGCTCGAGGCCGAGAGAAGAGGGGGACGCACGAAGTACTGGCAGCACGCAACCTGGCCCCACTGGAGGGTGACGATGTTGGCGAGGGACGAGGCGCTCGAGGTGGCTCCGAGGAGGAGGAACCAGGGCGAGTAGCCCTCCGAGTTGTGGTGGCGGACGATTCGATAATACGCCGGGAGGTAGCTCAGGACGAGGCCGATGCAGATACAGGCCGACAGGGTGAATGCGACTGGGTCGTGCTCGTAGGCGGCATGGCACGCTTCGGGCGAGACGACGGGGCGCGAGTGGAGGGCGCGCAGCGGGTCGTCGGGGGACGAGCCGAGCATGGCGGTCGAGTGCGCTCGGTGTGCGCTGCTCTGGTGGGATGAGCGGGTGTGGCCGAGGACGTGGAGCGCGACTGCTCTGGCGGACTCGGCGAGCGAATATGAGGACGGGGAGCAAGATGCTGATGAGGCGGAGGAGCGTTCGACCGAGGCGACACCCGGGCGTCTCTCCCTCTGCGCGGTCCGAGCAGCCCTGTAGTGACGCGTTTGAATGCATTGCGAGTAGCTCTGTCCACCCAATCCTGCAGCTCGAGGGTCGAGACGAGGTGCGGACCGGGTCGGCGACTTGCCGCTTCTCCTCGCGCCTCTCTCTCGCTCGACACCACACGCGCGCACGCACCCAGCACAGTAGTAGCACCGACCACGAACCGGCGCAGCGAGCCAGGCCCAGCAGCGCGCCCCACCTCGTCGTCGTCGACGCGCCATGGCGACGACCCCCGCCGACCGCTCGCACGAGGGCCACACGCTCCCGCTCGCGTCGTTCGTCGCACAGCGCGCACCGGCACACCCTCTGCCTCGACTCGTCATCGATCCCGTCCTCCCGCGACTCGCCAGCCTCGAGGCCGCCCTCTTGACCTCGAGGCCCGCCGCGCTCCTCCTCCGACTCGGCATCGCCTCGGAGCGCTCCATCGTCGCCCTCGCGCTCGCAGCCATTGCAGCTGCCCTCGCCCGGTGGCGCGCACAATGGCGCGCCGTCCTGTGGGCCCTCGGCCTCGGCGAGGCCCTGTCGAGGACCGTCGGCCTCTTGCAGCGACAAGCGGCGACCGTCGACGGCGAGGGCAAGCAGCACGGCCGGCCCGACGACGACGAGGACGGTACTGCACAAGAGACGCAGCACGTCCTGTCGTTCTGGCTCTTCTTCGCCGCCCTGTCGCTCGCCGACAGCCTCCGCTCGACCCCGTCGGGCCCGTCCTCGTCCTTCACCTCGTCCGCCCTGTCGTTCCTCGCCCTCCCGACTCGAGCGCGCGCCACCCTCCAGTCGGCTCGACGCACCTACCTCCACTTTGTCCGCCTGTGGATCCTCCCCTCGTTCTTCCGCCTGCGCTGGGCCGGCCGCGCCCTCGTCGCCAAGTACCCTCGCCTCGACCCGGCACCTCGACTCGCCTATTGGACCGCGTTCCCGTACGCCTTCCCTCGCCTGTACCCATCCCCCTCCTCGTCGCCCGCGGCCCCGACCCGACGCGCGGCCGGCAACTTTCCCCAGCCGCGCTCGCGCCCGTGGGACCCTCTCCCGACCTCGCTCCCCCTCTCGTGGTCCTACTTCGCCTACCCGTCGACCTCGAGCCTCACCAACCCATCCCTCGCGCCGACCTACTCGCCCCGCGCCGTCGCCGCCGCCGAGGCGCGCTGGGAGCTCGTCCGCCTCGTCCTCCTGTGGGTCGCCCTGCGCCGCGACGCCTGGGGCGCAAAGAGCCTCGTCTGGGACTGGACGCTCGCGCCCCTCCTCGGCGCGCTCCCCGGCGGCGCCGCAGCAGCACCCGGCGAGCCGACGACGGTCCTGCGCGTTGTGCGCGAGGTGGCCGGCCCGCGAGCAGGTGCGACGGGCCGCGGTGCGGGCGTTCGGGCATCGAGCGAGAGCGCGCGGCCGCAGACGTCGCAGGACGACCCGGACGTGCCGCTGTCGCCCTCGGGCTCGAGCTCGTCGGCGTCGGCGACGCCTCGTCGAGCGACGGCCGCCACTGGGCGCGACTACCCGACGCTATCGCCGTACGCCCTGGCGTGGACGCCGCCGCGGCCCACAGCGCCCTCGAGCAGCATCGCGTCGCGCCCTCGTGGCTCGGCGCCAGCGTCGCACGCGTCGTCGAGCCGCACGGCGTCGCCGGCGCGCCCGACCTCGGCTCGTGCGCCGTTCGCGCTGCAGGACCCGCCGGCCGCTCGTGCGGGGACGTCACGCAGCGGAGCGCTCCTCGGTGCCTCGAGCGGTGCGGCCAGGAGCGCGCGAGAGCACGGCGCGGCGGCGAGCGGTAGCGGACGAGGGCTGCTCTCTCCCGGGCTGAGCGTCGGCGGGTCGTCATCGGCGGGCGAGGGGCCCCGCAGGTCGAGGCGTGAGCAGGACGACGACGACGAGTGGGACGTCGACGCCGTGGCGGACGACGACAGCGACGTGCCGCCGGCGACGCCAGGCGAGGAGGAAGCCGAGGAGGGCGCGCGGCGGTGGGCGACCGTGCTCGCCGAGGCGCACGCGGCCGAGCTCCTCGTCGACGCCGAGGGCAGCGGAGAGCTCGTCGGTGGGGTCGTCGAGGGCGAGCGGCACGACGGCGAGCCGGGCTGGAGCAGGTGAGCGGGACGAGCAGGAGGGTTCTGAGGGGGAGGGGGACGAGCGAGTTGTCATATCGCGGCTGTTGTCTTTGCGCCGCTCTTTGGTCTGTATTGCGAGTACTCTTTGAGCTCCTGCGACTGCTCGAGAGCTTGCGCAGCGTCGTCAGGCTCGAGCCAGCTTCCACGCCCGTGCCGCCGCGGTGGTGCTCGCTTCTCTCCACTTACCGCTCGCCTCGCTCCGCCCTAGACTCGAGCAACAATGTCGACCTCTACCGCCGCAGCCTCGAATGGCGTCGCCGCACCCGCGAGCTCGACCGCCCCGCCGCCGCCTGCCGACTCTCCCGCCGAGGGCCAGAAATGCGCCAACGGCTGCGGCAAGAAGGCCGGCACTCTCGCGTGCCCCAAGTGCAAGGAGTGCGTCACACTTTCCGCCCCTCTCTGCCCCGCCCGAGCGTGTGTTCGAGGCGAGGGAGCCCGTCGAGGGAGCTCTGAGCGATGAGGACTGCCGGGGGCTCTCTCGTCGCCGCAACGGCATGCGACGAGCAGTACGAATTGATAGTCCTCTCTGACATCTACAGACTCGGCGTTCCGGGCCAGTTCTTCTGCTCGCAGCTCTGCTTCGCCAAGAACTGTGCGTCCCCTTTTCTCGCCTCCTCGGCTTCGGCTCGCCCAGCGACGAAACCCTCGCTGAAAGTATGTCGAGAGGATCCACAGACCCGCTCCATGTCAAGAAGAAGCACGTGCCCAAGCCCCTGCCGTCGTACAACTTCCCGCCGGGCAGTGCGTCCTCTCCGTTCCTCCCCCACCCTTCTACCAGGTCGTCAAGCTGACCTCCTCGCCCACCCGTGCCCTCTTCGACGACCTCGCAGCCTCGGATCCGTTCAAGACGATCAAGGGCCACAAGTACACGGGCGCGCTCCGAGCCGTGTACCCGGACGAGCGCGTCCCGATGCGCAAAGTGCCCGACCACATCCCTCGGCCCGACTACGCCCTCGACAGTGAGCTCCTCTCGACGACTCGGCAGCGGTGGAGCGGCGTGTGGGGCGGGAGGGCGTTCGCCAAGGCCGAGGAGGTGGCGCGCACGATCGCCTACGGGCTGCGAGACGTGAGCCCGACGTTCCCTCACTGACTCGCCGTTCCTCCCTCCTGTGCCGCATTGACAGAGAACGGTGCGTCGGCGTTGGAGAAGGCGGCAAACGGTACCGAGAAGCAGGGTCGTGTACTCGACGCCGAGCAGATCGAGGGCATGCGCAAGGTCTGCCGGGTGCGTCCTCATTCACTCTCTCTTGCCCCTCTCTCTCTTTACACGTTCGTGACTGACTCGCCTCCTCGTTCGACACAGTACGCCCGGGAGGTCCTCGACATTGCGGCGGCGGCGATTCGGCCGGGCGTCACGACGCTCGAGATTGACGAGATCGTGCACGCCGAGTGCATGAAGCGCGACTCGTACCCGAGCCCGCTCGGCTACCACCTCTTCCCTCGCTCGGTGTGCACGTCGATCAACGAGGTCATCTGCCACGGTCCGCCCCCCTCCTCCTCGTGATCAGCCTCTCGCGCCGAGAGAAGGCTCACCCGTGTGTCGCTCGCGCGCAGGCATTCCCGACGCCCGACCGCTCGAGGACGGCGACATCCTCAACCTCGACGTGACCCTGTACCACGGCGGCTTCCATGGCGACATCAACGGCACCTGTGCGTCCCTTCTCTGCGTCCTCCTCGTCGTCGGCCCGATTGACCCTCTCTCGTCCTTCTTCCCTCCCTCGGACAGACCCGGTCGGCTCGTCGGTCCCGCAGGTCAACCTCGACGTCATCGCGTGCGCGCGCGAGTGCCTCGACGAGTCGATCCGCATGTGCAAGCCCGGGACGCGGTACCAGGACATCGGCGCCAAGGTCGAGGAAATCGCAAAGGCGCGAGGGTTCCAGAGCAACAAGACGTACTGCGGCCACGGCATCAACCAGTGCGTCACACTCTCTCTCTCTCGAGTCTCGGTGCGCATCGACGAGGTGTTCGTCGTGCGCGGCGTTGTAGATTCGCGAGCTCACCCCTCTCGTCCTGCAGGCTCTTCCACTGCATGCCCAACATCCCTGTGCGTCTCTCTCGTCCTTCTCAGCGTCTCTCGCCCTCCTGACGACCTCTCTTGCGCAGCATTACGCCGGCAACCGCGCGACGGGCACGATGAAGCCGGGCCAGGTGCGTCTCTCTCTCTCGCCCTCTCTCTGTTGGCGCCTCGCGCCAGCAGCTCCTGACCTCGTCTCTCACCGTCCGCAGACGTTCACGATCGAGCCCATGATCTGCGTTGGGCAGCAGAAGGAGGTCCACTGGCCCGACAACGTGCGTCCCGCTCTCTCGCCCTCCTCGCCCCTCCCTCGCCGTCCTGACACCCGCCCTCGCTCTCGCCCGCAGTGGACCGCCGCCACCATCGACGGCAAGGCCTCGGCCCAGTTCGAGGAGACGCTCCTCATCACCGAGACGGGCGTCGAGGTCCTCACGGCCGCGCCAGGGTGGGCGCTCCCGCAAAAGGAGGCCGGGCCCGTCGCGGGCTCGACGGCGGCCGAGGGCGGCGCGGCACCGGGCGAGGGCGCCGAGAAGAAGAAGAAGAACAAGAAGAAGAAGAAGACCAACAAGGCGGCGGGTGCGGGTGCGGGTGCGGCGGCCGGCGAGGGCGAGGGCGATGGAGAAGGTCCGAGCGGGTCGGCAGACGGCGCAGACGAGGCCACCGAGGCATGAGCGGCGCCAGCTGCAACTAGACTTATTTCTCTCGCGCTCTCGATGCTGCAGACGACCGAGAGAATGCGCTTTGCAAGGCGAGACGGTGCTAGAGACCTGGACCCGAAACTCGAAAGCCGTTCTCCTGCCCCAGCTTGCCCAGCGCCGCCCGGTCGGCCGGCGCCCACTGCGGGGCGCGCTCGCCGTCGAGCTTGACCTCGCGCAGGGCGTGCGCGCGCGTGACGTGACGCTCGAGGAAAGGGAGGAGCAGGGCGGCCGAGGTCGACGCGAGGGGCATCTCGAGAACCTCGAGCGACGGCGGCGCGAGCCACTCGAGGCGGCCGACGAGCTCCCTGAGGATGAGGCGCGAGTCGATGGACGTGATGCAGAGCTTGCGCAGGTGGCGAGGCGGCGGCGTCGTGGGCGTGAACATCTCGAGGTAGAGAGGGATGGCGAGCCGGACGAGGTTGGGCGCCGCGGCGACGACGGCGTGCTGAGACCGGTTCATCGAGAGGCTGCGCACATTCTTGAGGTCGCCGAGATCGAGGACGACCGTCGGGTGGACGCTTGGCGCCCAGATGAGCTCGACGTCTTGCAGGAGGGGCAGCTCGGCGACGACTTCTGCGAGCGCGGCGCGGTCGAGCACGATGCCCGTCGGCTCCCGAGGCTCGTCTTCTGCGTGCCAAAGCTCGTCGTCGTCCATGAATGCGACGCACAGGGCGCGCACGCTCCCGCGCACGTTTGGTCGCGCAAGTCGGCGCCACTCGTCGAGGGTGGTAGTGCTGACCTGGCCCAGGATCGGGGAAGGGGCAGCGACGGCGTCCGTGACGACGACAGTCGCCTTGTCGTAGAGCTTGTCGTGCGCGACCTTGCCGAACGAGCGCGAGACGAGGGTGCAGCGGCCGTGGTCGGCGGGGTCGAGGACGTCTTGGGCGAGGATGAGGTCGATGATCTCGTCGGGAAGACCTCGACCAGGCTGCGTGAGAGAGTATGGAGGTCAGGGAGGGGCTCTGAGCCGCGACGAGCCGTGCTGCTCGAAGGGAGGATGCGAGAAGAGGGTGCGGCGCACCTGCGAGGAGGAGGACAGCGGGGCAGCAGCGCCGACGGGCTCGGGGCTAGACGACGGGACACCTGTAGGTGCATGAGTCAGTTCGGTCGCGTCCAATGGGACGCAGAGAGCGGTGCGCACCAGTGCTTTGCTCATCAGTCACGACGACGACTGGGTCCTGGTTCGAGGCGGCGACCTCGCTCGACGGGAGCGGCGTGTGGCTCATTGGTGCGGGAGATCGTTTGCAGTACGACTGGTGCAGCGGCGCACGGCTCAGAGCGAGTGTGAGCGAGAGGACGACGAGCTGATGGGAAGGCGGGGAGTGCTCGCCTCGCTGTCGCCCTCACTCTCAAGCCGGCCGTGCGAGGCGCGCAGCTTGCTCTCCCGCTCTCTCCAGACCAGTGCAGCCACTCGTCGAGCCGCCCCGGTAGCGCCTCGCGATGTCGCTCCTCCGCCCCTTCTCCGCCCTCGACCTGTTCGAGTTCAACGCCATCAACCTCGACGTGTGGACAGAGACGTACGGCGTCAGCTATTACTTGAGCTACCTCATGCACTGGGGCGACCTCTTCTCGTGCGTCCACCCCTCCTTGCCCTCTCCTCCCCTCTCTTCTAACCGGCCGGCGGACCCGCGCTCTCGCCCGGCCACCACAGCGTTGTCGAGTCGGCGGGTGGCGACGGCCGCGAGGTCAACATGAGCGCGGCGAGTGCGCAGGGCGGCACAAGCAGCACGGGTGGGTTCGGCGGCGGCGAGGGCGGCGGGCTCATGGGCTACGGTGCGTCTCTGCTCTCTCTGCGTCCCACGTCGTGTAGACGTCGACAGCAGTCCCACGACGAACACTGACACGCTCTTGCAACCTTCGCAGTCATGGGCAAGACCGAGGGTAGAGGGCGAGACTGGCAGTGCGTCCATCCTTTCTTCCCTTCTGAACCTTCGGGCACCTCGTTCTCGACGCCCGGTACAGCCCGTACTGACGCTGCGCCCTCGTCACAGCGGGCACGTCTCTGCGATCACCGTCTCGCCACAACATCGACGACTCGGGCTCGCGAGCATGATGATGGACCTGCTCGAGAAGGTCAGCGAGCAGGAGGAGGGCTGGTTGTGCGTCCCTATTTCGCTGTCTCGCTCTCGCTCGACCGTCACACGCGATGTCAGACTCTCGAGCCTGCGTCTGTGTGTCGTAGTCGGAGCACGGGCAGGCCTGACTCCCTCGTCGACCCACCCCTCGCAGCGTCGACCTCTTCGTGCGACAGTCCAACAACCTCGCCATCGGCTTGTACGAGTCGCTCGGGTACATGATTTATCGACGAGTGCGAGGGTATTACGGTGGCGGGCCGGGCGAGAAGGACGAGGACGCGTTCGGTGCGTCTCACTCTCCCTCTTATTCTCGGTCTCGGACGCCGCGCGACGAGGACGACGTTCATCCCGCCGGCTCTAGAGTCTGCACGGCGACGATTCCTGACTATCCGCCTCGTCGTGTGCGCTCGCAGACATGCGCAAGGCCCTGCCGCGCGACCAAGAGCAGCTGTCGATCCAGCTTCCAGGCGGTGCGACCGACGGACGAGACGTCGTCGTCGGGCCCGAGGACACCGTCTTCTGAGCGTGTGCAACGATGAATGTATGCATAAGGGCGCTAGCTGCGGCGTCGCGAGAGGGGAGAGCCGACGGCTGTCGCGAGAGCTGCCGAGCGCTCGGGCCTCGACCTGGCCGAGGTGCACCATCGCGCTATCTTCTACTCGGTCTGTCGTCTTCCGCGTCGACTCGATAACACTCGAGAGCTCGCGCCAGCTGAGGCGGTGACGAGGAGCGCGCGATTCTCCTTGCTCTTGCGGTCGGGCCTCGCCCGACGAATTTCTCGCTGTGTAACCTCGCTCTTTCTCGACGGTGCAAGGCTCGATTGACCCATCGAGACGCGTACTCGACGATGAGCCCAAATCTGCAGACCGTTTCTGGTAGTGCCCGCTCGACTCTGCGTCCAAGAGGTGGTCCTGGAGGAGGGACACAGTTTCCCGCGCTCAGACCTCTCTCTTTCTCGACGGTGCAAGGCTCGATCGACCGATCGAGACGTGTACTCGACGATGGCCCTGCATTCCAGACCTAAACATCGCCCTCGCGTCCCCCGTCGCATGCGTCAAGCCAGCCCTCCTCGCCGGACAACGCCTCAAGCTCCCTCAGCCTCGCCCGCAGCTCCTCCGACCGACGCTCCCTCGACGCACGACATGCTCCCGACGTCAAGCTGCTGCGCTCCGCCCGTTGCAGCCCCCGACCTCTCGCCGCGCCGCTCGCCGCTCGAGCCGCTCGGGCCGTCGAGCTAGAGCGAGGGCATAGGCCCGACGCTCGCCGTCGACGAGCCGTAGAAGGGAGCAGGGTCGTACACGCTTCCGATAGGCAGGCGTGAAGGGCCGAACGGCGAGGCGGGTGAGTGGACGTTGTGCGAGTCGGCGAGGGCGAGTCGGCTCGAGGCGGGCGCCGGCGCCTTGAACGAGGACGGCGCCGCGGTGACGGCCGAGGCCTTGGGGATGGACGAGGCGACGTGCTTCTGCGGGTCCGATAGAGTCAAGAGAGTGATCGAGCGAGTCCGAGGGGAAGAAGCAATAGAGACGGACCAAGTCGTCCCGCTCAGTCTTGCCGACAAAGACGCAGTCGGCGTCGTCGTCCGACTCGTTCGCCTCGTCCTCGACGATGGGCGCCCTCGTCGCCTTGCGGCGCATCTGCTGGCGCTTGTGCGGCGTCGAGGCGGCGACCGCGGGCGCAAGCGGCGGGGTCGGCTCCTTGAACGTGACGCTCTTCTTCTTCTTCTGCGCCAGGAGTGATAGCGTGAGGCTCGGGATCGCGTAGAAGGGAGGTGGACGGCGAGGGCGCACCTTGTCCGCCTTGACGAGCCCTTTGCCCTTGGCCGACCCGCCGCTCGACGCCTTCTCGCCCGCCCTGCGCTTGCGTACCGGCTCGGCGTGCTTGTGCTGGTAGCACGTCTTCTCGGCGACGACGACGCGCTCGGCACCGGACGCGTGCGCGACGGCGACGCGCCACGTGCAGCCCGGCTCGGTGCAGCCGAGCGCGAGCGCGTCGTCGTCGACCTCGATCTCGCGCACGCCGACCTGGAAGCCCTGGCTCGACGCGAGCGCCTCGACCGCGTTCTCGAACTGCGACCAGTTGAGGAAGAGAAGGGGGCTGCGGCGAGAGGAGGCGGTGGAGGAGGAGCGAGGGCGAGTCGGCGGTGGGAACGTGCGCAAACGCGAGAACGGGAGCTCGCCGACGAGGGAGGGCGTGGAGCTTGGGGCGCTCGTAGGGATGGGGACGAGGGAAGGAGGGCGTGTGGAGGCGATGGCGGCCTTGGCGGAAACAGGACGCCGGACGGGCTCGAGCGGGGCCAAAGGAGGAGGCGGGGCGTCGAAGGTGCTGACGGTCTGCGCGCGCTAGACGGGTCAGGATCGACTCGATCTCGACTAAAAGTGGGCCACGCACCGGATAGTCGTTAACGGGACGGTCCTCGAGGCGCATCTTGAGCTCGAACCCGCGAGCCCGCAGCTCGCCGACGGCGACGGCGAGGTCCCGCACGATGACCTGCTGCTGGACCGACGGCGACGGGCCCGGTAGTGGCTCGAGACCGACGCGGTAGCTCGACAGCTTGCGCAGCTGGTCGAAGCGAGCTGTCGCCGTCTCCTCGAGGTCGGCGACCGCCTCGACGAGGAACTCGCGCTGGTCCTTGACGATCTCGCGGTGCTCCTTGGACTCGACAGGGACTGGAGGGTGCGCGTGGGTGAAGCTGGAGCTCGTCGTGCGGTAGACGCCGGTCTTGGGGTCGTGGGCGATCGTCCAGGCGCACGGACACGAGTCGACGCCGTCGACTGTCGGCGTCTCGAAGCAGTAGAACGTGTGGACGCCCTCGGGCGCCGTGTCGTCCCAGGCGAGCGAGAAGCCCTCGACGACTTGGTGGGCAACAGTGTCAGCTCTGAGGGCGGGGGAGGAGCGAGCGAGGTGAAGAGGGAGGAGGACGCACGAGCGCGCGTGCGGAACTGGATCTCGAGGAACGTCTTGGGGTCCGACTCGGGCCACAGCGAGCCGATGACGGGTGCTTGTAGTGGTACTGATGCGCTCATGGCGATGGCGAGTGACAGGGAGGAGCGAGAGAGGGCGGAGAGGGAGAGAGGGCGCAGTGCGGGGAGGGGGAGGGGCGCTCGGTCCTCCGGTTGCTCTCCTCGCGCACAGGCTCGCTCGAAGCTGCAGAGCTGTCGTGAGGAGGCAGGCAACGTCAGGGACTGTACGGGCAGGGTGGGCGAGCGAGACGGAGGAAGAGAGACGCACCTGTTTCGAGCCGAGCCAGCTCGCCGACCTCGAGAACTGCTCGCTCGCCAGCTTGCGATGCTCTCTCGTGTGGTGAAACGGCTCTACTGCAAGTCTAGGACGTCTACGGGAAGCCGAAGCCAAACTCGCGCCGCAGGTACTCCTTCATCGGGCCCGTCTCCATGTCGACCCACTCGACGTCCCTGCCCTCGAGGCTCCCCTTCCCCTCGGTCCCGCCCGTCGTGTACACCTTTGCCCGCCTCGGCAGGCCCTCCTTGTCGGCGTACATGAGCGACCGTCGGGCGCCGCCGGTGCCGGGCAGGAGGCGAGTGACGAGGAAGAAGGCCGTGAAGCTCGCGAGCTCGTGCGACGCCGAGAAGTGGTGGTACAGGCGGAAGTCGGCGAGGGGGAGCGACAGGAGGTGGAAGTGGAAGAGGGGCGACCAAAAGCCCATGTCGGGCGAGGCGGTGATAGGGAGGGAGAGCGGCGTGACGGGAGGAGGGATGAACCGGTACAGCGTCCAGCCGGGCGCATTGTCGATCGGCTGCGCCTGGGTCGGCCCGAGCGGGATGAGCTCGTGTCGAAGCTGGAAGCCCTCGTACGGGTTGAGGCCGAGGGTTTGCGCGCCGTCCTCGAGCTTGATCCTGCGGGAAGGGGGGAGCCGTGTCAGTGCCCGCTCGAGAACAGAAACGGCGCGAGAGTAGCCGTACGGGACCGAACAGCTCCAAGGGCCCCAAGCGCCGTCGACCTGCAGATGTGGAGCGACACGTAAGTCTTGAGAGCGCACGAGGCGAGGCGCAGGGAAAGAGAGAGAGAGAGAGAGAGAGAGAGAAAGGGACGCACCACCCAGCGACCGTCACTGCCCGGCCAGTCGGCGACGAGCAACTCGTGCGTCAAAGTGCCCCACTTCCACCCCTCAGGCTTCTTGTCCGGGTCGTGGCCGAGGTCCTTGAACGTGCGGCCGGCGAGCTCCGACACTCGAAAGCCGAGCGAGCGCAGGAGGGCGGCGAAGACGGCGTTGATCCTGTGATGGCGAGGTTGAGTCAGCGCCGCTCGTGTCTCGATCGAGACCGCAGGAGAATGTGAGGACTGGGGACTCACGCAAAGCAGAAGGCGCCCTTGCGCTGCAGGACGACCCGGTCGAACGCGCCGGTCGACTCGGGCATGTTGGTGAAGGCCGACGAGAGGCGAATCGGCGTGCTCGGCCCGTCCCATTGCTCCTCGGGGACGTGCAGCGGCGTCGTGTCCTTGGCGACCTGCTCGAGGTGCGAGACGAGGACCCGGGTGAGGAGGTCGAGTGACGGCGGCTCGCTGATGAGGGTGCGGGGGAGGGCGAGGCGGTCGAGGTACTGCTCAGTCTGCTCGGGCGAGAGCTTCTGCTGGACCCACGGGTCCAACGGCCAGCCGTCTGCCATGATGCGCGGTGCGGTCGAGGTGCGAGGTCGAGGTGCGACGAGAGTGGGGGGGAGCGAGGACAAGGGGGCGAGGCCGGCTCGAGGGAGGGTGTGCTGGAGAGAGTCGCAGGAGCAGAGGAGCGCAGCAGGGCACCAGGCGTGAGGCGCTCGTCGAGGGACAGAGTCAAGCGAGCGGACGGCACCTTCGGCGGACCTTCGCGGCAACGCGCCAACCGCGACCCTCCGCTCTCGCCTCTCTTGACTCGCTGCGGCCTGGTACAACAGGTGCACTGCAAATGCGCAACATCGTCGAGATCTACAGTCGTGAGGCCGTGCGAGAGAGTGGGAGAAGGGTCCTAGCGCGGCGACAGCTGAGCGTTCGAGAAGAAGGTGTGCAGCTCTTGCCTGCCGACCTCGAGGCCGCCGCCCTTGTCGTCCTGCGTGCGCATCGAAGACATATGGAGAGGAGAGGGGACGAGGAAAGAGGGTCAGTCAACGCCGAGATGAGGACGTAGAGAGGAGGAAGGGAAGAGAGGGCGAGGACGCACAGGGTAGCACTTGGCGATGAGCGCCTTCCACTCGGCGACGAGCCTCACGAGCTCGTCCTCGCACGCCTTCCACACCGTCTTGAGCACGTCCTTCTGCTGCGCCGCCTGGTTGACGACCTCGGCGCCAAAGTGCTTGTCGACGCGCTTGTACAGGGCCTCGATCGCCTTGCGCAGGTCCTTGGCGCGGGTCTCGGCCGTGATGCGGCGCAGCGACGAGCGCGTGTAGGCCGAGTGGAGCGACACCTCGGTCGGCGGCGTCGTGCGCAGGAGCTGCTCGAGGCCGGCGAACCAGTCCTGGTCGACGAGGGTTGGGCAGCGTCAGGATCCTGCTCGGCTATCACGCCGACGAGAGGGAGAGAGAGGATGAGACGCACGAGTTGACGTGCGAGAGGGCGGCGCAAGATGAGGCGGATGTAGGCGGCGAGGTTCTGGTCGTACTTGGCGCGAGCGGCCGAGACAAAGGGCCCGAGCGCGACGACGCGCTGCTTGGTCGAGAAGACGGTGATGATGTGGTGCATGTTTTCTGCGCGCGTTCGCGGCATCTAAGGTGTCAGCTCGTGCCCGTCCGAGGCACGGCGAGACCAAGAGAGCGTGGCGACGGACCGATGAGGATGACGTGGTAGTTGAGCTGGTCCTTGCCCTCGCCCTGGGTGCCCTGCCCCTCGCCGTCCATCTTGGCCATCTGCTGGAGGCAGTCGAAGATCGACGCGACGATGCGCTCGTAGTGGCCGTCGATGACCTGGCGGATGTTGAGCGAGTCGGCGCCGTCGAGTTGCGCCTCGATGCGGGCGACGAAGAGCTGCGGGCGACGGCGACGACGGTCAGTGTCGCGCTCGCTCTGTGCCGGAACGAAGGAGAGAGAGAGAGGAAGAGGGCGGACCGGGAAGACCCGGACAAAGGGCACGACGCCTTTGCGCTTCTTGAGCGTGAGCTTGGTCTGCTCGATGCTGCGGATCTGCTCCTTCTGCGCAAGTAGAACCCGACGAGACTGAGTCAGTACACCGTCGACGCAGTCGGAAGACCGAGAGGGAGAGAGGAGGACGCACGCAGGACCGCTCGAGGGCGAGGAGGGACCGCTGGTACTGCTTCTGGAGGACGCGCTTGAAGAACTCGTTGTTGCCCTCGTCGGCGCGGAGCACGAACCGGTCGAGGACGGCGAGGATGCCGACGATCTGGCTGCGAGTCGAGGGGCACGTCAGGTCAAGGTCGCCCCGGCAGGAGGCGAGAGGGAGGAGGAGAGGAGAAGAGGAACGCGCGACGCACGCCGAGTCCTTCTGCAGCACGGCGTCGATCCAGTCACGCATCTCGCCCTCAAGGAACCCAAAGACGACCTCCATGGCCGACCGGATGTCGCGCAGCTGGCCCTTTTGCGCCTGCTGCGCGAGGTAGCTCGTCGCGCCGCGGCGGAAGAACGTCTCGAGCGACATGTAGTCGGCGAACGTGATGGACGCGTCGAGCGGGTTGATGTGGAGAAAGTCCGAGATGAAGCCCTGCTCGCGAGCGAGGTGCGGCGTGACCTGGTGGAGCGCTTGAGCGAACGCCTGCGCCGGGGCGGGAGGGAAGGGTCGAGCGTCAAGACGGTCCTGCCGGCGGCAACGAGAGCCCGATAGAGCGAGAGATCGAGTCGACGCACCTCGCTGCCCGTGAGCTTGCCGTCCTTGTCCTTGTCCTTCTTGCCACCCTCGAGCGGTGCGCGCGCGATCGTGCCGACCCGCCGCATCGACTGCTGCCGCATCGTCGGGCTGTCCTTGATCACGAAGCCTGCGCGCACGAGTACTTGTGTGAGCGCCGTCTCGTGGATCGGGTGGGGCTCGAGGAGAAGGAGGGAGAACGTCGCGACGCACTGGCCTCGAGCTCGTCGTCGGTCGCCTTCTTGACCTGACTCTTGAGCAAGTTCATGAGGCCCTGGATCTCTTGCCGGTGCAGGTCGCTCATCGCCGTGAAGTAGGCCTGCGAGGGAAGGAGGAGCGTGAGCGAGTTCCGCAAGGCCATCAAGGCTCGAGCCGACCACTCGACGGCGCCCTGCTCGAGCCAGGCGACCGAGAGGAGGAACCCGCTGCGACGCACACTGCAGATGAGCTGGTACCGCTGCTGGTCGATCTCCTTGACAAAGAGCATCAACCCGCAGTACCGGCCGAGAAAGTCCTCCATGGCGGCGTGGCTCTTGAGGCGGCCCTTGTCGCGCGCGGCGGCGCCGGCGTCCTTGGGGTTGAGGACCTGGTCGACCTGAAACTTGAACATGATGCTGAGGAAGTCGAACACGCGCTTTGAGAACTGCTGCGCCTTGGCGCGGTACTCGCCGACCCGCTCGGACGCGGCGGCCATGTCGCCGACAGCTGCACGTGGGTGGGGCTCGAGCGTCAGGGCATGCTCCTTGACGACTCACGCCGACTCAGAGGGAAGGAGAGGGGACGCGCCCGTGTCGCGAGTGCTCAGGAGCGCCTTGTACAGGGACACGACGCTGCGCTCGAGCTTCTCGATGCCCTGCTGGCTCTCGAGCGACTCTTGCGCGAGCGCCGTCAGGTCGTGGTCGGGGATGTGGATCGTCGACTGCGGGAGAGAGGGTAAGAGTTAGTGACAGGCGACGAGGAGAGAGAGAGAGAGGAAGGGGGAGGAGGACGCACCATGAGCTTGTCGAGCTCGGAGAGGAGCGCGCGCTGATTGGACGTCTGGACCTGCAGGCCCCGGTTCTGCGACTCGATGTGCGCGATGTCGTCCGTCATGAGCTGCAGGCGAACGGACGAGTTGAGTCAGTGTCGCCCCTCGAACGAGAGACGAGGCCGACGAGGACGCAATCGAGCGCGACGCACGTTGAGCTGCGTCTTGTACAGGCCGATCATGAGGTCCATCTTGTCGAGCTCTGCGAGGGCATCGTCGAGCTGCTTGACGACGCCGACGACGCGGTCGTCCGACTCCATGATGGCGTGGATCGAGGCCTGCGGGCGTGCGCGAGGGGGTCAGTCGGTCCGGTCCGTCCTCGAGTCGAGCGCGACGAGAGGGAGCAGTCGACGCACCGCCTCGAGCGCCTTGAGTTCGCCAACGAGCCGCTTCTCGATCTCGTCCGCCTTGCTCTTGCCCCTGCCCGCCCCTCCTCCGCCTCCCCCACCGGCGACGCCGTCCAAGCCCAACCCGAGCCCGCCCGTCCCGCGCCACTCGAACCCCTCGAGCATCTCCTCGACGTTGGCGAGCACGGCGTCGTCGTCGATGTGCTCCTCGGCCGCCTTGCGGCTCACGGCCGACAGCGGCATCGGGCCCGAGGGCGACACGGGCGGGCGACCGGCGCTCGAGCCCGAGCCGGCCGACCCAGGGCGCGCTCCCGCGCCGCCAGGACCCGACGACACGTCGACGCGCAGGCCGCTGCTGCTGCTGCCGCCGGCGACGGGCGGCGGGCCCGGTCGAGCGTCCGGCGCGACGCCCGACGGCCGGCGCTGCGACGCCACCGGCGCGAGCGTGCTCGTCGACGCGCTTGCCGCGGCTGCCGCAGCGACCGTGATGGTCGGTGCAGGTGCCGGTGCGGGAGCGGCGGCGCGCCGAGGGGATGGCGGACGGGGCTGCTGCTGCTGCTGTTGCGTCGGCGGTGGGCCGGGCTGCGGCTGGCTCGGGCCTGGTCGAGGCGCCGAGGTGCCGCCTGCAGGAGGGCGGTCGCGCTCGTTGAACGAGCCTTGACGCGAGGACGAGGTCGAAGGGCGAGAGGAGGACGAGGCGGCCGTGCTTGGCGGGGGAGGGCCGTACTCGGACCGGGCCGAGGCGGTGAGCGGTGCGGTGCTGGCTGATGGTGCGGGTGCCCGAGTCAGACGAGACGGCGGCGGCATAGCCGATGCGGGCGGTCGCTGTTGCTGCTGCTGCTGCTGCTGCTGATGAGGAGGCGGCGGTTGCTGCGCTGCGGCGGCAGCCGCCGCTTGTTGCGCGGGCGTGTCGACCGAGAAGCCGACAAGGACGAGATCATTTGGCGAACGACCGATGCCTGTGCGCGCAGGAAGGGTTGGTCAGGAGGGAACGAGGCAGAGAGAGGGGGAGGAGATGAGGACGCACCCGTCATGTACCGGCGCCAGCACCGGACGAGGGTAACGAGGAACTGGGCCTGGTGCGACGACGGCAGCTCGGTCTCGTAGCGGTACGTCTTGCTGTTGATGATCAGGGTGAACTCGAGGGGCTGCGTGCGGCCGAGGGAGGGCGTAAGCGAGGTCCAGGGCTGGACAGGGCTTTGAGTTAACGAGGGTGCAACGGACCTGCATGCGGCCCGAGACGAGACGCTGTGGACGATGGGAGCAAGGGTCAGTGCCAAGTCGTGCAGGAGAGACAGGGGCACGACGAGGGACGCACCTTGCCGACCTCGACTCGCTGGAGGTCGTCGAGGGACCAGGTCTTGCCGATCGAGAAGCTGCCGTTGACGTTCTGCTTGGCCTTGTGGAGCCTGCACCTTCCATCGCGTTGAGCTGTGTGGCAAGGCGAGGGGCGTGAGCGAGTGTCGAGCTGGGTGAAGCCGAGCGAGGTGGGGGAGGAGGGAGACGGACCTGCGAGGATGAGGAAGCGGGCTTTGCGCTGGGTGGACCCGGGCTGGTCCTCAAAGGTCTGGCAGTAGGCGAGGAAGGACTCTTGCGCTGCACGGGCGGGTGTGTGAGTGGCCAGGGTCGAGCGGGGGAGGGAGGCAGGAGGGGGGAGACGGACGAGGATGAGGCGACCCGGGCTGTTGGGAGAAGAGCGAGTGGATGATGGCCCTCGAGTGGTCCTGCGCCATAGCGGGCGCGGTCTGGCGGTGTCGGGCAGAGTTGAACGCAGCTGTTGGTCGACCGAGATGAGACGGGCGGCGTCTCGCTCTCGCTGTCACCCACAGCACCCGCTGCTCGCCAGAAGCCCCGTGCAGCCACTCGAGAGCCTCTCTCAGCCACACCGAGCGCACCCATGGCCTCGCTCGAGGGAGTGCCGCCCCCTGCTCCTCCTCCCGCCGCAGATGCACCGCCGCCGCTCGCCGTCACTCGCGACTTTCGCCCCTACTACTCGCCTGTCGAGCTCGACTACCTCGTCCACCTCCAGGCCCACGCACGCCACTCGACCCACGCACCGCACCCTCACCACCCGACCACCCTCAGCGACCACCGCATCGAGCACTACCGCCAGCTCGCGTGCGGCTTCATCGAGCGCGTCGCAGCCAGGCTCGGCTTGTCAGTCCTCGCCCTACCTCCTCGAGAGCGGGCGCGCCTCTTCGTCGCGCTCCTTCTAGACGCGGTGCGCCGACTCACCCTCTCCTCGTCGTCGTCCACAGCCCTCGGCGCACGATCGCGACTGCCCAGAAGCTGTACCACCGCTTCCACCTCCACTTCTCCCTCACCGACTTTGCCTACCAGGTGCGCCCGCAACTCTCTCGCCTTCCCTTGCCCGGCCCTCGCTCACCTCGTCCCTTCCCGCTCGCAGGACGTCTCGCTCGCGACCCTCCTCGTCGCCTCCAAGCTCGAGGACACGCTCAAGAAGCTGCGCGAGATCCAGATCGCCGCCTACCAGGTCTCGAACCTCCTCGAGGGCGGCAACGGCATGGGCGAGGGCGACCCAAACGCCCAGGAGGCGCACCGCCCGCACCTGATCGGCATCGAGCGCCTCGTCCTCCAGACCATCTCGTTCAACTTCAACCTGCATCGGAGCCTCGACCCGGTCGACGCCGACGCGCCGAGCGGCACCGACGCCGCCGGCAGCGACGACGCGCTCCTCCTCGCCGCCGCCCTCGCGACCCCTCCCCCGACCCGCGACGCCTTTACCTACCTCGTCCGCCTCGCGCAATCCCTCCCCTCGCTCCCTCCCGCCCTCTTCACCCTCCCCTCGACCGCCCCTCCCGGCACGGCCCCGCCAACGCCCGACGCCGTCCTCAAGCAGCTCACCTTCGCGTCCTTCCTCCTCCTCACCGACCTGCACCGCACCCTCGCACCCCTGTCGTATCCGCCTCACACGTGCGCCGCAGCGTGCGTCTACTTGGCCGGCTTCATGCTCGTCGCGGCGTCTACCGCGAGGCGAGGGTCGGGCGGCGTGGGAGGAGCGACTGCTGCGAGCGGCGAGGAGGGCACGGGCGTGTGGGACGCAGAGGTCGTCAGCGGGTGGGCGACGAGCTGCGAGAGCGACGAACGCGACATTGACGGTGCGTCGGAATAGTTCCCCTGCCTATCGTTCACGCTCGCGCGAGTACTGACTGCGCATGCTCTTGCTCTTCTTTTCGGCTGCAGACATCGCCCAGATGCTCCTCGACCTCCTCATCTACCTGTGCCCCTCGTCATCCTCGACCTCGACCTCGGCTTTCGCCGCCGCCAGCACCGTCTCGCCCCTCTTCTCGCCCTCGTCCGCCTCGCCGTCCGAAGCGGGCCCGGCGCCCCTCTCAGACCGCGACAAGCACCTCGTCGCGACGGGCGTGCCCAACGCGTTCGCGGCACACCCGCTCCTCGGCGCTCGGGCCTCGGTCGACGCGCTCACGAGGGTCAAGATCGACCTGCGGCGCGCGAGGGAGGCGCACGGCTCGTCGTCGTCGTCGTCGTCGGGCGCTCGAGGCACCAAGCGCAAGCGGCCCTCGTCCGGCCCCGAGCCGCTCAACGGCGACGCGAGCGACGAGCCTCCCGTCGCCGCCGCCGACGACGACGACGAGCCCGACACGCCCCTCACGCGCGCCCGAAGGTGGACCAACCTCGAGGCCGGGCTCGTCGACGTCGGCCGCGTGCGCGACGAGCGCGCGCTCAGGGAGCTCGTGCGCGCCGAGGACCGGGCCGAGCGCGAGCGCGCGGCGGCTGGCGGGGCTGCGGCGGGGCTGGAGGCGGGCGCGGGGGCTGTGGGAGGAGGAGGAGGAGCAGCGGGTGACGGCAGGACGGAGGAGGAGCGCGAGCGGGACAGGCGGGACAGGAGGGAGAGGCTGAGGCCTGGGAGCGTGCGGTACAGGTTCTGAGCCGGGCGGAACGGCGGCGGCGGCGCGAGGACGACGAAGCGCAATCGACCTCTTTCCCTCGCCATCGTGCTCGTGAGAGGCTGCAGCGAGGCGCTACATTGACTACTCGCGAGAGGTGCAAGAAGTATCGAGACGCTCAAATCTGCTGCGCGTCTGAAGCCTCGAAAGCTCGGTGACGGGCACGGACCCATCGAGGTCAACTTGAGAAGGTCGCCCTCGTCGACCTGTTGGCTCCAGCTTGCTCGCTTCTGCTCGAGCTTTTCAGGCTCGTGGACGTCGGCTGACCATGTCGAGCCGGCCCAGGCCGCTTTAGCTGGCCTTGCGGCCCAGGACGACGGAGAAAGGGCGGAGAAGCGGAAGCGGTTCGCTCGAGCGCGACAGAGCTCAGTGTGCAGGCCTCTCGGCCCGCTCTCGTGCAAACGGGACCAGCTTATCGTTCGGAGAAAGCGATGCGGCACGGGACCCGCCTAAAAATGGGAGGGAAGCCGGAGGAGAACGTCGCGCTCGAGCAGGTCAGGGAGGGTGCGAGGCGGCGTGCCAGCGCCAGACAGCTCTGCGGGGTCTCAGCTGCTGAGGTTCCCTTGCGAGTGATGCACATCGGACGCTGAGCGGGCGAGGGAGGCGCGCGAGAGCGTTGCAAGAGCGGCACGAGCGGACCGCGGCATCGAGTGGTTCTCCTCGGCACCTCGGAGAACGTCGACTCTCGGGTCCACCTGGCGCGCACCTTGATCTCCGGCATCGCCGCAAGTGCGACGAATGCCTTGCGGCGGTTCGGCGGACGCACGCTTGCCTTCGCTTCCATCACTCGCTCGCCGCTCGCACGGACCGCCTCTCCTCCTCGACCCGCCTCACGCTCGCCGCTTCTCGACGAGGTACCTGCGTGCATGCACGTCGGTCCCGATGTAAACGCGGGTGCGCCCGCACCCTTGTGCGACCCCTTGCGGGCGCAACTCTCTCGCGGCGTCTCGCGGACGACCCCCACCCGTCGCACTCGACCTTCGCTCCTCCGGTGCCCACGCCCAGATTCTCCGGTCGTGCAGGGCAAGCCTGCTTTGAACTCTCGTCCCTTTGCTCAAGTCCGCACCCGCCCGCATCCGCACAGCGTTGCGGCGCGCCTGATTGGCTTCGAGGAGGCTCGAGCGTGGGGGCTCCTCTCACTCTCACCCGATTGGGACGCTTCACCGGCGCTCCGCCCTGTCAACGTGGCTCCGCACAGATACGAGCCCTTCGTCCGGAGAACGCCCACGTCGCGGCCAAGCATTCTCTCGAGCAATCGGGTGCGACGAGGCCGCCGCTCGACGTGCGTTTTAGGGTCGACGCCTCGCTCGTCGCCCTTGCGCTTGATCGTGGGTCGCTCGTGGGGGCTCGACACCTCCGCCCTGCATTCGCTTGGACCTGCGCTAGACGAGGCGAAGCAGGAGCGGGCGTTCTCGCGCCCACACCAACGTGCAGCCCGAGCGACCCGACCGCGGACGAGTTCCTCAAGGCCTGCTTGCTCGAGTTGGGGTCCCAGATCCTCCCTCTGCTCTTCTCTCCACACTCTTCTCCGCGCTCCACACCGCTAGCCCCCTCTCCAACCGCCGCAACCCTCCTCGCCGACACCTTCTTCCGCCCCGCCGACGACGACGACCATGGGCTTCCCCACGCTCAAGCGCGCCGAGACGGCCGAGTCGACCGCCACCGACTCGAGCTCGCTCGACTACGAGAAGGCGACGACCCGCCACCGCGAGTTTGCGCCGACCGAGGACAAGATTCTTGAGGAGGAAGAGGAGACGTCCGGCAACGTCGGCCAGGCCGAGTACCTCAAGTCGACGCAGCAGGCCGAGATCGTACGTCTTCCACTGCGTCGTCTAGGGTCGAAGCGGGCGAGGGAGCGCCGCACGAGCCCGTCAGAACCGATCTGACCCTCTTCCTCCTCCTCGTCCCCGTCCTCTTCCCTCGCCGTCGTCCTCTTTCTCGACAGACGCCGGCCGAGAACAAGGCCATCGTTCGCCGTATCGACCTCTGCGTCCTGCCCCTCTTCTTGATCACGCAGACCCTCCAGTACCTCGACAAGACGGCGCTGAACTATGCCAAGGTCCGTCACCGCTCGAGCCTCGGGTCGGGCGACTTGCACTGACTCGAATTGCTCTCGCAGGTGTTCGGCATGGACAAGGCGATGGGCCTCACGGGCAACCAGTTCAGCTGGGCCGCCTCGATCTTCTACGTCGGCTATCTCGTCGCACAGTACGCTCGAGCCTCTCTCCCTCTCCTCGACCTCCCGGCTCGACGACTGACTGTCCTCGTCCTGCAGGGAGCCGGCGGCTTACCTCATCGGTCGCTACAAGGCCAACCACGTCCTCGGCATCACCTGCGTCCTCTGGGGCGTCTGCGTCATCTCGATGATTGGCTGCACCAACTTCACGACGGCCATGGTCAACCGCTTCTTCCTCGGTGCGTCCCAGACTCTCACATCTCGGCGAGTCGAGCAGGAAGAGAAACTGACCCTTTGCTTGAACCTCACAGGCTTCTTCGAGGCCGCCGTCACGCCCGGTCTCTCCCTCATGACCGGCTTCTACTACACGCGCCAGGAGTCGCCGCTTCGTCAGACGATCTGGTACTCGTCGGTTGGCTGGGGCGGCATGATCGGTTCGCTCATGGCGGCCGGCATCGAAAAGGCCAACGCTTCGAGCCTTGCCGTTCCCAAGTGGGGTACGCCATCAGTTTCCCTCGCTCTCGACGCAGCCAGCGTCTTGTACTGATCCTGCGACTCCCACAGAGCTCATCTTTATCGTCCTCGGCGCCATCACCATCGCCTGGGGCGCGGTCCTCTACTTCTTCCTCGCCGACGGTCCCTCGAACGCCTTCTGGCTCAAGCCCGAGCAGCGCACGCTCGCCGTCGGTCGCGTCGCCGCCAACGGTGTCGGTATCAAGAGCAAGAAGTTCAAGCGCGAGCAGGTGCGCCGACTCTTCCCCTGTCGCGCAGCGCCGGTCGGCCTCGAGCAACACTCGACCTCCTTTGCGACACTTAGACTGACTTTCTTTGACCCTCTGCAGATGTGGGAGGCGCTTCTCGACCCCAAGGCGTGGTGCCTCACGATCGGTGAGCAGCTCGTCCCTCTGCGTAAAAAACGAGGCCCGTGCGCTGACCTTCCCAAACCGCCCCTCGTCCTCCTTTGTCGCCCTCTCCCGCCCTCGTCTCTCCTCCTTTCGCAGCCATGTTCGGCTCGAGCGTCCCCAACGGCATCCTCACCAACTTCAGCGGCACCATCATCAAGGACATGGGCTTCTCGACCTTCGACGCCGCCCTCCTCGACTGCGCCGGTCGTTCCTTCCAGATTATCTCGCTCATCATCGCGGGCCTCGTCGCAAACTACGTCAAGAACACGCGAATGCTCATGGTCACCGTGGGGAACGTGATCTGCGTCATCGCGACCGCATTGCTCTCGTTCCTCCCCACTTCGAACCACTGGGGCCGCCTCATCGCCTTTTGGTTCGTCAACGTCCAGTCGATTGGCTTCACCCTCGGCCTCGTCATGATCTCTTCAAACCTAGGCGGCTACACCAAACGTTCCATCACCTCGGCGATGGTCTTTGCGGCGTACTGCGCCGGAAACATGGCTGGCCCTCAGGTTCGTCTTCCCGTCCTCTCCAGCCGCTCCCTCCCTCTGCCTTTGGCTCTCTCTCCTCCCCATCGTCCCACTGTGTCCTCTGCGCGTCCCGCGACAGAGCCTGACCCATCCTCGCCGCCCTCGCAGTTCATCTACGCCAACGAGAAGCCTCGCTACCAGTCGGGCGCCTACGCCATGATGGCCGGCTACATCGCCAAGCTCGTCGCCCACCTCGCTCTCTGGGCCATCATGTACCTGTCGAACAAGTCGCGCGACCGCAAGTTCGGCCCGGCCGACCCCAAGCTCGCCGCCGCCGCCGGCATGGAGGACAAGACCGAGTCGGTCAAGTCGAACCCGTGCGTCGCTCTTCCTCCCTCTCTCTCTCTCCCTCGTCCACCGAGTCTTCCTCCTGACACGCCCTCACGCCTCGCAGGAACTTCCGCTACGTCCTCTGAGCGCCGAGCGCTCCTGTTCCCCTTCCTCTTCCTTCATTCGGCTCGTCTTTGTTCGTCGTCCCCTGGTTGTCTCTGTCTGTGCCCTTGGCCGTGTAGAAGTCCCCATATCGAGACAGTCTGCAACTCCTGTCGTTTCGTCATCATCGCGCAAAAAGAGAGAGCTCGAGCGAGAGTTTGGCTGTTTGAGAAGGTCGACTTTTCGGCGAGCGTTCTCGCACTGCTGAAGCTTTCGCGATGCCTCGGCCTGTCGACTCGACGCTCAACACAGTCGTCAGAGTGCCCGGCAGCAAGTTTTGCGACCCCTCGGCGAGCCTGGGTCTGCCGGCGCTCGATCTTGCGCCCGCACGAGCCTTTCGCAAGGTGACTCGTACAGGGCCTGCGAAAGTCCGCCCGACAGCTAAAAGCTCGCTCGCACGTCTCGATAAGCCCGGTGCCGGGACACCTGGCCGGCGCAGCGCAGGATTGCAGCACTGAGACGGCCTCTTCGTCCGCCGCCTTTCTGTTCAAAGTCGCGCGAGCGAGGTACTGGGTAGCTTCCTGGAACCCGAGATGGTCCTCTACTCGCCGCGATAGGTATATTGTCGACGTTCGAGAGGGTACGTAGCGCAGGCAGAGCAGGTGCGCCGACTAATCTCGTGTCGTCGGCGCTCCTCCGACGACGCTTGACCTCCTCTGCGACTCTTGAACTGACCTTTTTTGACTCTCTGCAGATGTGGGAGGCGCTCCTCGACCCCAAGGCGTGGTGCCTCACGATCGGTGAGCAGCTCGTCCCTCTGCAGCAAAACCGAGGCCCGTGCGCTGACCTTCCCAAACCGCCCCTCCTCCTCCCTTGTCGCCCTCTCCCGCCCTCGTCTCTCCTCCTTTCGCAGCCATGTTCGGCTCGAGCGTCCCCAACGGCATTCTCACCAGCTTCAGCGGCACCATCATCAAGGACATGGGCTTCTCGACCTTCGACGCCGCCCTCCTCGACTGCGCCGGTCGTTCCTTCCAGATTATCTCGCTCATCATCGCGGGCCTCGTCGCAAACTACGTCAAGAACCCGCGCATGCTCATGGTCACTGTGGGTGACGGGCTCGGCGCAGGGATTCGTGCCCATTCGGCGTTGCAGACGACCTCGCTTTCTCGACATCTGCGAGCTCTCGAGGCAGGGACCGCATATCTCGAGACTATGTACATGCACTCGTCAAGCACGCTATGACAGACTACTTGCCGCGATGTTTGGCGAACGTCTCCTTGACGCCGGCGCCCTGCAGCAAATCCTCCCTGCACCGCTCGTCCACCTCCCGCCCGGCCACCGCAAGCCGCACCACCTCGTCGATCGCCTCGGGGCGCACGACGACCACTCCATCGAGGTCGGCGAGGACGATGTCGCCTGGATAGACGGTCGTGGGAGGGAAGGTCGGCTCGAAGGGAGTGGCGGCGGCGGGCTGAGGGTGGATTTCGAGCGGGACCTGGACGCGAGAAGGGCGAGTATAGGGCGACTGGCCGAGTATCGAGTGCCCTCGAGCAAAGACCTGCGAGTCGAGCAACGTCAGGCGAGGAACGTGCGAGTCCGAGTAGAGCGAGAGGGAGCGCACCAAAAAGTCGAGGTCGCGCAGCTCGGCAAGGTCGCGGCATCGGCCCGAGGTGACGACGCCTCGCACGCCCTTCTTCTGTAGAGCAGTCGCGAGTAGGCCGCCGAGACTGGCGCTCTTCGAGTCTGTGCGCATGCGAGGGTCAGCTCGACGGGCACTCGGGCGTCTGAGGGCGAGGGAGGGACGTACGAGCGGGCGTCGAGATGAAGAGGACGCTGTCGGGTTCTGCGAGGTCCACCTGTACGCAGAGAAGGCTAGTCAGGTGCGTGCGCTCATGGCGAGTCGGCCATCCAGAATCCGCTCGGCGGAACTCGAGAGGGAGAGAGGGCGCGAGACGCACAAAGTGCCCATCCAGCTTCGGCGACTCGGTATCCTGCCCATCGACTAGCTGATTCGCGAGGAGAACGTCAGGCTGTGCTGCATCACGCGGAAAGAGCGAACTGGACGGACCTCGACCGTAAAGACCTCGCCGACGAGGACCGTTCCCTCCGAGCCACTGAAGCGGTCCAGGTCGGGGATATAGCCGCCAGAAGGGTGCTTGAGCTTGACGAGGGCATCTGCGACCTGCGCGGGAGGAGAGGTCAGCGCCGCCCTCGCAAGCCGGCGGAGGAGGAGGGAGGAGGGCGGACCTCGCAGGTAGAAAACGCCGACAGCTGGTCGAGCTGGTCGCGAGTGGCTCGGCGGGCGGACATGACTGCGCGCTAAGCAGCTGTGCTGAGCGTGCGGGTGCGTGGCAGGAGGGAGACCCTCTGGCCGGCTCCGGAGAGCAAAGTGGGGAAGGAGCAGCGGGACGACGACGGCACCCTTTGGGCTCGTTCGAACGCAGGGCGGTTGAAATCTAAGCCAACTCTCTCTGTGATCCGTCTTCGTAGCACGAGAGGCCCTGAGGAGAGAGGGACGTGCTGTCAAGCTGGCCCTCTCGCCGACGCGAGCTCCGGACTCCTCCAACCTCACTCTCGACGATGGCCCCCTCGACTGTGGCTGAGCATGCACCGGCTGCTGCCGGTCAGCAGCCTGCACTCGACGTCGTGCGCCACTACGGCGAGCTCCTCGAACGCGACGACGTGAGCTCGCCTTCATCAGCTCGAGGCGACGGACGCACCTCGAGACACAGCACTGACCCCTCTTTGAATGCGCACAGCCTCTTCCAGCACCTGTCGCAGCAGTAGAGACCCTCGCCGAGCTCGTCTCGCGCTCCGACTCGTCGACCATCCAGGAGCTCCTCGCCCTCCTCGACCACGCCTCGGCTCAACTCGCCGCCGCGTCCTTCAACCCCGTGTCGGCCCAGTCCGGCACCGCCCTCTTCATGCGCTACCTCACCCTCCAGCGACCACCGCCAGAGATGAGCTTCGCAGAGTTCAAGCGCGAGCTCGTCGGCCGCGCGCGCGAGTTCGTGCGCGGCAGCGGCAGGTCGAGGGAGGTCATCGCCGCCAACATGAGCAACTTTATCCAGGACGGGAACGTGCGTCCCCCTCTCTCCCTCATGCCCCTCCCTTTGTCGCCGAGCACGGCGAGCTGACTCTTCGTCCTCACGCAGACGATCCTCGTGCACAGCTACAGCGTGCGTCCCGGCCCCCTCGACCATCTCCCACTCGCAGAGCTGACCATTCCTACCTTGTGCAGCGTGTCGTCATCCAGGCCCTCGTCTTTGCGGCATCGGTACAGAAGAAGCGCTTCCAGGTCTACGTGACCGAGTCGCGACCTGTGCGTCCTCCTTGCCCTTCCTTCACTCGCTCTATCACTCTTGACGCGTGTTTTCCTACAGTTTGGCCTCGGCTTGAAGACGCAGGCGGCGTTGGACAAGGCGGGCATCCCCTGCGTCGTCGTCCTCGACTCGGCCGTCGCCTACATCATGGCCAAGTGCGTCCTGCTCTCTCTCTCTCTCTGTGCCCCACCTTCTTCTGACGCTCTCCCTCGCGCAGGTGCGACATGGCGGTCGTCGGCGCAGAAGCGGTGTGCGAGTCGGGCGGGCTCGTCAATTTTGTGCGCACGAACCCTCGCCCTCCCTCCTCGAGGACGCACAAGCTCACCGGCTGCCTTCCTCCTCACAGATCGGCGGCTACCAAATGGCCATCGCCGCCAAAGCCCTCGGCAAACCTTTCTACGGTGCGTCGGCCGCCTTGCGACACTCGAGCTCGCGAATGACACCTCGTCCCTCTTGCAGCGCTCGCCGAGTCGTTCAAGTTTACCCGCCTCTTGTGCGTCCTCGCCCCCTCTTTCCTCTCTGAGAACATAGCCTGACGATGCTTTAACACAGTCCCCTCTCCCAGTACGACCTCCCCTCTTCCTTGCCGTCGGCCCCTCTCGCCTTCCCTTCTCTCGACGAGGTCGAGTCGCGCGACGCAAAGACGGTGCCCTCGACGCCGGTCCGCCCGATGATCCACAGCAAGATGCCCGAGCCGCTCGTCATGAGCGACCAGGCGACGCGCCAGAACCCGATCCTCGACTACACGACGCCGGACCAGGTGCGCACCTTCTCCCTCCTTCTCCCTCTCCCGCCGGCAACAGACGAGGCCCAAGTCGATGCCGAGCTGATCCATGTCCGCTCGGCACGCAGATCACGCTCATCGTCAGCGACGTCGGCGTCCTCACGCCGTCGGTAAGTCCGTGTGACCTTCCCTCGCCCTCTCCTTCCCTTCATTATCCCCCGGCGGGCCCGTGCCCGCTTCCCGCCGTCTCGCGCCGCGTCCCGCCTAAGACGTCGTCGCTCATGAGCGACCGCACTCTGCATTTCGCCCGCAACAGGGAGTGTCGGACGCCCTCTTTGCCGCGTACGGCGGGTAACTCTGGGCGGTTCATGTCGGGCCTGGAATACAGAGTTGTCTCGCCTCTTCCCGCGTCGTCGCTCGATGAGTCGAGAGGCTCGCTGCAGATCTGGACCCGCTGCTGCAGGCCGTCCCGGCTGGCTTTGCTCGTCCGGCCGGCTCGCTCGTCCAATGGCGGGTTCCGACACGAGACAGCCGCTTTGGCCTGCCGAAAGCGGGCGGCCAAGCCTCGTCGCTATCCTCCGGGAGCCAATCTCGTGCGCGGTCCCCCAGCTCGCTCTGCCGGATGCGCCGGCACGACCGACGTCGAGGTCGCCAGGCACTGCGGATCCAGGGTGACAAGGTTCCGGGATCAATATTTCGGCTGGCCCTTAGCGCAACTCTAAGAGGCGGGCCGGTTGCCTGATCCGAAGCAGGGAGCGTTCTCAGCGTTGGCGCGTCGCTCTTCTCGGGCAGGACCTCCAACTCATCTCGACCCGCCTTGGGCTGGATGGCCGCGCCTCTGACCTGCCCGCTCCCTCGCTCTCTACATCCCGTCCCCCCTCTCTCTCTCTCCCTCTCCCTTCCCCCCCCTCGCTACTCGCACGCACCGCGCTCGTTCCCCTCAAGCCGCACGCGCCACCTGTCGTTGACATCGCGTCGATCCGCCCGTCCGCCTCAAACTCTCTCTCGACCATGGACGCCTCGTTTGGTTCCCACACTCGGCGGCACCCGGCATCGCTCCTCCCCAAGTTCATGCACGACCCTCGCCTGCTCGAGCTCGTTCGGCAGCCAGTGACGCCCGCCATGATCAGTGCGTCGACCTCTCTCTCTCGTCGTCGACGCCCTCTCCCGATTCGACCGCTGACCTGCTCCCGCACCCTCTCTCTGCAGCCTACATCGCCGAGCGCGCCGTCGACGTCATCAAGTGCGACGCTGCGCCCGTGACCAGTCGTCCGCCGTCGCCGCCAGCGACGCCGATCAAGAGCGAGATCCACCGCCAGCCGCACCCGGACGTCCCGTCGCTCGAGTGCTTCATCTCGATCCTGTGCACCAAGTCGAACGTGCAGGTGCCGACCCTCCTGTGCACGCTTGTGTACCTCGACCGCCTGCGCGCTCGCCTGCCCAACGTCGCCCACGGCATGGAGTCGACCCGCCACCGCGTCTTCCTCGCGACGCTCATCACGGCCGCCAAGTACCTCAACGGTGCGTCGCTCGTCGTCGCCCGCCTCATCTTGGTCGTCGAGCCGTCAACTGACTCGTCCTTCCTCGCAGACTCGTCGCCGAAGAACAAGCACTGGACCCGTTACGCCGCCGTCTTCCCGCTCGCCGAGGTCAACCTCATGGAGCGCCAGCTCCTCTTCCTCCTCGACTTCGACCTGCGCATGGACGAGGACGAGCTCCTCGCACACTTCGAGCCGTTCCTCCCGCGCGAGCCCGTCGCGTCGACGAGCAAGCTGCGCGTCCACGCGCACGTGCACGCACCTCTCGCCTCGTCGGTCCCCCTCTCGCCGCGCTCGATCGTCGAGTCGCTCCACACCCCTCCTCCTCGGCGCCAGTCTCGGTCGTCGGTCCCGGTCAAGGTCGCGCCGTCGTCGGTCGCCTCGTCGTCGCGTCGCCCGTCGACCGTCTCGCACTACGCCGAGACCGAGATGTCGCCTGCCGACTCGCACTCGTCGGCGTCGTCCGTCTCGTCGGCGTCGCCGTTGACGCCCATGGACGAGCTCCCGTCGTACCCGGGCATCCACATCATGTCGGCGTCGTCGTCGGCGTCGCCGCCTCGACGGGGGTCGTACGTCGGCGGGTGCGAGCCGTCGCCGCTGCGCAGCCTGCGCCCTTCCGAGCAGCGCTCGGCCTCGTTCCTGCGTCACGCGTTCCAGACGAGTAAGGCGGCGTTCTCGCTCGGCGGCATCGAGCGCGGGCGCAAGCCGCCGCCGGCGGTCATGGCGCACGACGTCGACCTGCCGGCCTGGTGAGGCTCGTCGACGGCCTCGCCCTCGCCTCGTCTCGACGCTGGTCGTCAGCCTCGGTCCCCTCGTCTCGTCTCTTGTCTTCTGCCCTCGTCGTCGTCCCCTGTTGCAGCTTCAAAACTCGTCCTCTCTGTACCCCCTCGCAGTGCCCTCGTCCTCCCCCTGTTGCACCTCTCGCCCCCTCATCGCATACCTCTGTAGCCTTAGCCGTATTCTCGACGTCGCTCTCAGCAATCGCTGTGCGTCCACGACTCGTTTCGCGATCCTCGCGAGTGACCTTCTCAAGTGAGAAGCTCTCGTTCTCACACGCTCGCGCTCGCACGAGCCGGCTTGTTCTAGCTTCATAGAGCTCGCCGCGTTCCCGAGCAAGCCGAGACCTGCTCGTGCGACATCTCTCGCCCACTGAGCTTTCCGCGCTTCGCTTCTCGCGAGCAGGATCCGCCGCACTTGATCGAGGAGGGAAGGTGCGCTACAGTAGCTCGAGTCGACCGCGCTCTGCACCGCCCACCCACTCGTCGCTCGCTCGCCAGGACCAGCACCGCCATGGCACCCGCAGCAGCGAGCAAGAAGCCTCGAGCCAGCACCGACAAGCCGTACCGCCGAGGCGTCACGCTCGGCAAGGCGATGAGGCGGGGCAAGCTCGACAAGGGCGGAGCAGCAGGAGGAGGACCTCAGCAGGATGGCAAGGCCACCAGGACTAGTGCGGCTGGCGCCAAGGGCAAGGGCAAGGTCCGGGCACCCGCACCGCGCGCAGCCGACGAGCCACAGTCGGACGAGGGCGACGTCGAGCAGCTCGGCGGCGAGGAGGACGGCGAGGGCGCACGCGGTGCAGCAGGGCTCGAGGGGGACAGCGAGGACGACGAACCGGCTTCTGAGCCATCGCAGGCCGCGACCAACAAGCGGCGCGTCCCTCGCAAGGCCGGCGGCACGGGCAAGAAGCACAAGGTGTTCGTCGAGGAGAAGGTGCGCCCTCCTCCTCCTCTCTCTCGGCGGTCCTTGGGCGCATACTGACTCTCTCGACACCCACAGAGCGACTTGCTGTCCCTTGCGGCGTCCATCGGCGGTCAAGCCGAGGCCAAGAAGCAGGAGCGACTCGAGAAGGCCGTGCGTCGCCTCGTCCTCCTCCTCTCTCGCAGCGCGACAGCGAGCTGACCTACTCTCGATCCGCCACGCAGAAGAACAAGCCTGTAGCGCCGGTCAAGAAGGCCGGCAAGGAGCCGAGCGAGGCCAAGCAGAAGCAGCTTGTGCGTCTCTCTCTCTCTCTCTCGTGGTCGCTCGACCTAGCCGACCCACCTCGTTCCCGCAGGCCGCAGCACGCGCCATCGTCGCAGCACGCTCCAAAGCCAACAAGGAGAGCAAGAAGGCGGCGGCCGCACCCAAGCCTGCTGCGCCTGCGCCTGTCGAGGGAGGTCGCAAGAAGGTCTCGTTCGCGTAGACGTTCGCTCGAGCAGCGCCCGCAGTTCTCTCTCTCTCTCGCGTCGTCGTGCTTGTTGTGACAATATGATCTTGTGCATGATACGAGTCTAGAGAGTCCGTCTATCTGCTGCGGCTGAGAGAGAGTGTGAGAAAGCTACAAGCCCTGCGTGACGCCTTCGACGGCCTCGCCGCCGGCCGCCGAGTGGCCCTCGACCTTGACCCTCTGGAACCCGACCTCGGGGTTGTCCTTGAGGACGACCATGTCGTCGCCGAGGTCGGCGCGCTTGTCGTCGCGCCACGCCGGGACCGTCTCCCTCGCCGGGCGCCGCACCGGGTTGGCCTCGTGCACGGCGCGCAGGTACTCGACGACGGGCTTGGCGACCCACCGACGCGGGCGGAACAGGCCCTCGAACCAGCCGAGGTGGCCGCCGTGCGAGGTCGTGGCGAACGTGAGCCACGGGTTGACGTCCGAGGCGGCGAACGGGATGCCCGACCAGTCGACAATCGGGTCGTCGAGGGCCGAGATGGACAAGAGCGGGATGGCCGTGTCGCGAATGACGTTGTTGGCCGAGGCGGCGCGGTAGTAGGCGATGGCGGTGTCCTGAGAGAACGAGCGCGAGGTCAGGCGGGAAACGAGGCGCGCGAGGAGAAAGAGAGGGCGAGAGACGCACGAAGCCGGCGAGGGGAGCAGTGACGAGGGCGTCGAACTCGAAGAGCGAGGTGTACGGGTTGTCGTGGATGGCGCTCCAGTCGAGCTTGGGGTGCGTCTTGAGCATGCCGGCGTGACGAGTCAGGAGGGTCCTGTAGACGAGGGCCGCGCGAAATGAGGTCAGGACGAGTTCTCGACAGGCAGAGAGAGGACAGTCGAGACGCACTTGAGGTTCTTGCCCATAGCGCGAGAGTAGATGAGGCGGATCCAGGACGACGAGAGCGAGACGTGGCCCTTGACAAAGTCGAACGGCGCGCCGAGTACGACGGCGGCGTTGAGCGGCGAGCGCTCGGCGTCCTCGCCGACGAGCTTGGCCATCTGATTGGCGCCGAGGCTGAAGCCGATGCCGTACAGGGGCGCGTGCGGCGCAAAGTGCGACAGGAAGGCGAGGGCGCAGCGAAGGTCGTCCGTGACGGCGCCGCTGTAGAGGGGACAGTTGGTCAGGTCGTCGCACGCAACGAGGCAGAAGGGACTCGAGAGAGGACGACGGCGACGCACTTGTACAGCTTGGGCGAGGTGATGGGCGCGCCTGCGCACCCTCGCGAGTTTACGACGGCGGCCCGCCAGCCCATGCCGCCCTGGTCCTTGGGCTTTGTGACGATGGCGAGGACGTTGCGGACGTAGCTCTCGTGCGAGCCACCGGTGAGGCCATGTGCGACGACGAGGATGGGCCGGTCGTCGATGGGCTCCGAGGCGACGGGAGGAGCAATGTCGACGGCGATGGTGCCGCCGTCGGGGACACGCAGGTACTCGCGCGTGTAGTCGATCTGGTCGTAGTTGAACTTGAACAAGGTGCAGGCGATTGTCGCGAGGTGGCCGCTGGGGGGTTTTGCGCGTGAAGGAGCGTCAGGGTTCGGAGGGCCGGGCGGAGGACGAGGGGGGGGGGGGGGGAGGAAGCGAGAGAGGGACGGACCTGGCGAGCCAGCTAGTCGGGGTGTACCATGCGCGGTCTCCAACAAGGCTAGGGCACTGGGCGAGGACCTGGTCGAGGGCGGTGGTCGTCTTGTGGCCGTTGGCGTCGAGGGACACGAGCGAGGCCGGGTTGGGGTTGCGGATGATCTTTACGGGGGCAGAGAGGCCGAGGGCGTAGAGGACGCGGCGCAAGGCCCACAAGAGCATGGTGGCGGGCTAGCTCGAGGTGCGGTGGGCGGAGGAGGGGAGAGCGACGAGCTCGAACGAGACGATCTGACTTGCACCGCCTCGGCGTCGGCCACCTGCACCCGCACCCGCCTCGCCCTCGCTGTGCAGCCATGCCTCGATAGACAGCACCACAGCATCAAACCAACCCCGACCCGAACCAGCCGGCCATGCCTCTCGAGCTCCCGCCCCTCTCGTCTACCGCCGCCGACCACGACTGGCGCTACACCGCAGAGGGCGGCGCCAACCTCGTCCTGTCCTTCTCCGGCACACACACCTCGCCTTTCGCCCACCACGTCCTCCGCCTCCGCAAGCGCAAGCTCACCCCGACCACTCGACGCGCCGACGACGCCGTTCCGAGCGACGTCGACGTCGACTTTGGCGCAAGCGTCGTCGCGCCTTTGCTCGGGCCCACCAGCGTCGTCGACATGCGCAAGGTCGAGCTCGAGCGGCCCTGGCTCGACGAGCTCGTGCGTGCGCTGCGCGAGGGTGCGTGTCGGCCGCGCGACCGCGAGGACGAGGACGAGGTCGACCTGGACGCGCCGGTCGGAGTACTCGCAGAGGACCTCGTCGCAGGCGACGGTGTCCTTGCCGTCGAGATCAAGGTGCGCCCACTCTCTCTGTGGTCGGCCTGCCTCGTCTCGCGTCACTGACTCGTCGTCTCGCCCGCAGCCCAAGTGGGGTTTCCTGCCCGCGCGCTCGTGCCTCTCGCCCGACACCGCCGACATCAAGTCGCACTACTGCCGCACCTGCATGCACTGTTACCACAAGAGCCGCAAGTCGGGCGACCATGCCGGCTCGGGCGACGACGACGACGGCTTCTGCCCGCTCGACCTGTACAGCGGCGACGTTCATCGGACGACGAGCGCCGTGACGCAGCTCTACCGCTCATGGAAAGCGAGCAACGGCTCGCTCAACAACCTGCGCGTGTTCTACGAGGGCAAGAGGGTCTCGCCGGACCAGGTGCGTCCTCTTCTCTCTCTTCTCTCCTCTGCGACTGGACGAGCGCGCCGACTCGTTGGCCCTGCAGTTTCTCGACTCGCACTCTCTACACGACGTCCTTGCTCGTCACGCGTCGTCCATAGACGGCGCCCTCAGCCCCGACGTCGACCTCGACCCGGCCGCGTCGACCTTCTGCACCTCTCTCGCACACGCCCTCGTCGCCTCGCCTCTCCTGCGCACCCTCGCCCACTTTCAGTCCTCGCTCGACGCGCTCGACATCGAGGGCCTCGCCGCGCTCCTCCTCGCGCACCCGGCGACGCGAGCCGACCTCGTCGCGCCGGCGGATAAAGCCGCCGCCGAGGTCACCAAGCTCGGAGCGCAGCCGGCGCTCGCCGAGTGGGAGGCGTTCATCGCGCGCCTCGGCCCTGCCCTGTCGCAAGGGCGCGACGCGGCCGCCGTCGCGCTGCGCGAGGGCCCGCCTCGCGACGCCGTCCTCGCGTACCTCCTCTCGGCGACGCTCAAGGACTGCTCGCTCATCGTGCGGGTCCCGCCTCGCGACGGCAGCGGCGCCGTCACGGTCAAGGCGATCGACCTCGACCCGAAGCCGATCGTGCGCATGGGCAAGTACGCGAGGCTGGACGGCGAGATTGTGCAGAGCTGGAGCGAGAGGATCGAGCGGCTCGCCGAGGGCGACGAGCTCAGGCGGTGCAAGGTGTAGCCGAGCCTCTCGTGCAGTGCAGTACACGTGCCGCGAGGATACTCTCGAGAGCGAGGCAGACGCAAGAAATCGATAGCGAGATACTGCAAGTTGCGAGCTGCTCCTCCCTCCTCGTTCCCTCGAATACGTCCGCCCGTGCTCCTCGTTCTCGCCCGACCTCGACAGGCGAGCTCGTCCATCTACGCCGAGCCGGCTGCTGCAGGTGCCCTCGGTGCCGCCAAGTCGGTGAGCGTCGCCGCGAGGTCGCCCTGGTGCGCGCGCAGCGTGTGGGACGCGAGCGCAGAGGGCACGTCGAGGTTGTCGAGCTGTGCGTCGGGACAAGGTTGGCGTGAGCGTCCGTTCCACGAGCGCCACCCAAGCGCGACGGGCGACGTGGACCTCGTCGGTCGCGGGCTCGGGACGAGGGAAGGAAAGGGGACGCACAATGACAGCCAGGTCCTCCTTGTTCGTCTTGTACCCCTCGCCACCCTCCTTCTCCTTGCCCCCGACGAGCTCCTTGCCCTCTGCGCCGTCCTGCGCCTCGCCCGCACCCGCACCCGCACCTGCACCTGGGCCGGCCGGGATGACCCCGACGGCGCCCTCGACCCGCTGCCCCTCGTCGCCCGGCGCGTCGCCGCCGCACACGACCCGGAACGCCTCGTCAAACGCGCCGGCGTCGTACCCTATCCGCTGGATCGAGCCGCCCGGGGCGAGTCGTGCGGCGCCCGAGTCGGCCCAGTACTCTGAGGGCGTGCGCGAGCGTCAGTACATTCTGAGCGCTGCCCTCAGCACAGTCAGCTCGCCGTGAAGAGGCGAGCTGCCCACACGAGAGAGAGAGAGAGAGAACGTAGCGACGCACGAGTGACCCCGCGAACCGCACCCCGCCCTCCCCGTGCGCTAGCTGCACTCGGGCCCGCAGCCTGAGCGGCAGCTTGTGCGGCGGCAGCTTCTTGTGCTGCTGCTGCTGCTGCGGCGGCTGCACGTGCGAGTCGTCGAGCGAGGAGGAGGGGGAAGGCGAGGTGGAGGAGATGATGAGGAGGAAGGGGCGGACGAGAGAGAGTCAGCGCGGGCCGAGAGGACCTGGGAGCGATGGAGGGACTGGACGGACCCTTGCGCTTCTGTGCGGCGGCGGTCGCGGCGGCCTTGGCCTTTGCCTTGAGCATCTTGAGCCAGGCGAACAAGGTGGGAGGACGACGAGGCCGAGGCGAGGACGGCGAGAGGGCGGACGAGGCTGTGCGTGCGTCTGTAGCGCGGCTTGGTCTCGCGACTGGGTGCGGAAGTTCGGCGGCAAGAGCTTGCGTTGGTGAGGAGCTAGGGCGGACCTGCTCCCGGTCGTCGCGGTCGCTCTCTCTCGAGGCGACGCAAGGCTCGGCTTTCGCTCTCCCTCTCGCACGAAAAAGAACGGCAGTGCAACGCTAGGTGGGTATGACACGGCTGGAGAGCTCGAACGAGGCAAATCAGAGCGAGTGAGGGTGGGGAGGACAAAGTGAGGCTCGTCGCAGACGGCCGTCGAGGTGCCGGCCGTTCGACGGCGGCGGCGCACGCCTCTACGCGTGCGCACACAAAAGGAGGATGGACAAGAAAGCGAAAGGAGGGTCGTCAAGGAGGGGTATCGTCGTGGCATGAAAGGGCGGCGTCGTCTCGTCGTGGTCGTCGTCGTCGTCGTGGCATGAAAGGGCGGCGTCGTCTCGTCGTGGTCGTCGTCGTCGTCGTCGGCTCGCTCAGATGAGCGACGCGTCCTCGTCCTTGCGGTCCTTCTTGTCGAGCACCTCGCCGAGCGCGACAAAGAGGTCGGCGTCGCGGCTGGCGATGAGCGAGCTCGCGCGCTTGCTGCCCTTGGCCGTGAGCGACGTCGACGACTGCTGCTGCGCCGGGGCGGCGAGCGCACCGTGCGCCGGGAACGACGCGCTCAGGGGCGAGTCGTTGCGGTCGAGCGAGAGGGGCGCGAGTTGCGGCGCCGAGGTGCTGACGACGGGCGCCGAGGCGCTCAGCTCCGAGATGGGCTCGAGCCCGGTCGGGGTCGGCGGCGGGAGCGGCACGTTGGCCGGGTTGACGGGCGCGGCACCGGTCGCGACCTGGAGCGACGGGACGGGCTTGGCGAGCTGGCCGGGCTGGAGCGCCGGGTGGACGGGCGCAGGGAGCGGTGCGGGAGCGGCGGCCGACGACGACGGCGCGTCGACGATGTCGCCGAGGCACTCGAACGGGAAGACACCCTTGACCGACTGCGTGCCGGCCGAGAGGTTGACGCCGAGCGCCCAGCCGTCGTCGTACTTCATGAAGACCTGGACGCAGTCGCCGGGCTGTCGACGGGAAGCGAGGGGGTCAGTGCGCGCCTCGACCAGGCGTGAGGCAGAGAGAGGGGGCGCACCTGGAAGATGAGCTCGTCGTCGAGGTTGGGCACGAACGTGCCCTTGACGATCCGGACCTCGCCCTGGCCCTCGCTCTCGCCGAACGGGCTCGCAGCCGCGACAGGTGCGGCAGCGGCGGCGGCGGCAGCAGCAGCCGCTGCGGCCTGCGCCTGGCGCTGGTCCTCGAGCTCCTGCTGCATCTCGCGCTGCTCGATCGACTCGTGGTGCGGGTCGGCGAACGGCGACATGGACCGCTCGCCGCCTGCCGCCGCCGCCGTGCCGACACCGGCCGCGCCGAGGAGGTTGGCGGTCGAGTTGGGCCACCCTTGGCCGCCTGCGGCCGCCGCCGACGACGCCGGGTACGACGTGAACGACGGCGCGACGAACGAGTCGCGCTGGCCCTGCTGGCTCTGCGGCGGCGGAGGAGGCCACGACGAGGTCGAGCCGGCGCCGTAGTCGTCGTGAGGCTTCTCGCCGCCGCCGTTGTTGGCCGACGCGTTCCACATCGGGCTCGCCGACGAGTTGGCGAACAGCTCCGAGTCGCCCGTCTCGTGCTGCTTCTTGTACGCGCCCGCGCCCGCACCGGCGCCGGCCATGTCGGGCGACCGACCGCCGATGAGGCCCGTGCCGGACCCGCGTGCGAGGCGCGCGTTGCGCTTGCGGCGCCACAGGAAGAAGCCGGCGACGAGGGCTGCGACGAGGAGGAGCGCGATGACGATGCCCGCGACGGCGCCGCCCGAGATGCCGCTCGACGAGTCGTCCTTGGACGAGGCCGAGCCGTTGGCCGCGTTCGAGGTCGACGAGCCGGTCGGGCGCGCCGCCGAGGACGAGCCCGAAGCGACGGCGGCGTTAGAGGACGCGGGCGAGTTGGCGACGGGTGCGGCCGAAGACGAAGAGCTTGCGGCGGCGCGAGCGGCCGTCGTCCTCGCCGCTGGTGCCGTGGTCGTCGTAGCCCGGACGGCGGTCGTACGAGCCGTCGTGGTCGGGTCCTCGGCGACCGCCGTGGTGGCGGCGGCGGCGGCAGCCGTGTCGGTCACTGAGGAAGGGAAAGGGTCAGTGGGCCGGCCTGCGCGCTCTGCTTCGGGGCTGGGGAGGCGCCGCCTTCTTCGGAACGCGACTCGATGGCGAGAAAAGGGACGCACCGGTGACGACGGTCGGGCTGATAAAGGTCCTGCCGCGCGAGGTGCCGTCCGTGACGACTGAGGCGAGGGAGGGAAGGGGAAGACGGGGAGGTCAGCTCTCGCTCGCGACGTTTGACGCTCGCGAGGGGGAGGGCGAGGACGCACGAGAGATGTGGCCGCGAATGGTCGACAGCTGCACGGCCGGGTCGGTCGCAGCAGCAGCAGCGGCGAGGACCTCGCGCGCGTTGGTGGCCGCGGCGGCGACGACCTGCGGGGCGCGCTTGCGGTGCTTGACGAAGCGGTCGACGGTGTCGATCTGGTGGTCAAACATAGCTGGCGGGTGCTGGTGGCTCGTGAAGGGCGAGTGGCGAGGGTCGAGGGTGGCTCAAGCTGGGCCGAGAGGACGCGGGGGGAAGAAGGGACCGTTGGACGAGGTGGGTGCGTGGTTGGAACGAGTGAGGGTGCGGCCTAGGGGCAGGCGCGGGCGTGTGCTGGTCGACTCGGCGGCAGGGAGGACGACGAGCGAGGGCAAGGGTGAGGGCGAGGGCGAGAAGAAGGGGGAGAGGCAGGCTCCAGGTCAACACGGCTCGCCTCGCGTCGAGACTCGTCGCTGCTCGTGCGCAAACCACGCTAACCTGCACCGCTCTCGCACTCGCTCAGCCAGAGTGACACGCCTGCTCACAGCAAAGCTGAGCCACCCTTGCGCGACGCCGAGCACACACCCCGCCCGCACGGACGGACGACGGGGCGCGAGAGCCTCGCAAAGTCCGGCCGATTACACGCTGAATAGCGAAAGCAAACGAAAGCGTCTTGACTCAGGGGAGGGCCCGACTTGAAGAGTGCGACGGTACCTCGGCCGCTCACCTCGCTCTCTTGCTCGTCGTCCTCGTCCTCGCCCTCGCCTCGCAGAGTCGCACTCGCCAGCTCTCGGCACCCTCGTGCACCTCACCGACAGCCCGCGCACCTCCGTCGAGCCCCAGCGCGCGTCGACATGGCGGCCCCGTCGTCGTCCACCTACTCGGCCCTCCTGCGGCGCAGCAAGCTCGCGTCCCTCACCCCGGGCGTCGAGCAGGTCTACACCACCTCGCCCGCCAACCTCGCCAGGGGCAACTGGGGCCTCAAGCGGCCCCTCCCGCAGGCCTCGACCACCACCTCGCCCTTCGTGCGCCTTTTCGACCTCGACTCGCCCGAGGGCCGCACCACCTTCCGCAAGGCCACCCGCGAGGCCCTGTACGTCAAGAAGTGGGCCGAGACGGGCGTCGGCCTCAACTCGGACGCCCACAACCAGCGCGGCTCGTCCAACGGCACCCCCTCGCGCGCCTGGGACCGCCTCCCCGTCCAGTCTCGGTTCGTCGATGGCGACGCACCCGGCGCGATCCGCCAGGTCCCGGCAACCGGTCACCGCCAGCACGCCGCCGCACCACCCCGCATGCCCAACTTCTTCGCCATGAGCGAGCGCGAGTTCGAGCGCTTCCTCGCCGACCTCGGCGAGCGCCGCGACGAGTTCCGCACGTTCGTCCTGCGCGAGGCGGCGAGCTCTGGGCAGCAGGCCGAGTCGGCCGACGACTTTGACCTGTACGCGCACGCCCAGCGCAACCCGCTCGAGCTCGTCCGCCTCGTCGAGCGCTTCCTCCGCCTTCCCTCGTCGACCTCCCCTTCCTCGCCCGCACCCGCACCCTCGTCGGCCACCACCCTCCCCCAGGTCCACCCTACCCTCGCCCTCCAGTACGCCTCGCCGACGCCCCTCGAGTCGGCGCTCGCGGCCCCGATCCCGGGTCGCCTCCTCGGCCCGTCGCCCGACGCCTCGTCCTCTCGCGGCGGCGGGTTCGCGGCAATGTACGGCCCGCGCAGCGAGGTCTACGCGTCGCTCCTGTCGCAGGTCGCGCCCGTCCCGTCGTCGGCCACGGCCGGCACCCCGTCGACGTCCTTCTTCCCCGACGCGACCGGCGCGCGGTCCAACCTCCCCGGCCGCGCCCACTTCCGCCTCCAAGCGCCGACGATCAACCCGATCCCGTACGCGTCGCGCACGGCCATCACGCGCAGCGGCGTCCGGCACAGCACCGAGTTCCGCCCGCCGACGGCCGAGTACGAGCCGAGCGTGCTCGCGCTCCGCAGCGTCGACTTGCGCGCCCAGGTCGTCCCCTCGGCCCAGGTCGCCGTCCCCAAGCCGCTCCCGGGCACGCCGGCCTACAGCGGCGACCTGCCGCCCGAGGTGGCGCGGTACGGCGCCGGTCGCGGCGGCGCGCTGGGCGCCGGCGGCCGGCCGGCGTCGAGCCTGACGGACCTGTACGCGGCGACGGGCTCGCTGCGGAGCCTCGGCGTCAAGGGCAAGCCCAAGGACCTGCTCGCGTCGAGGAAGAACCGCCGGAGCAAGGAGGACCAGGACCGGTGGGTGCGGCAGCGCGAGGCGCTCCTCGAGCAGAGCGGGCAGGACGCGAGGGCGTACGCGGCCAAAGGCCGCAAGGACGGCGAGCGGCAGCAGGGCAAGGGCCACGGCAAGGGTGGCAGGAGGGAGCAGACGGGCAAGAAGCTCATCTCGAGGCTTGAGGAGCTGCTCGACAGCGGCAACCAGTAGCGCTCGCGCCCCCGGATCTGTCTAGAAGCCGCAAGCTCTCTCCTTTGCAGTTCTCCTCTTCTCGTGCGCCGTCGAGTACCTCGAGAGCCTGCTCTCGCTCGCTCGGACCCGTCGTCACAGCGCCAGCAGCGAGAGCCGGCCGAGCCGTGCGATTGGCCGTCCGCCCCGCGCCTCCTCGCCTCCTCAAACCGCTGTCCGCACTCGCTCGCCAAGGACGGCCCGGACAAGCCGCAGCTCCACGCTGTCCGGCGTTGCCTCCTCTCGCTCGCACCGCCCCTGCCAGCAACCGCAGCGGGACGCTCTCGCTCGAGGGAGCGCGAGCTCGCTACCGCCGGCGCCCTCGAGACGCTCTCCAGCTGGGAGCAGACGGCGCGCGAGGTCCTACGGCACGAGCATGGACGTCGATCGCACCTGGGGCGCGGACGCGCCGCTGTCGCTGTCGCCCCTGTCCAGGAGCATCCGCGGACCCGTCGGCCTCGTAGCCGTCGACCGAGGTCGGTGCGGTGCTCGCTCGCCTGCCGCTCTCGAGCGCTCTTCTCTGCTCGACAAGCTTCCCTGCTCCTCTCGCGAGAGCGCGCCAACCCGCCGCGATCCAGATGGAGACGGCCGCCGCGCTCCCTTCCGTCTTCGAGACGCTCTCGACGACGCTCTCGTCCCTGCCGGCCAACCTCGCCCAGACCAACCTCAGCCAGCTCTCCAACCTCCTCCACTCGTTCGCCGCCGACCTCGCGCCACTCGTTCCCGCCCTCAGCGCCGCCCAGCAAGAGGCTCTCCTCACCAACGGCACGTTCCTCGCCCAGCAACTCGGTCAGCTCTCGGCCGTCACCGCCCAGATCCCGCCTGGCGACGTCGACGGCGCGCAGCCGCAGGACCTTGTCGCCATCGTCGAGATCGGCTCGACGCGGTACAGCATCCTGACGCTGTGGGCGCCCGAGGTGTGGGCGATCGTCATTTCGTTTGGCATCGCCGCCATCCTCAAGCTCGCCGTGACGTTCATGGTCACGGGCACGTCGATCAAGCGGGCGACCAAGAGCGACGACAAGGAGGCGGCCAGGGCTGCCGTCCTCAAGCCGGCCAAAGCTATGTGCGTCGGCGTCCTCTCGTTCCCTCTGCCGCGGTCGACGACCTTGGACTGACATCCTGCTCGCTCGCAGGCTCGGTCACACGCTCAACCTCGTCGTCTCGACGTGCGCTTCTCCCTCGACGCACGAGCCTCTTTCCCGACTGATCAAGCCGGCCCTCGCAGCGTCGCCCTCGTCCTCCAGCTCAACGCGTGGCGCCTCTTCGTCCTTCCTTCGGCTGTACGTCGTACTGCTCCTCCTGCCTCCTTCTTCTCGTCGAGCGCGACTGACTTTGAGCCGACCGGCCTGCAGCCCGTCCGCATGAACGACATCCGCTTCCTCTCGATCGCGATGAAGACGCTCCTCGTCGGCTACGCCTGCGACCTTCTCTTCGGCGACCTGCGACCCGAGATCTTCCTCCACCACTTCTTCACGTTCGCGCTCCTCTTCGTCGGGCAGCTGGCTGCCTTCCAGACCAAGAGTGCGTCCCCTTTTCCCTCTCCCTCTCCTTCTCGCCTTGACACTGACCTGCGCTCGCCTACAGGTCCCAAGTTCTTCCGACTCGCTCAATGGCTCATCCTGCAGGCCACGACCGAGCAGACGACGTGCGTCCACTCTTTCCTCTGCCCTCGACGAGTCGAATTTGTCCCTTTCGAGCCGCTACTGACGACTCTTCTCGACTCGCAGCTACGCCGCCATGGTCGCCTATCACTGCTACAACTACCTGCGCGTCCAGAACCACCGCCCTCTTCTGCAGCGGCGCCTGCTCGTCGTGACGCACAAGCTTCTGCGCTTCACGCGCTACATCACCTTTCCTCAGAAGGTCTTGCCGTGCGCGTTCGCCGTGTACTGGCTCGCCAGGAGTGCGTCCACCTCTCTCGTCGTCCTCGTCGTCGCATCGGGTTCGATTTACTGACCGGCTCGAGCGGCCGTCCCTCGCAGTGTGGAACGAGATCGACGACAAGGCATGGGGCCGAGCCTGGATCGTGTGGTGCACGATCATCCTGTCGCTCCTCATGGTTCTTCAAGTGCGCTTCTGCGACGATACCTGGCCCCTCGCCGCACAGTGAGTCGACGATTCCTCCTCGGCGGACGACCTTCTCAAGTCGGTCTCGCGCTCACGCAAGTGGTACAGACCTCACTGACCCTCTCTCGCCCACAGCATCGGCTACAAGCTTCATGGCGGCCCTCTCCCGCCCCGTCAAGGCCCCGTAATGCGCACCCTCGCCCGCCTCTTCTGCTGCCGCCGTCGGCAGCCCCGGCGCAACTCAGTCCGCCCGGCGCCGCCGACTGACAGCTACAGGTCGTCGCTCAAGGTCGACAGCAAGGAGGACCTCGCCGCCGCCGAAGAAGGGCGCAGCCGCAAGTCGACGGGCGCCGGCAACCAGGGCGACGCGAGCATCGCCGAGCTCGTCGAGCTGCGGAAGATGGCCGACCAAGGATCGACTCTTTCTTCTCGCTGTGCGTCCCTCGGCGCTCTCTTCCTCTCTCTCGTCCACGCGCGCCACGCCCTGACCTCGTGGCCGGCAGGTTCCTCGCGCCGATCGCTCGACACGGCCTGGTCCACCCCTTTCCGTCCCCTCTCGCTCCCTCACCTCGAGGACCGGGACATCGACGCCACCTCGACGCACCTGTCCGACCTCCCCTTCTTCGAACGTCCCGGCTCGGCGCCGCCGACGTCGGCGACCTGGATCGGCGCCGACAAGGCCAACAAGGAGGCGCCGCAAGTCGGCGAGGCGCAGTGACGGACGAGGATGAGGATTATATTTATTCGGCTCGCGCCGCCCTCCTATCTTTGCAGTAGCACACGTTTGCAGTCCCACGCCCCTCGTTGCTCAGATCCTCCTCGAGAATTGGCTGAGTGAGACGTTCACCGGCAGCGCAGGCGCGCGCCGTGCGGCCGAGCGCCACCTTCGCACTTGCTGCTTGACGAGCACTGCCTCGCTGCACATCGGTAGCAGCGTTCGAGCGAAAGCGCGGAAGCAAAGACGAAGGGAATCGCGGCGCGCCGTCACCGACGCACGGACCGCCTCCGTCGCCACGTCCTCCTCGCCGCTGTCTGTGGGCCAGCGACGCTCTCGCTGCTCTCGCGGACTCGCACGCGCCCGCAGGGTGAGATATTACAGCATTCTCAACAGAAAGGAGGGGAGGGAGTAAGGCAGGGAGGAGGAGAGGACGAATCCACGACGACGAGGAACCACGGGCGCACGTCGACAGCGCCTTGAGTCTCGGCCTTCTTGACGACATCGCTGGCGTCACCGACCCTGCGGTAGGAGAGAGAAGCTGGGTCAGTAACGTACTAAGCTCTCATGGCTAACGTACTAAGCTCTCATGTTTCACGTACTAAGCTCTCATGTTTGAACAATAAAATTGATGGCCTTGAACGACTGGACGGTCTCCTTGAGGGGGACGAGACGACCCTCGATGCCAGTAAATACTTCGGCGACCGCGAACGGCTGCAGGAGGAGCGAGGGAGGGACAAGGCGTTCGTCGGGAGCTGGTCGCGTTCGTCGAGTACTCGTCTCGACAGGTCGATCGAGCCTTGCACCGTCGAGAAAGAGCGAGGTTGCACAGCGAGAAATTGACTCCTTCCTCCTCGACCTGCTTCTGAGCGCAGAGTCGTGCGAGCGGTACCGGTAACTGTCTGCAGATTTCGGCCCACCGTCGAGTACCCGTCTCGATAGGTCGATCGAGCCTTGCACCGTCGAGAAAGAGAGAGGTCCGAGCGCGAGAAACTGTGTCCCTCCTCCTGGACCTCCTTCTGGACGCAGAGTCGAGCGGGCGCGGCCACGCCTCGACCCAAGCGACAGTATAAAGCTCGTCCGAGGTACTCCATCCGTCGCACGCGACCTCCACCGCCTCGAGAGGAGCCGTACCGGCTCTGCTTGGGCGTCGACTTTCTACTCGAGCAGGACGAGACGGCGAACTGCTTCTGAATCGAGCCAGCCGAGCCCGGCACGACGCGCGGAAGGTAATGATAGATCGTTGTTGCAGCTTCGAGAATCTGGAGAACAACACAGCCCGCGCGAACACAGCCCGCACGACCCGCGCCGACTCCCTCCTCGGCCAAGATCTGCGAGTCGCCGCCGCTCGAGTCGCGTAACCGACGTGCTGCGACGCCACCAATCGTCGACAGACGACAGTTTCGTGCGTCGCGCTCGAGATGCACCCGGGCGGAAGGACACGACGAGCCGCCCGGCCGACGGCGGCTGGAGCGGACCCAGCGCCGGCGACGATGGCGTTTTGCGCTCCCTGCGGCGCGTCGGCTCGGCCTGGATCGTCGAGCTAGCGGGCTCGGTCGTCATGCGCCGGCGGCACCGAGCCATGTCGGCGCGTGATGCGGGTCGTACTTGAGCGAGTCGAGCGGGAACCGGGCGATGAGCTGCAAGCGCGAGAGCGTCAGGAACGGTTCATGTCGGACGAGGGAGCGACGCCCGTTCAAAAGCGTCGTTCGGAGAAGGATATCAAGAAAGGGAAAGGCTGGTAGAGACGCACCTGCAGATCGGCAACCCTCTCTTTCTCCTTCTTCGACTTGCCGGGCTTCTCTCGGACCCAGTCGTCCTCGGGCGGCAAGAAGACGCGGTACTCGCCGTACGCCGCCTCGAGCGTCCAGTCGGTGGCGAGGCGCAAGAGGGCCGAGAGGATCGACGGGACGTGTCGACCCTTGTTGTCGTGCATGAGGACTGCGGGCGCGAGGACGTGGGTCAGTACTCGCTCGACAGGCCTGTACTTGACTGCTCGAGACGCAGAGCGTCGGGAAGAACGGCACGAGACGTCGAGAGTGGCGGGAAGGAAAGGCGGACGAAGAGGAGAAAGGAGGGCGAAAGGGGGGAACGCACTTGGCAGATTGCGAGAATCTGCGTAGCGGCGTCGAGGGCTGTCAGGACCTGCTGCGCGGTCGTTTACGGCCTCGTGGCGAAGGATAAAGAGCAGGGAAGCACCCAAGATGTTCTCGAGCGCCTCCTTGACGAGCGCCTCGTCAACTTCGACGGTCGGGTCTTTGCTGACCTCGATCGGGAGGTGAAACATCTTGAGCCCGCGCTCCTGCGCCCACGAGTGCGTGTCGTGTCGATAGACGTCGGGCGAGAGGTACCTGTTGCAGGGCGAGGAGAGCGCACGTTTAGCTCTCCTCGAGAAGTAGGGGGAGGAGGGAGCGGACGAGATAGAGGACGCACATGATGCTGCGCAGGTGGAGCGAGTCGAGGAAGTCAAAATTGGCCTTGTGCGGGTGCCCAGACCGGTACACGCCTGCGATGCGAGCGAGAGAGAGGTCGGGAGGAGGGGAGGTGGGGAAAGGTGAGCTCGGAAGGCGCGGCAGAGCGAGTGGACGATGCGGCGTACCTGGCAGGATCATCGAGAAGTTGATGGGAGGATACAGCGCGCCCTCGCTGCCCTCTTGCGCAACGAGCGAGTCCAGGAGAGCCATCGTCGTCTTCGTCGAGTGATGAGGACGAGGGCGCGGGCGAGGGCCAGTTGGGGCGCGGGGGTGGGCGTGCGGGCGTGCGTAGAGCGTCTGGTGCGCCCGGCGTGACGGCGCAAGCTGGCTCGTGCGAAAATCGAGGCGGTGCGAGGGGCGAGAGCGCGTCGCTCCTCTCGAGCAGCAGCCGTCGACGTTACACTCGGCTCACGGGACAAGCCACGCGAGCGACTCGCTCGCACAAACGCAGAGTCAAGGAACAACAGCTGAGAGAGACCCAGCCGGGGAACACAGCGAGGCAGCCCCCTCGTCCTCCTCGTCCTCCTCGCGCTGGATAGCTCGCTCTTGACACTCGCTACTCTCGCAGCTCTCGCAGTGGGCCGCACGCAGAGTGAGGTATCACAAACCCAAATGCTTGACTTTTCGAAAGGAAGGAGGGGAGGGGAGGGAGGAAGGCAAGGAAGAGAGGAGGACGAATCTACGACGACGGGGAACCACGAGCGCACGTCAACGGCGCCTAGTTACCGGCCTCGAGCTCGGCAGCAAGCTTCTCCGCCTTTTTGACGACATCGCTGGCGTCACCGACCCTGCAGGAGGAGAAGAAGCTGGGTCAGTCGAGGGCGCGAGAGGAGGACGACGAGGACGAGGAGGAAAGGGCGAGGACGCACATGTAGAAGGCGTTCTCCGGCAGGTGGTCGTACTTGCCGGCAAGGATGGCCTTGAACGACTGGACGGTCTCCTTGAGAGGGACGAGACGACCCTCGATGCCCGTGAACACCTCAGCGACCGCGAACGGCTGCAGGAGGAGCGAGGGAGGGAGGGACGGAGGCAGGCGGGAGAGGCAGGGAATGGGTGGACGAGCGAGGACAAGAAAGGAAGGGCAGGAGGGAGGACAAGAGGGAGGAGGGGAGGGGAGGAGGGGAGGAGAAGGGACGAGGTTAGCGGCTCGCTCCCGGAAGACGACGACGACGACCGCGCCCAAAGAGAGACGGGGCGCACCTGCGACATGAAGCGCTGGACCTTGCGGGCACGCTCGACGGTGAGCTTGTCGGCCTCCGAGAGCTCGTCCATGCCGAGAATGGCGATGATGTCCTGGAGACCCTTGTAGTCCTGGAGGAGACGCTGGGTCGCCGTGGCGATGTCGTAGTGCTCCTGGCCGACAATGCGCGGGTCGAGCATGCGCGACTTGGAGTCGAGTGGGTCGACGGCCGGGTAGATACCGAGCTCGGCGATACCACGCGACAGGGTCGTGGTGGCGTCGAGGTGGGCGAAGGTGGTGGCCGGGGCCGGGTCCGTCAGGTCGTCGGCGGGGACGTAGACGGCCTGGACGCAGGTGATCGAGCCCTTCTTGGTGGTGCTGCGCGACGAGACGAGGGCAAGGTCAGGTCCCGGCTCGAGGAAAGGGGGACGACGCCAACGACGAGGGAAAGGCGAGCTCACGTGATGCGCTCCTGCATCATGCCCATGTCGGTCGAGAGCGTGGGCTGGTAGCCGACAGCGGACGGGATACGTCCGAGGAGGGCCGACACCTCCGAACCGGCTGCGCGAGGACGAGGGCGAGGTCAGGTCCCGACGACGACGAGATTGGGCGAAAGAGGACGGACCCTGGGTGAAGCGGAAGATGTTGTCGATGAAGAGGAGCACGTCCTGGCCCTCCTCGTCACGGAAGTACTCGGCGATGGTCAGGCCGGTAAGGGCGACACGGGCGCGGGCACCGGGCGGCTCGTTCATCTGGCCGAACACGAGCGCGCACTTCGACTTGTCGTTGTCGAGCTGGATGACACCCGTCTCGATCATCTCGTGGTACAGGTCTGCGCGGCGAGAGAAGGAGGACGAGGTCAGGCTCGGCTTCGAAAGGAGGACGATGACGAGGGCGAGGGGACGCACCGTTGCCCTCGCGGGTACGCTCGCCGACACCCGTGAAGACGGAGTAACCACCGTGGGCCTTGGCGACGTTGTTGATGAGCTCCTGAATCAGGACCGTCTTGCCGACACCGGCACCGCCGAACAGGCCGATCTTGCCGCCACGAGCGTACGGGGCGAGCAGGTCGACGACCTTGATGCCGGTCTCGAGGACCTCGGGCGCGGTCGACTGGTCGACGTACGCGGGCGGGTCGGCGTGGATGGGCAGCGTCTTGACGGCCTTGATCGGGCCACGCTCGTCAATCGGCTCGCCGATAACGTTGATGATGCGGCCGAGGCAGCCGGGGCCGACGGGGATCTGGATGGGCGCGCCCGAGTCGATGACCTCCTGGCCACGGACGAGACCCTCGGTACCTGCGCGAGGAAGGGAGGGGGTCAGTACGGGGCGCGCCTCGGAGGATCGGGGGCAAGGACGACGAGGGCAAGGAGAGGGGACGCACCGTCCATGGCGATGGTGCGGACCGTGTTCTCGCCAAGGTGCATCGAGACCTCGAGGACGAGGCGGTGCTCAAAGCCCTGGACCTCGAGGGCGTTGAGGATGGGCGGGAGGTCCTCGGTGTCGAACTGGACCTGCAGGGCGGGACGAGGATGGAACGGTGTCAGCGAGTCTGTACTCGAGACTCGTCGACAGCGCACGAGGCTGTCGAACCGCGGCTGCGCGAGCGAGAGCTGCCCGAGGGCCTCGGGGAGAGGGGGGAGGAGGACGGCGACGACGCACATCGACGACGGCACCGATGACCTGCTTGACCTTGCCGACGACGTTCTTGGCGGCGGTGGCGTACGCACGGGCTGCAGAGGGAACAGGATTTCGTGGTGAGCGACGTGTGCGGCCAGGGTGCGTGTTCACCCGGGGGCGCGGAGGAGGGGGGAGGAGGTCCCACCCTCGCCGCCAGCTCTCGCCACACGGGCGCAGAGGGAGGGCGACGAGTGGCTCGACGCGGGGGGAAAAGGGTGTAGAGGACGTCGGACAGGGGACTCACGCGCAGCAGCGGCCGAGGCGGCGCGAGGAAGGACCTTGGGGAGGACGGCGGGCGACGCAGCCTTGGTCGCAAGGGTGCGGGCCGCGTTGAAGACGGCCGCGTTCTTGCGGGCAGCGCGGAGCGCGCCACGGTTGAGCACCTTGACTTGAGCACCGCGAAGCATGGTGAGCAAGTGATGGACGAGAGGAGGAGGAGGGGAGGGCGAGGGCGACGAGGCGGCCACCGAGCTCCCTGCCCCGGGGCGAGCGCACCTTTTCTCTCGCCTCGTCAGCTCTCGCTCTTGCGCGTCGCACTCCTGGACTCGCCGCTGCAGACTGTATCGCAGGCCTGTGCGAGCACACCGCACCCTCGCGGTGGGAGCTCGCCCTGACGACAGCTGCCCGCGTCGTCCTCGCTCCTCCTCGGCTTTCCCGCTCGTCCCTCACCCACAAGACCATCCTGCTGCCTGTTCCTCCTGCTGTAGACGCGAGAGCGGCACCCCTCGACGATCCTGCTCAAGCGACCGAGCTTCAGCCGCTGTCGCCCGCTCGATCCTCCTGCGAGTCTGCTCCTCGGCTCGCTCTCGCACTCTCTCGCCCCGCCATGCCGCGATCGGTCAAAACTGACTGCATATTCAATACACACGAGTCTACAGAGAGGAACCGAGCGAGCCGACGAGCTCACGCCGAGAGCGCCACCTTGTCGCCCTCCTTCTTCCCCTCGGCCTCGGTGCCGTCCTGCTTGGCCGTCGCCCTCGCCGCCGCCTCGCCCTGCGGCACCTTGCTCACGTCGAGCTTGGCCCTCGCCTCTCCGACCCTGTCCCGCTCGCGCTCGTCCTCCTCCGCCTTGACCCTCGCCCGCTCGGCCTCCTGCATCTCCCTCAGCTCCTCGTCGACCTCGTCCTCGCCCTCGGCGCCGAGCTGTCCCGCCGACACGGCATCGACGGCCTCGGTCACCTCGGCCGCCGAGATGAGGGCGTCGTCGAGCGCCGACGTCGTTGCCGAGATGTTGGACAGCTGGAGCGTCGGCGACGAGAGGACGGCGCGCAGGGTCGACGCGCCGAGCGACAGGGCCGAGAGCGTCTGCGAGAGAAGGCGTGGACAATCGAGAACGAGTCAGTCCTGCGTTCAACTGTGCGACCAGAGCGTCGTCCCAGGGCGCGCCCACGTGCGCCCCCGACGACGCGTCCTGCCCGACTGCGGAACGAGGGAGAGAAAGACCAGCGCTCCGACGCACCTCCTCGTCCCCCTTTGCGCGCTCGATCGCCCACACGACCTCCTCGACCTTGGCCCGCTGCCCGACCCTCTCCTCGAGCAGCTTGTCGGCCCTCCTCCGGTTGGCGAGGTGCGCCTTGACGAGCGCGACGGGCTTCTTAGCGCGCACGAGCTCGGCCGCCTTGTCGCGCTCGGTCGCGATGAGGGTCGAGAGGGCGTCGATCGAGTGCGACAGCGAGGCGAGCGAGGCCGAGAGGGTGAGGGTTGAGCGGTCGGCGTCGGTGATGATGAGCGGCGTGGACTGCGTCGAGTGAGGCGCGGCAAACTTGATGACCTGCGCGACAGAGTTGCAGAGCGATCAGTCATGAGGTCTGCCTTGAGCGGCCGCCCGAGCGAAAAAAGTCTCGAGAGCGTGGAACTCACCTCGCCGTCAAACGCGCACTCGCCCTTCCTCGCGAGGTACGTCGCGAGCACCTCGCAGTCGGCCTCGGACAGGGTGACGCCGGCGAGGCACCGTGCGCCGAGCTTGTCGCGAAAGGTGCGGAGCGTGTACAGGCGCGAGAGGGCGGTCGGGTGCAGGTCGGGGAGGAGGGGGATCAAGGTCGAGGCGGCTTTCTGCGGACGAAGACAGTGCGTCAGTACCCGATTGCCCGTACACACTCCCGCGCCGTGCGACGGCGGGGAAGTGTGACAGACGCGGCGAAGAGACGCACCTCGACGAGGTCCGGGAGGACATAGTCGCCCTTCCTCCTGGCCCACTCTTTCTCATCGGCGCCCTCGCCGAGCTCGACGCCGTCCGAGCTGCCCCAGACCTTGGACAGACCCCACCAGAAGGGGCGGGCGAGGAGGGACGCGACGCCGTAGGCTTGAGGCGCGGGCGACGCGAGGTAGGTCGAGCGCGGGACGAGGTCGGACGAGTGGACGAGTTCGGCCTGCGGGGGACGGACGGGAGGGAACTCGGTGGTCAGGCTGGGCGGGACGAGGAGGGAGAGGGACGAGGAGCGTACGATGATGACGCCGAGGGAAGAAGGGCGGCCGACCGAGTCCCAGCGGAGGTGCTCGCGGAGGTGGTCGTCGACGTGGAGTGAGAGCTTGTCGTCGCCGACGAGGCCGCGGTGTACGAGGTCGGTGAGGGTCTTGCGCCACCAGGCGAGGGCGGACGAGTAGCCGGTCGGGTTCGAGTGCTTGCGCGAGGGGAGCGACGAGTAGAGGAACTGGACGCGGGCGGTCGAGTACTCGGGGATGGTGGCGAGGTGGGCGTGCCGTGCGTTTGGCGGTGGCACCTTGGCGGCTGGGGCGGAGGGTTGAGCCATGGCGGGTGCGAGCTGATGAGGAGGAGGAGGGGCGACGACGACGACGACGAGCTGGACCCTGTCGCCTCTCTCGCTGTACCGCTGCTGCCCTCGCACAGTCACCGCACACTGCTGTGCACCATGCAGGCACCCGACCCGCTCGCCCACCTCGCGTGCTCGTCGTGCAGGACCCCGCTCTCGTCCAGCACCGCCTCGTCGTCCCTCAACCTCGACTCGCTCGCCTCGCTCGCCCCGTGCGGCCACATCCTCTGCTCTGCGTGTACCGTACCCGCGACTGGGGCCCACGCCGCCGGCGTCCCGCCTTCCTGCCCCGTCTGCGGCACACCCGGCCTCGTCCCTCGCGACCAAGCCACGCCCGACGTCCTCGACTGCTTCCGCCCGCTGCCCGACCTCGCGCAAGAACTTGGCACCGCCGCAGGGTGGCAGACGACCCACCTCGCCGAGCAGCTCGACTACTTCAAGCACAAGTGCGCCCAGCAGAAGGACGTCCTCGCCCGCGTCGGCAACGAGCTCAACAAGGTCAAGGCCCTCAAGCAGTGCGTCCTCGCCCTCTTCTTCATCCTCTCAATCTCGACAAGGCGATTACTGACAAGGAGGGACCGCGCGCCGCAGACAAGTCGCTCAGCTCAACGCCGACAACGCCGACTTGCGCAATCAGCTCTCGACACTCGCCCGGCAGAACAGCTACCGGCAGAACCAGCCTCTCGAGCAGACGCAGCACACCCAGCACGAGTACCGCTTCGCGGGCTTGCCGCCCGACCCGTCCCAGTCGCGCAAGCGCCGGCTGATCGACTCGCCCGACCGGTCCGCCCGTCTGCCCACCTCGGCAGCACTCGTCGCGTCTCAAGAGACGCAGACACTGACCTAGCGCCGCCACAGTCTCGTTCTACCCGTACGACCGGCGACACACGCCTCGACCCGACCGCGCCCGCCTTCCCGCTCGAGCGGCTCGGGCTCGAGTGGCCACCCGACGCACCTCACGCTCGGCCCGGCGAGGCTGTCGCTCACGCCGGCGCAGTCACTTCAGACGATGGCGACGAGCCTGAACGTCGTCGAGGAGGTGGACGAGAGGGTCGGACAGGGCTCGCTGAGGGACCGCATCGCGTGCGTCGGCTCGATTTCTCCTCCTCAGCGCCGACTCGACGATGCGGCGCCCTGAATCGGACGGTATCTTCTTCTGCAGCAAGTTCGCCTACGACCCGAGTCGAGCCGCCGCAGCCCGCACCGCCGCCAACACGCCCCGACCGGCCTCGCACGCCCTCGACCGCCAGCCGATCGCCTCGACGCAGCACGACCAAGCGCCCTTTGCCGCACTGCAGCACCCGAACAGCCAGCAGTACGACCAGTACGACACGTCATACCGCGACGAGCCCCGGCAACAGGAGCCCAGCTTCGAGACGGACGCCCAGCTCATGCCGCCGCCACCGCCACCACGCCGCCGCCACGACTCGCAGCACCACCAGCAGCAGCCGTCCTCGCAACAGCGCGACGCATTCGTCCCGCCTGCGTCACTCGCGAGGCAGCAGCCGACGCCGTCGAGGCAGCACGCCGGCACGCCCCGACCTCGTTTCGAGTCGACGCACGGTCCGTCTTTCCGTCCCTTCTTCTCTCCTTCCTGGCGACACCGATCGCGAGCGCATTTGACATCCTTCCCGTCCTCCCTCGCGTCCCATACAGCGTCAGCAGCCGCACCATCGCCGGCGCGCTTCGTCCCCGCCAACATCGCGCCGCACCCGCCGTCGCACCGACCTCTCTCGACGCCGTTCGACAGCTCGACCACCTACACGACAGCGCACCGGCCCCTCAGGCCTGCGTCGGCGATGCTGCACGACGAGCGCGGCGGCGGCGGCGGAGGTGCTGGAGCGAGCGGGGCGAGCTGGACCGGCGCGAGCGCGGGGTGGAGCAGGAGGTGAGCTGCGGCGGCTGTCCAGGGGGCGCAGGAGGACGCGCAGACGTGCGAGGAGCCGTAGTGAGGGGCTTTGTGCGCAACGAGGGTAGCCTCGAGGTCGTTTCTCAGTCGCCTTTGTTCGCTCGCTCCCCTCTCGAGCGAGATGCAGAGGCGCGCAAGGATGGGAGGATAGAGAATTGCACGACGAGCTATACTATGTACGAGGAGAGATCTATGTGTGTCCTTGACGGCGCGAAGAGAGCGACGAGAGGAAGAAGAGGAACGTGCGCGCCAATTTGGGAAGGCCGACGAGTCCTGGTCCACGAGCCGTCCCTCGCACGCCGGCGACGACGAGGGCATGCTCAGCCACTCAGTGCGTCTCCTCCTGGCGCGCCTTCTCCCTCTCGCGGCCCTGCTCCACCTCGTCGGCCCGGCTCGGCTCGGCGCGCTCCTGCGCCACGCCCTTGCCCTCGCCGCCCTGCGCCCCCTTCTGCTCGGCCTCGTTGCCCTTCTCCTTGCTCTCCTTGGCCGCCTCGCTCTTGGCATTGGGCTTGGCCGCCTCCTTGCCGCCCGAGCCGGCCTCGGTCGCCGCCTCGTCCGACGCGCCGCGAGTAATCTTGAACGTCGCTGGCGCGTCAGGGTCGTCCTCGTTCTTCTCGTGCACGATCGTGAGCCTGCGACAAAAGGCAAGGTTAGCTCGTGTGGCACGAGAGGGGACCGCGAGAGAGAGGAGAGAGAGGAGAGAGAGGAGAGAGAGAGGGACGCACCGTTGAAGCTCGGTGAGGAAGTTCTCCATGGCCGGGTGCTTCTGCCCGACCTTCTGACGCCCGAGGTTGTCGATCCACGGGATCTTGCTCATGAGGTAGTAGACGAACGCGAGGACGACCGTGACGCCGACCGAGTAGGCGTAAATGCGGCACAGCGAGACGATGTCGACCCAGCCGCCGTGGCGGTCGGCGGGGCCGCTCATCCAGCCGAGGGCGGCGAACACTGCACAGGGAGGAACGAGAGAGTCAGTCAGGGAATTAGAGCCGAGGGCGAGGACAAGAGCAGAGAGATGAAGGCGAGGGGAGGGGGAGGAGGAGATCGAGAGGACGCACCGGTCGCGAGGATGTCGACGCCAAAGACGGCGCCGACGAGCTGCCAGCTCGGCCACGTGATCTTGCCGGCGTCCTTGCCAAAGTCGATGCGCGTGATGAGGATGAGCCACGACTCGGTGAGGGCGACCTCGAGGAAGAGGACCTCCTGGATCGAGCCGTAGTTCTGCACCATGCCGCCCTTGCCGTCGTTGCCGACAAAGAGCGTCGCGCGGCAGATCCAGGTGCCCGCCGCGAGGAGGAGGCCGAGGACGGTCGACATGAACCACACGCGCGGAAGCTGCCACTGGGTCGGCCTCGTCGCCGACTGCGCGTTGTCGTACGCGATCGCGATGGTCGCCACGTCGGCAAAGATGGCGAGGAACACGATGAGGTCGACTCGGATCGTCTCGCTGCGAGGGCGAGGGTGTCAGTGCTGCTCGGCCTCTCGGGGCGAAAGAGGACCGGCGACGTACTTCTGGATGAGCATGTCGAGCAGGAGGAAGACCTCGAGGTGCAGGCAGAGTGCGATGCGGTAGACGATGTCTGTGAGGACGGAAGAAGGTCAATCGGGGCTCGAGAACGACGACGAGGGCTTGAAAAGGACGACGCACAAGCCTTCATGCGGTGGAAGATGCCTCGGGCGACCTTGATCGCCGTGATGATCGTCGACAGGCCTTCTCCAAGAAAGACGATGTCGGCGGCGGACCGAGCGGCGTCGGACGCGCCCTCGACGGCGATGCCGCAGTCGGCCTTCTTGAGGGCAGCTGCGGGAGAAGGGGTCAATGCGCGATCGGCGACGAGCCCGGACACGACCTGAAGGAGGACAAAGGAGGACTCACGAGCATCGTTGACGCCGTCGCCAGTCATGGCGACGAGGTGCTGCCGTTGGCGGAGGAGGTCGACGACCTGGTACCTGAGCGAGCGAGAGGGGGGAAAGGGGACGTCAGGAGCTGGTTCGGCGGCTCAGGCTCGAGGGAGGCGACAGCGGCGACGCACTTGTGCTCGGGGAAGACCTCGGCGAACCCGTCGGCAGCCTCGAGGAAGTCCCTCATCTCGCTGCCCGACATGCCGCCGCCGAGAAGACGCTCAGAGTCATAGACGCGGTCGCCCATCGAGAGCTGGCGACACGTCTCCTTGGCGATCTGCGAGCGTCAAGTGTCAGTCACTTTCCCCAAGAGAGGAGAAGGAGGGACAGGGAAGGAGAGGAAGGAGGAGAAGGAGAGGACGTACAGCCACGGCGTCGCCTGTGAGCATCTTGATGCTGATACCGAGCTCCTGCGCCTCGCGCACCGTCGCAGGCGTGTCGTGACGAGGCGGGTCCGACATGCAGAGCAGGCCGAGCAGCTCCCAGTCCTTGCCGTCCTCCTTGATGGCGACGCCGAGCGAGCGGTACCCGCGAGCGGCAAACTCGGCCGCCTTTTCGCGATAGTGGGCGACGAGGCCCTTGTCGAACTTTGTGAGGCGCAGGATGGCGTTGGGCGCGCCCTTTGCCGCCGTGAACTTCTTGCCGTCGCCGTCCTCGATCTCGGCCGTGATGCGCTTCGACACGGGGTCTGCGCGGCGGAAAGGTGTGTGTCAGTCTCGTGGACGGGTTCATAAAGGGCGCGAGAGATACGAGAGCGAGAGGGGACGAGGGACGGCGAGAGGAGGAGGGACAAGGCGGCGGAGCGAGGAGGTGAGAGGAGGACAGGGACGCACCGAATGGGGTGAACTTGTGCGTCTTCCAGTGACGCTCGCGCAGGATCTTCTTGGCCTCGGGATAGTCCTTGAGCGCGCAGACGACGACCTTATCGATCGGGTCGAGCGATTTGACGTTGTGCGACGAGGCGAGGACGGCGACGGCCATGAACCAGTCGGGCTTGACGCCGTCGGCGACGAACGGCTCGTTGAGCGACAGCTTGTTGGCCGTGAGCGTGCCCGTCTTGTCGGAGCACAGGATGTCGACGCCGGCGAGCGACTCGATGGCCGTGAGCTTTTGCACGATCGCCTGCTGCTTGGCGAGGTAGGCGGCGCCGACGGCCTGCGCGAGAGAACCAGGGTCAGTCAGACGATACACACCGAGAGCAGGCAAGAGGGAGCGTCGCAGCGTACCATCGTAGTCGTCGTGACGCACTGCGGGTGAGGTGGGTCAACTTGGGAAGGTCGACGACGGGGACGAGAGAGAAAAGGGAGACGCACGGGCAGACCGACAGGCACGCCGACGATGAGGAAGATGAGCGCATAGACGAGGAGGTTGTTCTGCTTCGGGCTCGCGATGCCGATGTTCCGGAAGAAGCCACCTGCGAGCGAGGCGGGGCGGTCAGTTTCGAGGCTCGTCCAGCGGCGCAGGCCCACCTTCGAGTCCGGGTCGAGGAGAAGCGGGACGCACCGATGATCATGGCGAAGATGAAGACGACGACGAGGATGAGGAGCGCCGTGCCGATGCCGTTGAGGACCTTCTTGAAGTGGCCCTCGTCGTTCGAGCCCATGACGAGGCTTGCGGTCTTGCCGACGAACGACTGCTTGGCCGACGCCTCGACGACACCGATGATCTTGCCGCGCTTGATGCCGCACGTGTAGAACGCCGTCTCGCCGACGAACTTGTCGACCGCGAGCGATTCGCCCGTGAGCGCCGACTGGTCGACGCTGCAGACGGACGGCCCGCGCAGCTTCTTGTACTCGTCCGAGTCGCCGTCATCGTCGTCGTCGTCGCCGGCCGAGTTCTTCTTCTGGCCCTTGGCCTTGATGATCTTGGCGAGACGGTCGTGCAGGTCGCCCTTGTCCTTGTCCTCGTACGCGCACAGGACCCGGCAGTCGGCCGGGATCGTCGAACCTTCCTCCATGACGACGATGTCGCCTGGGACGAGCTCGCGCGCCTCGATCTCGTGCTCTTGGCCGTTGCGGATGACGATGGCCTTCATGGCGATGCCGGCCTTGAGCTGGGCGACGATGTCGCCGGCCTGCTTCTCCTGGTACCAGCCGACGAACGCGTTGAGCATGAGGATACCGATGATGACGCCGAACTGTTGCACGAAAGGAGAGGGGGAAGACGGTCAGTGCCCCTGGCCGGCGCGCGAAGAGGCTCGAGGGCAGGAGAGCGGGGGACGCACGTCGATCCAGTCGCGCAGGCCGGCACTCAAGATGACGGCAATTTCCATCTGTGTCGGGGGACGAAGCAGAAGGGAAGGAGGGGCGGGGAGAAGGTGAGTCGTGGACGGGAGAAGGACGAGCCGAAAGGAGGAGGACGCACGACGTAGAGGATGGGCCCACGGAAGAAGCCGACGAACTTGAGCAACTGGTTCTCCTTTTGCCTGTTCACGAGAAAGGGAGAGCGCGCAGAGAGTCAGTGCCAGGCCCGGAACACAAGCGGTCCGTGAGCCTGGGACGGCGCCGAACGGCTCCAGGCTGCGGCGCCGTCACGCTCCCTGTCGACGCTCAATAGGAAGAAAGGTGGACGCACGACTCGAGCTCATTGAAGCCGTACTGGCTGCGGCGCTTGTCCGCCTCGCCGTCGTCGAGACCGCGAGCGAGGTCGGTCTGGAGCCAGTCCTCGGGCACCTGCGTGTAGTCTCAAGAGTCAGTTCGCGCCCCGAGAAGGTGACAGGGAAGGAGGCGGGACGCACCTTCTTGGTCTTGTCCGACTGGACGGCGACCTTCTTCCACGGCGCGTACCACAGCCGCTTCTCGTGGATCTCCTCGTCCTCGTCCTCGTCGTCGCCGCCGCGCTTCGAGCGCTCGGCCTCGTACTCGACGAACTGGATGAGCTTCTCGTACTCGTCGCCCTTGAAGTCGGGGCCTGCGAGAAAGGGCGAGAGGGTGGGTGAGCGAGAGGTTCTCGAGCCGGCGACGACCACGCCGGGCACGCGACGAGGACGGTGTCCCTGCGGCTGAGAGAGCGAGGACGCACCCTTCTCGGTCGGAGAGTCGACGGCGGTGTCGTTCGACTCGACATCGGCGTCGTGACCGTGACCTTTGCGGTGCCGGAGGAAGCCCATGTTGAGCTGGCGGATTCAGCGACGGCGAGTCGCACGAGCTGGACGCGAGGGGCGGGCGAGGACCGTGAGTGCGTGTGCGTGTGGGAGGAGTTCGAAGAGAAGCAGGGGCGCACCAGAAAGAGGGCACCGCAACGCCCACCTTGCTCCACTCTGCCAGGTTCGGGCTCGTGCACGCCGGCTCTCGCCCGACCGCCCGCGCAGTTCGGCACCCGCAGCCGTGCACCATCTCGGTCGGCGCACGCGTCCAAAAGTAGCACGCTGGCTCGCCCATGCTCGCGCGAGTGAGTCGGGTCGGGCTGGTTGACGTTGCGGGGGAGGGAGCGGCTCGGCCTCGGGGCGTGCACGAGCGGCTGACGAGGCGCAGGAAGCGTTCGCAGCGCTGCAAGGGCCACCGGGACCCGGGTACGAGACCTCCAGGTCCTCAGCGGAGCGCTTGAGGAGCTCGAGAAGAGCGATCGCGAGAAAGCTGGATGACGAGCCGTCGGTCCTCGGCCGGCTGCACCGGCGAGAGCGGCCAGGGGCTGCCACGGTCGCAGACTGGACAGCGTGTGGTGCGCTCGATCTACTGCCCGACCAAGGGCAAGAGGGGGGAAGGCCGGGAAAGCGAGGTCGGAGGAGGCGAGCGAGGCGCGAATACGAAAGTCAAAGCGAGGTCAAGCGCGAGCTTGTGATCGAACCGAGCCGGGCGCAACTCGCTGCTTTCCGGTCCTGAGCGCGAGCAGCCTCGCCAAGTCGTACTCGACAAGGCCACGAGCTCGACGAGGTCTCGCTGAGCGGAGCGAGCGCTCGAGGGATTCGTGCGGCCAGCTTTCTTCAGCACGCTCCGAGTCTCGCTCGGCAGCGGCCGCAGACGGCCTCTCGGGTTCGTACTCGACGTCGTCCTCGACACTAAGACGAAGAGAAAGGGGCAGCGCGGCGACATAGAGGGGCGAGCCGCCGGCGGGCAAAGGGAGAGAGATGCGTGCGAGTTGCAGGGCGACGAGGTACTCAATGCGGCGTCGGCTTGCTCCCTGTGATCGCGTAACGCAGCGTCAGAGTCTGTGTTAGGGTCAAGGGAGGCGAGAGGGAGAAAGGGGACGCACCGTCCACCCGCAAGTTCCTCGTCGCGCTCGGCAGCGTGATCGTCGTGCCGTCCATCTCCTTGGTCACCTTGACCTGGCACCCAAGGCGCGACGTGTCGGTCAGCCCAAAGGCGAGGTCGAGCATGTCCTGCAGAGGGAGCGTGTTAGTACGAGGCGCGGACCGCCCAACTCGAGCCGCCGCCGCTGGATGCGTGGCGAGCCGAGAGGCAGGGGACGTCGCGACGCACATTCTCGTCGTCGTCCGGCTCCTCGAGCTTGTCATAGATGTCCTCCTCCAAGATGACATGGCACGTTGAGCACGCGACCGACTTCTCGCACGCAGCTGCACAGGGACGAACGAGTCGAGGTCAGGTCTCGTTCGAATCGGGAGCGCGAGGCGAAGGAGAGAGACGCACCCTCGATGTCCAGGTCGTACTCCCACGAGACGTCGACAATGTCGTCACCGACGTTGGCCTGCACGGTCGTGATCTCGCCGTTTGCGCGCTTGAAGTGCAGGGTCACGCTGTCGAGGCCGGGAGGGAGTGCGTCAGGTCACTCGCGCTTGAACTGTGCCCGGAACCGCTCAAGAAAGGTGGACGCACCCTTCGCCGGGCTTTGGCCGACCCTTGCCGCCGTGCAGAGCCGCTGCGGGAGTTGATCGCTCGGGGTCAGCCAAAGAAACGGTTAGGAGACAGGGTTCGCCCGCGAGGGCTCAAACAGGGACGTACACGGGGTCGAGTGGAAGCTGCGTGCTGCCTGAATGTAGGTGGGGCGGAAAGAAGGCTGCGCGGCTTGTGCGAGGGGCGGCTGAGGGCGCAAGATGGGGCGAGAGGCGATGGCGGAGGAGGGGCGAGGAACGGCGGCGAGGCGGACGGTCGACCGCAGGGATCGCAGCGGGGCGGTCATGGCAGTGACTGAGGGCGGTACTCGGACGGCACAGAGCAGTCGGGAGTGGTGCGACAGAGGCGAGCTCCTCGTCCGTCGCCGCCATCTCTCCTCGGCCTCTCCACATTCTCGTACTCGCTCCTGCTGAGCAGTGCAGCACCTGAGCGAGCCAGTACATCACCTGCCGAGCGACACGACTCGCACGCCGGCTGGACCGGGCGGTCAGCCATGGTCTCTCGCCGCGAGCAGCTCCGCCAGGAGAGCGGCTCGTACACGCCAAAGCTCGTCGCCTGCTTCTACGGTGCGTCCCATTTGTTCATCCCTGTCCGTCCCGCAGGCTCACCCTCTGCCCTGCCGCGACAGCCGTCTTCGACCCGACCCTCGGCCCTCGAGTGGTGCACCAGATCCCCGAGGGCAGCGTCGCGACCGCCCTATCGACCTTTCCCTCCAGACCCGACACGCCCAAGGACACCGACAGCCCGTCGACGCTGTCGCCCGCACCGGGCACGCCCGTGCGAGAACCCGACTCGCCCGCGACCGCGCAGCCCGTTCCTCGCGCCAACCCCGTCCTGTTCGACTTTGCGTCCATCCTCGATTTTGTCATTCCCAAACCCGAGCTCTGCGGTCACCTCATCACCAAGGCGACCCGGACGAGCAAGATCCTGGGCTTCCCCGTCCGGTGAGCCCCCTCGTCCGCTCCTCACCTCGGGCCTGGACTGACCTCCTCGCGCCGTGCAGGATCGTCGACGAGGAGAAGTACCACGGCAGCAAGGCCGTCTACAACCGCAACGCCTTCATCTTCAACGTCTGCTTCGTCTTTGAGCGCGACGCCGAGCTGTCGGTCTACGAGCCCGTCGCTCGCAAGACGGGGCGCACGTTGTCGGCGCTCGAGGAGCAGTTCTCGCTCCTGTCGAACCCGCCACCGTCGTTCTCGATGTCCAACCTCCTCGAGCAGCTGTATCTCGACCTCAACGCCTACTTCGAGACGAGCATCCCGCTCATCGACACGAACCTCGACCTGTGCCTGTACCCGTTCTACGCCAACCCGCCCGAGGTGAGGATCTGGGACGTGCCCATCGCCGTCACCGATCTCGAGCAGATGAAGAGCTACTCGTGGGACGTCACGCTCTACAAGGTGCGTGCCCTCTCGCCTTCTCGACCTGTCCTTCCCAGGCTCTCGCTCACGCCCTCCTCCCCGTCCCGCAGTTGTGCAGCTTCATCAACGGCGTCAACCACGTCAAGCGCATCGCCGAGCTCGCCGAGGTCGACCTGTTCCTCGCGCGGCAGTGCATCCAGCACCTCGTGTACGTCCTTGTCGCCCTCTCGCTCTCGACGAGCCCGACCTGACCTGCCTCGGCCCGCAGGTACTACAACGCCGTCATCCTCGTCGACCTGTTCCAGTTCTCCAACTCGTACGCCCTGCTGCCCGACATCGCCGATGCGGCCCAGTACGGCGAGGAGGACGAGGACAGCGGCGTCGACTTGCGCTTCGAGTGCGAGAACTACGTCCACGACGGTACACGTGCGTCACGCTCTCTCTCGCTCTCTCTTCTGCGAAGGTTGACTGACATCTCTCGTCGTCGACCGCAGGCGACACGACCCCAGTTCCCTTTTCGACCCTCCTCACCTTCTACTCGCGCCTTCGTCCCGGCTACCCTCTCTCGACCTGGATGGACGACCTCTCGCTCGACGCCCTCCCGATCGACGTGCGCCGCATGATCCAGTTCGGCGTCATCAAGGGCTTCCTGCGCCGCGCGCACGCCTACCCGGTCTGGCTCGACCACCCGGCGCTCAAGCCTCGAGCCGCGCGGGGCAGCGCGAGCAGCAGCGGGGCGGCGACGGCGACGGGCGCGAGTGGCGCTGCGGCAGCAGCTGCGGCTGCGTCGGCGGCTGCGAGGGCGCGACAGCGAGCGGCGTCGTCGGGCAGCAAGAGCGCGAGCGCGAGCGCGCCGACGCGGCGAGCAGGCGACCTCCCGCCCAAGCGCGTCCTGCACGCGACGCTCGACGCGCCGGCACCGCCGCAGCACAGCACCAACTCGCTGCGGCGCTCGTCGCCGCCGTCGCGCGGGAGCGGCGCCGGGTCGGGCGACGAGGACGAGGACCGTGCGGCCGGCGGCGGTGCGGGCGAGAACTCGATCTCGTACCCTCCGAGCCTGGCGCTCCTGCTCGACGGCTCGCACCACACGGACGAGGTGTGCCTGCGGTACGGGATCGGGTGGAGGACGCTCGAGGCGGTCCTGAGGGACTTGGGCGGCGGCGCGAAGGGGATGGAGCGAGAGGGGGACGACGATGAGGACGACGACGAGGAGGAAGAGGCACGGCGCGAGCGCAGGAGGACGAGGTCGAGGGACGACGAGGAGGCGAGTCTGTATGGCGACAAAGTGGTCATGCTGTGGATCTAGAAGTGCTCCGTTCGCTGTTGTCAATTCTAGCTGTTTCTCTCGTTCTCGCTCTCGATCTCGCGCTCTCGTCGATGCCGAGCAGGATACCTGAGGAAAGACCGAGTTGCACCTCTCTCGCGCACGAGCTACGCACCGCCCTGTGCGGCCGAGACCGACGTTGCGAAACGGCCCTCGTGCGCCCGCAGCGGCTCGAGGATGAGCTCGAGGCGTTCGCCCATCCAGATCGCCTTGGCCGTCTGCGAGTGTGCGCAAGGATCGTCAATGGCGGAGCTTGGAGGAAGAGGGAGAGACGGGGACGCACGTGGTCGAGGAGTTCGCTTTCGAGCGTGTTCGGGTGGATCCTGCAGAAATCTCGACGTGAGCGACCATTCCCAGAACCACAAGGCCTCGAGCGCGCAGGCATGAGCGCCAGAGACCACGTCTGGAGGGAGAGGGGCTCACAAGACGCTGCGGGACAAGACGAGAGTCAGCGACCGCGCAGAGGGAGGAAGAGGAAAGCGGGAGACGCACGAGAGGTCGCCTCGGAACGCGACGAGGAAGCCGAACAGAGCGCCGAACTGTGCCGGCGTAAAGGTCTGCGCGACGCGGAGGCAGGCGGATCAGCTCAGGGACGAGGGGAAGCTCGGCTCGAGGCGCAGGACAGATCTCGACGCACGTTCACCTCGAACATGGCCTTGGGGTGGGGCCTGCGCGCCGCTCGGAAGTGTCAGTCGACACTCTCGAGGGCATGGATACACAGAGCGAGGCGGACGGACCCGACAGGAACCTCCCAGAAGCGGTACACGCGCAGCTCGGGGAACTCGCGGCGGACGCGCTCGTGGAGCTTGCGGGCGTGCGCCATCTGCGCCTCGCCGTCGTAGTAGATGTGAAAGTCGAACGCGTTGTTGCTCTGGTCGAGCTCGACGGGGTACGAGGTGTACCACGGCGAGAGGGCGTGGTCGGGTCGGGCGGGATTGACGAGCGACTTGCCGTCAGGCTGGCGGTCGTCGGTGAGGGCGTGGAGGGGCGCAGGGAGGTCGGCGAGCGGGTCGCGGTAGGTCGTCGTGGGCGTCGTCATCGAGGGTGAGTTGGGCGGAGTGTGGGGAGTCGGGCGAGGAGAGGAGGTGCGAGGAGGGAGGGATGGATGCGAGTCGATGTCGCTGGCGGGAGGGATCGGAGCGTCGGGACGTGCAGACAAGCGGCTGTCGTGTGAAGCTCTGCACCAGCTGGCACAAGGTCGAGAGTCAGGCCGCGGCGGAAGTTGCGGAAGACGAGGGCGCCAGGCGTCACGCCCTCGCCGAGGAGCGCGGTTCGCTCGAGCCTGTGCGAGTGCAGCTTATGGGTCACGCAGGCTGCTTTGCAAGTCCACCCGTGACAGTGTCGCCGAGGGAGAGGAGGAGCTGCGCTTGTCGTCGCTCGCGACTTTCGACAGCTGTTCGGCTCTCGTCCACCTCGCCCCCGACCGCCGAGTGCTGCTTGCTCCTGTCATGGCGGAACCCACGCCAACACCGCCGGCACCACCGCCGACAGCGCCCGCGCCCGCGCCGGCCCCGCCAGTTCCTGGTCCTTCGACCCGCGCTCTCCCGCCCAAGGTCGTCAAGCCCACCAACCCGTGAGCCTGGCCTTGCGCGACTACTCGCACAGCGACCACACTGCTGACTTTCGCCCCCGCCGCGCACAGCTTCGTCTACCTCGGCATCCCCCAGTTCGTCCTCGACTGGCGACCCTCCGTCCCCGGCCCCAAGATGAGCGTCTTCCTCGCCGTCACGGCCGGCCTGACCGGCGCCTACGTCTACGACCGCCGCGAGACCAAGCGCATCCAGCAGGAGTACGTCGACAAGGTCAAGTGGATGAGCGAGCAGCCGCTCGACGCCGCAGACCGCGCCCGCAAGGTCAAGGTGTTCGGCGCCCGCGTGCCTGAAGACGGCGAGCTCGAGCGAGGCGCCAAGTGGTTCAAGCGCTACATGCGGGTGCGTCCCTCTCCCTCTCGAACCTGCCCGCCGACAGACGACTCACTGACCCACGCTCGGATCCTCTCTGCAGCCCATCCTTGTCGCGTCGGGCACCGACTACGTCCTCAAGGTCGGCACCAACCCGGGCGGTCTCGGTCGCACGCTCGTTCACGAGATCCGCGCCCGACGCGTCACCCAGGCGGCGCAGGAGAGCGCGTCGGCCGCCGAGGTCCTCCTCCTCAACACGCCCGAGGCCAACGTCAGCGCCGTCCTCGCCGAGCGCGACCTCGAGGAGGAGAAGAGCGAGCAGGACAGCGCCATCGTCCTCCTCGGGCGCGGTGCGCTCAAGGAGTACCTGTGGGCGCTGCGCAAGGGATGGAGCGAGCCGATCGACCTGCGCGAGGAGGCCAAGCTCGAGGGGCTCGGTGTCGGCGCCAACGAGCGGCGCAAGGACGGCCGGTGGGAGCGCGAGGAGGAGCTCATGTTGCGCGAGCTCGAGCGTGAGGACGACGCGGCGCCGCTCGGCGGGCCCTTTGACGAGCGCGCCGCACCCGAGGGCCTCGAGTCGGTCGGCGACGCGCCCGAGGCGGCGCCCATGCCGTCGCAGCCCGTCAGTTTCCTGTCGTACAACCCGTACCGCCCCGTCACGCCGACGTCGGCACCCTCGTCCGCCACCGCACCCGCCGAGCTCGAGGCGCCGCTCGTGCTCCCGCCGACCAACCCTCCCGCTCAACCTCCTCTCCTCCTCGTTCCCTTCTCCTACCCGTTCGGCATCCGTACCTGGATCCCCAAGCTCGCCCACTTCTGGAACCACCGCACCGACGCCCGCATCGGCGGCGAGATGGCGCTCGCCGTCGTCCTGTCGCAGTCGCGCCCCATCATCCCGCCCGCCAACCGCAACCCCGAGACGGGCGCGCCGCAGGGCATCCTCGACGACGACTTTGTCGCCATGATCCGTCGCGGCGAGGCGCACGAGTCGACGATGGACGACGGCGCGCCGACGGGCTCGCCCGACCTCGACTTTATGTCGGCGACGGACGAGCGGCCCGAGCACTTCAAGAAGGCGTACCGCACGATGCCCAAGGGCCACGAGTACCACCGCCGCACCTACTACAAGGACGAGCTGCCGCCAAAGGTGCAGACGGCGCGCGAGCTCGCACGCGGCGAGCGCGAGCCGACGTCGAACGAGGTCAGCTACCCGCCCAAGATCGAGTCCGAGCTGCGCAAGGAGCGCCTCGACCGCGAGCTGCGGTGGCGGCGCGAGCTCGAGGGCTGGGCGGTGCAGCGCGCCGGGAGCGGCGTCGCGTGGAGGGACGAGTGGGCGCACGACGGCGTCCTGCGCGTGATCGAGACGCCGGACGAGGCGGCGGTCAAGGAGCTCGAGCGGAGGGGCCAGGAGTGGCAGGAATGGAAGATGCGCAGGGACGAGGAGCGCGAGCGTGGGTGGAAGGAGCAGGTCAGGAGCGAGGACGACTGAGAAGGAGGAGGAGGAGCGTGGGTGTTCGGGCCTCTCTCCCTGTAAGGAGTATCAGCGCAGCATGTAGACTCTCTCTCCCAATTCGCAACCGCAGCATTGCCCCTCCTCGTCCTTTCCTTCCCTCTCTCTCTCATCGTCGTCGTCGTTTCGCGCTCCATCCTCTTCCTCCTCCCTCCTCCCTCTCTTCCCTACTCGCTCGAGCACATCGCCTACCGCCGTCCCTAGCCTTACCACCCACGCAGGCATGTCGCGCTCCGCGCCGCGCGCGTCGTTCGGGCGCGGTCTCGCCGTGCCGCCACCGCGCTCGCTCCTCCCGATCAGCGCCTTCGCCCCGCCTCAGCAGGCGCCGCACGCCCAGGGCGCACTCGGGCCCAGCTCGTCCAGCATCTACGACAACGACGACGAGGTGACGCAGAGCCTCGCCGAGTTCCTCGACGCCGACAACGCCGAGCTGGAGGAGCAGGAGGCGGGCGACGAGTTCGGCTGGCGTGGCGACGGCGACGACGGTGCGTGGCTGTGCTCTCTCACTCTACGTGCAGGTACTGACTGCTCTGCGCCCGATCGCACGCAGCCTTCGACACGAGCGAGCCCTTCCCCTCCTTCCACCACCTCTCGCCGCCCTCGCCTTCCCCAACTCGTGCCGGCGGCCCTCGCACCGCCCAGCTCCTGCCGACCGTCGACCGTACGACCGCCTACTACGCGACGTCGACACCGACCGGCACGCAGCGCCACCCTCCTCCCCCGCCGCACCCACCCTCACGCTCGTCCGCGCCGCCGATCCGCCCTATGCCGCTGCGCTTCCCCCAGCCGCCGCCCTCGTCGCACTCGCACCCACATCAGCAGGCGCACCACCCCGTCGCCGGCTCGGCGAGCGCGCATCGCCCTCTTGCTCGCCCTGCGGCGTCCACAGCCGCATCGACCTCGGGCACGTTGGGCGGGCAGCGGCGCGTCCCTGCGCACGCACCGGTTGTCGGCCAGTACGGCGTGGGTCAGATGGACGTCGACGAGGACGAGGGCAGGGGCATGAGCGAAGACTACTGGGGCGAGCAGGACGGCGGCGACGGCGAGTTCGAGCAGGCGCTCGCGAGGACGGAGCTCGACTTTGGGCGCGGTGGCGGTGCGGGCAACGGTCGTGGCGGCGGCGAGCCTGGTCGGACCGGTCAGCCTTGTGCGTGTCTGCTCTCTTTCGTCGCCCTCATCGACCTCGACCTTCCTGACTCGTCCCTCCTGCTCCTCGTCTCTCTCGCGCAGCCACTTCCTCGCGCTCTCGCACCTCTGCCTTTCCTCCGGCACCTCCTCCTCCGACACACCGCCTTCACGGACCCGCAGCGTCGCAGCAGTCGGCGTCGGCGCGCCAGAGCCAGAGCCAGGGGGGTCCGAGCGGCGGCGGGGGCACGGTGAGGAAGCAGGGGATCAAGCTCCGGCCGGTCAGCGAGCTACGTGCGTCCGCCTCTCACTCTCTCCTCTCGTCGCGTCCTGTCCAACGAGGCTAAGTCGATCTGTTTGTCCCGCAGCCGACGCTCTTCGCTCGCTGTGGCGGTTCGGCGTCTTCAACGCGGTCCAGAGCGTCTGCTTCGACACGGTGAGCCGCCGGCACCTCACCGAGCGTCACACAGAGTGTATCCTGATATCTCGATCCTGCAGGTCTACCACACCGAGGAGAACATCGTCGTCTCGGCGCCGACCGGCGCTGGCAAGACTGTGCGTCCCTTTCTCTCAGTCTTTCTCAACCCCGAGGCGCCTCGTACTCACAGTCCTAGCTCTGCAGGTCCTCTTCGAGCTTGCCATTGTCCGCCTCTTCACGAGGTCGTCGTCCAACGACGCAAAGGTCCTGTACATGGTGCGCCCGACTCGCCGCCTCTCCCTCGCCGTGCCCTCACTGACCTCGTACCTCTCTTCCTCGCGCAGGCGCCGACCAAGTCGCTCTGCTCGGAGCGCACGCTCGACTGGAAGCGCAAGTTCGAGCACGGTCTCGGCTGGGCTGTCCAGGAGCTCACGGGCGACTCGGACACGTCGACCTCGGCCTGGCGCGACTTTGCCAACGCCCGCATCATCGTCACGACGCCCGAGAAGTGGGACGCCATGACGCGCAAGTGGCACGACCATGGCTCGACGCTCGGCCAGCTCAGGCTCTTCTGGTGCGTCGACCCTCTTTCTCTCTCTCTCTCTCTTTCCTCCCGGACCTCGCGAGCAATAGCTCACGCAAGTCTGAGGTCCTACAGCGTCGACGAGGTGCACACGGTCGGCGCAGACGTTCGCGGCGCCGTCCTCGAGGTCGTCGTGAGCCGCATGAAGACGCTCGGTACCAGCACCCGGTTCGTCGCCGTCTCGGCTACCGTCCCCAACATCCACGACGTCGCAGAGTGGCTCGGTGCGTCTTCCTTTTCTCAGGGTGGGCGTATTCGAGCGTGTCCTGAAGCCGCAGCGTCCGCAGGTACTGGCGCCGTCGGCGAGGACGAGCACGAGCCGGCCAAGGTCTTCCAGTTCGGCGACGAGTTCCGCCCGTGCAAGCTTCAGAAGTGCGTCCCTTCTCGCCCTCTCACCTTGAGTGCACCCTGATGAGCTTGACCTGCAGGGTCGTGATCGGCTACCCCAAGAACGGCAACGACTTTGCGTTCGCGAACGGGCTCAACTTCAAGTTGTTCGAGCTCGTCAAACAGTACTCGTCGGGCAAGCCGTGCGTCCTCCTTCTTCACCTCTTCCCCTTGTCGTACGTCGCCGTTACTGACTCGCCTCGATACGCAGCGTCCTCATCTTCTGCAACACGCGCAAGGGCTGCCTCCAGGCGGCCGAGGCGCTCGCCAAGGACTACAAGCTCGCCCTCTCGTCCTCGTCGCGCTCGAGCCTCGCCTGGCCAAAGCCGCAGCGTCACGAGTTCCAGACGAGCGACAAGCACCTCGCGGCCCTGCTCGAGAACGGCATCGCGACGCACCACGCCGGCATGGACTCGAACGACCGTCGTCTCGTCGAGCGCCTCTTCATCGACGGCAGCATCAGCATCGTCTGTGAGTCCTTCTGTCGCTCGATGCTGCCAGGGCGAGCCTCTGACCCTTCCTTGTCGAGCAGGCTCGACCTCGACCCTCGCCGTCGGCGTCAACCTCCCGGCCCGCATGGTGCGCTCCCTCTCTTCCCTACCGTCCTCAGTCCCCTCTCTGACTGACCCTGCCCGTCCACAGGTGGTCATCCGGGGCACCAAGGCGTTCATCGACGGCCAGAGCAAGGAGTACTCGGACCTCGAGGTCCTGCAAATGATCGGACGCGCCGGTCGGCCCCAGTTCGACACGACGGGTATCGGTGAGCCTCGCTTTTCTCTTCTTCAGGTTCTCGCGAGAGCCGACCTGACCCGCACGAGCGTCAACAGCATGCATCATGACCGAGAAGGCGCTCGAGGGCAAGTACAGCAACCTTCTCAACGCCCAGGTGCGCCCCTCGCGTTCTCTCGCATCTACGTGGGAGCGTCCTGACACTCCTTGAATCTCGCAGAACCTGCTCGAGAGCTGGTACGTCCCTCTTGCGCGGTCTCGAGGCGGCGACCCTCGCCTCGACGTACTGACCTCGTCGTCGAAACAGCCTCCACAAGAGCCTCACCGAGCACGTCAACTCCGAGATCACTCTGCGCAGTGCGTCTCATACTCTCTCCTCCCCTCCCTGCGACTGCGAGCCGAAGCCTTGACGCGCCTGCCTCTCAGCGATCACCAACGTCCAGTCGGGCCTGCACTGGCTCCGGTCGACGTTTCTCTACACCCGCATCACCAAGAACCCGTCGCACTACGCCATCGGCCCGGACAAGACGTCGCCCGAGACGAGGCTCGAGGAGATCTGCCTCGAGGCGATCAAGGAGCTCGTCGACAGCGGCGTGGTCGACCAGAGGGAGGACGAGCTCAGTGCCACGCGTGCGTCCCGCTCTCTCTTTCCTCTCGCAGACATTCACTGACTCTGTGTCCTCGTTACAGACTTTGGCGATGTACGTCTGCCTCTCGAGCGCTCGTCGAGGATCCGACTGACCTTCTCAAGTGGCCTCGCCTGCAGATCATGAGCAAGTTCTACCTGTCGCACCGGACTTTCCTCGCCCTCAAGGACCTGCCGCTCAAGAGCAACATGCGCACGCTTCTCGAGACGCTCGCCGCTTCGACCGAGTTCAGCTCGTACCGGTTCCGCCAGGGCGAGAAGAGTGTACGTCCGCCGTCTCTCCCTCTCCCTCTCGCTGCGGCCTCAGCTGAATCGTCCTTCCCCTGCAGGTCCTCCAGAAGTACAACAAGGTGCGTCGTCCCGCCCTCGCCGGCGACACATGGCCTGACCCTCGTCGCTCTCGCAGAACCTCAAGTTCCCGACCGCCAAAGTCTCGTCGACCGCCGACCGCGTGCGTCCTACCTCTCTCTCTCTCTTGCCGCCTCAGGCAGATCGACTGACCCTGAGTGTCGTGTCCGCAGATCATGATCCTCATTCAGCTCGTGCTCGACGGCGTGCCCGGCAGCGAGCTCAAGAACGACAGCATCAACCCTCTGCTCGACGCTCGCGCCATCTTCTCTGCCGCCGTCCGCATCGCCAAGTGTGCGTCCTCTTCCTCAGCGACTCGTCGGCGTACCGTACCCTGACTCGTCAAACCTGCAGGCATGGTCGACCTCGCCGTCGAGCGCGAGGACGGCGCCATTCGGACGGTACTCGAGCTCCTCCGGTCGCTCAACGGCCGCTGCTGGGACGGCTCGCCTTTTGTCCTGCGTCAGCTCGAGGGCATCGGCGAGAAGAGCTACAAGATCCTCGTCTCGAACGGCATCAAGGGCTTTGACGACGTGCGCGAGTGCGAGCCGGACCGCCTCGAGGTCCTTCTCGGTCGGTGCGTCTCACCTTTCTCGCCCTCCTCGTCCGTCCTGCTCTCGAGTTCTCGACCTGACGAGCCCGACATTTGTCCTCGTCGCCGAGCAGCCGGCCGCCCTACGGCCGCAAGCTCATCTCGCAGGCCAAGACGCTCCCGCAGTTCGAGATCACGGTGTCGGCTCACGACGAGGAGGTCCTCGCCGGCCGGGCCGGCGTGCAGGTCGACCTCAGCATCGACTTGCGCCTCGCGCTCACCAAGCCGCTGCCGGCCGTCAAGAAGGGGCCCATGAAGCTCTGGGCCAATCTCGCGACGACGACCTCGGACGGCGAGTTCATCGAGTGCGCCCCCTCTCGCCCACATCATACCTCACGAGGGCCCCATACTGACGTCGCTCGTCTGGCAGCTTCCGGCGCACGCGCATGGACCACCTTCTCAAGAGCCCCAAGCAGGTCGACCTCTCGGTCATCCTCCTCAAGCCCTCGCAGCGCATCATCATCTCGGCCTCGTGCGACCTCATCGGTGCGTCCTCGTCCTCTCTCGGCGTATCCAGGATGCGCCACTGACACTACTCGAGCGCAGCCGGTTCCGAGGTCAAGGCGTTCTTCAAGCCCGAGACGAGGGCGTCCGAGTTCCCGATTCCAAGTACGTCCCCTTTTCTCCTGGCCGTCCCACACGTCGACCATCCTGACGCCCGTACCGACAGGTCTCGGGCCCACGGCCGACGAGGAGGACGAGGAGGAGCCGACGCCCAAGCCGGTGCGTCGCTCGCGCAGGGTCCGTGCGTCGACCCTCACCGACTTTTTCTTCCCGCCGCAGCCCCGCAAGCAGCAGACGCTCTCGAAGGCGCAGTTCGCCCAGGTCGAGCCGGCGAGCGGGCGTGGTGCGGCGCAGCCGCACGAGGACGACGGCGACGACCCGGTCAAGCCTGCGCCTGCGCCTCCTCATCGTCGCCCGGACGGCAAGTACGAGTGCAACCACTCTTGCCGTGTGTCCCTCTGGTCAACCTGCCTCGCATTCGCTTTCAAGAGTACTGATTCGGCTTCACTCGAGCAGGCGACAAGACGGTCTGCAAGCACCTCTGGTCCGTCCGACTCTCGCTCTTCCTCGTCGACGTCGGCCCTTCTCCTCCTCCAAGACACATATTGACCGGGACACGTCTCCCTGCAGCTGTCGCGAGGGCCTCGACAAGCCGCCTGCACGGCGTGCCGCCTCGAAGAAGGGCGCGAGCGCGGTCAAGCCCGCCAAGAAGGTCCAGCAGCCCAAGCTCGTCGGCGGCGCCAAGGTCGGCCCGCCACTGCGCATCCAGCCGATCGTCAGCAAGGGCGTCGAGCTCGCCAAGAACGCGTCGGGCAAGGTCGTGTCGACGTCGAAGCAGCGCCCCGAGCCGGACGACGACTACGCCGACGACTCGCTGCCCTCACTCGAGCAGCTCGTGTCGACGAGCCGCAACAAGTCCAAGACGAGTACGGCGCCCAAGCTTCGCCGCGCCACGCCGACCGTCCCGCCGACGACCCAGCAGCACCCGGTCGACGAGGAGGACCAGCTGGCGTCCTCGAGTTCGTCTTCGTCGTCGCCGCCGCCTGTCGCCAAGCAGAAGGTCAAGTCGTCGTCTACGACGAGGAAGCGCCTCCTCGACTCGGGCGACGATCAGGTCGGCAAGCGCGCCCGCATCTCGGTCCGCGAGTTTGCCTCGAGCTCGCCCATCGAGCTGCCCGAGGTCGACGCCCGCCCGCCCGCACACCTCGCCCGTCACCCGAGTACCTCGACACGTGCTCCCCTCTTCCGCGCCGACACGCCTGTCGATGCGCCGTCGTCGACGCTCGCGCAGGAGGACGATGAGCTCGCGCTGGCGCAGCCGGTCGACGGGGCCGGCGAGCCTCTCGTCTTTTACGACGACGCGCTTCACTCGGACGCGCAGATGGACGAGGTGCCGGAGGAGGCGAGGCGCGAGGCGCAGCAGGTCCACGAGCAGGAGGGAGAGGAAGAGGTCGACGCGCAGGTGGTCGACGAGGACGAGGACGACTTTGACGCCTGGATGGCGTCGAGCGTCGTGATTGTGTAGCTTCCCGGTCTCGAGCCTGTCGCCTGCAGCATGTAGCAGCTTGTCGCGAGGTTCGCACCGTCTCGAGAGAGAAGGGAAGAGGCTCGAGCGCAGTTGAGAAGGTCCCGCTGCTGACGACGTGCGACCCTCTCCTCGTCTCCCTCGACCGCTTCTGGGCTCGGTGGACAAAAGGAAGCGCCTCTGGCGCACTGCGGTGACACAGGAGAGCCGTAAGGAGCAAAAGAAGAAGCGACCAGAGCAGGACTTGAACCTGCGCAGGCAAAGCCTAATAGATGGCGAGTTGATTCGAGTCTATCCCCTTAACCGCTCGGGCATCTGGCCTCTTGCATGGCTGCCGAGGCAGAGTAGCAACTACATCGTGCCCCGGCAAAAAGCAGCCGCAAAGGACGACGTCTGCGCTCGTCGCACGGACCCCTCCTCGTTGCGTCGCGCCGTCTCGGACCGCCCTCGTGCACGCGCTGTACATGGCGCTCTGGAGGACCAGTGTGGTGGCCTCGTTCAGACCGGCACGGCGTACTTCCGCCTCCTCGTGGAGCCTGAGCGCGCTCCTGCCTTTCCTTTGAGCTTTACTATCCTGGTAACGAGCGGCTACTAAGGCGCGAAGCTAAGGAGGCAGATCGTCGTCATAGGTTTGATCGACGCGGCACTTGCGGGGGGCCTGGGCGCTTTAAAGGCGGGATTCGCTCGACGCGGTCGAGCGACGACGAAGCGGCTTGCTTGTCCTCCCTCCCTCGTCTTCAAGCAGGCTCCTCGCGACCAGCTCAAGCACACTCGTCTCGGCACACCCGACACACAACAAGCTCTGCCCATCATGGTGAGCCTGCCGTTCGCTCGTCGCCGGATCTCCTCCACCTTCCCCCTCCCCTCCGTTTGCTGATCCTCGCCCTTCTGCGCCTTGCAAACAGGTCTCTGAACGCGCCGTCCGCCTCACCATCGTCCCGCTCATGACGTTGAGCTTCCTGACGAGCATCGTCGTGCTCGCCATCGCCGCCTCGCTCGAGTCGCACTGGCTCTCGACCGGATTCCCGTCCAACGCGGCCCGCGACCGCGAGCGCCTCCTCTTGACGGCGGGCATCTGGGGCACTCTCGTATCCAGTGCGTCTTCCCTTTCTCTCTGTCGGTCGTGCTGAGGGTCGAGAAGCAAGACCGCCGAGCTGACCAGCCTCCTCCTCGTCCCCACTCCTTCCCGCACCTCTTTCCGGCCGAACAGTGTACTCGCTCATTGGCACCCTCTTCAAGCCTCAGTCGGTCGCATTCGGCATCATGTTCCACCTCGTCGCCTTCGCCATCGCCTTCGTGAGCTCGTCAACCCTCGTTCGCGTTCCCGGGCCAGACACTGACTCTCTCGCTCTCCGCAGTTCCTTTACCTGTGCGGCGCATCGTCGTTGACGGCGTTCGTCGCCAACCGCAACTGCGGCATCCCGATGCAGACGTTCTCGCGCTGCAACGTCACCAAGGGCCTCGTCGCCGTCGGGTGCGTGCCCGGACCCCTTCTTTCGTCCTCACGAACGAGCCCTGACGTACTCTCTCTCTCTCTCTCGCCTCGCAGCTGGATCGGCACGATCTGGGTCTTCATCATCCTCATCGTCGTCCTCATCCTCGGCGTCAAGGCGCGTTCGGGCGCCGGCATCCGTCGCGGCGCGCTCACCGACGCCTGAGCAACTCTCGAACGAGATGCTCTCGCTCTCGAGCGCCGATCAGAGGCTGCTCTCCAGAAGTTTGTCAAGACCCATAGTTGCATCTTTAGCGCCTCGTTGCCCCCCTTTAATCGCTCCCCTCCCCGTCTGTAATGCAACTTCTTCGTCTCCGTTCCTCTCTCGCTATGCGTGCTTGGCCCGCAGAGGCTTGATCTTGGTCGTGCCGAGAGTGCGTCCGAGCAAGAGCCACACGAGAGGTCGAGGGATGCGCTCGAGGACCCAGAACAGGAACGAGTTGGCGCCGCCGGTGAAATACCTCGCGGGCGAGGGACGGAGAGCGTGAGCAACGATCGAGGCGGCGAGCTGACTCGCAGGCGTGGAACGACCTGAGGGACGTGTCGAGAGTCAGGAGGGGGAAGGCGCGAGAGAGAAAGAGAGAGAGAAAGAGAGAGAGTAAAGGGGAAAGACGGACCTGGAGTTTGCGACATCTGGGCGCGCTTGACAATCAAGTCCTTGACCTGCTGGTACAGCGAATCTGCGAGGACGTCCTTTTTGTGAGCTCTCGGGGGGTCGAGAAGAGCGGACGAGGATGAGGAGGACGAGGACGAGGACGAGGACGCACCTTCAGGCATAATGATGCTGTCCACCTGCTTCGTGCCAAAGTTGGACGTGATGGCGCCAGGTGCGACGAGCATGACGTGGATACCGAGGCCCTTGACCTCGAGGCGCATCGTCTCGGTCATCGAATGAAGAGCGGCTTTGCTCGCCGCGTACACGCCGGCCCAAGGCGTCGGGACGTTTCCTGCGAGCGGTTCGAGCGAGTCAGCTTCATGTGGCTCGACAGGACGAGGAGCCCGGCACGAGAGAGAGAGAGAGAGAGATAGAGAGAGAGAGAGAGAGAGAGAGAGAGAGAGAGAGAGAGAGAGAGAGAGAGAGAGACATAGAGAGAGAGAGAGAGCTCACCGACGATGCTGCCGACGTTGACGATGAGGCCCGAGCCCGCCTCGGCCATGTGCGGCGCGACGAGTTTGCTGAGGCGGATCGGCGCCCACACGTTGGTCTCGAACGTCGCCTTGGCGCCCTTGTCGCTCTCGACGTCGGCGTCAAGCATGGCGCCCGTGCCGCCCTGGCCCGCGTTGTTGACGAGAATGTCGATGCGCCCTTGCTCCGAGATGATGCGCTTGATCGCCGACTCGCACGACTCTGCGGGAACGGGACCGCGGTGAGCGGGTCGTTCGAGTCGAGAGAGCCAGACCGGCGGCTCACCAAGAGAGGTCACGTCGAGCGCGACCTTGTGCACGCTGTCGGGGAGCGAGGCGAGCGCCTCGACCCTGCGTGCCGAGGCGTAGACGGTACAGCCCTGCTTGTCGAACTCCTGGCAGAGCGCATAGCTGCGTGTGGGCCGTGTGTCAGTCGCGAGAGGCTCGGTGAGATGAGGAGGTGGGGAACGAGGCGACGCACCCGATGCCGCCCTCTGAGGAGCCGGTGACGAGGACGACGCGAGGTACCATGACGATTGAGCAGGCACAAGCTTGAACGGGGTCGAACCAGGCAGTAGCGATGGAGGAAAGCGAAGAGAGGCCGCCGACCTCCGATGAGGGCGAGACGGCGAGTTCGCCGGACGCTGTCGCACAATCGCGCTCGCGCTCTGCCAGGCTCGATTTGATAGACGCAAACTCGAATGCAGTCAGGGGCGAGAGAGAAAATAGGGCGAGGAACGACGGCGACGAGACGAGACGAGGCGGGTGCGGACAAGAACGAGGCTACAAAAAGGCGAGGCCGACGAGGAGTATAGGGCGAGGGAAGGCAATGTAGGGGATGGGGAGACGGCGTAGTGTACAAAGGAGAGGAAGGAGAGCGCGAGGGAGGAAGAGGAGGGAGTTCCGAGCCTAGTCGAGCGCCTCCGCCTTGACCCCTTCCATCTCGTCGTCCTCGCTGTCGGCCGCCTCCTCGGCGGCGTCGACCTCCGTGGACTGCGCAACACTCGACGTCGACGCCTGCGCCTGCGACGAGCGGCGAGTGGCGCTCTCGAGACGGCGGACCGCCGCCGCGACCGACGACGACGACGACCCGCCGGCGGTCGGCGTCGCGCCGTTGGCCTCGCCTCGCACGCTCGCGGACGGCGGGAAGCCGGCGGGACGCAGTCGCGGTGCCGATGGTGCGGCGAGGCCGGGCACGCCGTTGGTCGGCGTCGAGACCAGGCCGGCCGCGGTCGACGTCGCGTCGCCGGCGCCGGCGCCGTCGCTCATGCGGGCCTGGACGAGCGCGGCGCCATCGTCGACGGGGTCGCTTCTGCGGCCCGAGGTGCGCATCGACGACGCCGACGTGGCCGGGTCGGGACGAAGGACCGGCTCGGGCTCGATGGCGCCAAAGTCGAGGATCTCGAACTCGCTGCGGCCGTTGCGCGAGACGGCCGCGACGCAGAAGCGCTCGTCGAACGAGACCTGCCACACGCCGGTGAGGTTGGTGAGGAGGTCGCGCACAAACTCGCCCGTCTTGACGTCCCACATCTTGAGCGTGCCGTCCGAGCCGCTGATGACCTTGTGCTCGTCGTGCTGGAAGCACGTGATGGCGCCCTGGTGCGCCGCGAGCGAGTGGCGGCACGCGCCCGTGACCGGGTCCCAGATGCGCAGGGTCCAGTCGGCGGCGGCCGAGACGAGGTTGCGGTGCGTGAGGCCGAGGAGCCCGACGAGCGACGTGTGGCCCTCGAGGACCGCCTTGCACTCGCCCGTCTCGGTCGACCACAGGCGCACCGTGCCGTCCATCGAGCCCGACGCGCACTGCTTGCGCACGTGGTCGTACACGACCGAGTAGACCTTCTGCGTGTGGCCGCGCAGGATGTGGCGGACCCGGCCCGACGAGATGTCCCACACGCGCACGTCCATGTCGTACGAGCCCGACACGAGCGTGTTGCCCTTGGCGGCGAGGGCGCGCACGGCCTGCGTGTGGCCCGTGAGGTGCCGCAGGTGGTACGGGTTGAGCGACGCCGGGTCGACCTCGTTCTCGAGCTCGGACAGGTCGGGCAGGTAGTCGCGGTCCTTGCCAGGCATCGGGAGCTTCCACACGCGCAGCGAGAAGTCGCGCGAGCCCGTGACGATGAGCGGGAAGGCCGGCTGCCAGACGGGCGGGCCGTGCGGGTCCGGGTTGACGTTCTCGGGCTCGACGATCTGGAGGCACCGGACCGTCGACGTGTGCCCGACAAAGGCGTGCGTGCACTTGAGCGTGTCGAGGTCCCACACGCGCACGGTGCGGTCGGTCGAGCCCGAGACGAGGACGTTGCCCGAGTACTGGAGCGCCCACACGCCACCGATGTGGCCGGCGAGGTTGGCGCGCACCGTGCCGCTCTTCATGTCGAACACGCTGATCGTGTTGTCGTCGGACGCCGAGACGACCTTGTCCGTGTCGAACTGCAGGCACGTGACGACGTGGTTGCCGGTGTTCGTGTTGGGCGCGCCGGCGACAGGGGTGCTCGACGGGAACGACGTGCGCGTCGGCGTGCCGCTCTTCCAGTTGTGGCGGGTGAGGACGCGACGGCGGTACAGGGCCTTGTACGCCGGCTTGACGTGGACGGGCGGGAACGGCGACGGCTCGCGCGACGACGACGGCGACGCGAGGCGGTACTCGAACGACGTGGTCGGGTGCGCGCTCGACGACGAGCCCTCGACCGAGTCGGGCTTGCTGCGGGGCGAGTCCTGTAGTGCGGCACGAGCGCGAGTCAGTGATCGAGGTCGCGAGAGGGCGGCGGGGGCGACAGCGAGAGGGGACGCACCTGCTCGTCCCAGACACCGGCCCGCCATCTCTGGAGAAACAGGTCGTCCTTGTACCCTCGCGCGAGGTCGAGCGCCTCCTGCTCGTCGCTGCCATCGCCGACCCACAGGCCGTCGGCCTCGAGCTTGTCCTTCCAGACGCGCGGCAGGGCGTCGCCGTCGACGAGACGCTTCCAGGCGCGGCTGACGAGGGACACGCGGCACAGCGTGCGGGCGTCGATGAAGCCGAGGATGTAGGCGCCGAGCTCGGGCGGCAGGTCCGACAGGAAGTCGCGGCGGAGGGACGGCTCGATGACCTGGTTGAGCGTCTGCAGGACGGGAAGGGGTGCGCGCCGCAGGAGCTGGAAGATGGTGTACGACTGGAGGGTGGCGGGGAGCTCGTCGAAGGTGCGGATGAAGTCGGGGAGCGACAGGAGGCTGCTGAGGGCGGCGCCGGACCCAAAGTCGTACTGCTGTTGCGCGTCGCCGAGCTCGGCCGCGTCGTCGAGCAGCTCGTCGCCCTGGCTGTCGTCGCCGCCGGCGGTCGGGACCGGGCTCGGCGGGCTCTGGTTCGGGCTCGGGAGCGTCGCGGCGACGGCGGGAACGATGGGCGGCGCCGAGACGAACGAGTTGAGGAGCGCCGCCTGGCTCGCTCGGCGCCCTGCGACGGCCGCAGCATGCAGCGCGGCCATGTCGACGTCGGAAGATGGGCGGCGACCGTCGGCGGCGGTCGAGTTGGTGCGAGCGCGCTTGCGCGGCGGCCCGGGCGACAGCTGGCGCTGCTCGGCGGGAGCGGTGTCCCCCTCCTCCTCGTCCTCGTCCATCCACTCGAGCGCTTGCCCGCCGCCGACCGCTCGCCCTCGACGCGACAGCCTGCGCTGGTGCTGCGGGCCGCGCCCGTCTCGTCCGGCTCGCGTCGCGCCCATGTCGAACGGCGACAGCGACTCGCCGTCGTCGGCGCGAGACGGCGTCGGCAATGCCGGCTCCTTGCCCTTGGCTCCCGCTCCTGCCGCCCTCGACACCGCCGAGCGCTGTCCTGCGGGAGCGGCGGGCGCATCGGCCGGGTCCTCGACGAACGTCGTCTGCATGTCGCCGAGGGCCATGCGGAACTGGCGCATGCTGCCCGGCCATTCAGCCTGGCTGAGCGGGTACATGCGCGGGTTGAGCGCGAGGGCCGAGGCGCCGGCGGGACCTCGCAACGACGACGAGGTCGACGCGGACGCCTCGTCGTCGTGCAGGCGGCGCAGGGACGACCTCGGCGTGAGAGGCGGGTCGTAGCGCGGTGCGTCGTCGCCGGACGGGCCGGAGAAAGACGAGTAGGCGGGGCGGAGCGGGCGCGACTTGGGGATGCGGAGCGGGGCAAAGTGCGTCGTCGTGTGGGTGGTGGTCGTGACGGTGGTGGTCGTGATCGCGGGGCCGAGGTGGAGGAGGGCATAGTCGTCGGGCGAAAGGGCCGTCAGGCTGGCGCGACGACCGTCCATGCTGCCGCCGCCGGCGGACGCGCGAGAGGCACGACGAGCATGCGACGACTCGGTGGTGGTCCTCGTCGTGACGTGCTGCACCGTGCGGGCCCTCGGCGCCGTGATACCGAGCTCGTACTGCTCTGCGTCCATGTGGACCCAGGTCGGGGTGCTGGACGGCGAGGGAGGGCGAAAGGAGGGGAAGCGCGCGGGGACCAAGGCGCGAGCGGGAGGTGCCGACGCGACTCGAGGTCTGCAAGGGGGCCGCGATGGTGAGTGAGGCTTCTGAAGAGGGGTGCACGAGCACTGGGACGCACCTGGGCGAGTCGTTGGTGCGGGACGACGAGGGCGAGAGGAACCCCGGCGAGCGCCTTTGTCCCTCGATGGCGGGGACGAGCGAGAGGGCGCGAGCACGGGCTCAGGGGTGGGCTCGGCTGGCTAGCGGTAGAGCTCAGCGACGCGTCGTGTGCGCCCTGATGCGGCGAGTGTAGAGGAAGACGGAGAGTGAGGCGGGAGGAGGGGAAGCGAGACGTCGTCCCGATCAGCGTCCCGTCGCTGCAGCCAGCTCTCGCCGTGCTCTGTCGTACAGCTCTCTTGGTGTAAGAGACAACGACAGATAGAATAGGGACGCGTCCGGCTCTCGAGGAGACGGTCGAGCCTCCCCGACCTCAACGACGGCGAGAGCAAGCGAGAGCATGCGGATCGGGATGCAGACCACCTCGAGCTCATCGTCTACAGCCTCGCCGGCTCCTGTACCCCCTCCCCAACCGCCCTGTAGCCCTCGGCCCGCTCGAGCCCTTGGCGGAAGGCGTCGACCTCGTGCGCCTTGACCTCCCTCGTCGTCGCCGGCAGCGGCGGCGTCTCCCTGAGCCGCTCCAGCTCCACCGTGCTGTTGTCCGAGTCGCCGAGAGCCAGCTCACTGACGAGCGCCTCGAGCTGGGCGAGCGTCGGCTTGTCGGCGACGAGCTTGGCCGCCTCGTCGACCTTGTCGGGCCGAGCCTTGCGGACAGCGGCGAGGAAGGGGTCGAGGATGTCGGGCTGGAAGCGCTGAGAGCGCATGAGGATCGAGAGTTTGGTGCGGGTCGACGACATGGGCGAGATGAAGCGGTCGAAGAAGGCGACGAGGTCGGGCTTGGAGAGGTTGCGGACGAGAGTCGCTTGGCGCTCGCCTGCGAAGGGAAGAGATCGTGAGCTCGTGCCCAAAGAGAGAGAGTGAGGAGGAGAGTGGACGCACGATGGCCAAAGTCGAGCTCGCCGGACGAGATCTCGCTCCAGTACCGCCCGGACCTGCGGGCACGGACGGCATCAGTACCCGCCGTCGGCCACACTGACACGGCAAGAGAGAGACAGATGAGGACGTACTCCTGGCCGAGGCTCTTGGGCTTCTCGAGCTTATTCGAGGCGAGGCTCTCCTTCTCGAGGGCAAAGTCCTCCTCGCTCATGTTGGCGATGTACTCGCCGAGCGTCGTCTCGAGGGCGCCGATACGCTCGTCGAGGTACTCGGCGGTGCGCTCCGACTGGACCATGATGCGGAAGCCGGCGTAGGCGTGCGAGACCCAGGGCGACGACGAGACCTGCGGGTCGGAAGGGAAAAGGCTGAGCGGGGCGCAACGAGTGTGGCGAGAGAAACGAGCGAGAAAGGGACGCACGATGTAGCCGAGTTGTTCCTTGGTGCGCAGCTGTGGCGGGAGAAAAGGGTGAGCAGGCGCGTCGCAGCTTCCCCAAGAGAGACTTGGAGAGAGAGCGGACGCACCGTCGAAAAGACCGGGACCTTGGCGAGGTGGCCGAACAGCGACAGTCTCGCGAGCAGGTCGTGGTCGTTGGCCGAGCCGACGTCGTAGTAGACGCTCGCCGCCGAGTTGACGTTCTCCGACGACGGCACGGGCGAGCGAGACACGGTCACGGTTCCGGGCGGCAGCTTGAGGGCTCGGTGGTGGTCGAGCTCGGCGATGTCGACCTCGACAGCATCGAGTTTGTGCTCGACGGCGTCGAGCAGGTCCAGGGCGCCCTCGGCCTTGAAGTTGCCGTGGACGAGCGAGTCGATCAAGAGTCGCGAGGTGAATTCTCGCGCGTGCTGCTCGACGTCGGCCGGCTTGACGGCTGCAGGAGGACATGGGATGTCAGTTTCCGAATCCAGAGAAGCGACAGAGGAAGTAGGGGCGCACCTAGCAGAGCCTCGAGTCGTTCCTCCCACGTCCAGTACCGCTCCCTCGTGAACCGCCGCACCTCGGCGTCGGCGAGCGTCGACGGGTTCTGCAGCTTGGCGTTCTTGTAGGCGCGCACGAGGCGGTCGTACACGATGTCGTACTCCTTGGGCTCGATCGAGAACGCCTTGAGCTTGTCGACGACGACCGAGGCGAGGAGAGCGAGCTTGTCGGTGTAGCCCGAGACGAGGAGGAGCATGCCGCTCGTGTCGGTGCCGAGCGAGTAGTCGAGGCCGGCGAGCGACGCGTCGTATGAGTACTTGGACAGGTTCTCCTCGACGAGCGCAGTCACGAGCTGCGTCAGGACGGCCGCACGGGCCCCGTCGTCGGCGACGGGCGAGCGCAACCGGACGTAGGCGGTGCCGCGAGGGATGATCCACAGGTCGTCGCGCTTGTGGTACAGGCGGGATCTCGGCGTCTGCCGAACGAGGGTCGGGCGCATGACGGGCTGTTCGTGGCGGTAGAGGTCAGGGAGGGCAGGCGAGGCAAAGGGAGGGAAAAAGGGACGCACCTCGACGGCTTTCTCGGCAACGAGCTCGAGCTTGTCGGGGATGAAGATGTTGCGCTCAGGAAGGGCGAGGTTGGTGTGTTGGCGGGCGTCGGGCGGGATCTCGAGGGCGAGAAGGTCGTGCTCGGTGCCGTAGTACTGCGCGTTGAGGCTAGGTCAGTAGGGGGACGACGACTACGATGAGGTGGAAGACAGGGAGGAGCAGAAGGACGAGAGAACACGAGGGCGCGTGCTCACTTTCTCCTTCTGCGCCCAAAAGTCGCGGCCCGGCAACGGATCCCTGGACCCAACAAAGACCCGGCAGTTCTCGACGCGTAGAAGCTCCATGACCTCGCGCATGAGCGCCTCGTCCCACTGGGTCGCGAACCAGGGCCCGACGAGCGTCTTCTCGGGCGGGTACAGCGTCTCGCCGAGCTGGCTCGCGAGGTTGCGGACCGTCGACTGCGGCTGACCCTGCTCCTTCCACCGCCAGCCGATCTCGCCGAGCCGGCGCATCTCGTTGAACGCCCACTCCTGCGGCGGCGTCGACTTGAGCAGGTCGAGGTAGGCAAAGACGACGGCGAGGACCTCCTTGTAGTGCTCTGCGCGAGCGGGACGTCAGGTCCGGCCCACCTGGGGGCTGAGAGAGGGCGTGGGGCGTACCGAGGCCAGTTGCAGTCAGGCTGATGCCGATGCGGAAGAAGTCGAAGCCCGCGGCGCCGTTGGCGGACGAGGCCGAGAGCGACGTGGCCCAGCCGTGCGTCTTGAGCTCGGCGAGGATCGAGCCGGGCCCCTCGTGGCCGAGATAGTGCGACAGGAAACGCCCAGGCTGCGGAACAAGTCGCTCGAAGAGAGTCAGGGGCGTGCGCCTGCAGCAGGCGTCAGAGAGAAGGGGGCGCACCTTGATCGCCCAGTGCTCGCGCAGGTCCGGCAGGCCAAACTCGACCCGCAACTGCGGCGTGTCCTTGACGGTGCGGTAGGTGATCTCGGTCTGCGCCTCGGTGGCGGAGATAGGCGGCGACGGGAAGGTGGTCGGAGCGAGGTTGGCGTTCGGGACGTCCGAGTACTCGGCGACGACGAGCGAGGTGAGGTCGTCGAGCGGATCTGGCGGTGGACGATGTCAGTACCGCTTCTCTGAGAACGTCGCACGGCCGAGACGCACGGTTTCTGCGGCGGAAGACGAGTCAGGACGGTCGGGAGGAAGAGGAAGGATGGGCGGGCAGGCAGACGCACGAGACGACGACGAGCGACATGAGGTTAGCCGAGTACTGCTTGCTGTACCACTCGAGCAGGCGCTCTCGCACGTCGACGCCACGAGCCCTCGGCTCGTCCCACAGCGTCTGCTTGCTGCCGGTGCCGAACTTCCAGTAGACGGCGCCTCCTGCTCGAGAGCTCGTCGCCTTGCCGAGCTGGAAGAGCCGCCTCGCGTCGAGCTGAAGGTTGCGGCGAAACTCGCTGTCGACGGCGTTGACCTCGCGCTCGGTGCAGGAGGGGTCGAAGAGCGGCGCCGTGAAGAACTGGGCGTGGCGAGCGAGGCCGCCGGCGAGGCCATCTGGCGAGCAGTCAAAGTGGTAGACGGTCTGTGGGAGAGGAACAGTCAGTCACGGGAGCACCTCGATCAGGGAGAAGCGGGCGCACCTCGGCAAGGGAAGTGTAGGCGTTGCTCGAGCCCGAGTTGCGCGACAGGTAGGTCTTGTACTCGCTCTCGTCGGGGTGCTTCTCGGTGCCGAGGAAGAGCACTGCGGGACGGCGCATCGTCAGTCTGTGTCGGGCTGGTACGAGAGAAGAGGGAAGGGAGGACGCACTGTGCTCGCAGAAGTGCGCCAGGCCGGGCAGGTCGTTCGGGTCGCTCAGGTGGCCGACTTGGACGCCGAGAGCGGCCGCAGCTGCGGGACGATGCGCCCGTCAGTCCTCGAATCTGAGAGATGATGACCGTGCAGGTAGAGCGTACCCTTGTCCGTCTTGAGGTCCGAGATGAGCAGCGCCCGCAGGCCGTTGCCGAGCGTGAGGAAGCTGTAGGCGGGGCAAGGCTTGGGTCAGATCGCGGGCTTGCACGCACGCCTCAATAGAGAGCTTGCAGCGCACCGGTATGCCCTGTCGTCATTTGGCGAGATCTCAATGGCGGGCTCGTAGACAGCAAACCGCCGACTCGTCTCCTCGCGCTCGCTCCACCCTGGCCCGAGGCTGCCGAGGTCGAACGGCTGGCTTTTGCGCTGCATGGTGGATGTCGGCAACCGCTCGAGGGGTGCGATCGGCGTACTAGGCGAGATGAGGGTCGCGAGCGTGCGGGGTTGTGAGGCGCGGGTGGGGAGGAGGAGGTGAGAGGGGAGAGGGCGTGTGCTGAGGCGGATTTGGGCCAGACGTGCGAGTGCTGTCGAGTGTCGAGGCGCACGCAGCAGGGGCATGCGGCAGGTGGTGGTTGTTGAGCCAGGAGGACGACGAGCCCGTCTCGGCGATGAGGTTTCGGCGGCACGTGCGGCAAATGTTGCCTGCGCGCTTTGTATGTTTGCTACTCTGGCTCAACAAGCATCTGAGAGGCCAGATGCCCGAGCGGTTAAGGGGATAGACTCGAATCAACTCGCCATCTATTAGGCTTTGCCTGCGCAGGTTCAAGTCCTGCTCTGGTCGCTTCTTCTTTTGCTCCTTACGGCTCTCCTGTGTCACCGCAGTGCGCCAGAGGCGCTTCCTTTTGTCCACCGAGCCCAGAAGCGGTCGAGGGAGACGAGGAGAGGGTCGCACGTCGTCGGCAGCGGGACCTTCTCAACCGCGCTCGAGCCTCTTCCCTTCTCACTCGAGACGGTGCAGGCTCGCGACAAGCTGCTACATGCTGCAGGCGACAGGCTTGAGACTCAGAAGCTACACAATGACGACGCTCGACGCCATCCATGCGTGAAAATCGTCGCAGAGCTCGCAAGGCTCGAGAGGTTGCTCGCGTCGCTCGAGGCCGAGGAGAGGTGCATCTGCTCTGCATTGCGGAAACCTCGCTCTACAACAACTCTAGACGGTATAGGTCGAGCCCGAGGCGCGCCGAAGCTAGGGGTCGACGCTGAGCGGCGCCTCGAGTCCGGGCGGCACGAGGTCCCGCTCGGCGAGGACGTCGGCGCAGCGGTCGCACACTCGTTGTGTCACGCTCGTCGACGGCGCTTCAGGCGGGGGCGAGGGTGTAGGCGCGGGAGGGAGGGCGTGTTGCCAGCAGCGAGGGCATTTGGCGAGGGGCGAGGGGAGGATGGTGAGGGTCGTGTCGGAGCCTGCAGGGCGGCGGTTCGACGGGCGTCAGGGTCGTACTGGGTCGCAAAGAGAGGAGGAGACGGACCTGGCAGGGTGCTCGAGTACCTCCACGCTCCCGCGGCGGCGGTCGAGGAAGAGGTCGAGAACGAGACGTCCGAGACGATGAAAAGCGTCTTGAGGAGGCCAACTGCGTGACGAGCAGCGAGTCAGTGGCGCTCATCGACGACGAGAACGAGGTGAAAGAGAGGACGCACGATGGTCCTGGAGAAGCCGGCTCGGGCTGCCGATCTCGACGACCGCCTCGCTCGAGCTGCCGATGCACCTGCCGGACGAGTTGGTCAGTGTCGGGGCCGGTGCCACGTCAGGAAGCGAGAAGGGACGCACTTGTCGTTACGAGCCTGCTCGAGTAAGCCGTTGACCTCGGCGCGCACGGCGAGAAGCTCCTCCATGTCGGCCTTGACCTGCGGGTTGTACCACGCCTTGTTCTGCAGGCGCATCGAGGGCGTGAGTGAGGGCTCTCGGGATGATGACGAGTCGAGAGGAGGACGCACAGGCAGAGGCCAGACCCGCTCGAACACGCTCCCTGCGCCTCGGACCTCCTCCTGCGGGTCCTCGAGTGCCCCTCGCCGGAAGTGGTGGATCTCCTCAGCGAGGAGCGGCGCCATCGGCGCGAGCACCGAGACGTACGTGTCGTAGACGGTGTGGAGCGTCGCGATGATGTGGCGCCGGGCGAGCGACGAGAGCGACGAGGCGTACAACGTGTCCTTGGTGACGTCGAAGTAGAAGGACGACAGGGTCGAGTTCGAGAAGGTCGACAGGGCTTGATAGGCTGTATGGTGCGTGCGGGAGAAGGTCGAGTGTCAGATCGGGCAAAGATAGAGAGAGAGAGAGAGGAGAGAGGGTGGGCGCACCTTTGTTGAACTGGTAGGTCGAGAACGCCTCGCGCGCCGTCTGGTCGAGGTCGTGAAGCTCGTGCAGGATGTAGCGCTCAATCTGCAAACACGCTCGGTCAGGAAGAGTCTCGAGAGGACGAGGGAGAAAAGAGAGAGAGCGAGACGGACCAAGCCCAAGTCCTCGGCGGCAAACTTCTCCCTCGGCTGGTCGCCCAGGTTGCCGAGCAGGAACCTCGCCGTGTTGCGGATCTTGCGCAGGCCCTCGAACGTCTGCGCGAGGATGCCCGGGCCGATCAGGACGTCGCGCGACGAGTCGACCGAGGCGACCCAAACTCGCAGGAGGTCGGTGCCGTACGCGGGCTCGCGCTTCTTGTCCTGCAGGGAGAAGATCGTCGGCTGCTGCTGCGGCTAGGCGAATAGGACAGAGAGAGAGCGGGGCGCACCTTGCCACCCTGGATGACGACCGACGGGCTGACGATGTTGCCGAGGCTCTTGCTCATCTTGCGGCCCTTGTCGTCGAGGACCATGCCGTGCGTGACGACGTCGCGGTACGGCGCCTGGGGCGTCTCGCCCTCGCGCGCGCTCGACACCTTGGTGAGCAGGCTCGACTGGAACCACCCTCGGTGCTGGTCCGAGCCCTCGAAGTAGACGTCGGCGAGCGGCTCGTCGCGGCGGTCGCCCTCGCGCACGCCCTCCTCGCGCAGGAGCGTCCACGAGCAGCCCGAGTCGAACCAGACGTCCATCGTGTCGGTGCCCGTGCGCCACTCGGTGCGGCCCTCGGCGGCGGCGCGCTCGCGCTCCTCGGGCAGGACGAACTCGGCCGCATCGCCGGCCCACCAGTAGTCGGTCCCGCCGTGGGCCTCGAGGACGCGCACGACGTGGTCGACGTTGGCCGGCGTGAGGAGCGGCACCTCCTTGGCGCCGGCGCCGTGCGCCGACGAGTAGACGACCGGGATCGGGACGCCCCAGGCGCGTTGCCGGCTGATGCACCACTCGCTCCGCCCGTGGACGTACATCTCGAGGGTGCGGGCGCCGCGAGACGGGAAGAAGTTGACGCGCGACAGGGCGTCGATCGCGCTCGACTTGACCGGGTCGAGGTTGGCGAACCACTGGGACGACGCGCTGCGGGCCGAGAAGGGCTCCGAGTGAGTCGCCGAGCCGACAGTGGAAGAGACAGACAGAGAGGGCGAGACGCACCGGAAGATGACGGGTTTCTTGGTGCGCCAGTCGTACGGGAACTTGTGCTGGACCTCGACCTCCTTGAGAAGGCGCCCTCGCGCCTCGAGCAGCTCGATGACGGCGCCCGTACCCTCCTTGAGGACGTCCTTGCCCTTGAGCCGCTCGGCAACGTCGCGCTCGACCATGTCGAACAGCGTGTCGTCGAGCCGGCCAGCGGCGTCGACGGCGCAGAGCGTGTCCTGCGCCGGGAGGCCGTGCGACGAGCGGTACGCGCGCCAGGCCTCCCAGTCCTCGACGCCGTGGGCGGGAGCCGTGTGGACGAGGCCGGTGCCGGTCGTCGAGGTGACGTACGACGCCGGGATGAGGGGGCGAACTTGGCCGGGCGAGGTCGACGACGAGGACGAGGCGAGCGGGTCGGTGTAGGTCGTCGAGAGCAGCGAAGAGCCGGCGAAGCGCGCGACAGGCTCGAGAGGGGTTGCGAGGAGCTCGGACAGGAAGGCGAGGCGGTCCGAGGCGACGATGAGGAGGGAGGAAGGGTCGGCGGACGAGCGGACGAGGGTGTACTCGAGCGACTCAGAGACGGCGATGGCCTGCGGGCGACAGAAAGCGTGAGCTATTGATGAGGAACGAGAGCGAAAGAGAGAGGCCACGCACGACGTTGCTCGGGATCGTCCACGCCGTCGTCGTCCAGACCGCCAATCCGACCTTGTCGCCCTCGCCGAGCGCGACGCCCGCCACCTCGAGCTCGCGCTCGAGCGTCGAACCGATCTCGGCGACAGGGAACGAGACGTAGACGGAGCGCGACACATGGTCCTCGCGGTACTCGAGCTCCGCCTCGGCGAGGGCCGTGCGGGACGAAGGCGAGTACAGGGTCGGGCGGTGGTGCGAGACGATGAGGCCTGCAAGAGGGCGTAGACACGTATCAGTGACTCGGTCGAGGAGCGAGGTGACCGGGAGCGAGAGCATCCACTCACCCTTGTCGACCATGTCGCGCACGACCTCGAGTTGGCGCCGCTCGTAACGCCAGTCCATCGTGCGGTACGGGTTGTCCCAGTCGCCCATGATGCCGAACGTCTTGAACTCGCCGCTCTGGATCTCGATGCCCTTCTCGGCCTCGGCACGGGCGGCAGCGCGGATCTCTTGCGGCGACAGGCTCGAGGCGGGCTTCTTGAGGGCCGACAGGGCCTTGAGCTCGAGCGGGAGGCCGTGCGTGTCAAAGCCCGGGACGTAGCTGTGTCGCAGAGAAAGGTCAGTCTCGCCGCAAGGGGTTGATAGGCGGGAGGAGGGACAGAAGAGGCGACGCACTGGACACGGTGACCCTGGATCAGCTTCGAGCGGTTGATGAGGTCCTTGGTGACCTTGTTAAGGGCATGACCTGCGCACACGCCATCATCAGTGAGTGCTCTGAGGACTCGACGAGTGCGCAGAGGGGACGGACCGCAGTGCAGGTGACCGTTGGCGTAAGGAGGACCGTCGTGGAGGACAAAGAGCGGCCGGTCCTTTTGGCGAGCCTGCATGCGCGCCTCTTCAAGAGTCAGTACGAGGACGACAGTCACCACGAGGGGGAGAGAGAGGGACGCACCTGCCACTGGTACAGCTCGTCGGTCGTCCGGGCCGAGAAGAGCTTGTCGCGGCGTGCGGCCTCGGCGCGCAAGGGGAAGGCGGTCCTCGGGAGGTTGAGCGACTCGGAGTAGAAGTTGTCGAGCGGGTCCTTTGCGCGCTTGCCCTTCTTCTTGGCGGGTGGTGCGGGTGCGGCGGCCGAGCGGAGTGGGGTCGAGGCGAACGAGCGCGGCGAGGCGAGGGACGAGGGCGAGAGGACCCAGGGGCGGATGGGTGCGGTCGAGATGCGCCTCGAGGGCAGGGCAGAGATGCGCTGTGCGAGCATGGCGGCGTCGAGGTGGGGAGCGAGTCGCGATGAGGTCGGGCGAGGCGCGACGGCTCGGGTCGAGCGCAGGCTGGATGGGGAGCGCGCTGTGCGGGTGCTCGAGTACAGGCGAGCAGGTACAGCTCGGCAGCTGGCTGGAGCGGGACGAGGCGGTGCAGCTCGCTCGCTCGTCTCTTGGTCGAGCTCGAACCGACAGCGTCGTCCTCTCCCACTCTGCCCTCAGCCTCGGTTGGTCCAGCAGGTCCGTCCATCAGCTCGCACACTATCCCGCCCACCTTCATGCCCGCGCAACCCGCGACCGCCGCCGTCGCCGCTTCCCCAACTCGCGCTCGAGCGATGAGGATCCGCGACCTCGACAGCCGGCTCTCGCACAGCTTTGCGGCCGGCCTGGGGCAGCTTGGCGTGTTTAGCCGACCCACAACTCCCCTGTGCGGCGCTGAGCAGTCGCGCCCGACAGCGCAAGGCCACCCTGCCCGCCTCGAGCTCCGCCTCGCCAGTCTACAAGCGCGCTCGGCACAGCAGCTCTCTCGCGCCCACTCGAACGTGTCTCTGACTTCCTCTCCATCCCTGCAGTCGTCAGCTATCCGCCTGCCACCCGCACCGACCGCCGCCATGTCCACCCCTCTCGTCGCCCCGGCCAAGCCCAAGAACGCCCGCTCCAAGCGCGCCGCCGACGCTCGCGCGCCGCAGCTCGTCGAGAAGGAGGCCAAGACGGCCATCATTGCGCGCACGACCGGCATCTCGGAGAAGGTCAAGGTCGCCCTCAGCGAGCTTGTGCGTCCCCCTCCCTCTCGCGCCTCTTTCGCCGTCCCTGGTTCAGAGCTGACTCGCTCCTGTTCGAACCTGCCCGCCCTTCCCCTCGATCCTCTGTCGCCTCGTCAACCCCTCCAGAACCAGCTCAAGAAGCCCAACGCGATCGCCTTCTCCAAGGCCAACGAGGTCCGCCCGTTCGAGGACCCGGCCTCGCTCAACTTCTGGTCGTCCAAGAACGACGCGTCGCTGTTCCTCATCGGCACCCACACCAAGAAGCGCCCGCACGGCCTCGTCTGGGCCCGCTGCTTCGCCGGCGAGGTCATGGAGATGCTCGAGGTCGGCATCGAGGAGGTCATGGCCATGAGCAACTTCAAGGTGCGTCCCTCGTTCTCTCTCGCGCCCCTCTTCTTCATGACGCACGTCGACTGACTCGTCCCTCTTCTGCGCGCGCCACAGGGCATCAAGTCGACCGCCGGCTCGGTCCCGCTGTTCCACTTTACCGCCGCCGAGCCGCACGCCAACCTGTGGGACTCGCACCCGACGTTCCAGCAGTTCAAGTCGATCCTGCTCGACTTCTTCCGCGGCAACGAGCTCGACGGCGTGTCGCTCAAGGGCCTCGAGCGCGTCATCTCGGTCACGATCGGCGACCGCCCCGAGGACGACAGCGCCGCGAGCGTCGAGGGTGCCCTGTCGGGCGCGAGCGGCAAGAACGGCAAGGGCAAGGCGGTCGAGTCGCTCATCGGCTCGTTCAACCCGGCGGCGGCGACGCAGAACTACGACGAGGACAAGACGCACCCGCTCGTCCACTTCCGTACCTACACGGTCCACTTTATGCGCAGCGGCCTGCCCCAGCCCCGGGTCGAGCTCGCGCCGCACGGCCCGCACTTTTCCTTCTCGATGCGCCGCACTCAGGCGCCGACGGCCGAGGTGTGGAAGCAGGCCATGAAGAAGTGCGTCCGCCTTCCACCCTTTCCTCCTCGACGAATCTGGTCCGACCCTGACCCACTCTCTCTCGTGCGCTCTGCAGGAAGGAGAAGAAGAGCTCGAACGGCCCCAAGAAGAGCAAGAACCTCGACGTGCGTCGCTCTCTCTCTCTTCCCCTCCCCCTCCCTCCCTCACGGTCTCGCTCACGCTCCTCTCGCCCTCTCGCAGATCGACGAGATGGGCAACAAGATTGGGCACATCCACGTCGGGCGGCAGGACCTCGACAAGCTCCAGGTTCGCAAGTTCAAGGGCCTCAAGGGCAACAAGCGGCGCGCGTCGGACGCGGGCGAGTCGGGCGCCGCGAGCGAGGGCGAGGGCGAGGCCGAGAGTGCGGCGCAGGAGAGCAAGCGGGCGAGGAAGGACGAGTAGACGGGCGGCGGTCGACGAGGAGGGCGAGACGGCTTGTTGTACAAACACTTTTCGAGCGACTCTCTCTCTCTCTAGAGCTCTCTGCACCTCGATCGGTTCGGCTCGGTCTCCTCGTGCGCGCTCTTTGGCCTCCTGGCGCTCGCTCGAGCCGTGTGCGAGCGTCTCTCGCTCCCCTTCGGCTCGGAGCCCGATTGTCTCATCAGCAGCCGGCGGCCCGCCGCCGTCTCTCTCGCTCCCTCCACGCTCTGGTTCCCGGCCACAGCGCTCGGCGCCCTCGCAAGGCCCGCCACTACCGCGCCAGCCCCCGTCATGAGCCCTCTGCAGTCGCCCGAGCCCGCCCCGGCACCTGCCGACGACCAGCTCCCCGCACTCGGCCAACGCTTCTCGTCGGTCAGCTCGTTCAAGCTCCAGACCTACCGTGCTTGCCGTGAGCACTCCCATTCCTCTCTGGAGCAGTCTGGGTGCCGAGCCGAGCTGACCCTGGCCCCCCTTCCCCTGCCCGCAGGCGCTCTCGGGGCGTCGCCCTCCACCTTTGGCGGCAGCTCTAAGCGTGCCCTGGTCCGCTGCCGCCTCACGACCCTGTCGACCGAGTACGCCCTGAATCAGAAGGGCGCCAACTGCACCTGGCTTGTGTCGGCCAACAACCGCGGCTGCGACGGCGAGCTCGAGGTCGCGGTCGACCGCGTCTGCCTCGTCCACACGTGCCCCGAAACCTGTCGCCCGGCCTACGCCGTCGAGGACCTGCCCGACCTCGAGCGCAAGATCTCGAAGATGGAGGACCGGGTCCGGGCCGACGAGGAGAACGCGCGCCCCGTCGCTCGTGCGGCGGACGAGCCTGCGGCGGCATCAGCGGCGCCGAGCTCGAGTACGGCGACAGGCGCGGCGCGCACGGCACCCGCACCGGCACCGAGAAGGGGCGGTGGTCGCAAGCTGCGCCGCAAGGCCCCGGTCAACTACAAGGTTGCAGATCGGCTCGACCTCGGCGAGCTCCTCGCAGATGGCCCGTCCAAGGAGCTGTACCCGCCCGCCAACAAGCTCAAGGACCAGATCTCGCAGATCGTGCGTGTACGTCGTCACGTTCCTCCCTTTCAGTATCGACAGCCCTGACCCTGTCACTCCCGCAGAACGGCATCGTCCGCAAGCCTGCTCGCGGCCAGACCTTTACGTCGTCATCGGTCCTGTTCGCCACCATGCACGCCTACGCCCAGCAGAACAACTTCCACGTCTACCGTGGGACCCAGGCCAACAACCTCGACCGCGTCAGCATCGTCTGCAGGCGCTGGCACCCCCGTTTCGAGGACTCGCGTCCAGGTCGCTGCCCCGTCCAGTTCGACGCCGAGCGCGACGACGACGACTCGTGGCGCCTCGTCAACGTCAAGCTCGAGCACACCCACGACCTCGACGGCGCTCGCGCGGCATCGACGGCCGACTCGGTCCCGGCGTCGCAGGGTCCGAGCAAGCGCGCTCGCCACGAGGCGCCAAGCCCGCAGCCGCGCCAGAAGCCGCTCGCCGCTCCCGACCCTTCCACGCCGGTCTCTCGCGACACCTCAGCTCTCGCCGACAAGCCGCACGCCCACCCGACCCCGCCCTGGACCGGCGCCGCTCCGCACGGACCTGCTCCTCCCCGCGCCTCCAGCTCCTCCTCCTCCGCCCCCTCGCCCGCACCCTCAGCCGACCTCCTCGCCTTCCTCTCGGCGCTCTACTCGCCCGCCGTCGCCGCCGACAGGAGCTCGGCGCTCGCGCGAGCCGGCATCTCGACCGCCAAACACGTCGCCCTTCTCCTCGACCTCGAGCCGTCCGTCCTCCAGGTCGCCGACGACGAGATGCGGCTGCGTGACGGCGACTTTGGGCGCACGTGGTCGCTCGTCGACGTGCAGCAGGCGATGAGAGAGGCGTACGGCGCGAAGTAGCGGGGCGAGCGAGCTTGAGGTGCAACAGAAGCGCTTGTTCTCCTTCTGCGGCGAGGACGCTCTCTTGTCCTCGAGCGGCTCGAGAGAGAGAGAAGCTGCACGACTGCGCTCCTGAAAGCAGATGCGCAACGTCCTCTCGACCGTTGAGCGAGAGAGGTTACTTGAGAAGGCCAACTTCTCGACCTCTTTTGTGGACGAGGAGAACGACCGACGAGGCTCGTTGTCGGGCGATGCAGGCAGAGGGAACCCTCGACGCATGCTTTGAGTCGGAGGCGGGCGGTCAGAGCGTGCGCTGCTCCTCAATCAGCTCGAGAAAGCGAAACGCGTGGACGAACGACGAGCAAGGGGCTCGAGCGCGTGTCTCTGCGCTTGCTCTCTCAAAGCGAGGCTGCCCGGCTGGAGGACTGTGCGATGAGGTACCCGTACAGCGCTGCTTCCCAGAGGAGGCGAGGGAGCGCTCACTCGACTCTGCGTCGAGGAGGAGGTCCAGGAGGAGGGAGTCGATTTCTCACGCTCAGACCTTGCTCTTTGACAGTCCTGCAACGCTCGATCGCTGTAACGAGACGAGCACATAGTCGGCGACCAGAGAGTGAGAGCAGAAGCAGAAGAGCCCGGGCGAAGCGAGCAGCGAAAGCGACATCGAGAGCATCTCGCGAGGACGACGAGCCAGACCGAGCGCTCTCGAGGGGTCTGAGGGAGAGACAGATCGTTACAGAGGGGGAGAGAAGGTACAGGCGACGCCAAGGACGACAACAAGAGCGACGATGGCGGCGAGGGCGTCTACTGGAGGAGCGGGTCGCGGTACTGCGGTCGGGGAGGAAAAGCGTGAGCGAGACGCTCGACGACGACGACGACGATGACGACGACGATAGAGAGGAGGGAGGAGGATGAGAGAGAAGTGGGGGACGCACGTATTTCTGGCTGTTCCCACGCAGGCCCCGGATCAAGGCCTGATCCTGGAAGCGCTTGTGCTCGTGGAAGTGCCTCGTCGCCTTGCTCGCCTCCTTGGCCTCGCCCTTGTTGCGCGCCTTGATGACCTCGCCCGAGTTGCCGTTGCCCTTGCCGAAGCCGGCGCCCTTTGCCGGCACGAGCGCGGCCGAGAAGAGCGGGCGCGCGTGCGTGCGGTCCTTCTTCATGGCGGGCACGAGCGACAGGAGCGCCTGGCTCTGCGCCGAGGGCTTGATCTCGGCCTGCGAGGCGTGCGGCGGCTGCTTGAACGGCGTGCCGTCGACGTACGGCAGCAGGTTCTGCTTGTACAGGGTGCGGTGCGCGCGGTGGCCGACGCGGGCGCCCGAGGGCAGGACGAGCTCGTACTCGGTGTCGCCGTACGTCACGTTGGTGCCCGACGGGAGGTCGTCGTCGTCGTCGTCCGAGTCGGTGACGAGGTCGTCCGAGTCGGACCCGTCGTCGTACACGACCTCGACGTCGTCGCCCTCGCCCTCGCCCTCGACCGCCATGCCCTCGTCCTCCTCGTCGACGTCCTCCCACCCACCCGACTTGGCCTGCTTGGCCGCAAGGCGCGCCGCCCGCTTCTCGGCCTTCTTCTGCTGCCGCAGCTCGTAATCCGGGTACGACGGGCGGAAGTCGTAAAAGTCGGCGATGTTGAGCTGCTCTTCCTCGGTGTCGTAGCGCAGGCGGCAGTGCGACTGTGTGCGGCGAGGTGAGCGACATGATCCTCGAAGAGGGGTAGGGAGAGAGAGAGGGGAAGGGAGGGCGCACCTTGGACTGCATGTGGGCCCGAACGGCCTCGATGCCCTTGCTCGCGCGCCGCTTGAGCTCGTCCTGGGCGAGGTCCGACTCCTTGTTGAGGTCGATGTTGCCGCCGTAGCCCTTGCCGCAGCAGACGCACACGTTCCAGGTGCCGACCTCCTCGCCGAGGCGGCGCAAGAGGCCCTCGACGTCGACGAGGTACTCCTCCTCGGGGAGGACGAACGAGTGCGCGGCGCGCATGTGGCCGACGTTGGCCTGGACCGAGTCGGACGAGTGCGGGCAGAACAGGCACGACGAGGGCGCGATCGGGGGCGCGTACTGGAGGCGCTTGGCGACGAGGCGGTCGAGGGCGGCGTCGCCCGACGACTCGAACGTGGCCTCGTCGGCGACAGGTGCGGGTGCGGGTGCGGGCGGCGGCGCGGTCGAGGTCGACGGGACGGGCGAGGCCATCGAGGCGTCCTCGTCCTTGTCGGCCGCCGGCGTCATGTCGGCGGCCTTGAGCTTGGAGGCGGCCTTGAAGACGGCGTCCTGGTGCTTCTTGGTCTTGACGTGAGCGTCGTGGGTGGCCTGGGACGCGAACGTCTTGCTGCAGGGGGGCAAGTGGCGAGGAGGGGTCAGTCACGAGGGCGAGGGAGGGAGGGAAGGAGGGGGCGGGAGGTGGGAGACGCACTTGCAGGCCTTGCAAGCGAGCTTCTTGGCGTGGTCGTGGTCCTTGTCGGAGTTGTTGGCGCCGCCGGGGAGCTGGGTGGAGCGCTCCTTGACCTTGTCGTCAAAGAGCTCCTGGGTGAGCGGGGCGAGGCCGGCGACGCGGCGACGGGCGTTGTAGCGGTGGAGCTCCTGCTGGTAGTGGTTGCGCTGCGAGTGTGCGTCGGGGAAGGCGAGCTGGCACGAGAGGCAGGTGTACGGGTGCGACTGGGCCGTCTCCATGGCGAGGGGGAAGGCGGGACGGGTGCGGTGGACGCGGGTGAGGGTCGAGGTGGTGCTGGTGTGCTCTGTTGCGGTGAGCACGAGGTGGCGGGTGCTTAGTGTGGTGAGAGAAGAGTGGTTGGCTTGCTCAGCGAGAGCGAGCTCATCGCCAGCTGCGTCTCGCCACTCTCACACCGCTCAGAGTCAAATGCGCTTGCAACAGAGTTGTGCAGTAGCTACTTGAATGATTTGTCCCGATGCCAGAGGAGCTCAACCGTGAGAGAGCGACACCGCTCCACCTCGGCTCCACGCTCCTCACGGTACCGCCGCCGCCTCTGGCCCTGCGCGCACGCGCAAGCATGCCCACCGAGCTCGCCGACCTCCCGCTCGAGCTCCTCGCCCAGCTCCTTGCGCCCCTCGTCAGCCGCCGCGACCTGTGCTCCGCCGCTCTCGTCTGCCGAGCCTGGCGCTCCACCGCGCAGCAGCTCCTCCTGCGCCATGTGCGCCTCTTTGGCCGAGACCTCGTGCGTCCACTCCTCCCCTCGCCCTCCTTCTACCCGCGGCCGAATCGGCTGACCTCGCTCCTCCCCAGTGCAGGCCATCGCTCCGCTCCTCTTCCACACCCTCGTCGACCACCCGCACCTCGCCGCCATGGTCCGCAAGCTCGAGGTCCGCGTCTACCCGCTGTCGATGAAGCTGCGCGAGCGGCAGGAGATGGAGGACCTCGCCATCCGCATGCTCGCCAACTGCGTCGCCGTCGAGGACCTCGTCTGGACCCGCAAAGGCGCCCTCACCGACAGGTGCGCACCTCTTTCCTCTCTGTACTTGTCTCTCTCAGAGGTGCTCACCTGACGTACGACGACGCACGCAGGGTCTTCGAGGCCATCGTCGCCCTTCCCAAGTTGCGCAGCTTCGAGTGCAACGCGCACACCAACCTGTCGCCCGGCTCGTGGGACGCCGACCACTTCCTCGACTTGCCACCACTGCGCTCCCTGTCCCTCATCCTCCCCGACCGCAACGTCGCCAACCTCCTCCCGGCCTTCCTCGCCAAGCAGCGCTCGCTCGCCGCCACGTCAGCCTCGCGGGCCGGCGACGACAACGTCCTCGTCCTCGAGGAGCTCAGCATCCTCTGCCGCGAGTCGACCGTCATCAACGACCGGGTCGTCGCCGCCCTCGCGCCCTCGCTCGCCAACAGCCGCCTGACGTCCCTCGCCCTCGCCGGCTGCGCCAAGCTCACCGGCGCGCCACTCGTCTCCCTCCTCCCGACCCTCCCGCACCTGCGCCACCTCGCTCTCGAGGCCTGCGCCCTCGACCCGTCGACCTTCTTCCCCGCCGCCGCACCCAACCTCGCCGCCCTCGAGTCGCTCAAGCTCACCCACCCGGGCCCGCGCCACCCGACCCTCGCCACCTTCCTGCCCGCCCTCGAATCCCTCCTCGACCACACGCACGCCCTGACGGCCCTCACGCTGTACCACTCGGGCGCGAGCGCGACGGGCCGCCGCGAGTGGCCCGTCTTGCCGCTCGCGTTCGCGCAGCACGTCGCGGCGACGGTCGGGCCGAGATTGCGCAAGTTCGAGGTGTCGGGCGTGCTGGTCGGCGTCGAGGCGATCGAGGCGTTGACGGAGCGAGCGAGGAGCCTGAAAAACCTCGTGCTGCACCTCGGCCAGGACTTTGACCTTGTGCATCCCTTTCTCTCTCCTGCGCACGAGCGACGCCGGACCTGACTGCCTCTCGTTCCCGCAGCCTCGCCTGACGGCATCTTTTGCACACCTCGCGAGCTTGCGCACGCTGCACCTCCTCTCGCAGCGAGCCGACATCTCGCCCGACGATGTTCTCTCGCTCGCCGAGCAGTGCGTCCCTTTCTCTCCCTCTCCCTCTTGCTCGACCCTCTCTGACGATTCTCCTCCTCTCAGGTGCTCTACGACTCTGCGGCAGATCGGCTTCCGCAACCGCGTGTGGCTCGTCCGCCGCACCTACTCGCCCGCCGCCGACGCGCCCGCTCAGGTCCGTCTCGCCCCTTACGACCTCCCCTGGTTCCCCGAGGCGCTCCTCGTCGTGCGCACCTAGCTCGGCTCGAGGTGCGTCGCCCGGCCATCGTCGCCGTTCGACCGAGAAATTGACCCGGGGACGCGGCTCGTGCGCTCGCAGGTCCGGTTTGTCGAGACGGCGGGCGCGTTCGGCGCGTTTCGGCGCAACAGGTACGGCGCCGAGAGCGACGTCGAGAGCGAGGCCGAGAGTGGGGACGAGGTGGGCGGCGCGAGCGCGAGTGCGAGCGACGAGGAGGACGACGAGGAGGACGAGTAGAGCTGGGTCGAGCGCAAGGAGGGATAGAGACGGATCGCAATGCAGAGATGGCACGACAAGATGGACGAATGAGAGGGACGCTACATATGTGCTAGTGACGGTACGACAGGGTCCTGAACGGAAATACGAGAGCTCGCCGAGAGAACCTCCTCCTCCTCGAGCCGCACGCCCTCCCTCAGCGCTCGGCACAGCCCGCCCACCCGCCCCACACCTCCCTCGCCTTGTCGACCTCCTCGACGACCACCTCGGTAAACGCCAGCTCGACCCCCCTGTCGCGGCACAGGCGGTCCAAGCGCGCCCTCGCGCCGCTCCACAGCTTTGCGCCGCGCGCGTCCGCGCCCGGCAGGCCGTACCGCAGCGCCGACGGCAGCTCGAGCGTCGCGCCGTCGCGCTCGTGCGAGAGGAGCTCGCGCGCGACGAGGGCGCCGTTGAGCAACTCGACGAGCGCGACGTGCGCCCGGACGGCGTGCGCCAGGCGGCGTGGCTCGGCCCAGGTCCACTGGACGGTCGCCGACAGGCGGTGCGCCGCTGCTGCCGGGCCGAGGACGCGCTCGGGGAGCGGGACCGAGACGGTGCGCGAGCCCGTGCAGGGCGACGGGAGGACGAGGCCGTGCTGCGTCGTGAGGCGCGGGAGCGGGAAGGTCGGTGATGCGGGCGGCGCGCGCGAGTCGACGCTGTCGACGAGGCGGAGGTGCGTCGCCTGCGCGACGAGCGCGAGGGCGGCATCGGCCTCGTCGGGCGACGACGAGGCGCGCGAGAGGACGTCGCGCAGGGCGGTCGGGCACAGCACGAGGTGCTCGAGGGCCGGGAACCGCATCTGGGCGAGGTGCGTCACGGGGAACGCGCCCGGGTGCGTGAACCGGAACGTCGACACGTTGACGAACGTGCGCGGCTTGGGAAAGACGGTCCACACGAGGTCGCAGTGGCGCATCGAGAGCGTGACGAGCGAGGGGAGGGCGACCGGGTCGAGCAGGGCGGCGTACGACGGGCGGAACGTGGTGAAGCCGACCTCGTCGAGCGTGAGCGTCCTGAGGTGCACGAGCTTAAATGGCGGCGTCGGCGTCGACGTTGAGCGGCCGATGCGGGTCCGGAACACGTGGAGCTCGACGAGGTCTGCGCGCGCTCGAGAGACGGCGTCAGGAACGAGAGACCGGCGGCCAGGAAGGAGAGGAGGACGCACTCGACGCGCTGCCGAGGTCGGCGAGCTCGATCAGGTCGGCGTCGAGGATGGCGAGCGAGGTGAGGGCGTGGCACTGGGGCGTGAAGAGGCGCAGGCACGCCGTCATGCCGTACGCCGAGCCGGCGAACCTCGGGCGCGGGGCGAACGTGATGCGCCAGACGCGCGACGAGTCGAGCGGGCAGTCATGGCGCAGGACCGGGTGCTGAGGGTCGCGCACGGCGAGGTCGCGAGCGAGCAGCGCCTGAGCGAGGGCGGTCCAGCTCGATTGGACGAGCGCGCACGCGCGGTAGAACTGGGCGCGCTCGAGGTAGACGTCGACAGGGTCGCTCGACGAGGCGGACCAATCGAGCAGGATGTGCGGGACGAGGTCGTGCGGGAGGCGAGGGCCGAGTCGAGCGTTGCTGCGGCGGCGTCGTCTGCTGCAACGCGAGTTGAGTTAGTTCGCGGTCGCTGTGGAGCATCCGCCTGGGGTGGGACTCGAGCGCACCTGGGCCGGACGAGACGAGCGAGGCGAACGAGCGTGTTGTTGAGCGTCCCGAGGCACGCGAGGAGGACGACGACGAGGAGCGAAGCGAGCGAGCGGTGCGTCGAGGACGACGACGCGTGCGAGTCGCCAAGGTGCACGCGATCGAGGCCAAAGTGGACGCTCACGAAGGCCCGCATGGCGGTCCCTGACTAGAAGAACGGGCGGCGCGGCGGGCGCCGGCTTGGAGAGCGAGGTGCGCGACAGACTCGAGGGGGGGGGGGGGGGGAGCCGTCCCTCGACCTCTCCTCACCTCGCTCCTGCCTCGATAGACGCGCTCGTCGGGCCTGCTCTGCGACCACACCAAGCAGCAGCGCACGCCCTGCCCTGCCCCGCCAGCCTCGCCCCGGCCCACGCCTCCCACCTCGCGCGAGCGGCTCGTCCTCGCGTGATGTCCACGCATTTCCAGCTCGCCCTCGTCGTGGTCCTGGCGTTGATCGGCAGTGCCCAGGTGCGTCCACACCCCTCCCACCTTCTCCTCCCACGCCGCACCGCGCCCCTCGACGCGTGAGCGAGCCGGAGCTCGAGCTGACCTTCCTGTGGGCTCCTCGTCCCCGCGGTCCGCATGCAGGCAGTCCTCTTCATCCCGCGACAGCCGCCCATCGCCTTCTTCTGGGCCACCGCCAACGACTCGGTCAAGACGATCCCGCAGTGCGGCACCTTGCAGGTCTTCACCACCCCCTCGCCGACCACCAGCGTCCAGCCGGTCGGCCCGTTCTACTTCACGGCCGCCGCACAAGGCTACGTCCCCGAGACGCAGCTCGTGACGCAGCAGATCGGCGGCGCGTTCAACTGGACCGCCAACTATGCCGTCGTGCGTCCGCGCTCCCTCTTCTCTCCCACCCGCGTCCCCGACCTGACCTCCTCTCCTGTGGCCACCTCGCAGGGGACCCAGCTCCTGTTCGCCATGACCGACTCGGCCAACAACTCTGGAGGAGCAGTCGACGGCTGTGCGTCCTCTCCCCTCTCTCTCTCGCGCGACGGTGGGGCTCTCTCGCTCGCAGCACTGACCTCGTCTCGGCCCCCACGCAGACACGGTCATTCCCGGCTCGGACAGCTGCGAGCTCAACTCGGCGTCCAACTCGCCTGCATGGCTCAACGTCGCGACCTACCCGGACAACAACCCGTGCAGCGAGATCGACTTTGACCTGACGGTCGGCAAGGCGCCGTTCACCGTCTCGATCCTCGTCCCGCAAAGCGGCGCCTACCTGAACGCCACGGGCATCGACAAAAAGTCGTTCACCGTCAAGAACATCGTCCCGGCCGGCCAGTCGTACAACTGTACGCACCCGCTCGCTCCTCTCCCTCGCACTCGAACCCTCCCTGACTTTTCGCCTCGACCGCTCGCAGTCTGGGTCACCGATTCGGAGGGCGCGTCGTCCTACACCTCGTTCCCTCGCACGTCTCAGCTCAACCAGTCCAGCTGCAGCGAGGCCGTGCGACCGGGCGGCGACTCGAGCACCTCGGTCGGCACGGTCGTCGGCGCCGTCATCGGCAGCGTCCTCGGCGCGCTCGTCATCGCCGGCGTCGCGTGGTGGTTCGTCCGCCGACGAAATCGGCAACGCGCCGAGCGGTACCGACAGCAGCCGCCTGCCGCGACGAGCGAGTTCCGCACGGCCGACGGTCGGGCGCCGCTCGTCGAGCCGTTCCGGATCCCGATGGCGGGCGCCGCAGCAGGAGGAGGAGCCGCCGCCGGCGACACGTTCGACGACCACAGCCCGAACGCCGACTCGTTCGAGAAGGGCCTGTACCCGCTCTCGCCCGACCAGCACTACCGCCGAGACGGTCCGCCGAGCGCCGGCGTCGTTCCCGCACCGCCACCTCCCTCGCACCTGTACGACCCGAGCGCGCACCCGTACGGGCACGCCTACGACCCGTACGACCACGCGAGCTACACGGCGACGGCGGCGTCGGCGAGCGCAGCAGGTGGGCACGGCTACGACCCGGTCGCGTCGTCCTCGCCGGCCGACACGACCGAGTACCTGTCGCCGTCGTCGGCGCCGGGCACGTCGTACCTCGGCGAGCACCAGCAGCACCAGCAGCACGGCGTGCGCGACGACGCCGAGGCGCCGGCGGGCGATGGCACGGACGGGCTCGCGCACCCAGGCGAGTTCGAGTACCGGCTGCCCGGCGAGAGCCCGACAGGGCCGGCGGGACCGCCACGGCCGTGGGCGCAGCAGCAGGGCGCCATGCCGTACGGGCACAGGCCATACTGAGACGAGGGCGGGCCCTCGTCGAGGCCAATGCGGCGCGCGCTCTCCCGGCTGGCTCGGTCGTGCGGCGTCCCTCTCGCTCGTTCATCGCCTCTCTGTACATCCACCTCTCCTCACTCTTTCTCTCGCCTCGAGCGCTGTCTTGTCCCACCACCTCGCCCCCTCCCTCCCTCCTCTCGCTGTTGCACCTCCCCTGCCCCCTTTTGTCTCGACTAGATCCTCCGTGCCTCCGTCGCGACTCGTTCCAGATAGACCTGCATCGTGTACCAGTGCCGCTACGTTGTGCGCTTCCCGAGAACCAAGCTGTGTCGAGTTGTGCGGGGCGGCCGCAACCACGAGACGAGAGCTCGCAGTCGAGTGATCCGCTCTTGCTCTCTCGACACAGCTCACCCACCTCCGACGGGTTCGAGCACAGCATGTCAGGCTACGCCATGCTCCCGACAAGCTCACACGAGGGCTCGTCGGCGTACGCGCCCTCGCCCTCGTCGTCGCACCGCCCCTCGTCGCCCTCATCTCCCTCGGCCCTCACGCGCGCCCGCACGGCCCTGCACGCCCGCCTGTCAAACTCGCCCCTCTCGAGTGCACTCGACTCGCTCAAGCCCCGCACCGTCCGCCTCGGCGCGTACGCCCTCGCCGCCCTCGTCCTCGTGTCGCTCGCGGGCCTGTCGCTGCGCAGCGGGACCAGCGGCGCTGCGGGAGGCGGGCTGCGGCTCGAGAGCCCACTCGCAGGCGAGAGTGCGCGGAGCCAGTGGGGCAGCTACAGCAGTTGGGCGGACGGCTGGCTCGGCGGGTCCCGGGCGGGAACGGGCGGCGGTGGTGGGGCAGGAGGCCGGTCCCGCGCGCAGAACGAGCGGTTGCTCGACCCGCCGCTCGAGTTAGACGCCAAGTCGGGCCTGCTCATGCCGCCAGAGGTGTACCCGGCGGCCCTCAACCCGTGCGTCCCCTTCCACCCTCGTCCTTCCACCTCGTCGTGCTGACTTGCTCCCTCCCTTTCTACAGGTTCAAGCGGGCCAATGCCGCCTTTGTCGCCCTCGTGCGCAACAACGAGCGCGAGGCGATGCGCAACTCGATGCGGCACCTCGAGTCGCGCTTCAACCGGCGGTACAACTACCCGTGGGTCTTCCTCAACGACGAGCCGTTCGACGACGAGTTCAAGAAGGGCGTCCGGTCCATGACGAGGAGCGAGGTCCACTTTGGTGCGTCGAGTCGATTCTCGAGATGTCCCACGAGCAGGAGCCTGACGACGTCGTCGACCGTCCGCAGAGGTCATCGCCAAGGAGCACTGGTCGTACCCGTCCTTCATCAACCAGACGCACGCCGCCGAGGAGCGACAGAAGATGGTCGACGAGCACGTCATTGTGCGTCCCGCTCCCTATCTCTCTCTCTCTCTCTCTTCCTGAGCGGGAGCTGACTTTGCCCCGTCGACCTTCCCAAATCCCCTTCCCGCCCCTCTCTCTTGCAGTACGGCGGCAGCGAGTCGTACCGCCACATGTGCCGCTTCAACTCGATGTTCTTTTTCCAGCAGCCGATCCTCGAGAACTTTGACTGGTACTGGCGCGTCGAGGTGAGCCCGCTCGAGGTGGACCTGAGGCCGCTCCCGTTCGAGCCCCCTACTGACTCTCTTCTTCGCCCCTGCAGCCCGGCGTCGAGTACTGGTGCGACATTGACTATGACCCGTTCGTCTTCGTGCGTCGCCTGTTCCTCTCCTTGCCCTCGTCGTCGATGTCGTCCTTGCGAGCCTGACCCACACACTCTCTCTCGCTCGCCGCAGATGGAGGCCAACAACAAGGTCTACGGCTTTGTCATCGCCCTGTACGAGTGTGCGTCGTCCTCTCCTCGAGATCTACGGCGAGCGACGCATTGACCCTGTTCCTCCCCTGCGCGCACAGACCGCCGCACGGTCGAGACGCTGTGGGACGTCACCAAGGAGTTTGCCCGGCTGCACCCCGAGCACATCGCCGACAACAACGCGATCCGGTTCCTCGTCGACGAGCCGGGCAAGGGCCTGCAGGACGGCGAGTGGAACAACTGGTGCGTCCGCTTCTCCCTCGACTGCTCGTCGGCGCCCAGGTCCTGACCAACTCTTTCCCTCCTGCGCCGCAGCCACTTCTGGTCCAACTTCGAGATCGGCTCGCTCAAGTTCTGGCGCAGCAAGCCGTACATGGACGTGCGTCCCGGTCTCGCACCCCCTCCCTCTCTCCCTCGTGCGGCCGCTCACCTCTCTCGCCTCGCGCAGTATGTCAAGTTCCTCGACGAGAAGGGCGGGTTCTTCTACGAGCGGTGGGGCGACGGTACGTCCCTCTCTCTCCCTCTGCCCTGTCCGGGCGTCGAGCGAGCGAGCGAGCGAGCTGACCCTCCTTCGGACCCGCAGCGCCCGTCCACTCGTTCGCCGCCGCTCTCTTTGTGCCGCAGGAGCAGATCCACAACTTCTACGACATCTGTGCGTCGTCCCGAGCTGCCTGTGCGGGACCAGGGCGGGCGCGCTGGGTCGGCGCTCGAGCTCCTCGTTCAGCAACCACTGACAGCCTCTTTCGCGTCCTCGCCCGCAGCCTACCGCCACAACCCGTACAGCACCTGCCCTCGTGCGTCGCGCATCTCTCTCTCTTTCCTCCCTGAGCGGCATCCACTGACCGAGCCCCTCGTCGGCCCACTCGCAGAGAACCGCAAGCTGTTCCACGACAACGGCAAGTGCGAGTGCTACCCCGAGAACAGCTTTGACCTCGACGGCTACTCGTGCGTCCCTGCGTCTCTCGCCTCTGCGTCTACGTGCCCTCGCGAGCGCGAACTGACCTTGAGGACGACGTCCATCTCGCGCGCAGCTGCATGCGGTGCGTCCCTCTCCTCCTCTCCTTCTCCTCCTCCTCGTCCTCGGCCCCTTTCACCCGCTTGAGCACCTCGACTGACACTCTGACTTGTCGCGCAGGCAATGGTGGCGCTCGGCGGGCAAGCCGGCCTACTACGAGTGAGGACGACGACGGCGCGGTCGAGGACAGGGCGGGCGAGAGCGGGACGGCCAAGCGGCATAGACAGACACTCGCTGCATTACAGACTAGGTATCCATCGCGCTTTGTGCGGCCGACGCCGAGAGCAAGCTCTGCGAGAGCGAGAGGCTCGTGCACGACTGCTTCGCGAGCGGGTCCGAGGAAGCGCTCGTCTCTCTTGCTCTCTCGCTCTCCTCTGTGCAGCCCTCTCACTCTCAGAACGAGACACGCGTGATGACGAAATGCGACTTTGGCTGCTTGATCATGCGAGGAGGCGAGTGGTGGGGCTTGGAGCAGGGTGCTCTACTGGAGGAAGGGGAGCGACGCGATGGCCTTGTAGCTCGAGAAGAGGAACATGGGCAGGAAGCCGAGGTACTGGAACACTCTGTTGCGAGGGAGGTACGAGGCGAGGACGTGAGTGAGTGCGACAGAGGGCGAGACGCAGATCGAGGGACGGGAGCGAGAGGGAAAGGAGGGGTTTGGACGTACCCGCGCTGGCGCTTGGCCGGGTCGCCCGACGAGTAGCCGGCGATGTAGGCAAAGCGACCTGTGTGTCGACGAGTACAACGCTAATCAGCCCCTGCATTCCCGAGCGAGAGGGAGGGGACCGAGAGGAGCGAGACGAGGACGCACCGGCGAGCCAGACTGCGCCGCCGACAGCGGCGTAGCGCGGGTGGTAGAGGCCGGTGTGGAAGAGCCTGTGACGTGCGGGAGAGGGACGTGCGAGAGAGGGACGTGCGAGAGAGGGTCAGTGTTGCCGAAGAAAGGCTCGACGAAGGGAACGGCGGGACGCACGACAGCAAGAAAACTGGGAGATTCTCGAGCGTGTTGCTGTGGGCACGCTGGGCGCAGTCTGCGTGCGGGAGGAGCAAGGGTCAGCGGCGAGGGAGGAGGGGCGCGAGGGACGAGGGGCGCGAGGGCAAGAGCGAGAGCTGCGGACGCACTGAAGATCTTGGCCTTGACGTCGCGCTCGGCGACAGCGTTCTCGGCGTAAGGCGCAGGGTCTGCGTGGAGGGGTGTGCGGGTCCGCTGTCAGGTCGAGGTTCGAGGTGGAGGGAGTGGGGCGCACACTTGACACCGGCGGCCTTGCGGGCAGCCGAGACCTTGATGGTGGCGTACTGGAGGACCGAGTAGACGCCGACGGTGCCGACTGCGACGACGTAGGCGTAGTCGGCGGGGAGAGAGAGGAGCGACATCTGGGAGATGACGACGAGGGCGAGTGGAGGGAGGACGTGGGAGGGCAGGGCGAGGTCAGTGTGGGTTCGACGCAGGGCTGGTGGAGTCGACACGCACAGCGACAAGCTTGTTCGAGGGGTTGGGGAGGAGGGAACGACGAGGAACAAGGTGTGGATGATCCGGCCGACGACGAGCTCCTCACTCGGCTCATTGCGCACCTCGTGTGCAGCGTGTACAGCTCGCACACGGCTCACTCGACCCTCCCAACCTCGCTGTGCGTCCCAACTCGCTCCCCTCCTCGTCGCCGCCTCCTCGACGACGCTCATCCAAGGGGCTCTACCTCCACAGATCGCGCTCGACCACCACCAGCACCGTACAGCTGCGCCATAGCGACACGCACGGCGCATCGAGCCTCGCCACCATGGAATGGGACGGCCCGCGCACCCAGCCCTCGTTCGCCACCCCTTCGATCCCCGCCCTCGAACGCCGCCTCGCGACAAACAGCCTCGCGACCCAGCTGTACCGCGCACTGCGCCTCGCCTGGGTCGCCATCACCTTCCCGCTCCACCTCTCGCTCGTCGCCCTCTCGGCCGTCCCGATCCTCCCCTCGCTCCTCCCCGACGCCCTCCGACTCCCCGGCACAGACCAGGGCTGGACCCTCCCGCAGCGCGTCGTCTACCCGCTCCTGCGCCGCCTCATCTGGGCCGTCTGCGACGTCGGCTCGCCCGGCACCCTCACGCCATCGGACGCGAGGGCCGTCCCCTGGTGGGCTCGAGCCCTCGAGGACTTTACGGTCCGCGTCGGCGGCGCCCCTCACGTCGCCGTCGAGGTCCACGACGTCGCGCTCCCCGAGCAGGCCCGTCGAGGTGGCTGGGTCCGGGGCGACGTGCTCGACCCGGCAGGCGTCGTCGACTTTGAGCCCGTGCCGAGCTTCTGGTTCGAGCGCGACGAGGTCACGGCGTCATCGTCTCGGCCGCGCGAGGTCTCGCCATCGTCGAGGTGGAGCGCGAGGGACAAGCACGAGCGGGTGATCATCTACTTTGTCGGCGGCGGTTTCGTGTGAGTCCTCCCCTTCTCACGAGCCCTCTTTCCTCCCTTCCCGCGTCTCTCCGACTGTATCACTGATGTCGCCCCGCCGTTCCGCAGCACGGGCAATCCGTCCGAGGGCAGTCGATGCTTCAAGCTTGCGCGAGAGACGGGCCTGCGAGTTGTCGGTGCGTCTGCCCGTTTCGCGACCTTCTCAAAATGCGGTCGGTCGCTCACCCTCTCCTTCTCGCAGGCGCAAACTTTCGCAAAGCGACGACGCCGTCGCAGGCTTTCCCGGCTGCGCTCCAAGATGCGCTCGCCGTCTATGCGCACGTCGTCCTCGAGCTCGGGTACGGCAAGGTGCTTCTCGCGGGCGATTCGGCCGGCGGGTCCCTCGCCCTCATGCTCACGCAGTACCTCGCCACCCTTCCTGCCTCGTCCTCGTCCCCGAACCCGATCATCCTCCCGGCCGGGCTCCTCCTCATCTCGCCCTGGTCCGACCTCACCGCCTCGACCTACGCCGCCGCGTCGCGCTCCCGGTTCGAGGACGACATCATCTGCGCCTCGATGGCGACCAACTCGATCCGGTCGTTCCTCGCACACGTGCACTCGCCGGCGGTGCGCGACGCAAAAGGCGTCGTCGTCGAGCCCGACAGCGTGTTTGCCCGAGGCGCCGAGCACCCGTTCCTGTCGCCCGCCCTGCCGGGCGCGCTCCCCTCGCTCACGCGCACGGCGCGCGCGTACCTCGACACGGCGCACGAGCGCGACGGCGGCGACGCTCGCACGTCGCGCAGGTCGCCGCTGCGCATCTTGGTCACGACCGGGTCAGCCGAGCTGTTCCACCTCGAGGTCCTCCACCTGTTCGACAACCTGCGCTCGGCGTCGCGCGCCGCCCTCGTCGACGGTGGCGCGACCGGCGGGGGCAGCAGGACGAGGGGCACGAGCCGCCGCGAGCCGTTCGAGGTCAGCCTCGTGAGCGAGGGCGGCGAGGTGCACGCGTTCCCGCTCGTGCCCGAGTGGGTCAGCCCGGCGGCCGGACGGGCGTTTGAGCGGATCCGGGACTGGGTGCGCGAGGGTATCGAGCGGGACGGGCGCGAGCGGTAGACGACGCGAGGGAGAAGAGACGAGGCAGAGAAGGTAGATTCTGGGCCGCCTCGAGCGGCTCGTTCTCGCTTTTGTAGACTAGCATGTGCATTGCTGTTGTAGCTGTCGTCTCTCGCGGCGAGCTCTGAGATCTGAGCGAGCAAGCGAGAGAAAGGCGAGACTTGGCTGCGGTTCCCGCCCTCGACGTCGTCGCCGTCTCCCCTCCCCTCCCTCCTCCCCTCACGAGCCAGCGCGCACTTCCACCAGCTTCGACAGGACCAGAGCAAAAACATGGGTGAGTCGCCGGCCTCGCGCTCTGCCTCCCCCGCTTGCCTCCAACGTGCCGCGCGACCGCCCAGCCGTGACGCGCGAGCTGACCTCGTCCTCGACACAGCCCCTTCTACCAGCGCACAGCGCCAGCAGTCGGACGAGCAGACCCCCCTCATCGGCGGTGGCCGCAACGGCCGCTCCGAATCGCACTCGTTCCACGTGAGCCCGCCCCTCTCTCTCTCCCCTCCATCTCGGCCAAAAGGTGGGGACGGCGACGACGACGGCCTGCGCGAGCGTCCGCAGGCGCTGAAGCTCTACAGCCACTGACTGTCCTAGATCCCCAACGCACACCCTCGCCCTCTGTCCATCTCGCCCGGCCCCGACGACAACTCGTCCCCGTCTCCTCCAAACGGCAACGCCTCGTTCCCCGACCCTCGCCGTCCCGTCTTTCTCGGTGGCCGGTCCTCGTCCTCGTCGCACATCCAGGACAACATCGGTGGCGGTGGCGGCTCGCACGGCGGCGCGCCCACCGTCCTCCAGAGCCTCAAGAACTTCATCTTCTCGGGCTGGCTCAACCTCCTCCTCGTGTCGGTTCCCCTGTCGTTCATCTCGCACTTTGCCCACTGGGGCTCGACGGCCGACTTTATCATCTCGTTCATCGCCATCGTTCCGCTCGCGTCGCTCCTCGGCGATGCGACCGAGCAGTGCTCGCTTCGGCTCGGCCAGACAGTCGGCGGTCGTACGTCCTCCTCTCTCTCTTCTTTCCTCCCTTTTGCGACCTGGGACTGACTCGCACAACTCTCTACAGTCCTGAACGCGTGCGTCGCACCGTCCAAATCCCTCGCCTGGGTCCCGACGGCGGCCGGAACTGACCTCGAGATTTGTTCCCTCGCGCGCGCAGCACGTTCGGCAACGCCGTCGAGCTCATCGTCGGTGTCCTCGCCCTCAAGCGTGGCGAGCTCCGCATCGTCCAGACGTCGCTCCTCGGCTCGATCCTGTCCAACCTCCTCCTCGTCCTCGGGTGCTCGTTCCTCGTCGGCGGCCTCAAGTTCAAGGAGCAGCAGTTCCAGGCGACGGCCGCCCAGGCCTCGTCGTCGCTCATGGTCCTCGGCACGGCGACGCTCGTCATCCCCGCCGCGTACCGCGCCAACCAGCTCGACGGCTCGCTCAGCAACGACGGGCCGGGCGTCCTCACGCTCCTCGACGACTTTGGCAAGAAGACCGACATCTCGGGCCTCCTCAAGCTGTCGCGCGGCACCGCCATCGTGCGTGGATCTCTCTCGTTCCGGTGGTGTGTTGCGCGGCCACGTCGTCCTGACGCACCTAGTCGTACTTTTCCTCGCGCAGATTCTCCTGTTCTGCTACGGCGCCTGTGCGTCCTCGCCTTCTCTATCACTCTCCCACACTCGCGCAGCGTCCTGACGTACCAGCCCGCAGACCTCTACTTCCAGCTGCGCTCGCACCACTACCTGTTCCAGGCCGAGGCCGACGACGATGAGGAGGAGGCCAAGATGAACATGCCGACCGCCGTCGGCGCCCTCGTCGTCGTCACCGTCATCACTTCGTTCTGCGCAGACTACCGTACGTCCCGCTCTCGTCGCCATTGGGCTCGAGGCGCCGCTCGAGCCGCCTCGATCTCTCCTCGGCGCATTGCGCGTGACCTGACCTCTCGCCTCTCCCGCAGTCGTGGGCGCCATCGACGACTTTGCGACCGACTTTGGCATCCCCAAGGCCTTTATTGGCCTCATCCTGCTCCCCATCGTCGGCAACGCCGCCGAGCACGTCACCTCGGTCTGGATGGCCGGTGCGTCCCTGTTCCTCTTTCTCTTCTCGCACGAGCCAGTACTGACTCGTCTCTTCTCTTCGCCTGCAGCCAAGTGCGTATTGTGCCCGTGTCGTTGTGCTCGAGGAAGAGCGACCTACTGACCTGCCCTCGCTCGCTCGCAGGGGCAAGATGGAGCTCACGATTGGCGTCGCCATCGGCTCGTCGATCCAGGTGCGTCCTCGCTCGCCTTTCTCTCTTTCTCTTCCTCTCAGACGCACGGGTTCACGCAGCTTCACCTGCGCGCAGATCGGCGTCGGCCTGATCCCGATCCTCGTCATCGTCGGCTGGATCATCAACCAGGACCTGACCCTCTTCTTCGAGTGCGTCCCGCCGTTCTCTCTCGTGCGACTCGTCTCCCTCGAAAGGACCGACGCACTGAACTCGTGCGACCTCCCGCAGGAACTTTGAGACGATCGTGCTCTTCGTCTCGGTCCTCCTCGTCGACATTCTCGTCGCCGACGGCAAGTCCAACTATCTCGAGGGCCTCCTCCTCGGTGCGTCCCAAGCCTTCCTCTTTTCTCTCTCCTCTCGCGCGTACGTCGAGCCTGACGACGAGTGCCTCTCGCAGTCGCGTTGTACCTCGTCATCGCCCTCGCCTTCTGGTTCACCAAGTAAAACCTCTTGGCGCTCCCTCCCCGTCGACCTCCCCAGTCTCTCAGACCCGTACTAGCGACGTCCCGATGCACCTTTTGCCTAATCGCCCTCGCGCGTCGCCCTCATCCTCCCCTCGTCCCCTTCCTTCTTTCCCCTTTCCTATCTCTCTCTCGCCCTCTCTTTTTCTCTCTCGTCGTCACGGGCGTAAACCCGAGCCCGCCTGTACCACTATGTCGTCGAGGAGGAGCGTATCTCGAAACCGTCGCTCGCAATGCATTCTGTCGAGCGTCGTCCCTGAGTCGGCGAGGAGGAAACGTGACTTGGGAAGGTCGCCCTCTCGAGAGGCTCTCGCTCTTTCTCTCTCGCTTTCCGGCTCTCGGCTGGCTCAAAATAAAGTCACTTGCACGGCACAGCTGTCCTCAGGCTTCTCCCTGCCTCCACGTCCCGCCTCGCGCGCCGACTCTCATCCTCGTGCGCCGCTCAAACACCGTCATGCTGTTGTTCGAGTCGTGCATGTCCCACAGGCGCTTGCCCGCCGACTTGACGCTCGACATGGGCGGTCGCTGCGGCTGCGGCTGCTGCGCCTGCGGCGGCGGTGCGGCGGCAAGAGCGGGCTCGAGGAGGTGCGCCATCGAGCGCGGGCCCTCTGCCGACGGGCCACGCCGGATGCGCTTGACGAGTGCGACGTGAGGAGGTCCCGTCGAGGATGCGGTCGTCGAGGAGGAGCGCGAGAGGGCGGGCGCGCTCGGCGGGGCGGGAGGCGGACGAAGGAGGAGAGGAGGGTACGTGCGCAGGCGCGCCATCAAGGAGGAGCGGCCGACGTTGAGCGCCGGCGGGACCCAGTGCGTGTACCTCGGAAGGTCGACGATCGGCGGGCGGTTGAACCACCGGGTCGTGCGCGCCGGCGGCGGGAGGACGCGCGAAGGAAAGTACGCCTCGGCGAGCGGACGGCCGATTCGGGGCGCCTTGACGGGTGCGGGCGGCGGCGGTGGTGGTGGACGAGGTGCAGGTGAGGGAGGACGAGGCGGTGGGGCCAATGCGGCGGAAGGTGCGGCCTTGACGAGGGGAGGAAGGCGGCGCGGCGCGGGGAGAGGTCCGTGCGCGAGGCGGCCGTCGACTTTGACGACGATGGCGGCCTTGGTTTTCGAGACGACGCGATCCATCAGGCTCACTGCGACAGGAGCAATGTCAGGGACGAAGGAAGGCGACAAGGCGAGAGGAGGGCGCACTAGTTGACGATGCAGAGACGCGGACCTGCTCGAGCGGCCGGCTCGCGACGACGACGGGCGGCACCTTGGGGTACATGCCGCGCAGGTCGAGCAGGAGCTTGACGACCTTGCTCGTGTCGAGCGCGTTGGCGTGCCCGGCTTGGACGAGGTGCTCGATGCGGCCGACGAGCTCGGAAAGCGAGCGTCGGTGAAGCCGCGGTTCTTTGCTCGACCACGCGGCGAGCGTCAGGCGCTCGCGGTTCTTGGCCGGCGCAAGGGCCTGCTCGAGCCATTTGACGAGGCTCTGGTCCTCGATGGACGTCCACGTCTGGCCCGAGCCGCTGTTGCGAGGGATCCGAGCGCGCAGAGCTGTTGAGGAAGGAGAGAGTCAGGCTCGGGCCTCTGCGACGGTACGAGGGAGCACGAGGACGCACGGATAGAGCAGAGCGGAAGAACTGGACTCGTCCACTGCGCCTCGAGGCTCGCCAGAGCCCTGCCCTTCCAGCCCTCGGCTGCCATCGCCCGTTTGACCGACGTCCAACCCTCGCGACCGTGAGCGACTTGCGCGCGTCGCAGAGCGGCGGTCTCGGCAGGGGACCAGGCAGGCTCGCGCCGACGAACTTCTGTCGGCAGAGAAGGTGGTGCGCTCACGCTGCGACGGCGAGGAGGCGGCGCGAAAGGCGACGAGCTGCGACTCGACGCGGAGCGGGACGGCGACGGTGAGGCGGGGATGGACGCGTCACTAGCGTCGGGGCTTTGGTCGAGCTTCTCGGCAGCATCGAGGAAGAGCCGTGCCACGTCCATGGAGGTGCCACTCGACCCAGCGAGGCGAGGAGAAGGGGGAGAGAAAGTTGCGCAGAGCGAGGGCAGCTCCCGCGAAAGCGGGCGTTCTTCCTCGAGCCCTGGTCCGGGAGCTTCCGCTACGACGATCTGGATCCCGGGTGCGCAAAAGACGCGACACTCGGGGCGTACACGAGCGACGCGATGCGTTCCAGTCCCGCTTTGCTGCTCCAAGTCCACAGCGCGCTCGACTCGTGTACAGCTCGACAGATGCTTTCTTCCACGCTCGAGATCCACAGCGAAGCAAGGTCTGAACGCTCGCCATGCCCGAGTTGGCGGTGCGACAAGAAAGCGAGCAAGTCGAACTTGAGAAGGTCGCGACGAGGAGAAGCGGTCAAAGCGTCGTCGGGCGTCGCCTCTCAAGTTCTCTGCTGCTGAGCTGAACGTACTTCCGAGACTGAAAGTACTGAGTTACACGACGAACCTCGACCCGCCGAGGTCCCACCGCAGCCCTTGCGCCCGCTCGAGCGCGCCCCCTCCTCCCCTCCCCTCGCTGCGCGACCTGCGATGCCGCGGCCCTGCCCGAGCTCAGTCCCCCCACTTCTCGTGCTCCCCTGCACCGTCTCGACCGAGGGGCCGCCGCGACATCGTTGCCGACCCGTCCTCGAGCGTGCCGGAGCCGACCGCCAGGCGACGACGCTTTGCCAGCGTGGGCGAGGCGGGCGTAGGCGCAGGCGGACCAGTCGCGAGTGTCGAGTCGAGAGGAGGAGTGCTGAGGACCGGAGGTGTGGCGGCGACGTGTCGGCTCGTCGAGAGCGAGGTTGTCGGGTCGACGGGCTGAGGAAGGCCCGGCGACTGTGCCGGGACGCTCGAGGCGGCGTCGGCTGAGGGGGAGGAGTGGAAGGGGGGATTGAGAAGACGGCGAAGATGGGGCGGGAGGGGGTGAGAGAGAAAGGGCAAGGGAGAGCGGGCGAGACGAGGAGGAAGCGGGGGTCCGTGCGAGTTGACGAGCGAGTCAGGGATCGGCGAGGGGCTACGCATGGCCGAGCGCGCTCTGTCTGCGCGACAGGAACGAGGGAGAGTCAATAAGGTCCGGCCGTGAAGGAAAGCCGAGGTTCGAAGAGGAGGGACGGACCTGCTCCCTCCTGAAAGGCCGGGCTCGCCGAGCCCTCCTCGAGCGACTCGTCCTCCTCGACGGCAGACGCGCGCGACGGCTTGTACTTGCGGGTGCGACCGGCCGACCTGCGCAGGTACGACAGGCGCAAGCTGAGGGCATGCCGGGAGCGCCCCGGGACGCGGGCGGCCTCGCGCACCCAGTCGACGTTCTCTGCGCCGCGCTCGTCGTCCTCGCAGGCGTACTCGTCGCCGATCTTGAGGACCTCGCGGTCCTCCTTGGGCGTCCAGTCGCCGTAGAGCAATTCGGTACCTGCGCAAGAGAGCGGCCGAGTAAGCGCGACGTTCGGGACGAGGAGGGGCGGGAAGAGACGAGAGAGAGCGAGAGGGAGCGCACCGGTTTCCGCCGTCGCCTTCAGCTTCTCGAAGTGCTTCTGGACCGCCTTCTCGCTGCGCTTGTACCCGGCGGCGGCAAGCTCCTCGACGACCGAGGCCCACCTCCGGCCGTGCTGCTCCGCCGCGCGCTGAGCGAGCGCGCTCTCCTCGTCGTTCCACTGGCGATTCTTGGCCTGCACCTGGCGGCTGTCGCGCGTTGTGTTGGCCGAGCTGCGCGACGAGGTAGAGCTTGATGAGGCCGCCGCCGACGGCACGACGGGCGGTCTCGGCCGCAGGACGCGCTTCTGCGGGATTGTCGACGATGCTGCCGGGACGGCGACGAGACGCCTCAGTGGGCCCGGGAAGTCGAGCGAGGCAGGTGGTTGGCGAGGGCGAGGAGGGGCGAACGCGGGCGGTGCGACGTCGGCGGGGCGACGGCTGCCAGCTGGCGGCTTGTCGCAGCGCCCGCTCGCCATGCTCGTCGAGTAAGGCATACTGGGCGACGAGAGAAAGAGAGCGAGGTGGAGGATGGCGGCTCTCGACGGACGATAGGCAGACCGGACGGTCCGCGGACGAGGGAAAGGGGCAGCGAGGAGCGTGCGGCGTCGGGGAGACGCCGAGGAGGCCGGGTCTCGACATTTCGCCGTCGAGAGGACGAGGAGAGAGAAGCACAAGCCAGGCGACGGACTCGCGGCACGCTGTCGAGGCTGATAAAGACAGAGGCGCTCGCCGCCTGCACCTCGTCTATTCTTCCTTGCAGAACGACTGAAGCAGCTCGACAAACTCCTTTGGCCGCTCGGCGTGCACTGCAAGAAGACCAGGCGTCAGTTCGCGGTCTTGGTGGAGGTGTAGAAGGCTCAGAGAGAGGCGGGACGCACCCCAGTGACCGGCATCGAGCGTCTCGAGCCGCGAGTCGGGGAAGAACTGCTTGATGATGGGGATGTTGCGCGAGTTGATGTACTTGCTCTTGGCCCCTGCGGTCGAGAGGGCGAGTCGAAGGGTAAGTGCGGGCCGGGAAGAGCCGCTCGAGAGGGAGAACACGCTCGCGACTCACCCTTGAGGAAGAGCGACGGCTTCTCAAAGACCCTCTCGCCTGGCGCGTACGGGAAGTGGCCGATCTCGTCGATCGCGTTGCGGAGGAAGTGCAGGGGCAGGCGGAACTTGTATGGCGAGGAAGGGTTGGCGCGGTCCATGTTCGTGAGGAGGAACTGGCGCACGCCGAGGTCCTGCGAGCGAGCGCAGGATCAGCCCCAGTCCGTCGACTCGCTCGACAGGGAAGGATCAAGAGGACGTGGACGTACAGGCTCAGTCTTGGCGAGGATAGCGTCGGCGTCTTTCCTCGACATGACCTGCGCGTCGTCGATCGCCTTCATGGCGTCGAGGTACGCCTGGAACTCGGGCGAGACCTTGCCGACGCCAGGAGCGATGTCGACGACTGTCAAGGGGAAGAGGGACGAAGATGGTCAGGAGGAAGACTCGCATGGGTGGGTCAGAGAGACAGAGAAGGAGGACGCACCGACGAGCTTCGACAAAGGCTCGCACCCGCCGAGCGCCAGCGCCATCGCGACCTTGCCGCCCCTGCACACAGAGAGATGTCAGTTCTCATCGCTCGGTACGAGAGGAACGAGGGACGCACATCGAGTGCCCGACGACGACGCAGTCGCTCAACCGCTCGCGCTGCTCGATGAACGCCTTGACGTCGGCGGCGAGGTCCTCGTAGCTGCACTCGCGCCTGTGCGGGCTCGCACCGTGGTTGCGCAGGTCCTGCAGGGCGGGCGGCGTACGTTAGCTCTGCGTGCGACGAGGTCGGCCCCGCACCCGAGGTCGAGGAGGGGAGGACGAGAGGGAGCTCACGAGGGTGTAGATGTCGCGCTCGAGCTTGGCAGCCATACCCTTGGCGAGACTGCGCCAGTTCTGCTTGCTGCCGTACAGGCCGTGCAGCACGACGAGCGGTGCTCGCGACGAGCCCGAGCCGGCTGATGGCGCCTGCTTCTCGAACGAGAGCTCGACGGGGACAGGCGCCGTGGCGAGCGTACGGCGGCTGGCCGGTGCTGCAGAGCGAGCTGTGGTGGCGATACGCCCTCCTCGGAGCATGGTGGGCGAGGTCGACGGGGTCGAACGGTCGGGCGAGGAGGCAAGCCGTCTTCCTCGTGCCGAAACCGAGTCTGGCTTGCCCCACTCGAGTCGCACAGAGCCTCTCGCACGTCGAGACGCAGAGCACGGCACGCAGATTCGCAATTGCAAGCTCGCTAGACACGCACAGATTCTGCTCTCGACCGGCGAGAGCCAAGTCCGACCTCCTCGCTCGCGCCGAACCCGCTCTCACACCGGCTCGCTCTGCAGAGCCGCCTGCATGGCCGCCTCGCGGCGCGGCGACGACTTCGAAGCCCTGCCCGGCGCGCGAGGCGAAAGGCGCTCGGCGAGCGACAGGCTCGGCGCAGTCAGACTCGGCGCGCTCGTCGACGACGACGACGGGCTGTGGTCCGGCGGGGGAGGCGTCGAGAGCGAAGGACGCAGGCCGAGTCGTGCGGCGAGGGGAGGTGTCGAAGGAGGAGGAAGGGGCGAGAGGCGACAGACGAGAGGGGCGTCGACGGGGACGGTGGTCGAGGAGAGGCGCGCCGCGAGAGGAGGGCGATCGCCCGCTTCAGGCGCGACGATGGCTGCGAAAGAGCTTGAGGGTCCGGGCGCAACGACCTGCACCAGGCTCGAGGCGGACGACGAAGCGTGCGCAGCGTCGAGCGCCTCGACTGCGGCCGCGCCAAGAGCGACCGTAGGTGCTTTAGGCGAAAGCGGCGCCGTCAAGCGCTCAGATTCCTCGCGCTCGGTGGCTCGAGTCGACGAGCTCGAGTCAGTCTGACTGAAAAGGTCCTCATCGGCTCGTTGGAGCTTGGGGGAGGACCCCGACGGCGGAAAGGCGGCAGCGACGGGAAGATCGGCGACGACAGGAGGGTCTGCGGCGGCAGAGCGTGTCGGCGAGGCGGTAGCGTCGCTCGGCGAGACTTGAGTGACGACAGGTTCCTCTTGAGGGAGCTCGACGGGAAGCTCTGCTGCGAGAGCCCGCGCCGGCTCGAGCGCAGATGATGCCGGTTCAGGTTCGACAGGGCTGCGCGGCGCGCTTGAAGGTGCAGGAGGCGAGCCAGGCTCTTGATGCGCCCGCTCCAAGGGCTTGTCGACGACAGGTGCGGCCCCTGCCGCCGCGACGCCCGTATCCGTCCCGGGAGCGTCGGCCTCGGTCGCCGCCTCGTCGACGTCGACGTCCATCTCGAGCCCTTGGCCAACAGCTCGGCCCGGCTCGACAGCAGGCTGCTCGAGCCGCTCGTGCGTCTGCTCGTCGCCCATCTCGATGTCCTCCTGCTCCCGCACCTCGTCCTGCTCGACAGCAGTCCCAAAGAGCTGCGCCGCCTCGACCATGGCGCAGTCGAGCTCGTCGGCAAAGTCGGACAGCGCGATGGCGTCGACACGAGGACCCTTGACGTCGTCGGCGTCGCGCGGTGGCGGCAGGTGAAACGACCGTGCGGCGGCGAAGAGCGAGGTCGAGATGGCGACGTCGTCGTCGTCGTCGTCGTCGAGCGGAGAAATAGGCGAGTCGAACGGGTCATCGACGCTTGTTGACGATGGTGAAGCAGGCGAGGCCATCGAGGCGAAAGGATCCGCGTCGATCAAGGGCGAGTAGGGCGAGAACGGCTCGAGGTAGAAGTCGGCGTCGACGTCGCCCGGGGCGAGGTCGGCCGTTGGCCGAGTCGGGAAGCTCTTGCTGTTCGACGCCGGTGCGCGAGAAGGCGTTGCCAACGAGGCGGGAGCGTGCCGAGCCGAAGAAGCCGCGAGCGTGTCGTCGCCGCGAGATGCCCGACGCGACGCCGTTCCCCTCGAGGGGACCTTGTCGTCGGCGATGCCGCCGAGTCGGCTGGCGAGCGACGACGTGTCGGAGCGCCAGGTGACGGGCGGGCGCAGGGGCGGTTTGCGGCCGTGCATGACGTACTCGTAGTCGAACCAGCCGGCTCGCCAAAACGACGGGGCGCCCGGCGGCGGATCCGGGCCCTCGCCGAGCTCGCCGACGACTTGCGTCTGGGCGCTCGCGACGGCCGCTGGGTCGAGGACGATACCGTGCTGGCGGCGGAAGGACGGCGAGAGGTCGGCGAACCGCCAAGGGGACCGGGCGGCCTCGGCCGACGGGAGGTGGTGCACGACGAGCCCGTTGGTCTTCCAGTAGCGCTTGGCGTCGAGCTTGATCCATTGGTCGAACGCGTCGCGGTCCTTGGCCGACGAGAAGAGGAGCTCGAACCCGCTCGACGACGGCTTCTCGGCCCAGGCGACGGCGTGGAAGCGCCACACGAACGCGTCGTCCGACATGTCGAGGACGTTGAGGCCTTTTGGGCAGCGGACCCAGGCGAGAGTGGCGGGAAAGAGCGAGTCGAGGAGGTGAGGCGGGACCCGGTCGGACGGCGCGACGGTCTGCTGGGATCTCGGCGATGAGCCGGGATATCGGCAAGGGTCTGAGGAGGAGAGGAGAGGCAGGACGCACCTCGTTGACGTGCTTCACCTTCTGCCGCTTCGGGCTCCCGCCTCGCGCATCCACCCCTGCTCCCTCCTCCCGCCGCCGCTTGACCGCCTCGTCCGCCTCCCTCGCCATCTGGTCCTCGCTCGCCCTCCTCTCCTCCCTCGCCCTCTGCTCGCACTCGTTGCGCCACAGACCCTCCCGCTCCTCGGGCCGCACGTCGCCCCACTGCCACCTCGGCCTCACGCCGCTCAGGAGCGCTCCCGCCCACAGCGACCACTCGCCGCCGCCGCCGATGCTCGACGGGACGCGCAGCCCGTTGAGGTGCGCGTGCGCCTCGGTCGCGAGCGCGGACGAGGGAAAGGCGATGTAGGCGCTGCGCGCCACGACGGTCGAGCTCGGCGTGGTCGCGGTCGAGGCGATAGGCGTTGAGGAGGGAGCGTTCAGGATCGACACGAGGGGAACGAGGTGCGGCGGGAAGAGCGCGAGGAGGTGCGGGATGGTCGGGACCGTGTCGGGCGGGAGGTACAGGATCTCGAGCGCGTGCAGAGGGTCGTAGACGGACGGCGGGAGCGGCTCGTCGAGAGCAGGGAGCGGCGGGGGAGGTGCTAGTGCCCTCGAGATGCCGGGCGACGACGGGTTGTGCGAGGGCCCTGCGAGACCGCCGCCGCGAGGGCTCGAGGCGCGAGGCAGGAAGCGAGGCGCGCTCACGACGGCCGGCAGGAGCTCCTCGCCGCGTTCGAGAGCGATGGTTCGCCGGCGCCAGAACACGCGCTCGACCTCCTCGTGCGGCGGGACCTGGATGTCGTCGCGAAATTGGAGGAGGAGGACGTGGTGGGTCGGCAGGGCGGCGAGGTCGTCAAGCGACGGGTCGAAGTCGAGCGACGCGAGGTGAAAGTCGTCGGCGGTGTGCGTGCGCGGTGGAGGAGGTACGACAGGTGCTGGAGGCATCGAAGGCGAGAGTACGACGTCCTGGAACTGTGTTGGGCAGGCGAGTGAGCGTCCTGAACAGGTCCACGGAGAGTCGACGAGGAGGCTGAGGACGCACCTCGCTCGTCAAGCGCATGTAGTCGCCTCCTCCACCCTTCTGCTGGCCCTTGATGAATTCGACGATGCCGCGCTTTTGCGCGTCGAGCCGGAGCGTCTTGAAGTTCTGGTACGAGCCCGACTTGTAGATCTGGGGCGAGATCTTGAGGAGCTCGACGCCGACGCTCGAGCAGGACGGCGGGTTCTGCTTCAGGGCGACGGTGCGCACGGCTTGGACGAGCGGGACGAACACCTCGGGGACGGCGCCGCGCGACGGCGCCGCGGGAGGAGGTCGAGGAGGTCGAGGAGGGTGACCGGTGCCGGACGCCTCGACGCCACGATGGCGGCGGTTGAGCCACAGGTACCGCGCCCTGTCGACGACGGCGTCGAACCCTGGCTCGTCGTTGTCGAGGTGGAAAGGGACGAGGGCGAGTTCGAGAGACGACCGCGCCTCAAGCGGGTCGAGGGCGAACGTGAGCGGGTGCAGGTGCGCGCGCTGCAGCTCTGTCGCCGCCATGTTGCTCAGCCGTGCGCACTCTGGGCGGCACAGAGGCGGGCGAGGTGTGTGTGCGGAGCCAACCCTCTCGCGAGATGATCCCGCCCGCTCAGTTCCGGCAGAGCAGGCTGGCTACGCTCTGTGGTCCGGTTCTGGCACGCAAGCCACTCTTCAGCCTCGTCCCACTCCGTGCAAGCCCCACCCCTTCCCGCTGTGGGCGTTCCCTGCCGTCTCTCCTCCTGTCCCTCGCTTCATCTGGTTTTGCTTCGTCCTCGAGTCGCACTGCTTCTAGTAGCTCTTGCGTCCACTCGAGCTCTCCGAGACTGTCTCGCTTCCGAATGCGCAGGCTCGCTCCCGGCTGCTAGTGCCAGAGGCTGCCGAGCGTGCGCGCCTCGCGCCGGCGGAACAGCTTTCCTCGCTCTGCACGGCTCTCACGGCATGCTGAAGGACGTCAAGGCATTGTAGTCGTTGCTACGAGGCAGGGTAATGATATGGAATGGGCGCGGCACGGTAAAGACGAGGTCGCGAAGAGGGAGGACGAGGGAGAGAGAGAGAGCGTCACCGGCCGCACGGACCGAGGCGGCACGGCGGCACAAAGAGGTGCTGCTCGGACGAGAACCCGCACCGCTCGCGCCCGCACGACGGACCGCGAGGGCAAAAGTGGCCAAAGATGCTGTCGAGAGGGCGTCGTCAGAGCTGGTCCGAGGGACGAGGAGAGAGCGAGACGCACCAGTCGTCGCCGTCGGGGCACTGCAAGCCGTGCTTGATCGCGTTGCAGACGTGATGCTGCAGGTCATGAACGAGAGTCAGCCGCACGTCGAGGAAGAGGCTGAGGAGAGAGAGGACGAGAGAACGGACCTTGGCGCCACGACGCATCTCGTCGACCTGCTCGGGCGACAGCTCGTACCGGTGCTCGTACCGGCAGCGAGGGACGTCGCACAGGCCTTTGAGGTAGTGGGCGTTGCACGGCGGGACGAGCTGCTTGCTCATCGGCACGTCGGGGTTGATAATCGGGGCTGGGCGAGCGTGCGGCGGGCGCGGGAGGTGAAGGAGGCGGCGTGCCTGGCTGAGCGAGGCGACAATCTGCGTGAGCGACTGAGTCAGTCTCGGACGAGCTCACGCTGGCCTGAGGAAGAGAGGAGAGGACCTGGGACGCACCTGGACCCGTCCTTCGAGCAGCTCAGCTCCGCCTCTCGTCCTCGCCTCGTCACGCTCCCTCTCGACCCGGTCGAGCGCAACCGCCAACCGCCCCACCTCCTCCTCGAGCGTCTCGCACCGGACCCGCCACGCCGCGAGCGCGACGTCCGCCTCGCGACGCTCCTTGAGCAACGCGTCGACGAGCGCGCTCGAGCCCGTGCCGGCGCCCGCACTCGCACTCGTGCTGGTGCCGATGGGCGCAAAGGCGCTGCTGCACGAGGCGATCGACGAGGGCGTCGTCGAGGTGCTGCCCGACCAGGACGAGTCGGACGAGTCGCGGCGGAACGCGCCGAGGACGGGCGAGATCAACGCCGGCGAGTAGAACGACGCGGTGCTGCTGCTCGAAGGCGCGCCTTGGCGTGTCGTCGGGTCGGGGTTGGCGAAGAAGCTGAAGTAGGACGCGTCGGCTGGGAGCATCGCGACGCAGAGAGAGGCAGAAGCGGAAGCGAGAGAAGGGCGAGCGAGAGAGAGAGCGCGCCGGGGCCAGGGGCTATCTTGGCGCAAGACGAAGGCCTGCGAGGGCGCGAAGGCTCCCGTAGAGCTCGCGCTCTAGCGAAGGTTGGCGTTGCGAAGAGCGAGGAAGTCCACTCGACGCGGTACAGGGGGAAGCGCCCGAGGCGAGAGACGCAGCGAGGCCGAGTACCGAGCGCCAGCAGCTCTCGCACTCGCCGCTCGACGTCGAAAAGAGAGTCCAAGCGACGAGGCGCACGTCATGCAGTCGAGGCCCGGATAAAGTCGACAATCTGCTCGAGGTACGAGTCGGGAAGGGCGTGACGGGCGATAAAGGCGGCGGCGGTGGCGTGCGGGTCGTCTGACAGGACGCAATATGTCGGTCAGTAAGGGAAGAGAACATCAAGGGGCTTGGGGACGAAGCTCGTAGCGAGGAGGAGGAGAGGGAGGAAGGGAGAGGGAGGGAGCGACGCACCGTCGAGATTGTACGGCAGCTCGAGCGGCGGCTCGTCGTCCTTGACGTCGATGCGGAACACGTAGTCATACTCCTTGCCCTCGTGCTGCATCTTGGTCGGCGGCGGTGGCGCCGGCGCCGCATCCTCGCCCGCAGCCTCGGCCTGCTGCACGACCTCGCCGAGCTCCCCCCATTTGGACCCGTCCCACTGCGTGCGAGGACACTCGTCAGTCCCAGGCGTATTGGGAGAGAGTGAGAGAGACGCACCTGATGGGCGACGACGATCTCGTCCCGCTTGACGAGCTTGACCTCGCCCTCGCTCGAGCCCGGCTCGTCGAGGACCGCCGGCTCGTGCACGACCGGCCGCTCCTGCTGCGGCGCCCTCGTCGCTCTGTGTGCCGCCACATTGTCAGACATTGAAGGGTGAGACGATCGGCGAATACGAGGGAGAGGGAGAGGAGGAACGCACCGACGTTCCGCCAGGCGCATGTCGTACTCGCCCTGCGTCGCCTCGTCTGCGGCACGCGCCGGGTCACGCGTGAACAGCCACACCATGTTGTCCGAGCACCCGCAGGCGAGGTCGCCGTTGGGCAGCGTCGCGAGGGACCACACTGCGGGGCGAGGGGGTCAGTGCGCGGCTTGACGAGGAACAGGAGGGCGAGGGACGCACCCGAGAGCGCCGGCACGAGCACCTCCTGGTCCCGCTCGCCGTCCTCCTCGTTCCAGACCGAGATGATGCCGTCCTCGCCCGAGCTCGCGAGGCCGCCGCCGGCGCTCGACGGGATCGTCGCGAGCGAGTAGATGAACGAGTCGTGCGTGCCGAGGACTGTGAGCGCGTTACCGTTGCGGTAGTCCCACACGCGGATCGTGCTGCGACGGAGATAGAGAGTCAGTCGCGTCGCCGGGAAGAGGGGGAGGATGAGGCGCACGCACCCGTCGTTCGAGGCGGACGCAAACAGGGTCGAGGTCGGGTCGCCGGGCAGAAGCTTGGCGAGGGCGCGTACAGGTCCTTGGTGGCCCTTGAAGACGAAGCGCACGTCGGGGCCGGAGAAGAGGCGGATGCGCGAGTCGGCAGAAGCTGCGGGTCGGTTGGGAAGGTCAGTCGGCCGTCGACAAGTCGACGAGCTATTCGGGAGACGCACCGGTAAGAATAGCGTCCTGTTCGCCCTCGAGCACCATGACGTCCCACACTGCCGCCTCGTGCTCGACGAGCACCCTCGCACACGTCCACGCCTCGTCGCCCTCGCCGTCCCGCTCGCGCCGCACCCACACTCGCGCCGTGCCGTCCCAGCTCGCGCTCGCGATCGTGCGCCCGTCGGTCGAGCAGTGCAGGGCGCACACGTTGTGGGCGTGGCCGAGGAGGGTGTGGGTAGGGGTCGGTGGAGCGTCGGGCGCGAGCGAGAAGAGCTGGATGAGCGAGTCGGTGCCGGCGGTGGCGAGGAAGCCTGTGGGCGAGAGTCGTCAGGACACTCTCGCGAGGCTGGAGAAGTCAGGGAGACGCACCGTGCTGATCCGGTTCGCTCGGGTCTGCGGGCACGGACGAGACGGCGTTGATGTAGCCCTCGTGGCCGTCTCGCCAGACGCGCTCCTCGGCCCAGCTGCCGCCCTTGTCGCCGTCGCCGCGCTCTCGGGACCAAGCCCTGGCGGTGCCGTCGCGCGAGGCGGTAAAGAGGCGGGACGGAGAGGTGGACGAGGCGACGGCGCGGACGTCGTTCGAGTGTCCGCGCAGGAAGGCGGCGAGGCGATACGGCGGCGGGCGGGATGGCTCGCCGCTGGGTGAGGGATGGGCTCGAGGTCGTTGCGTCATGCTGGTGGGAGGACGAGGCCGTGGAGCCGAGGAGGAGGAGGACGAGGGGGAGCGAGAGCGGCTAGGTGGGTGGCGACGGGCAGGGCGGCGGTGCGGGCCTGCTGCTGAGGCTGTCTGTGCCGTCACTGTGCGGGTAGCTGGGCGCAGGGCGAGGACGAGAGGGTTCGAGGTCGAGGTAACGACACCGCCCCGCTCGCCGTCACCGTCCTCTGCCCCCTCCAACCTCGCACACCCTGTGAGTGCTCTCACTGTCCGGCTAGACCTACTTGCACTGACCTCTGGACTACACAGCCGCACCCTCGCCTAAACGCGCCCCGTCCCCGACCCGCCTCAGCTCGTCTCGAACCTCATCATCATGTCGGCCGCCGCTCGTCGCATCACCAAGGAGTACGCAGAGCTCCAGCAGGACTTCCCGCCTCACGTCACGGCTGCACCCGACGAGAGCAACCTCCTCCACTGGGTCCGTCCCCCTCACCCTCTCTCCTCCTTCCTCCCTGCCCCGCAGCGGCCGATCCCTCCTTTCAACTGACCCGCGCACACGACTCGCCTGGAACCGCAGACCGGCACCATCACCGGCCCGCCCGACTCGTCCTACAAGGGTCCGTCCCCTCTTTCCTCTCGTCAAAGCCACACTCGCTCACCTCGCCTCGGACAGGCGGCAAGTTCAACATCGACATCACGTTCCCGACCGAGTACCCGTTCAAGTGCGTCCTCCTGCCACCTCCATCGTGACGAGCCAGCCCTGACGCCGAGCCCCACACAGGTCCCCGACGGTGCGTCCGCCTCTCCCACCTCGCCCGACGATGAGCCTCTCCTGACCCTGTCTCCCTCCTCGTCCGCTCTCTAGGTCAAGTTCGTGCGTCAGACTCTCCGTCCTCTCTTCGAGATGTCTATACTGACGGTTGGAGCCACCCAGACGACGCGCATCTACCATCCGAACGTGACGGACGACGGCGCAATCTGCATCGGCCTCCTCAAGGCGAGTTCTCTCGCCCTCTCGTCCTCCTCAACGCGCCCTCGCCGACGAGCTCCTCCACACAGTCCGAGGCATGGAAGCCGTCGACCAAGATTGAGCAGAGTGCGCCCTCTCGTTCCGCCTCGAGCCGAACCGCCGCCTGACTCTCTCCCCTCCTCCAGTCCTGCGCGCCCTCGTCCAGCTCCTGCAAGAGCCTAACCGTGCGTCCTGCGTCCTCCCGGTCCTCTCTTCTCTCTTTCAAGCCCCGGCACTGACTCCCTCGTCGCCTGCGTAGCCGACGACGCCCTCGTCGCGTCCATCGCCGAGGTGTACAACACGGATCGCGCCCAGTTCACCAAGAACGTGAGTCGTCGCCAGTCTCTCTCGTGTCTGCTCTCTCGATCCATTCACTGACTCTCGTACTCGTCGCGCTGCTCGCAGGCCCAGGAGTGGGTCAAGAAGGTGCGTGCGCGCTCTCTCGTTCCTCGTTCCGGTCCTCGTCGAACGCCAGGGCTCACTCGCCCTCTCTCCCCGCCGCAGCACGCCACGTGAGACTTCTCGACTCGACGAGCGCCTCCCGAGCCTCCCTCTCGAGCTTGTACACACTCCTCGCCGTCCCCGTTTTGCACCCGCACCGTCAATATAGAACTTATGGTAGGTACAGCACTGATTGACATACTTTCCTTAATTAGAATTAGGGAAGGTCGACTAGGGGGATGTGAAAGTCCTATCTAGGTCAGTTAACCTCGGAATGATCATAAGCATTTATTGGCAGTGAGTCGTAGGGTGATAAAGGTCTTATGACAAGAGGGAAACAGCCCAAACAATGAGTTAAAGTCCCAAAGCTATTGACAAGTGAAATTAAGGAAGTATGTAACCTAATACAGCCATG